TAATATTAAATTAAATATTTTATATTTAATCTTTTAAAATTAATAAAAATACTATATAATTTATATTTATAAATTCTTTATTTTATTCTTTATATTATAAAATATATTAATTAAAAGTATTATTATTTATTAAAAGATATTATATAACTAATATTCTTTTTATTATATATAAAGTATCTTTTTAATAAAAATTATTTTATAAAAATATTTCTTTATAAAATTATTATAACCTTTATAATTATTATAATTATTATAATTATTATAATTATTATAATTATTAAACTTAATATTTTAATTATTATAAAAATTTTATTAAAAAATTATTATAAAAGTTATTTTATTATAAAATCTATTATAATATTTATTATAAATTATTATTATTATATTTTAATAAGTAGTATTATTATTAAAATATAATTTACTAAATATTATTTAAAATAAATTAATTTATTTAATATTATATAAATAAAATATTTTAATAATACCTTTAATATATATAAAAGTTATATAAAACTATATTAATTAAATATTAAGTTTATATATATTAAAAAATAAAAATTTTATTATTAAATATATTATAAATTTAATTAAAATATATTTTATTATTATAATAATATTTATTAATATTAATTATTATATTTAATTTAAATAATTTATTAAAATATTTTATTAATAATAAAATATAATATATTATTAAATTTTATATTTTAAAAGTATTTTTAAAATAACTATTTTTAAAGAATTTAAAATTAAAAATAATAAAAATAAAAATAAAAATTTATTAAATAAATTTCTTTTAAAACTTTTATTTTCTTTATAAATTTTATAGTATAATTTATTATTATATTTATTTTCTTTTTTATTATTTTTTTTATTTTTTATTATTATTAAATTTTAAATTACTATTTAAATTATTATTCTTAAATTAATATCTACTTATTTAATAATTATATTTACTTACTTAATTTTTTATTAACTACTTATTTAATATAAAATTTATATATAAAGCTTATATAAAACTATATATTTAACTAAAATTCTTTAAATTTTTAAAACTTTTAATATAAGCCCCTTTTAATACCCCTTTTAACATACTTTCTAATATACCTTTTAACACACCTTCTAGACTATATATATTTAAGTATTAACTAAGTATTTAAATACTAATTAAATATTAAAAGGCTAGAAGTTTAGAGTATTAAAGGGTTAAAAGAGGTATTAAAAGGCTAGAAAAAGTGTAATCTTTACCTTTACCTTCTTAACTTCTAGCCTTTTAGCGTTTAGTTAGCATTTAAATACTTAGTTAATACCTAAATATATATAAACTAAATAGTAAAAGTAAAGGTAAAGAAGCGCTAAAAGGGGCACTAGAAGGGGCGTTAAAAGGGGTGTTAAAAGGGGTGCTAAAAGGGGTACTAAAAGAAGCTTATACTAAAAGTATTAAAAATTAAAAAAGGAAATTATATTTTAAAGTCTCTTAATATTAACTTAAAAGGTATTTATAAATATAAAGGAGTTACTTAAAAAAATTAATACTAAGTAAGTAATTAATAAAAATTAAATAAGTAAATATAATTATTAAATAAGTAAATATTAGTTTATTATTTTTATATTATAATAATTCTTTTTTATATTTATTATATATTTTATTTTTATTTTTTTTACTTCCTATAAATATTTTTTTATTCTTATTCTTATTTTTATTTTTATTTTTTTCCTTAAATTTTAATAATAATAATTTTTTTTTAAATTTAAAAGTTATTCTTTTAAATTAAATTATAATAAAATAAAACTTTATTTAATTTATAAGTTTTTTAGTTAATTATTAAATTATTTTAATATTTTTAATTTAATAAAATTAAATATAAATAAATTTTAATAAATCTTTAAATTAATTTATATACCTTTAATATATAAATTATTTTTAATTTTTAAAAGTTTTATTAATAACTATAAATATTTTTAATTTATTTATTAAAATTCTTTATAAATACTTTATATAATTTTTAATATTAAAGTATTTATATATTTATAAATATTATATAATATATATATTAATTTATATTATATTAAATTTTTATTTTTAATAAATTTATACTTTATAATTTAAAATTAATATTATATATATAAATTATTTTAAAATATATTTTATTTTATATTTTAATAAATAATAGTATTAATTATAATAATAAATTTAATAGATTTTAAAAGTTATTATAAGTAATTATTAAAATAATAAAGGGTTAATTATAAAGAAATAAATATATTAATAAAACTATATTATTTTAAAAGTTAAATATAATTAATTTAAGGAATTAATAAGTTTTATTAATAAAATATAAAAAATTATTTATTATAATATTAATTTAAAATATATATAAGTATATTAAAAATTTATTAATTAAAATAAATAAGAAGTTTAATATTTAATAGAGTTAATTTATAAAATTTAAAATATTATTAGAATATAAAGGAGGGTTTAATAATAAAATAAATAAAAGTTTAAAATTTTAATAAAGTTTTATTTATATAAAGTATAATAAATATTTATAAGAGGTAATTTTAAATAGTAATATTAAATTAAATATTAAATATTTAAAAGGTTATTTAAGTTTTATATTTAGTAATTATTAAAATATTTATAAAGAAGTTAGTTTTTAAATAAATTATATAACTTTATTTTATTAATTAAAAGTAATTATATTAAATAAATTATATAAGTTAAATAAAATTTAATAGTTTTAATATAGTTATTTTTAAATAGTTAAGTTATAAAGTAATAAATTATTTTATTAACCTAATTATTTATAATTATTTTTATAATTATTAATTAATATTAATTAAGTTTATATATATAAAGGTAAAAAGTAATGTTAAAAGTAGTTAATTATTAGTAACTAATTATTAAAGGGTTATTTAAAGGGTTTATATAAGTAAATACTTTTTTATTAACTAAGCTTAATAAAAGATTATTATAACTATTATATATATTATATTATATTACTTTATATATATATATTAAAGATTTAATATAAGTTTATTTAATTTATATAACTTTATAATATTTATTTAATTTAAAATAATATAATTATTTATATATTATTTTAAAAGCTATAAATTTTATTATTTATTTAATTTAAAGAAAATTAATAATTATAAATATTTTATATTTAAATTTATACTTTAAAATTATTAAATATTATTAATTATAATAATATTAATTTAAATATTTATTTTAATAAATATAATTTTAATTTATAATAATATTATATAATTAATTAAAGAAATATTTAATTAATTTATAATTAAAATTAAATAAATATTATATATATATTAATATAAAATATTAAAGTATTAATTTTAAATATATATTAATAATTAAATAAAGTTAAAAATTAATTTATTAAAATTAATAATAAATAGTTTTATATATCTTTATATATAACTATTTAAAAGGAGTTAATATTAATTAACTTAATATAAAATTAAATGTAGAAATAAATATTAATATTATATAATTAAAAATATTAATTAAAGTATATTAATAAGGTTAAATAATTTATTTTTATTTTATATTTTTAAATTAGTTTTAAGCTTTAATTTTTATAATTTATTTTATTAAATATTATAATTATAAAATTATATTTAAATATCTATAATTAAGTAATTTTATATATATTTATTATAAAAAACTTATAAAAATAGTATAAATTAAATATATTTTTATTTTTAATTTATTTTAAATAAATTTATTAATATATAATATATATTATAAAGATAATAACTTATTAATTATTTATCCTTAATAAATAATTTTATTTAATTATATAGTTAATATATCTTCTACTTTAATTAAATTTAAACTAACTTAAATATTCTTTTACTTAATAATCTTTAAATTATTTAATCCCTAATTATTTAAAGCTTTTATTTAATTTATATTTCTTTCTTAATAAATATATTTAAAATTTATTTTTTTAATTTATTCTTATTATTATTTTATATAAGTTATATTTTAATTATATATTTCTTTTCTTTTTATTAATTATTAATTTATTTATAAATTTAATATATTAATTTTAAAGAAATAAAATTAAATATTTTTTTATTATTATCTTTAATTATTTTTATTTAAAATATATTTATAAACTTTTAAAGAATTATTAAAACTTTATATTTATAATAAGTTTTATAATATTTAAATTATTATTAAGTATAATTTATTAAATAACTTTTTAGTTTTTTAAAAGATTAACTATAATATAAAAATATTAAAAACTAAATTAATTAATATTTTATATAAAAGTATAACTAATTAAATTTTAATAATAAAATTTAATATTTATTATATTCAATAATTTATATATAATTATAAATATTTAATTTATTAATAATTTTATTATATACTTTTAAAATAAAGAATAATATTAATTTATATTAATAATATATTTTTAAGTTTATATATTACTTTTATTTAAATAGTAATTTTAAATAGTAATTTTAATACTAATTATAAATAATTTAATAAAATTTAAACTTAAAATAATAAAATAAATATAAATTAACTATATAAATTAATTATTATAAATATAATAATTAATATAATTATAATATTTAATTATTAAAATTATAAAGGTATAATTAAATTAATAATATTTTATAAAAATTATAATTAAAATAAAATTATTAATATAAATATATAATTTTATTTTAATATATAATATATAAATAATTAAATAATAAAATATAATTTAAAATAATAATATTAATAGTATTATATTAATTAAAAAGAAATTAAAAGATATATTAAGACTTATATAAATATATAGTATTTTAAAAAAAGGAAAGAAAAAGATTATATTTATATAATACTATATAATAGTATTTATTTTAAATAAAGGGTTTATAAATATAGATAAGTCTTTAAAGTATTATATATTAGTTAAAATAGAAGATTAAAGGTATCTAACTATTAATATAGGTGTATAGGTATAAGGGATTTTAGGGTTTTTAGAAAGTTGCCCCTGTCGCGCACCATACCCTCCCTCCTCCTCCACATACCTGGGTGCCAGGTGTAGTACGGAGTACCCTCCTGCTTGGCTCCGCAATTGCCTCTCACCAGACCCCGTCTAAGACATGGCCTGCCTTATCGCCCGCAGCAAGCCCTGACCCACGATGCTTGAGCACTCGCCAGACAATTGTCGCCCATGGCTATTTCTGGACGCTCGCCGCTTCAGAACGTGATCGGCCCAGCGACCACCCTGGCAGCCTGGTGTCCCCCATCTGTCGGTCGACACTGGCGTCGTCAGTACAAACCCCGTTGTCCAAGGTGGGTACCTACTGACATGCACAGCAAACATTGTAAGTCATTGACCTATGTTATGCTGTGCAGTGGCGCCTTCCTTGGGGTGACGTCAACCCACAGTCATGTTGGCGACAACGCTGCGCAAGCTGCTGCGGAAGCTGCAACAAACCTGGGGTCCAAGCCGCCTTGTGACGTTCCGTAGGAGAGAAGCAGCTCTGCTCCGCCTTCATCTTTACCACCAGCGGAACAACTTCTCCGGACGTCAAGGGTCGGTGTGACCATGGGGTTGAGTACATGTAGAGGACGGGCCTGCTCTCTAGTGTCGACGGCAAACACCCAACTTCGTTGGACCTCATAACACTCCCTACCTGAGACCTCCTCGAACAAGAAAACCTTGGCGACAATTACCCATACTGAACAGCCCTACTCGATCCTTGTGTGACTCTACTGCACTTAAACGTATCCTTATCCTGTCGCACCCTCCGTCAGGTGAAGCCAGTAGAGACAGCACCATGGAAGCTACCAACTTTGCAAACCGCCACGACATGCTGGGGGTCGGAACCCACACGTCTCCTACACACGATCATGCCACGCGCCAGACCAACGATATATACGAGAACACCGTGAGCCCAGGACCAACGCTGCGCGGGGGGTCTGGCACCAAGACTCGTGACTTCGCACAAGGGCAAGACCCAGGAAACAACTCCTCTTCGCCCATCCATAGTTCCGCCCAGCAGGCAAGGACGAATACCGTCCAGGCCACTGAGATAGGCGACCCAGATGGCCGCATCCCCACTGCCCAGCAGACACATCACCAGCTGGGCGCTGCTCGAGATGCCCTGGCTTCCGTGCGGAGGAACAACCCCAACGCTTCGTCCACCACCACCACCCACGGCCTACCTCGCCCCCAAACGGGCGCCACAGACGCCGGCGTGCCAACTTCTCAGCGCGCACATCGAAACAGCAACTACGCTCCCGGCTACGAGGGCGCCGCCGACGCCGTCAAGCACAAGTCGCACAACGCCCAAGACCATCGCCCGTCCATCCTTGCCCATGAGCCTGTCACCCCTTTGACCGAGGTGCCGCCAGACCTGGACGGCACTACTGAAGAGGCCGCAGGCCCTCCAAGCAGAGCACCGGGGGCGATCCCCGGTCCGAGTATTGGCCAGAAGGCCAAAGCTCATCTTGACAAGATCCATGTGAGTGACGGGTCATTGGCCTGCATGCGGTCATCATCACCCCGCTGACATAACCCCACAGGGTGCTGGAGAGGTGCTCCGGGGAAACCTTGCTGCCGCCGCCGACAGCTTGACCGGAGACAAGGACAAGCAGGCTGAGGACGAGGGCGTCGTGAGGAGAGGCCAGGAGGAGTTCACGAACGGAAGGTTTGACAGGGGCCAGACGTCGCAGGTCGAGCACTAGAAGAGGGAACCCGGTCCTGATCCCGGTAGAAGCTATATACAAAGGATTCAGGGTTTCTTTGCTTGGGTTCATGGCGCTGGAGAAGCTGTCCGCGGCAGGATCAACGCGTGCGTCGCCGAGTTGGTCGGGGACGCATCGACTCGGGATATCGAAGAGGAGACGGCGAGGAGAGGCAAGAGGGAGATGATCAACCAAAAACGCGAGTGGGCACCGTCACCCTAGATCACGAGGACAAAGGGGGTGGTAGAAGGAGGGAGAGAAGTCACGCCTCCGACATGTCAACCCTCTTAGCCAACAGATATACCTAACAGGCTGTGAATGGAGGTTATAGCAGGGAAATCGACCAGGCGGTGTATTGTGGTAACTGTCTCGGTGCTGAATCAGACTCGATCACTACCTACCTACCTAGGTACCTAGGTACACCTGCTCATTTTACACACCTAGAGCCACAATTACATCTTACTCAAGCTCGCTTGGCCATGATAAGTGATTCGTTTCTAATGCCCATATGTATAAAGTGTATGTGGCGCCTTAATAGAGCGGTAACTCTCAAGACCCGGTGTTTTAAAAAGACACAATTCCAATAACAGTATATCAAAAAAGTAATTGGTGGGAATTCTCAGTGTACCTAGGTAGATGCTTCTGTGATGGCATTCCAACGCCGCTTGACCTTCTTCTAATCTGTTGGACTTCGAAACTTTCCCTCTTCCGGAACCTTGACAGACTGTGAATTCATTCTGATTAGTGTAAAACCAGAGCATATGCATCTTCATGCTTTAGCAGACGCCAACTCTATCGGGAGACGTTGTTTGAAGCTGATATTTGAGCTATGTGCTCTCATGTGTGAGGAACATTGCGGCACTGTTGGGGATGAAGATGCTCTGTGTACATATGTACAACCACCGTATGAAGGCGCCATGTATGTCCTCGGACGTATACGGAATAGAAGCGAAACCACACATACGTACAACGGCACCGGCCATTTGATAGTTAGGTACCTGGTATCATTTCGTAAAATGTTTCTGATAAAATTTGACTTGTGATATGAACCGTCAATCCTTGACTGAGGACATGCGTGGGTTGACCGAGAACATGGCCGTTGCATGATGTGTGCCATGCCATTGGCTACAAATCCTCAATCCATCTGATCTTGCTTTGAATAGGCTCATCGGGCCGGTAATCTCCCATTGGAAATAGTTGAAGCCGGGTGTTCCGTAGAAAGCAAAAATAGTTCTCTATCTACTATGAATCAACATTCAACACAGAGATGATATGTATGAAGGTCCCTTTAGCTACCTGCGTGATCAAACAACAACCTTAGTACAGGCCTGTCTTAATGAGACGCCTAATCCCCGACTCCGCAGACCCACATGGCATCACTTTGTGTGATTTACAGCTCACCTGGGCAGAGGTCACGAGATTCTATTTGGTTTCGTATCGGCCCTTTCGTACGCAGAGACACATCACTTTAATTCTTTTTTGCTTCTTTTTATATTTCTACTTAGATTGATAGCTACAGCAGAGCTTTGTGTGAAACCAGCGGGATCGATGAATGGGGCACAAATGGATAAAGTTGTACGGTGGGAGCTTCTCCGCGTCTAATCAAATCCTGTGGAAATTAGATTTTCGCACCTGCACAACGGAGGGTACATCTGTGAAACTACAGCCCCATGTGGACAAATTGATAGTTATGGGCTCGTCGCTGTTACCCTGGTAGTTTAGTATTCCATCGTGGTCTATGACTCCTATGGGATCACATCCTCTGTATAGACTCCTACAAGATGACCTCCCCTGGGCGAACCTTCCGTCTTTGCGGGCGTGAATCTCCGATCGAATACTTTAGCCGTCATCAAATGCCTAGGTAGTAAGGACAGGTATGGGATTATTGGCGCATTGCCAGCCAGCGGCTGAACGGCTCGGATAGAGACTCGAATCAATCGCCACCCGAGCTCCTGACGTCGTCACCATGTCCTGGCTGACTTGTGAAGCCGCGTTCGAGATTATGCCTTGTCATCGCGCCTCGGGTCCGTCTGATGAGAAAAGTCGTTTCATCGCATCCAATGTCTGCCAGATCCGCTGCGCACCAGTTGACTTGATTGCACAGCCCCCGGTCCAGGCGTCCCGCCCCGTCAGTGTGTAGGGGACCACCAGCCTACCCTAGGAAAGGAAACTTCTTGAGAGGGCAACAAAGCTTACCCGGCACGCTGATGTTGTCTGGAAGAAGCACATGCTGCCGGACAGCCGGATTTTCGGACGCCTTGCGGGGACGTGTCGAACGAGTGGGGATCGCAGACATGGGACCAAACCAGGGCTAAACCGAGCGTTATAGTGTGTGGAGTTGTAGTCCGTGGCGAATGGATTGAAATTTCGAGGATTTTCTTGAGACGAAATTCTATCATGTAATCCGATCACGACAACCACGTTATGGGTCTTATATGGCAGAAACCGCCTTGTGTTCGGGACAGTGTGCCTTTTGATCACCATCACGTCCCCCTGATACGAACAATGCCATAGGAACACTGGACTTCCAAAATGCTCGTCGGTCTATCCAAGCCCGAACTCATCTTTGTGAGGGTTTCGGCCGCGCTGCTGATCTACCCTGGCCTGATATGCTTCGCCTATTTCGTGCTGGCCGCCCTGGCAGGCGGCGTGCCGGCGATCGCGCATCCATTTTCGATCTTGATTGAAGTATACGGAGCCATCGAGATCCTCTGGTATGTCTTCTGGTTCCTGCCGTTCAAGCACCGGCTCCAGAAGCGCGGTCTCGTGCCTGCGCGGATGACGAAGGAGGAGAGAAAGGAATTGTTCACAAAGGGCATGAGCACTGCGCCGGACCTTGAGACGTATGTGCGTGGTTGGTTCAACAAGGCACACATGGAAGATAGCCGGAGGGACAACCTGAAAGAGTGGCTGCTCTGGAGTCTTTTTGGCCGGGACGGAAAGTTCGGCGACGACACAGCCGAGCTGGACGAGTATATCCAGGAGCTGGAAGAGCGTATGATGATGACGTTCAGGAAAGGACGAGGGGATGCGAAGGCGCTGAGATTGAGCTTCGACCCGATCAAAATGACACATCGTAGCCTGTTGTTTTATTCGGTAGGTCGTACACAGCACTTGAGCCCTCCCCCCTCCCCCCTCCCCCCTTCCCCCCAAAGGTGTTCAGATCATTGTACCTGGCTGACCTTGGCCAAAGATCACTGGCTTCGCCGACCTTCTCACGACACTGTTCCTCTTCTCCAGAGGCTTCAAATTCTACCGCCAACCGCGAAATACCTTTTTCAGTGTCTTCCCATTCCGACCCATGACCCTGTTTTCTTCAACCCAGTCCGTAGCGTCAGACATGTCCTATTTCTACCGCCCGCACACTTCAAAAAGGCAGCGGCCTATTGTATTCATTCACGGCATTGGTATCGGCGGTAAGTAGCTCGAAAGAGACCGTATGTTTGTCTGAGAACGAAAAGCGCTGCGATCCTCGATCTACGGGTGGGCTTCAGAGGTGCCCAGGTGGAGCCGAATCGGTAGTAGACAGCAGTACTGACATGATGCAAGTGACACCCTACCTCGTGTGGCTGAACTCAGTCCCCAGAGACGTGGGCGTAATCGCGATCGAGCTCCTCGCAGTGTCGAACAAGATCTGCCCGCCGATGCCGTCGTCGGGCGAGCTGGTGGACTCGATCAGCAAGATCCTGGCGCAGCACGGCACCGAGTACAACAGCTTCGTGCTCGTAGGCAACTCGTACGGGACGCTGCTGATCTCTCCGATGCTGGGGCGGGCCAGGCTCAGGGACAAGATCGACTCGGTGGTCCTGGTCGACCCGGTCTCGCTCCTGTTACACCTGCCGGACGTGGCGTGGAACTTCACGAGGCGGCGGCCGCGCACGGGACCGGAATGGGAGATCTACTACGGCGCCGCCACAGACCCGATGGTAGCGCACACACTGGCGCGCAGGTTCGACTTCCGCGACGCGATGCTGTGGCGCGAGCAGCTGCTGGGCCGGCGGGCGACGGTCATCCTAGGTGGTCGCGACTGTGTCACGCACCCGGCGGCGGTGGCTAGCTACGTGTACTATGGGGACGTAGAGATCCACGACTTCGCGGAGGAGCGCGCCGAGGCGTGGAAGGCCACGCCGGAGACGTGGACGGGCCAGTGGGAGCTGGAGCTGATGTACCTCGACGGCCTGGACCACGGGCAGGCGTTCCTGAAGCCGGGGTACGTGCCCGTCGTGCAGAAGGTGGTGGACACGTACTGTTGGAGGGATGCGCCGGGTGGCGAGTTCAGGAAGAGCGCCGGCGGGGGTTACGAGAGCGGTTGAAGGGTGTTCGGCAGATGGCAGATGGCAGAAGGTGCACTCCGGGGGTTCCTGTGGCGTGGTCTGAAACAGAAACGGGCAATCATAACGAGCTGCGAATAACCTCACCCCTGCTGAGACGTGAAAGCTGGCAGGCGAATCGGGACAGAGCTGTCAGTGGTGAACCGAGTTGCGGGAGGCGGCCCTACCAAGCAGCAACCAAGATGCCAGCGCCGATCACATGGATCAGCGAATCTGGAGCTGCGACGGGGGCGGTGCGAGACGGGAGATTGAGAGCGTGCAAAGCCCTGGCCTCGACTTTGTGGAGCGTGGATTGTTTACGCAGGCACATGTGTGACGGCATATGAGAGGGTACGAGGGCACGAGGGCACGAGGGCCGTCCGAGTGCCAATGACGTCGGGGCCCCTCGCATCGAATCTCTCACGGTGTCAATCTTCATCTTGGAAGAGGACCGTACTTGATCAGACGGAACTTGCCTATCAAACCGGGGCGAGCTGGCGGCCGGCGCGAAGTCGAGTCTCGGACTTGGGACCAGCAGGCAGGAAATCACAGGCAGCAGCAGCAGCAGCAGCAGCGATGGCACATGCTCACCGTCTGAATATTACTGTTCGTCTTGTTCTGGACAGGCCGAGGCCAAGGCCAGCGGGCGGCGCAGGTTGCACACAAGATGTGTCAAGATTTAGTTCAAGCCAGATAGATAGCAAGATGAGAGTGAGAGAGAGAGAGAGCTTGCTGTAATTAGCTGCCCACGAAGCAGCCTGGGCAGCCCGTAGTTGAACCTTGGGGTCCACAGGAAACCCTAGAGTGAGTCGCGGCTCGCTGTGCCAGTTTCGTTGCTTTCCACGACGGCGGTCCGGCGGCGAACCTGTCTGTGCCCAGGGGGCATCTGGTCTAGCCGGCTGACAAGCAGACAGGCAGACAGACAGGGAGTGAGCAGGAGGGAGGCAAGGGCAAGCACTCGAAACAAGCGACGCTCATGCAGCCCTGCAAGCGCGGATTCGCACAGATGAACGGCAACCTATTCGTGGCATGTTTCAGATGCACAGCAGCGAGGACTGCGAGGTACCGTCCTAGTCCTACCAAGGGCACGAGGGCACAAGGGGCTGAGGTTGGTTCCGCTGCAGCGCCCCCCGCCAGCTTGAACCCTTGAAACCCGGGGAGACGCAGGGGGTTCAGGGTGAGCACAGATGGACACTGTCCGCACTGACGCACTGCTTGCTGTGGTGCCGGTGCCGGTGCTGGTGCTGGTGCTGGTGCTGGTAATGGTGCTGAGGCTGAGGCTGAGGCTGCGGTGGTGTGTGTGTGCTGCTGGCAGCTGCTCCTGGGGGAGGACAAATCGACGATGCAATGCGACACGACGACAGACTTTGGCTGTCTGTCTCCGAGGCTGCCGTTGCACAGTCCCAGCCTGCTTATTTGTTAGTGTAAGAGTATACGGAGAGAACAATAGCCAGCCCATCACGGGGTAATGTGGTATTTGGACCAGTATCATGACAGGCGACAAGGACGGTCGGAACATTGTGCCCACCACAGCATGCTGCATTGACATGACACGGACGCTTGCCAACCCGGGAAATCGGGAAATCATGTCGGCAACCTTAGTTCTCCTCCTCCTGGTCGATGCAATCTGTAAAGCGATATCGAACCGACAGATCGCACTCATCTGGGGTGTCTTGCCCCTGCTTGTCTGCCCGCAATCTGCTCGGTAACGGGCAGTCGACTGAGCAGAATCAGGACTGGGTACTCTGTAGCCTGCGCGCCTGCGTGCCTGCGTGCCTTCGTGCCTGCGTGCCTGGCAGCCTGGGCGCTTTGTCTCTGGCGCCACGTGCCGTGGGTGGGGTATGCGTGGAGCTGAACCGCGCCCTTTCAATCTCCCGGGCGGGTTGTGTTCTAGCGCCGCGGAGGCATCGGGAGGCGATGGGGTCGCCTTCTACCCCGTACAGATTACATTGTTTAACGGGTGACGATGACGACTACAGCTACGAGTCCGGTATCAGGTAGGCAGGGAGTAGTAGTGGTAGTAGTAGTAGTAGTTGTTGTTGGTGGTCGTTCTCCTGGCCGCGTGTAAAGTGGTCGCCGTGGTGCTTGACTATACTCCGTACGTGCTCATCATGCCTTGATCGATGCCTCTCCCATTTCCCAAAGCCCCCCCCCCTTTGGACACACACTATTGCTCGGTCAATAGTCCACTGCCCACTGCACCGATCACATCCCACTGCATCCTATGGGCGGCGGCCCCCTTGCGTCTGTGATTGATTGGGTCTCCTGATTGGGCTAGCAGCATTGAAATGAGCATCTGGTGTCACGGCGATCCAAGCCGCATTGAGGGCGGGAGGGTGTGCTGGACCCTCGCCCCCGGGGCCTGCCCCCACAAGGGTGTCCCTCGCCGACCCTCCCCGAGGGCGCCCAAAAAAAGAATGCGTTTATATAAGGTTGCGATTTTGCAATACCACAATAGGCCTCAATAGCACGCCGGACGTGTCAACATATCGGATGCTATGCTGTCAAAGCGGCGGTGTCACCGTCAGGGACAGTCGGGGCAGACGAGGCAGCGAGGGCAGGCTACCTGGCTACCTGGCTACCTACCTAGCCAGGTACCAAGGGCACGTAAGTACTGTACCCAGGTACTTAGCCTGGTCGATAACATGAGAGGCGGTCACGGGGGCGTGGGAGTGCGAGTGACAAGTTGACAAGTACAAGTGTGTGGCGTACAGCAGAGTTCAGACTGACTGGCCAGACCGCACGGCGCAGCGGCGTGCAGCGCAACAGTTTGTGTGGTGCGTGGTTAGCCCATGGGGGTTTCTCTGGCAGTCGCCTGGGTGCTGGTGAGACGAAGCGATTGGCCACGAGGCCGAGTTGGCCCAGAGCATCTCGCATGCATGCTGCATTAGGGCTGGCCAAATCATCAGGATTTGGCGCTATTCCGTGCAGATTGGGGGACCCGACTCGACTCTCCGATCAATCACTGCCTCCCGCTACCCGCTCTGGAGGCGCACTTGCCTGCTCTCGAGGTTCGATTCGATGCATGCTTCGGCTCGACGGCGAGGGCGAGGGCGAGGGCGAGTGCGAGGCGGAAAGGGAGGGGGGCAGGCAGGCCTGACAGACGCCCGTTGCTGTCGCCCGTTGCTCCCGCTTTGGCTATTGCTGCTGATGCTCTGAACCCCCAACGCTCGTGCCTTTGTGTCGTGCTACCTGGGTACTGTGTGCGCTGGGCTCGGTCGTGTCGGCTCTTAATGCCCTGGATGGCCCCGGCCTCTTCAGGTACACGGAACCTTGAGCCTGCGCGAGGCTAGTGCCAGCCGTCAGGTACACACTACTTCTGCATGCATGCATGCCATGGGATGCAGGCCTGCGCAGCGACAAGTGTGGGGAAGGTCTCAGGATAGCAGCTCCTGCAACTCTGGGAGGATGGTTGGTGGTGGGCGGTGGGCGGTGGTGGGCTGGCGCTGCCTTTACTGGGTCATTGTTGATGCCTCCAATCCACTGTCGATCAGATCAGCTCTCCGCCCACCACCACCACTCACTCCCCTGGAGCCCTGGTGGTGCACGCAGCCCGCCCGCCAGCCCGCCCGCCCAGCCTGCCAGCGTCCTTCACAAGGCCCCAGGTTCTGGGCCCCCGTCGCTCCGCCGCCCACCCGAGCTGGGCCCCCTGCCCCTGCCCAGCCCAGCCCTGCAAGCACTCTGGGCACATTGCATCTCACGTCTCCCGCTCGAGTGACTCTGTCTGTCTGTCTGTCTGTCTGGTAGACTAGGTGCTCCGTGGTGAAGGTACTGTACTGTAAGGAGTGCGGAATGGTGTCGTGTCTGTGTGTCGGCTTTTTAACCTTTTCCTCTCGTTCCTCCATCTCTCCCACCTCCCCTGTCAACTCGCACTTCTTGCCTACCACGACCCCTTCTGTCACCCCTTCTTCTTTCGACCTTGGCGTGTCTGCTGCTGCTGTTGCTCATCGTCCTCCTCCTCTTGTGGTTCTCGTTGTTCGTCAAGACAATCTCGACTCCTCATTCATTTCCTCCCCTTGTACAATTGAATTCAGCTTTTGCTTTGACATCTCTCGCCTGGGAAAAAACCAACAACACACAAATCAAGATACCCCGTCATAGCCTCGGTCAACCGACGTCAAAAAAACATCGTCATTTCATCCCGTCCCACTCCATTCCAGCACGGCTTTTCCACCAGCAACACACCGAACTCTTCGACTGCGTCAACGCCTGGGCTATCTTGAAGAAGTCCGGTCCAATCCTCTGGGCTCTCGCAACGCACCCAGGCTCTATATCAACTGTTTTAATCACTGTATATTCTACGCTCGGCACCGTATTTATTTCATTTCTCCGGCTCACAGCCCTGGCTGCTGTCGCCTGCCATATTCCTGCGCCCTTCCACCCAACCAACCTATCAATCCATCTGATCCTCTTGGGGTCATAATCGATCGATCTCTCGGAGTCATCAGTCACTCCACAACCCCATCAGTGTCTCCGGACGACTACTCTCAGACCTCCCTGCGAAACCAGAGCCAGAGACTGAGAGGCTGAGAGGCCCGGCCGCCCACTCGCATCGGTCCAGCAAGAGTGGATTGTGGATTTGACTTGAACAGTGGTACCACCGTACGGGGTACTCGGGCATCGAATCGTATTGACCCTGTCCAAATCGAGCAGCCGCCAACCGCCGACGGACCCGCTTGGGCTGGAGCCAGTTAGCAATTCCGCAGGCACAAAGCACCTGCGTTGTCCTCCACTCCGAAAATTCCTTTCCATCACCTTTTTTTTTTCTTGCCCTCCCTCCCCTCCCCTCGTCATTCTTCATTTCGTCTCACCTCGCCTGTGGTGATCAAGAAAGCGTGTTGTGAGAACGCGGTTCGGGTCCTTTTCGACAAAGACGTCCTCGGCCTTTCCGTTCACAGCATTGAACTAGGACCCAGGCCTGCCCTGCCCTACCCCCTTGGCCTGACTTGCAAGGTCCTCCCAGTCTTTTTTTCCCTCCTGCCCGCACCCACCTGCGCTGCAAACCTTGCGCGCCTGCCGCTTGTGTGCACCACCGCCTCCCAGGCCAAGCAGAAACCACAAAAAGACCCGCCCGTCTCGTGTCAGCCAGCAAGGCTTTCCTGCCGGGCTTTTTCCCTTTTCCCTCGCACCTCGCATCGCAACCACCACCCTTTTTCCTTGACTCTCTTCCGCCTGGGAGGATTTAGCATCGCGACTGCGTCATTTGCCATTCTTTTCAGCAAGACCCTCAAGTACCTCACTTTAATATCATCGGCCTGTCCTTTACGTCGTTCTTGCTCTCGACAAACCAATCGCCCGATAGATTCCGCAGAGGAGAAAAAACACAGCAACAACCCGGCCTTTAATACCCCCGCCATCCCCATTCGAAAACAACAAGATCGGGTGACAGGCGCCTCAGCATTTCTTCACTTTCTCAATATTACCAGTCCATTTGGATTTTGTCTTTTCTTTTTGGGTCCGGCAACTTCGAAAACTTGCATCATTTCGCGACGAGTCAACAACCAATAGACAGGTCTTCAAAACCTCAGTGCTTCCCTTTCACCCAAGCACACTTCAGATTAATCGACACCCCTACGACCAAACGTTCGACTTTGGCGCAATACCATTCAATTGTCAGCTGTTTGATTGTATTTCTTCGCAGCCTACTGCCTCAGCTCGGAAGACAACGGTCTCGACCGCCGATTAATCACTCAACCCCCACCGGCTCTACCTGAACACGACCTGATCGCGTTCTCGACCACTCCCTCGAACCGACTCAAGGTAACCCACTCAAAAACCATTCGAGTACGAGACACTGGCGGTCTTTGCTCCAATGGCCCAACAAAATTTCCCCGCTCCCAACGGCTTTGCCATGCAGTCCTCGGGCCTCGCTTCTAGGCGAGGCGGGCAGTCTATCAAGCCTCTCTCGGTCGACGCCCTCAAGTCTCCTGTTGACTCCAAGGAGAATGCCATCCCCACGCCCCGAACGGCGCGCGGCCATCTCCTAGCGGGCCTGCGCACCGCTCCCAAGTCCGCCGCCGCGTCCACTTTCGCTGCCTCCGGCGCCAACACTTCCCCGACGAACAAGGCCAGGAACAACACTTCCTTGTACGGCGTCCAGGAGCACATGTTGAACAACGGGCCGAAGACGTCCCTACCCCATTTTGGTGCCCAGCAAGCTTACGCCAACAACAACATGGGCTACGCGCGCCAGAAGTTCACTCCCGAGCAGATCCTCGCCCCTCCCGAGATCCCCATCGACGAGCAAGCCGTGGACGAGCAGCTGGACCCTGACCTGTACGCCAAGCTGGTTCAGCAGAACTTGCAGCTCGCCCAGCAGCGTCAGATGTTGCAGCAGCAGCTGTATGACCTGACTCAGGCTCAGCAGCAGCTCAGTGCTATGAACCTCAACGGACAGCAGAGCTACCAGAACCTGTACCAGCAGCAGCAACTGCAGCAGCAGGCCCTGCAGATGCAGAGCATGCTCAACAACACCATGGTCAGCCAGCAGCCGACGATCTACACCTACATCGACCCGGCCACCGGACAGCAGGCCTACTACGTTGATCAGTCTGCGCAGCTGAGCGCGCAGTTCGCGGACCAGTCTCAGTTGAACAACATCTACCAACAGCGCCAACAAAACAGCGGGACCCCACGCGTGCAGGTCTCACCTCCGAGGGAGGCCGCGCAGCCAGTATTCCGCAGGAACACTCCTCCCCGGCGCAACGAGTCTCCCATGATCGAGAACCCGGCTCCTCTGCCCCCGCCATCAGCCAATGCTTTCCGACGGGGTCATAAGAAGTCGTCGTCTCTGATGCTCTCCGGCATCCAGAATGCCAACGCCAGCCTCTCTGCATCCCAGGAACCCCCCAAGTCTGCGGGCCCTAAGACTGCCAACTTCCCGCTCACGCCCATGACCGGAGGCTATGGGCCTGGTCAGGCGCGAGCCGGTGAACACCCGACCCGTCAGCCACGTGGTCCCCCCTCCATCGAGGAGCTCAAGGCCAAACCTTCTGCCAAGCACGAGGCTTCCAAGAACTTCGCTGCCCGCACCCGCCGATCAGCTATCAACAACCTCATGCGAGCCGGGATCGAGCGTCGCAAGGTTAGCAGCACTGGCAGCAGCGGATCCATCAGTCCCATCTCGGAGACGGCCGAGGAGGCTCAGGGCCTCTTGACGGACAACGAGTCGGAGTCTGGTCGGTCCGGATCCGGCAGCCTCAACGGCGAGGAGGTGGAGCCTAGCGTGCCCAGCTCTCGGACGAGCACTGGCAGCTGGGGCGCGATAGGATCAGACCGTCCCAGCTCGCGCCAGAAGGCTCGGAAGAGCGCTGACAGCGTCAGCAGTGGCTCTGGCGACGAGACGGCTAGCAATGGTAGCTTCGCCAGCGTCTTCAAGCGGACGGGAAGGGACGGGAGATCCGACAGCCCCAGTCAGAGGAAGTCTGCCATGATGGTATTGACATGCGCAGAGAAGCGCAAGAACGGTGTCATGCTCTCATGATCCGCAAGCCGACTGGAGACGCCAACAGCCTTTTACTTCGACACACTCCCTCTTCCACTTACGTAGTGACGATTATGGCACCACTTTCGCCACCACCCGACGCAGAACTCGCCCCAGCATTCTCTTGAGGTCGATCCTCCGCTGACGTGCCTGGATGCGGGCTCATCATGAAAATGAAGGGGTGGATGGACATGGGTGGCAGCTACGAGTTTTCCTTCTTCCTTTTGGTTTCTTTTATTCTGGCTCGGGGCCTTTTGCGCCCCGAGCACCCTGAGTTTGGCCTTGTGGCCTCCACCTCTATATCGAGGCTATTGCGGGGGTTTGGCATTTCACGCTCTGCTGTTATCGATCTCAGCAAGACAGCAGGCTATTTCCAGAAAGATGGGAATGGTCTTGGCTTGATCCCATTCTATTCAATCATTTACGCACGTGGCTACGGTGGAGGAGGAAACATACACGTTGAGTCAAGCACACAACTCAGTTGACGGGGGTGGGCTCTATCAAGACTGGGTGCAACGAGCAGCTAACGCGCTGTTTCTCCCGCGAGTCTTCAGGCTAGGGTCGGTGTGACATCCAGACTGGAATAGTGATGGATGACTGGGGGGGCTCTCTCAAGCCGCAGAGTGGTGAGGCGTCATGCCCTGACTTGTCCGTCGTTTTACCCGCACCATAGCATTGTGCGATGTATCTAGGTAGAAATACAGAATTCAAGCCGAGGCCTTGAGCCAACACCTGGCCTCCCCGCGACGTGAAGATCGATGTACTGTCTGCAGTAATTGTCGGTTCAAGCCTTCAGACCGCCCATTCCCTTCATCATGGCCTCTAGCCGCCTGAACGCCGTCTTCTTCTCATCATCAATATGGCCCCACCTTTGGCTCATCTCCTCTACCATGATTTCATTCTCGTTCTCGTCCCATCTGTCCATGGCAGCCCATGTCTCGTCAATGAAGGCCTTCAGGGGCATTCCTATCTGGGCCTGGCCCGCAGCTACCAGCTCAGGCTGGAGCTCGTGCAACTCTGTCTGAACTGCGGGCGGCAAGATATCCTTGGCAAAGGGTGTCAACTTTCGATGAGAAACAGCCCATAGGAGGGGAATATACATGTATGTATATGTAAGGAGGGGGGCGGCCGGGCGGGCGGTTGATGAACCTACAATGACACGGACGTGCTGGGTGTTCGTGCTGGACTGCATCTGGGAGCGGAGCGAGAGGCCAAAGTGGTGCAGTGCCGACTTTGTGGAGCAGTAGTTGGCGCATCGGGCCAGGGGCACGAGGGCGAGACCGCTGGTGACGAGGATCACAGAGGCGGGGGTTGGGGAGGAGGCACCAGCACCACCACCCAGCGAGATGAGGTGCGGGAGGAAGGCGGTTATGGTGAGCAGCGGGGAGGTGTAGTTGGTGTCGACCTCGCTGGTGATCTTGGAGGAGAGTTCCTCGTACGAGGGGTTGGTGAAGTCGAGGGTGCGCTGGATGCCTGCGTTGAGAATTATGGAGGACAGGGTTGGGTACTCCTTGGTGATGCTGTTGGTGGGCAAATCAGTTGCTTGAGACTCGAGACTTGGTCGATGCCCGCCACCACGCACGCGCGCACCCTCTCTTTCTCTCTACCGGCATCTATCTCCATCCCGGAGCCTTACCGTTGAGCCCATGGCTGGATCTCGGCTGTCTTGGTCAGGTCGAACTCCTCGGCCACGACCTTGTCCCGGCCGTACCTGGCCTCGAGCTCCTGTAGGCGTTCCTTGCGCCGGCCGACTGCGATGACGAAGACGCCGTTCTCTACCATCCGCTCGGCCAGCGCCCGGCCAATGCCGGCTGTGGCGCCGGTAACGAGGACCGTCTTGTGGGGGAAGGGCATGTTGTCGGGTTATGTTCAGCAGAGTGAGAAGCAAATGTGAACAGAAATGTTGTAGGTTCTGAATTAAGATGTGAAGTTACCGCGGCGATACCACTTGTTTCACCGGCGTTGAAACGAACCTGGACATGGGTGTCTGTCAGTGTGGGAGGGGGGGTAGCCGGTGACGTCCACGACAAGTCGACCAAAGCCGTGATGCGCTTTTCTCTACAGAACCGCCCTTCATCAACGATCCACTAGTTTCTCTGTGTACGAGACTGTTTCTCTGACCTGGTTATGGCTCCCTCGGCATTCTTCACCTTGTACGCATGCACAACCCGCCAGGCTGCAATATCAAACCCAGCCCGGTATGGTCTCATGTACCGCCAGTTTTCTGCACGTAGAACTTCAATGCACGCCAGCAAGTCTTGGCTTCTATGAGACGCACATGGCCAGTATGAGTAGGTGCTTTTGTAGAGGTAGGTGATACCAAGCCGGTCCATTCCAACCCATCGCGTACGTTCCGGTGAGGGCCCAGAGTGGTGTCAATTGGTCACATCCCGCCATTACATAGGTACCTGAAATGAAATGAGATGATATGCGATGTCGACAGCATTGAGTGGCAGGTACCAACAGACAGTTAGCTCTGTTTTCCCCCCTTTTGGCCTGGCACAGGCTTCGGGACCCGATACCACGGTCAGAAGAGGCTGAAAGTAATCCTGGTGGAACCGGTCGTTGCCGCGATGCCTTTGCTGACGAGATGGATTCGGATGCGGCGCAGCTGAAATGAGAGTCTGGATCAACGCTCATTTCGACCCCAACGGGTGGCGCCATAACGCCCAATCAGCGACTGGGGCCTCGTAAGGAACAGTTCCAGGGCCTTGGCTTCTACTTGTCCTGTATGTCTTGTCTTCTCTTGCGTGTTGCAGATTCTTGTCTCAGCCCGCCAAAGGTCGCTTCTGACCTGCCCGCAGTCCCGACCGCAGACATGCCCAGTCTTTTGATACCCGCCGTTTGCGTTGTCGGCTCTGGTACGTAAATGTCCACCTACACGGCTACATTATTGTTCTCTTGCCTGACAACTCGCACACACAGGGCTATCTGGCTTGGCCACACTCAAGGAATGCCTTTCAGAAGGATTCGAGGCGGTCTGCTTTGAGGCTCGCCCCGAGATTGGCGGGCAGTGGGCTCACCAGCCCGATGTGTCGCCGTCTGATCCCGCCGGGAGCGTGCAATCCTCGATTTACGATGGCGTAGTGCTCAACTCGTGCCGTGACACTTCGGCACTGACCGACTTCCCCCTGGATCCATCAAGGTATGGGGACTACTTTGGGCATAGGCAGCAGCTGCAATACATGAACGAGTACGCGGAGCATTACGGCTTGAGAAAACACATTCGACTGAGCACGCGCGTGGTCGGTTTGGAACAGAGGGAAAACGGGTCATGGACCGCAAGAGTCCAGGAGGGAGGTAGAGACGATGTCAAGGAGTACACCTTCGACGCGGTGTTTGTCTGCGCCGGCCACCTCTCCAAGCCTTCTGTCCCGGAATTCAGAGGGCGCGATGCCTTCCGGGGCGACTTCATGCACAGTCACTTCTACCGCCGCCCAGGCCCCTTTGATCGCAAAAAGGTTGTTCTGGTTGGTTTCGGGAGTTCCGCGGTAGATATCGCCTGCGAGATAGCACCAGGCGCCGAGGAGGTGCATGTCGTTACCCGGCGAGGGGGCTGGGTCCTTCCGCGTTACGTGCTTGGCAAGCCAACTGAAGCATTTGACAGTAAGTGAACATCATGGTAGGGGTCTCGTACCTGGAACTCAAAGCTGACCGTTTCTCGAGACCGTGCGACGCAGGTCTGGATGCCGACAGGGGCATCTCAGTGGCTGCAGACGAAGCTTCTACAGATCGTCGAAGGGAAGGCGCCGGAGGTAATGCAACCTTCACATAAGATCCTCGAGCAAAGCCCTACCATTCGAGGCGACTTTACCGAGAAGGTGCGCACCCAAGTGATCAATGTCCACCGAGGCAGCGTGGAGCACCTGACCCAGGACGGCCTTGTCGTCTCGACCGAGCGAGGCGAAGAGGAGCTCAAGGCGGACGTGATCATCGCCTGCACTGGGTATGACCAGTTCGACCACCCCTTCCTGCCCAAGGACCTCATCCGGAGCCCAGAGACGCCTGAGAACCGCGTTGACCTGTACAAGCTCATCGTCTCGCCCCGCTACGACAACCTCTTCATGATGGGGCTCGTCGAGCTGGTCGGGTCGGCCGCGCCCGCGTTCGAGGCACAGGCAAGGTGGGCGTGCGCAGTGGTCTCCCAAAGGATCAGGCTCCCTTCCAAACCCCAGATGCTGGAAGAGGTGCGCGGATTCCAGGCCTGGCAGGAGAAACACTTCCTCGGCACAGAGCGCCACGCCCTGATTGCGCACGGCGTGCAATACAGTGACGACTTGCTCGAGCCGCTGGGGGCGGTGCCGTCATTCGGAAAGTGTCTGGGCAGTGTCTTTACGAGCGGGCGTCCTTGGAGGGCGCTCAAGGTCTTGAATGCTGTCTGGTTTGGGATTCCCAGCGGTGCGCAGTGGAGGTTGTTTGGGTATGGGGCGAAGAGGGAGCTGGCCGAAGAGACGTTGCTGAGGATTGGCAGCGAAGGGAAGGCGTTGAGCAAGGGAGAAGTCGACCAGCTCGCTTCCAAGTCATTTGTCAACATGTCCGGTAACCAAGACTAGGTAGTTCGTGGTTCGGACCTAATAAGTGCTCAAGCATGTAGCCCGGCGAGTTTGTTGATAATCTGTGTGCATTTATTTGACAAGGGAAAGGGGGCTACCTAGGTACCTAGGTTGCCAGGGTTAGGAGCCATCATGCCCGTGTCTTGCAGACGCGAGATGGACCGCGTACCTAGCTCTCGTCGTCCGCGCCGGGACCGTGTCGGCATGGCAGTTTCTCCAGAGCCATCGGCGAGCCAGTTGCACAAGCGCCCAAGATGTCGAGACGAGCGCCGAGAGGAGAATACATCGAGACCGTTTGTCCCCTTTGACACCACTTTCTTCCCCCCTCTCGGAATGTTGTCCTAATCCCGAGTCGCATCCAGGACACCGGCAACAAGGTGGCTCGCAAAGCTACCCTGGTCGGCACCCAGAACATCATGCTCGGCGGCAAGACCGTCATCCAGCAGGAGGTCATGATCCGCGGCGACCTCGCGCGAACCGCCAGCAGCTCCAGCGGGGGCGCCCCGGCAAACAACACCGCCGTCGCAATTGGCAGGTACTGCTTCCTCAGCAGAGGCAGCTGTCTGCGCCCTCCAGGGCGCATGTACAAGGGGTGTGTCTCTGCCCTGTTCCCACCTGCCTGCCCGCCCACCTCTTGCCCTGCCCACAGAGTCTGACCAACGCATTGCATGGCAGTATCTTCACCTACATGCCTCTCCGCATGGGCGACCACGTCTTTGTCGGGCAGAACACCGTCGTCCAGGCTGCCAGTGTCGGCTCCCACATATACATAGGCAACGACGCGGTCGTCGGCGAGTTCGCCATCATCAAGGACTACGTGCGCATCCTCGACGGCTCCGTTGTCCCACCCAACATGGTCATTCCGAGCTTCAGCATTGTCGCCGGCCAGCCGGCCAGGGTCATCGGCGAGATCCCCGAGGGCGGTCAGGAGCAGTTCGAACTGAGGGAGCTATACAAGACCGTCGGGAACAACCCACAGCCTCCTGCATGACGAACGAAGACAAGCCGAAAATCGATCGATCCGCCTCAGACTCTTGGAGGATTTCCATGAGTCTATGGGTACCTAGGTAGTCACCCAGGCTCGAGCCGCGCCATAACCAAGGTGCCACCTCCTGAGACGGCCTCGATGGCTCTTTCTTCGCCGCGGGCGCCCTGAAATATCCCATGGGACCTTTTGAGCCAACATCCAGGTCGTATTCATCGCTCAACAGTCGGTTCAAACCGCCTAGCAGCCTCACCACGGTCATGGGTGTTGTCTAAGGCGCGCCATAGAACCCGCCGCTGTATGGAGCATCGATACATCCAGAGCAATGAAGACCAGGCGGGAGGCGTCGACCGGACTCTGCTCAGAAAGAGCGGTATGGCACGGTCCAAGGAAAGCCCTGAGTCACTCACAGATATATCTCGGATTCCCACCAGAGCTATCGGGATCCGCAGCATGCTCTTCGAAGCGAGCCAAGCGCTGTACCTTGCTAAGCCTCTGGGTTAAGGCAGAAGACTCTAGATGGTCAAGATCCCTCGCTTTATGTCCATCCAAAAACACAAAGCACAGCGTTGAAGGCTTCTATTCCCCTTCAATCTGCTTGGGAAGCCTTTTACTATGTACTCCCGTCATGGCTATTGCGTCCTATCTCTCCGCCTCTTTGCATAGTGCTCCTCCTTCGCAACATACCGCGCCCCAAGGACAATTGCCGCTTCTGACCAACGGGGAAGCACGAGGAACTGGAGCGGGATTGATCTTGACTGCCGTGGGTACCAGCGGAGCTGAATAGTCCCATGTGGTTGTATCCTCGTCCCATCCGGCAGCATTATCCAGGTCTCTCCATCACCATCCTCATGGGGCTGGACCAACTCCAAAAGGCCCAGCTCACTAGCACGAAAAGTAGTCATGAAATTGAAGGCCTGGTCGGGCTTGATCTTGGCCACCACCGCTATCTTTTCCCCGTCCTGGTATCTGATATGCCCTTGCTCTACCCGCTCCTCGGGAGACGCCACTACTTGGAAGGGCTCTCTTGAGTGTACGCCAATAAAATCGTCCTCACTGCGGATACTTGGGCTTCGGAGACGGACCAGATCTCGCGATGGGCCGTCGTCTGGCCCCGCCATCCTCACAGCACTGCTTTCTGGCCCCTCTGGAACAGAGGACTGATTTCCCGATGATGTCTCGGATGGGTTCGGAACACGCCTGTTTTGGGGGCGCTGACCGGGTGGTATTGAGTGGTCATCCCGACGAAGACTGGGGTGTAGCCCCCCCTGAAATCTGCTTTCTGGTGCTCTTCGGGTGCTTATTTCCGATGTAATCGGACTCGGGCTCGGCCTCTGGCTCGGCCTCGGTACTCGAATTGACAGTGGGACCGTTTCTGTCCCGACGAGTGTCCCGGCCATGTCCAGGACGATACTTACTTGGACTTTGATGTCCTGTTGCTGCAGAGAAGTTGTCGAGCGTAGGTGGTCGACCCCTTCGATCCTAGCCGATGCGCTCACCCGACTTCTGCTCAGCCTCTTTATTTCCTTTTGATTGTGTTTAATTCCTCTTTTGTAATAATTTCTGTATGAGGCTAGTTAGTCTTCTTCCTTGCGCATCTATGGGAAGGGTGCGACGTGCATCTTGAGCTTATCTCTTGGCTCTTTTTTCAGGATTTCTTCCAGGAAAACACAATCCAACAGCATGTGCAGGTTGGCTCGAAAGAATTCCATGTCCTCCCGCAAGTCATACATTTGGTCTTTGATAAAATAGCGCCAAATAATCGTTGCCAGAGGCACCCATTTGTTCTGTAGGCTGTCGATTGTTTCTTTGAGTCTGTCAACTAGAGCACCGAGGCACTTCGATTCTGTTCTCATGTATGCAGCAGCGTTATGGCTTTCTATGAATCGAATGACGTCTGGTCGCGGGGCTGCCGTATCTGCCGGGCAGAATTTCAAAAGGGTGCTTTGCACTGTCTTGATGGAATCAGCAGCGAATGATATCCGGCCCATCATCCGTTTCGTTTCTTCGTCACGATTTCTCATATCTCTCACAAAGGAACTTGTGTGCCCGACCAACTTAAGTACGGTGTTTGCAAGGCCAGTCAGTGCGACGACACTTGCTACAAGTCCCACTGCCTCTGCCATCGTGACTCGTCTGGGGAGAGCTGAAAGAAGATGCAAAAGACACGTGAACCCGGTATGTTCCTACGAGCATGAAGTTCATAGATGTACCAGACTGACCCGGAACTCGATGACTGTTATATTGGCAAGGCTCTGTTCACAGCAGGCTGCGGCTCAACTCCCCTGAGAAAGTTCCAAATGTTTCCACCCCGTGAAGCTTGGAGAAATGCCAAGGGGTTGTAATCCAACACCTCAAATCTAGCTACACCTCTGGCCACACTCAGGGAAGTGGAAAATCTGGTGGCTCTGCCGCTTTCTTTCTTTTTTTCAGGGGTCGAAGGGGGGGCCATCTGCGGTGCTCCCATGCGAACTCCGCCTGCCAGTCGGCCTTGATGCATTAGATCATGGACGATTTGGAGAAACTGCGAATTGAATCGACCGGGGCGACACCAGGAAGACTGTTCTCTTTGGTCGGGCTGATGTGCAGACCAATCCTGGGTTGGAAAATGCAGGTGTCCGCATGCAGAATGCAAGCTGCCAGTGCTACCACACCTAATTTTCAAGCCACGACTGGACCATACACCATCTTCCATGCGGCCGTATTCTGGTATCAGTATGGCGGGGCTCTCCTGCCATACCACACTCACAACCGGTAAAATATAGGCAAACCGTGCGGAAGTGGTGTGGAGACTGCGCCTGCTGTTGCGTTGCCCAGCATGTGGTGAACGGGGAGAGCGAATCTCACGACCCTTTTGAGGACCATTTTCTGACGCACGCATGTAGCCCACAGCCGCGTGAGTGACCTGTCTGAGCCTACTCAGGATAGACCATCTTCCGTGTCACTCCGCCGTCGACGATCATCTCCGTGCCCGTGACGAAGTCTGCCTTAGCGAGGTACTCAACCGCCGCGAGAATGTCGTCTACCTTGCCGACCCTCCCATTCAGGTGCCACCTCTGATCGTCCTGCGACAGCCCCTCCTCCCATTTGGTGCCTTTCTCATCAGCCTCCTTGCACTCGTTGCCCACGTGGATCCACCCCGGCAGGATCGTGTTCACCCGAACGCCTACAGGCGCAAGGCTCACGGCCATACTGTGCGTCAGGCCGATAAGGCCGGCCTTGGTGGCGGCGTAGCCCTCCGAGTCCGGCTCACTCTGATATGCGCGGGTGGAAGACATGTGGACGATGCTTCCGCCATTTTCGCGGCCACGGTCTGGCTGCTTCTTGAGCATGGGCAGGCACGCCCTACTCAGTAGCAGCGGGGCCGTGAGGTTCGTCTCCAGGCTGGCGGCCCAGGATGCCATGAACTGCTCGTCGTCGGAGTCGATGATGCTCGAGCCGCCGACCGCCGACGTGAAGGCGGCGTTGTTGATCAGGACATCTAGGTGATCTGCAAAGAACTCGGAGGCCGCCTTTGCGGCCCTGTCTATGTCGGCTGGGTGGCGCAGGTTGCAGTGCAGGGCGCCAAAGAGCCTGTGTGCGTTGGAGGCAGATAACGCAGAAGATGCAGAGCCCGTGAGCGTGTCGCATGTGTGACGCAGCTCTTCCTGGTTATTGTCTACCAGGAAGACGCGATGGCCTTTCTGCACGAGCAGCCGGGACAGGCCTCGACCTATGCCGCGCCCGGCGCCCGTGATGAGAAAGTGTAGTGGTTTTCTGGGGCTCGCCGCCATTCCTAGAACTCACTCGAGATGGTCCCTCGTGATCAAGGCAACTCGTCGCATGGCGAATCTCGAAGGGTGTTGATGTATGTACTCGGTACAGTCGATTGTTCGTTGCTTTGAAGTACCTAGGTACCTAACAAGCAGGCTTACGCACGGGCCACAATGGCGCCTTCTCCACATACTGTGGCCCGTGCAGTCAGGCCCTGGAATTGAGCAGTTGGGTTTGCAAACAGCTGCTCGTTGAATGGCGACTGCAAGAACATGGCAGAAGGCCCGGCTCGCTTGCCCACGCATTATCCACCGGGAAATCTTTGATTCCTATGAGGAGCCGAAGGCCCAGTCTGGGGATATCGTAAATGGCCTCACACCCAGCCAAACGTCGAAGGACCGAGCCCGGGCCGTCGCATGCTGGACATGCTCAACTGAGTGACCCATCGCCCGCCCCGGCTGCCCGTGTGACAGCACCGCACTCGTCACCAGCTGAACCCCATGCCACACCAACACGGCCTCCACGGCCGTTATCGGTCCCGGAGAACATGACGATGCCAGTTCACGAAGCTCTGGAGTATATAGACCCGCACGACAGCACCCCTCATGACCTCTACCTTGTCCTGATATACGCAGCTGCCGCGCACTCAGACGTCGCCGAGATGATGGACCGCTTCGCCTGCGTTCACAGGGACCGGGTTCTTCTCCAGCGTGAGATGCGTGAGCTGCCAGCCACTACGGGATCGACGGCTCAGTTCGTGCCAGTCTTGCCCAAACCCCCTCGTGTCCGGCCCGGCCGGCCCCACGGCCCTGCGAGGCCTAAGGAGGTTATCGAGGCGGAAAAGGCAGACAAGGCGGCCAGGAAGGCGGCCAGGCTGGAAGCGCGAGCGGCCCGGCCTCCCAAGGTGAACAACCCAGCAAGGGAGAAAAGGCCGAAGCCCTCGGTACAGGACAAGGACTTCACCTACCTGGTCCGTCGAGCAGAGGTGGAACTCGGCAGCAACGGCAAGTATGATGACGATAAGACCGTCCTTAGGCAGGATTGGTCTCAAAAGAATAAGAGACAGTATTGGCAGGAAAAGGCCGTTGAGGTGAAGGCCCATATGATGTGGCTGCAGGAGCAGATCCTGCAGAACATGACGGACCGTGAACGTCGGCAGAAACAAGGGGTAATTGTGGATGCTGCTACATTTGGGACCAAGAAAAACGGCTTGGTTGCGATGAAGGACTTGTTGCGCACTATCTTGGTGGACACAGGGGAGCTTGGGAGACAACTCAGAGTGAAGTGGTTCTCTGAATTTCTGGAGAAATTCAAACAGGCCATCTGTCTACTGAAACCCGAGGAATCAGCGGCACTGAGACAAGATAGAGAGTGGAGCAAAGAATTGAGGTCACTTACCGCGGTGCTGCGAGAAAGGGGGTTCACAGAGGAGGGATTGGATGGCGTCCTCACGCAGATCGCTCCCGACGCCACCATTGAAATTAATTCAAGTAGTGACGACGGCGAGGACTCGGATGTCTTGGTCAGCTTGAACGGATCTGATGAAGATTCCACATACGAGACTGACGAATCTCTGGTCGGAGGGCGATTTCTCGAACAGGTCCATTTTGAACGATGCAGTGAATCAGAAGCAGAGAGCTCCGAAGAAGAGACTTCTGATATATGATAGTGACTACACAAATTGAATTCAGCATCAAGAAATATCATCTTCAGAGGTATTACTCTCGCTTTTAATGTCTTTGTAAGCTAGCTGATACACAACACCTGCTAACTCTCATCGTCAAGTTCTAGTGAGCGGCGCCGTCGGGAGCGATGCCTTCCAGCCTTGTCTGTGCGGCACGAGGCAGAGCCACGTGCCCACTTACTGTATTCCAAGGTTCTCTTTCCACTGTTATTGGCACTGTATTTTTTTAAACACTAGGTCTTGAGTGGGACTCTTGCAAATGAAACAATGACTTTGGAGTTTACCCAGTAAGAAGCATTTCATAGCATGAGATTCCCGGTGCCCTTTGAAGATTGAATCATTTAACATCAAGTCCACGTCGAAGACCAAAATTCTTACAATACAATATAACTGTCTATATTCAGTGCCTAGGTAATTGCTACAATACGTCCTCGACTGAACGCCTCTTGCTCTCATGTCCTTCATACCTCCATCGCTGCCAGGGCCGTTAAGTGTGGGTTTCCTAGGCACACCCACCTCACAAAACATGAGTTAACACGCTCAGAAGAAATATATATATGCACAACTGCATAAAAAAAGGTGCACTGAAATGATTTTCTTTTGGACGAAGCCGAAGGAGAAGGGGCTGTTCGTGAATTGCACGCGATATTTCGCGCTGTCTCTGGAGCTCGCGCGATCGCTGAGCGAATCTGGCTGCTTTATCGCAGTGGGTTGATTGCAGCACCAACGTCGTATCCCTTGATGTAACAATTGACCAAAGAGTCCTTGTGGAAACATCGATTACTTCTGTAGTGGAAGATCCTCTTCCGCTCGTCCATGGCCATGGTCAAACATTCAGCCCCGTAAGGCCATCTCACGTACTAGCAATACATTTCGAGTCAGCCATCGATCATCCAGGATTGTTTTGGTAGAGAATCACAGGGTATGGTTATCCAAGAGACGGTTCCCCACAAGACGATATCGCTTTCAATGCCATCTATAAGAGGCAGGGTCCTCCTGCGGGGAGCGGACTCGAGAAGGGGGGTCTTCCAAAGGAGCGGTCTGAAACCACACGATAGTTGTATAGCTGATTATATTTCAGAGCAGACAAGGCAGAGGGGTCGATGAAATCCCGTAAGCATGAAGAAAATGCGAGAAGATTGCTTACCGAGTCTCGGCTCAAATTTCCTCTCAGCACCTCGCGACGGAGGATCTCTACTGCCTCTGCCCAGGTTCCATCCAGCAAATAGACATACCAGAGCCCGAAGACGGCCGGCTCCTTTCTAGGAAGGTTAATAAAAGTGCAAAGCTCTTTCAGGGTGATGGAGCAGTTTTTCAGGTGGATGTTATGGTGCTTCTGCCAGTCAACCATGAGAGGCCCGATGGAGGTGCGTCTCGGATCATTCGTGCGATTTATGCGGTGGCAGTGTCTCTCTCGAAATGCAAAGTCCAGTGCCAATGTGTCCAACTTGCTTGAACGGGTGAGGACGGCTAAAAACTTCTCAAAATTGCGAATTTCTTCCCGGCTCCGAATTCTCTGAACAGATGTCGAGCGTTCAGCCCCGATGGCGAGCCTGCATGACTTCAAGCTTCGGGCAAACGACCTAAGTTGGGTCCACTCGAAATGATCGAGCTTCAGCCCGAGGTACTGCGGAGGTGTCAGGTCGAATCTGAGGTGAGCGAGTGAGGAGCCTGCATTGTGGATGGCCAGCAGGATCAGATGGAGCAGATAGGTGGGTGGGTGTTGCACGGACTTCTCCGCCGCCTTCCGCCAGGAGAAAGTGTGTATCATCATCTCTTCGACTAGACGGGTGGGATGCTGGACCAGAGTGCTCATCTTGTGACAAAGGCTGGGGCTCCAGAGATCCTCGTCAGCGGTGCTTCTTGACCTGTCCGTGATGACCAAATCATTGAGGAAGGCCATCCTGGATATCGCTGAAGCAATGCCATCTGAGAAACGCCAATTGAGGAGGACCATCTGTTGCTGATCATACAAATCTTTATATCGCAGCCAGCCATTGTGTAGGGCACTGATGTGGTCGTCATTGAGATGCGCGGTTCCGTTGTAAGGATCCTGAAAAGACTCGAGGAAGCAGCGCCAGGAGCGGTGTATTTCCTCGGCTGCTCTGGTTATGACGTGCGCCCTGGGCAGATTTATGAACTCGGCGAGCTCCCTCAGGCAGTAAGTAGTGAAGCCCTGCACGTCACGAGCGAGCTCGGGGCTGTAGACATCAACCGAGACTATGAGACGACAAACGCCCCTTGAGATATTCGGGTGGCGAGAAACCTGATCGAGGCGCTCGAGCGATTTTGAGTTCGGACTGACGCGCAGTGTGTTGATCAGAAGGTGGGAGCTGGTCTCGTTGAGGCGTTTGGAGGAAAGTCGGAGACTCTTGATATCATCGCGGTTGAGGAGATAGCGGAAGACCCCCAGGAGTAGCTCGTCGGGTAGATCGTAAATGTGAACAGGCCGCAAGCCAATTTGGGCCTCGTCCAGTGTCCCAAGGTGAGACTGCCCAGTGGGGTCGTTGAGCGCACCAGCGACTTGCCCCAACTGCTCGCGAAGGAGAGGTGGCAATCGAGCCCGCCAACGGTCGAGCAGGAGGGCGGCTGAGACCATTGCTGCACGCACTTGAAGGACGGCAGGTTTTGAGACAATAGAAGCAGCGGGGTTTCTCGAGAGGTAGTCCAGGGGAAAGGCAGCTGACCTCGACTCGTCGACTGGAGTCAGGTGGGAAAGGTCTGGGTCCAAATGTTTTGGTAGTGGAGGGCGTGTTTGATGGCGCCACAATAAAATGTGAACGTCAAGGCAGTCGCTTACTGTTGCAAAGTAACCCAAGCAAACACATCTTTAGCACCAAACAAAGCAGAACCGCACTCTCATACATTGAAATTGACGTACGCAGCGGTTTGGCAACTACATGTCGTCATTTCAGAGCACTGTGACCTGCCTTCCTTTTGCTCAATTGACCAGATAGGGCTTGTTCTCTCAGGTTGTTCCAAAGAAGGCCTTCTGCGGGAGGGCTGCTTCCCAACCAAGAACACATGAACTTCTGAATACAGCGAGTATGTGGAGCGTCTAGGAAGAATAACACTGCACATGTCATGAATTGCATGTACAGTAACCAGTCTAGGTGCTGAGCTGCCGTTTGCGATTTGACTGCAAGGCGACAATGCTTTTGTTTTGCTTTTGCAAGGCCCTGGCTGGGACACCTTCCCAGATTGAAGGAGCAAGAGAGGCTTGAAGGCTACCTCGGTACCTACCTAGATATGTATATACAGAGATGACGGATTGAGGTCTGATGATTCATTCAAGCACAGTGTGAAAAAAGGTGATGCTTAACACACATATATACTGCTAGGGCTGCATTGATGCGTGTTGAACACATCAGCTCGGGTTTGAGCCCTCCAGGGCTCCTCTCCTCATGGTTCACCTGGCCAGATGGTATCTGCCAACTTCCTCACCAGCTTCAACTTGTTGATCATGTCCTCTCGTGTGACGCTGTTCCCCAGATGGTGGCTGGCGAAACCGCACTGAGGGCTGACGCCGATGCGCTTCAGCGCCTCCTCCCGGCTCTGTCCCGCGCCCTTGGCCACGAAATCCGCCGCCTGGTAGACCCGGTCCTTGAGCTTCTCAATGTCCTCTAGCTCGGGGAACTTGCTGGTGATGACGCCGAGGATGACATTCTTATACGGCGGCAGCTCCTTGAGGGGCTCAAAGCCGCCGGAACGGTCGGTGTCATACTCCAGGAAGTAGGTGTCAGCCTCGATCTCGTTGAAAAGCTTGGTTGCGATTCGGTCGTAGCCGCCCTCGCTGAAGTGCCGGCTGTAGGCGAAGTTCCCACGGCAGAGGTGGATGCCCAGGTGAAGGTCGTCGGGGCGCTGAGAGATGCAGTCGTTGTACAACTTGATGTAGCTATCGAGCAGGGCCTCGGAGTCCTCTCCAGCGTCCTTGAAGCCCTGGAGCATCTTCTCAGAGCAGAAGTCTTGTTGCAGTATTAGCAGCTAGCCGGGTTCACGCTCATCTTTTCACCCTCGGAAACCGAACAGACTCACACGCCAGGTTGGGGTCGTCGATGGTCACATTGCGGCAGCCAGCATCGTAAAGTACCTGCAGCTCAGCCCTGTACGCCTTTGCAATGTCGGCGAAGTACTCCTCGTCGTTTGCGTAGACGTCTTTTGGATATGCTTTTCCCGGCTGGTAGCGAAGATGGTACCATTCAGGTGCCGGCAGGGTCAGCTTCGCCTCCTTGATGTATTCGGCTGGGATGCGGTTCTTGAGATAGTTCCACTGGTCCAGATATGTGCTCCCGACATGCTTGATCTTGCCTGTACAAATCACAGATTCGCCAGGTTTGTGGCCGGCCTCGGCTGGAACAACGGCGTTAGCTCACTGCTCCATTGGTGATGGCCGTTGAGCGTTGGATAGATAGGTGGCTCACTAAAGGCAGCTAGGTCAGGTACATAGAGCCGGAACATTTCCAGAGGCGGGTTCTGAATTTCCTCCATTCCCTCGAGGGCAGGGAAAAAGGTCCCCCAAAACTGATGACGGCGATACTCGCCATCGTTCACCGCATGGAACCCAAGGTCTAGCTGGACCTTGACGATCTCATCGATAGCGTCATCTTCAAGGGTGTGAAGCTCCTTGTCTTGGGCGATGGTTTCGGTCTTCTCGCCGTCCAAGGCGACACGCTTATCAACAAGCTTCTGTGGCCGGAGGAGTGAGCCAAGGTGCTCAGCCCGGAAGGGCGGACGTTGGTGGTTCTTCTTTGCGACCATTTCGTACGAATGCCAGCGACCAATTGACACTACACTTGTATGCGAGGCAACCAGACTGCGCAGGTGAGGGGAAGCATGGTCCAAAACGACTCGCTCAGGATTTGAGCGGTCGACGGGCTGAGGTTTATATTATTAGGGGCCGTCGTTGCAACCAACCGGCCTTTGCGTCCACAGTTCTCCATCCCCTCCCCCGCCTTGGATCCCATTCCTCGCAATACATCAGACGTCCAGAAGTTTTGCCGATGGATCCCTGCGTACCCCATAATATAGTACCACCCCAGCATTGCCGGATGGCAGAAGTGGCCGGTTCATCTATAGCCTAACACAGTATGCCCCTGCGGATCTACGTCCCCGCCATTCCTTGGTCGGATGTAGTCTGGAGAGTGCGGTCATTGGTGACATGGCAGCGGGGTTGGGGGAGGAGAAGAGGGAGGCTCCAAACAATGTGTCTCTTGGCTGCACTATGACAGAACTGCGATGCAATTGGTAAGGCATGACTGTTTAGGCGTGTACCATGATCGGAGAATAGAAGTTCCTGCCTCGATGCAGAGTGTGTTGAGTTGAATGCCTACCTACCTACCTAGGTACCTAAGTATTTAAGTACCTAACCTACCGAGGTATGTACGTACCTAGGTATTTGGATCAATGTGCGTGGCTGGTGGGAGAACGGACATTTAATGCATGCAGTCACTGGAGGCCCAGCACTTGAGGAATACCGACATCGAGACAGCTACGGGCCACTGCGAGGCGCCGTTCCTTGCAGCGCAGAGAGATCAATGATCCTCCAGGCCGAGGCAACCTGAACCCCGCCAGAGCCGTGCCACATGGCATCAACCAAGGATCGCGATAACGAGTCTCAGGGTTGCTTATCGCCCACCGTGGCTTGACGTCAAGCCGTCCACCACCACAACCCAGACCCTACCCAGACCCAACCCAGACCCAACATTGTGGTTATGGCCCAGGTCGCCCTAGCAAACCCCTTCCCCTTTACCTGCATTTGTTTATCCTCGACCGGCAGGTTCCGTGGTCATGGCGACCCTCAGCATCGACGCACTCCCTACGGAGATGCTCTCTCACATCTTCAGCTTCCTCGACGGCCCGGCCCCTTCTGACGAGCGCCTGCACGACCAGCCCCATGCCCATATGCTCAAGGAAGCCGACCTCTCGGCCCAGAGCCTCAAAAATATCTCCCTTGTTAATAAGCAATGGCGAGCCACAGTGCTCCCCCTTCTATTCCGGAATGCGATTTGCTACTTGGACCAGTCCGACCTGTCTCTCGTGGATCTCGAACAGTCCAGCGGCCCTCACTCGCTGACACCCCTGCTGTCCTTCGTACGAGACAACAACCTCACCCCATACGTGAAATCGCTTACCCTCGTCGTGGTAAAGAGCACGAGGGTGAGGTCCACCGGTGTCGGCGGCGTTGATTTAACCCACGCGGGAGATGGCGAATACAGCCCAGATCCGTTTGGTCCGCTGAGCCGAGGTGGTCGAGAGAGAGATATGGTTTTCAACGAGGACTCAAACTGGCTCTGGAACCTGATCTTCGACCTGGTCGACCCTCTTCGCTTCACCATCATTGCATCGCCACGCACACTAGCATCACTGCTGGCCAGGATGCTCTTCCTCGGTGACGCCTGGAGTTTTTACCAGTCTCACCACGTTTTATCCTTGTCACGTAATTCAGAAACGGCCGTGAGCCCCAACAGGGAACTCGAAGTTGGTTCTTCGGAGCAAGCAGGAGTCAGAGAGCAGTCCTCTTTGGCGTCCGCCCCGGTCGCCCGCCAGGCCAGACGCATACCATGCTTCCTCTTTACCATCCGCCCTTGGGACGCTCTCCTACTCAATGAGGGCTCTTCAACCCGCGTTTATAAGACGTATGAGTACTATCACAGACGCCCGCCATCCATGCTCGGCGCTCTCCTCGGGGCCGAGGAATTCCCCAACGACGAGCCCCTGATCCCTTCTACGATCCGCGATCTCAGCTATGTCGGTATCTTTCCATTGTCGACGCATTTCAACACCTTGGTGCAGAATCTCCCACGAGTCGACCGGCTCTTTGTGCAGCTTGTACCGCGGAATGACATCCTTAAAGACAAGAAGGAGATGGAGCACTTGGATAGTAAGTAGTGTCAGAGAATGTTTTCCCACTCACATCTCCCGTAATCCCATACTGTTTCAATGCATATTTAAAGTTCTCCTTCCACCCCACCTTTAATGTTATTGAGTTGCATATGATGACGCCACCTTTTATTGTATGGTTTGTCTTCGTTCAAGCGAGATCCATCTGCTGGCGTGGAAGCTGACTTCAATTATCCCAGTGGACGACCTGTGGGCTGAGCGTAATACGAGCTAGTATGTTCCTCCTGGGAATGAGCCCCCTACACATCTTCTGGGACTATCTGGTACCATGCCAATCTTGAGGCATGTCCACAACAGGCGCTACGGAGAGCGAGTGCCAGGACAATACCTGCCTTGCATTATACACGATTTGGAGCACGGAGAGGAGATGCTGACATAGAACGCAGTAGCAAGATCATGCCCAAGTTGTTTGATAGCTCCAGCTCCGCAGGTAACTGGCGCTATCTTCAGGTCTTCGAGTCAGGAGATGCAGCGGACCGCGAGAGTTGGGATATGGCGGTGGAATACGTTAGACACTTCGGCACTGAATGGAGAGTTGAGAGTGAAGGTGTCTTCGTGAAGCGACAACCAAGGGAAGACGAAACTGACGCATCTGCCATGGGGGCATCACATGCTCATGGCGATGGCGGGGACCTCGGCGGAGATTCTGGCAGTGATGAGGATCACCCTGAAGGGCCCGGCCCGGTGTTTTTGTAAGTCGTTCCCCCCTTCCCCAATTTGCCTGTTCTCGTGTCTTTGATGCATCCTCGTATGAGGCTAGTCAGCCAACCCGTCCTCTTAGCGGTGCTGGCATCATTCTCGACTGCCTCTTCCATCTATGACTGCAGCCTCTACCGAGGCATCCCCTGGTGCTGCCTCTACTGCGTAACGCAAACACATCTACTTACACTTCTCTTTCTGAGCAGTGAATTTGCATTGTGACAACAGTGAAATATGCTAATCCTGTACTCCCGCCCTATACAGCCGAGGTGCTCTCCGCCGCTTTGCCTTCACAGGGGTCACTATGCTGCCTTTGAGCAGTGTGTGGCTGTATCGTCAGCAGACGGAGCCATAGGAGGATTTCGTCGAGTCTATCGTGGCCTTCCAGACCCGAGTTGATGACCAGTTCTGGTCCATGTCTTCTTGAGTACCCGAGGACTTTCTCGTGGCGCTGGAGTCTAATCTTCCGCAGCCAAATGCGGACCGAGAGGCATCATTGATGGCCGAGGATGGATATCCTTGAATAGTGAGTGAATGACTCCTGGTCACTAGCCTACCCTGACGCGGTTGCCGTGGAGTGACCTCGAAGGACATGAGCTATAAGAGGACATCTTGTATCCATAAGAGAAAGAACAAATGCCCACAGCCACCATTGCCTTGAACGAGCATACAAGCCCATCAAAACACAGTTGGCATCATTACCTCCCCAGTCGATGTTTGGGAGTTTTATTGCTGCAGAAGTGGCATAAATCGCGGCCAGGAACCGACAGGTTTTGCATTGGAAACATGCCAGAACGCTCGTCAAAGCTACCTCCCACTACATTTCCGATTTTGAATCAAACGCGTCCGGCCGCTTTCAGCTTCTTTCCCACTACTACTACTCCTTTACAATAGTGGAGCCTCTTCAGTCTTCTGCCCAAGCCCTCTGATCTAAGTGCCTGCATGAAGTTGGGTCAGAGGTCAACGATCAACGATCAACGTGGTCAATACTTGCAATCTAGTAGTACTACATACCTAGGTAGTAGCATAGTAGGCACCATGATTTTTATGAAGTGTGAAATGACCAATGGCAGGGTCTGCCATGAAGATGACACAGGATTTCCGACCCCATGGGGTCATGCGCCAAGGGTCTTTACTGGTTGGGTCACAACGGTGCTACTGTGTACGTTCCGAGTGAGGCGGCCGTGCCGCACCCCTGAAGGCAGACACTTATAGACGCACGAAGCCAGTAAAGGCAGGTCCTCCCGGCGATAGGAGCTGGCCATCACAGACCTCTTGCTGGCTGATGCAGTGCGGAAAGACGAGCGCATTTTTTTTGGCTTTCGGAAATCTGAAGGGGCGAAATGCTCAATCCGACGTCGAAAAGCGGGTCGGGGCTCCAGTCATCCCCAGAAAATTTCTACCGCATCACGTAACTTTTAGCAAATCTGCGAGAATTTCCCACCATGAGCCGACCGCGCAACGGCTCTTGCCCAAGGTTTGGGGGCGCACGACATCTCCAGGACTCACCTCTGGGATGGAAAGTCGCGGCTTAACGGTGCTTGCTCGATCTCACCGGCGGCTTCACCACGACGTTTCGACTCGGTGCTGGCTGAACTCTATTTCAAGTGCCGGCATGCCTAAAATGGGGCCGTCGATGGCCTCACCAGAACCTTGTGTCCTGCGCCGGCCCGCCGCTCGGCGCCACTTGGCCCCGGCCGGGGTTCACCGTTCCTGCGTGCCCAGCTGCCCAGCCTGCAAGCCCGCACCCGGGCTAGACCCAGCCTGTATTATGGAGACCAAGGCGGCGAGTAAGGAAGAGTCACTCGGTCGTGTTTGCCATCAGCTGCTGGAATCCGATTGCGGCCCCGGGATCAGGATTGATCATGCCTATGACCCAGTCCAAGATGGGCCTCTCTTATATCCAAGCCTACATCGCCTGATGAGGCGCTGAGCCCGGCGCTCCTTCACTTGTCCCTCGCTCATCTTTTGACAGACCCTGAGTGTTCACCTCGTCACCAAGGTTTTCTTCTAAACCTGTTGGGTTCTCACTAGAGTGCTAAACGGGGCACTAGCCCAAAGGACCTCTGAACTGAGGATACAGTCTTGCCGTTGAAGCAGACCCCAAGTGGAGATCAGGAGGACCACCCAAAGCCAAAATGGCTCGACGAGACCAGGAGAAGGCCAACATGCCCGTCGACACGGAGACGGGCTCCAACACATCGGGCGACGGCTCAACAAAGGACGATTCGAGCCCACCAGCATATCGGAACGACGACACGAGGACAGCATCCAGCGTGGCACAAGAAGATGGCGCAGAGATTGACCTGACCCCACTGTCCTGGTGGTGAGTGCCCCCGGCGAGATCAAGTCTTCTGGGCGTATCGGGCTCTGACAAAGCTCAACAGGAAAGCCGGGACCATTCTCTTCGCTGAGACGGTGTCCCTCGGTATCCTCTCGCTCCCCTCTGTAATCGCAAACGTGGGGATTGCGCCCGGCATCGCCCTGATCGTCATCATGGCGATTCTTTCGGGATACTCAGGCCTGATCTTTGGCGAGTTCTGCATGCAGTACCCAGAAATCGAGTCATTCGGTGACGTCGGCGACGTCGTTGGGCGGGCGGTGGGCGGGCCTGCGGTGGGTGTCGCCTTCAGGGAGTTCCTGGGCTGGGGCCAGACCATCTTCCAGATCTTTGTTATGGGGAGCCACCTCCTGACCTGGACAATCGCAATGAACACATGTGAGTTGTTGTGCAGAGACTGCACCAGCCTTTACGGGGAAAGGGAGCAAAATGCCACATCCGGAGCTTGTTCTTGAGCTCGTCTCCTAGCCCTATCTTGGGCTGGGGATTCAACAACTCGCCATGGCGGATTGGATACTGCTGTGCTCTTTTGACCCCCCCTCCCTTCCTCGAGCACAAGCTCTGTGGTGCTCTAATGGCTGACTTTGGGGCCGCAAGTGACCGACAGATCCCACCAGTGCACTGTGATGTGGGCGGGCGTCGGGCTGGTCGTCTTTTGGCTGTTCAACCTGCCGCGGAACCTCAACATTGCGTCGTACCTGTCGGTGGCATCCTCGCTCTCGATCTTCTCAGCTGTGATCGTCACCGTGGTGGACGTGGGCATCGAGAAGCCCATCGGCTCGACGTCGCTGGACGTCGCGAACCAGCTCGGCTTCACGGGGGCGTTCTTGTCGGTGACCAACATCGCCATCGCCTTCTGCTCGCACTCGTGCTTCTTCAACGTCATCTCCGAGTTGAACATCAAGACCGACTGGCCCAAGGCACTGATCATGCTGCAATCCCTCGACACGGCGCTCTACATTGTTGCCGCAGTCGTCATCTACGTGTACGTGGGCCCCGACGTGCCCTCGCCAGCGCTGTCGGCGGCCGGGTCCGAGGTGGTGAGGAAGGTGATCTGGGGTATCGCGCTGCCCACCATCGTCATCGCCGGTGTCATCTACGGCCACGTCGCGACCAGGTACATTTTCGGAAGGATCCTCGGCAAGACGCGACACATGCACAAGCGGACATTGATCGGAGACGCCGGGTGGGTGTGCGTCGGGCTGTCCATCTGGATCATCGCGTTTGTCATCGCCGAGTCGATCCCCGTCTTCAACAGCCTCCTGAGCCTGATCTGCGCCCTGTTCGTGAGCTGGTTCTCATACGGGGTCCCGGGGATCATGTGGCTGTTCCTCTACCGCGGGCAGTACTACAAGAACTGGAAGATGATGGCAGGACTGGTGTCCAACATCTTGCTGGTCGTTGTGGGCTTCATGCTTTGCGTGCTTGGGCTGTGGAGCACCATCGACAGCCTCGCGAGCGACAGCAAGCAGACGCCGTGGAGCTGTGCAAGCAACGCATAGGCGCGCGTTGCGGCCTTGTGTATATATGCCAAGTAGTAGTTATTGGAGGAGTGTTGGGTAATAATAGTGAGCGCTCATACCACATCAAGGAAAAAATATGCAGATGGCCGTTGTGATACCGTCCGGTTAGGCCCGACCCGTCGTCTCGAGGCAACATGCCGACGACGGCATCGTTCCAATACAAACACGTTGCGGATGTCACATCACGCACGGGAACAGGCAGCATACGGAGTACCTAGTTACTGCTGGTGCCGGAGTTGGGTGGGCATACATGCATACAAGCTCTCGAGTGGCTGACTGCACGACAGGAAACACTACAGTACCTACCTGATCATCTCGAGCTTGAGCGTTCTGATGTGGCTTGGCAGGCTGCCTCGTGACTTGCTGAATGAAGGCTTGGGATGTGCCAGCCTGCCAGCACAGACCAAACCTCCAAGGTTCCAGTTATTAACAGAGCCCCTATTTCCGGACAGCAGATCATACCGACCCCGTCAGGGAGGATACAGGCCCCGCCTTGGCTTTAGCGTCCTGCAGCCCAGCATGCTGGCAGTGGGGGCCTGCCCCCGGACAGGGTTCACCATTGGCTGGACCCTTCCATCGGGACTCTGCAAGTGCCCTGAGGACAGAAAGGCAATCGTGCGTGATCCCCCCCAATCGCCTCTGAGGTTTGCCATGTGACGGCAGATTCCACCAACGAACCCCTTCCTTTGCCCTATCGCCTTTCAACGTCAGCCATCATCGTCACGGCGCCGCTCTTTTATTCCTATAGGACTCTTCCCTTATCTCTGCATACCTACTAGGCACCTCTGTGCTCCTCTGCTCCTCTGCTTCTCTGCCTGATCGAACCAAGGATCCTTTCTTTTCCTCGTCGTCATCTCGCGCCGACCGAGACCAGACAACTGTGGTACACGAGGCCACATGGCTCGCCAGAGTCCCGAGTTCCACTCAGAGCCGCCGATATCACAGTCCTATCAACGACCTCATCGTCGATAGCCCTCTCCGCCGCCCGGGCCTCCCCACCATTCCAACCTCAGCAACGGTTGATCCTCCCTGCGCCTCGCCGGCACATGAGCATCCCCACACGCCCTCGTACGAACCCCTACCGACCAGGCATTGACGCCTCAAGTCCGTTGTCAGGATCGTAGTCTTATCCTGTGCCTACAACGCCTTCCCATTCGACCTCGTCTCTCGCCCCCGCCCCTTCGCAACGATAGACTGTCTCAGCAGCCATGGTCGAGGCACACAAACCGTCCCTGCGCGAGGAAACCTCCGGGAAGCCGCTGCTGCAAAAGCACAAACACCGAGACTCCAACCTGCCCGCAGTCGACGATTTCGACGAGGGCCATTATGGCCGTGGGCGCTCCCAGCATAATGGCTACTCCGGTGTTCCCGACCGACCTTCCTCCCCACGTGTCTCGACCGCATCCTCCCGCCCAAGATCCGGGCACAGCCAAGCATCCGGGAGCGGTGCTGGTACGCCTCGGCGCCCATCATTTTCCAGACGGAGCACGTTACGCAGCCGATCACCAAACACGAATGCCCGCATGGCCGCCCGCAGGAAGTATACATATGCCGCCGTCTTTCTCATTCTCGCCCTTGTCTCCTTCTGTGTACAGGCTGAATCGGGTGCATACGTCCAGAACGAGCTGGGATGGAACAAGGCGTACTGCATGCTGTACCTGACGCACGGGAGTTGGGTCATACTGTGGCCCACCCAGCTTCTTATCCTCCGCCTACAGAAGCGCGATATGCCATGGAGCGTATTTTGGAAAAAGCATGTCTGGCTGGTCCGGACCACCGCGCAGATGGTCGAAGGCGGCACGTTGGAAATCCCCCACCACCGGTCGGCTCGGAGCCCCTTGCGCTACATGGTCATCACGACGGCCCTGGTCACGAGCGCACTTACCGTGGCCGGTCTGACCTGGTACGTAGCCGTGAACATGACCACACCGTCAGACCTCACGGCTATCTACAACTGCTCCGCCTTCTTCGCCTACGTCTTCTCCGTGCCGCTTCTCAAGGAGCCTCTACGCCTGGACAAGAGCTTCGCCGTCATCATCGCCATCGTAGGTGTGCTGATCGTTGCATATGGCGACACCAAGCCCTCGGACAAGGAGGCCGATGCCAACCATCGCTTGCTCGGCAACATCATCATTGGCATCGGCTCGGTTCTCTACGGGCTTTACGAGGTCCTGTACAAACGCTTCGCCTGCCCCCCTGAGGGCTGCAGCCCCGGGAGGGGCATGGTGTTTGCAAACACTTTCGGCAGCTTGATCGGGAGCTTCACACTCCTCGTCCTCTGGTTCCCAATACCGCTTCTCCACATCCTTGGCATTGAGAAGTTTGCGCTGCCGACCGGTACCGCAGCATTCTGGCTCGTCATTTCCGTGGTCATGAACGCGACCTTTGCAGGGTCCTTCCTCGTGCTCATCAGCCTGACGTCCCCCGTGCTCAGCTCGGTGGCCTCGCTTCTGACCATCTTCATCGTCGCGCTGAGCGACTGGTTCCTCACCGGCGAGCCGCTCAGCTTCGCGGCCATCGTGGGCGGCGTCCTGATCATCGCTGCCTTCCTCATGCTGAGCGTTAGCACCTGGCGCGAGATCCAGGAGGAAGAGAAGAGAAAGAGCGTCGAGTTCGACGAGGCAGACCTCGAGCCCGACGAGGATGATGACGCGAGCGACAAGGCTAGCCTGGTGAGCAACCACGACTAGGAGCCGAGGGTACGCTCGTCCTCCCGCGGGACTGTGCCGCGGCCTAGGTTTTCGAAGCCTCGATGGCTGGACTTGTGAACAACATGAATTAGTGATGGCGTTTTGGGTTAATGTTCATTGTTGAATAGACACGTGGTTTCGGGCAGTACGAGGGAAATGCAGGACAAGTCTGCATTTCGGGGCTGCACTTTTGGATTCAAAGTTTGGGCAGGACTTCTTCTGAGGTTCTATATGTATGCGTGTGCATAAACGGGCGATACCCTTGGATTGGCATCTATGGGGGTCTTTGTTTCACGGCCTTAAGGCTTGGCGTTAGGTATAACCAAGGGGCGGCGCTGGAATTGGATCTATGTAGCTGGGCCAGGACTATAAAGCATAGCCAATATTCACGTATATCATTTCTAAGATAATCTTTGGGCCTCAGCCCACATAATCAACAATCAACGAGAGCGCTTGTCTTCTATATTCGACAAGAACTTTCGGAATGGAAGAAGTAGAACGGAGCAACTGTTCCTACTTGGCGACGCTATTAGCAGATTGTATGCCTCTTAAACAATCAACTAAAGTGCATCTGGACACCCAGCAATGGGCTCTTGTTACCGACTGTTGAATGTTACTCATGCGCTATTCCTGACTGTCTGCGTAAGCTCTGGGCGTACCCTAGGTATTCTAACGAAAAAAAAAAAATGCAATCTGGTTCAACCGTTGTGAACACCAATATGCTAATGTCCCCCCTTCTCAGACCATGTGGTCAATGCTGTCTTGAAGATGAACATGTGGATACCCTAATACTCATAATGTCCGCCTCTTTCGTATGTGCACTGCGTATTGCCCGCAGTCTAGGACACACTCGCCCTGCTCCACTTGCTCCGAGCCCTGATCTTCCTGCCGAAGTAATAGAAGACAAACGGTACGGGGATCAACAGGCTTGCGAATCCAGCAAAAATGCTCTGGCTCGGTCCCACGCCGAGTGTGCTGTAGAGCGGCAAGATGGTCAGGGGCAAGCCAGCGGCGAACATGCTACGCAAAAAAGTATTAGCGGCAACAGCTGAAGCTGCATAAGCACGGAAAGTATCGATGAGGTAGTTCAGTGCCGCCTGAAATATGGTGTTGAAGCCACAGCCCATAAGAAACAGACCGAGAACGGGGACAATCCAAGGGGCGGCTCTTGGTTCCGCGGTCCAGGCGGTAATAAACTGGCCGCCGGCGAACAGGACACTGCCTAGCATCATCGGCGGCAGTCGTTTCTCAGGGATGGCCTTTTGACCTGCTGCCTCGTATGCCTTGTTGTAGGCGACTTGATTGAGTATGTTGAGGGCTGCGCCAATAACGCAACCTAAAGCGATGGCGAGGAAGGGTAGCAGGCTCTGCAAGAGGCTCCAGCCCCTCAACCTGCCGAAGATGTAAGGGATTGCACCGAGTTGCATGTAGAGAATTCCGTAGACGAACGAGGCGTAAAGGGCCACCAGGAAGCAGATGGGTGTGCAAAGCAGCTGCAGTGGCCGGATAAGGAACTTCTTTGCGAGTTCAGTAATGCTGACGTCCCACTCCTCGAACCTGGTGTGAAGGGCCCAATTGCCGGACTCGTGCCTCAGACGCCGTGCTTTGTAAATAAGTAGGACGGGTGGGTAGGTTTCGTCAATGAAGATAATTGCGTACAGGAGTATGAACGCTTGTATGAGGCCAGTGATATGTTGTGTCAGTTGAAAGGTGAGCTTCGGATCTTGGAGTACGGCCGCAGAGACGATGGGGCCAAACGTGGGGCCACCGACCACGGCCAATGCATATCCTGCCATAGCTATACCTCTGTAGGCCGCCGAGAACAGATCACCAAGTACGCCGCCAGTGTTGGTCACCGGGGCAGAGGCAAAGAAGCCAGCGAAGAATCTCGTGATCAATACAGTCTGAATATCCTTGGCAGTAGCGGTTCCGAAGGAGAAGCATGTGGCGATGAACATGGGTCCGAGGACTGCTACTCGGCGGCCATATACCTCGGAGAGGGGTGCCCAGAGCAGAGGCCCCAGCCCGAAGCCGAGCATGAAGAGGGTTGTTCCAAGGCTGGCAACTCGGAAGCTGACGTGGAACTCATCGGCGACCCGTGTGGCAATTGGCGAGTACGCGGCTGAGGCCCAGGTGGCCGACATTGTGACGAGGCCATATAGAAACGTGGTTGCTACCTTTTTCCTGGTGGGCCAGTTGATGGGCTTGTATGGATCATGGGGGCCGTCAAAGTCGACAATGTCGGCCTCTGTTGTCTTGTGGTGGACCAGGGGATGGGTGAAGTCGCGTACGGCCGGCCTAGTATTAGAGACGTTTCGGTTGAGTGATAGACCACTGGCGCTGGCACCTGGAGCTGCAATGGAACTTGCGCTGTCTCGCCGGCTCTTGACTCGTCGTGAGCAAGCCGGGCGCATCTCCAACCGGCAGGGCCTGTGCCCATCGTGTTGGTGATCTTTCTCGTCGGGGTCATCGCAATCCTCGTCGTCGGTCACGTGGTGGCTGCTCTTGGTATCTGAGCCGGACAGACTGTGCCGAGATTCGACATACTCATTGTCCTTTTCCTAGATCGGACCGGCCAATGTCGAGGAACTTGGGCTAGGCGTTTCTGGCGAGTGTGTGGGCTGCTTTTCTGATATGGGCGGGCTTGTCGGCGTGGGGGAGTTGGAATTCTCCATTGGCCGTCGGGAACGGCTCGGCAGTCAACCAATATATGTTAGGGGCCAAATGTAATAGGTTGAACAGAGTTTGTTGATGGTCAGATAGAGTTGACTACCTAGGTAGTTAGGTACACAAGAGGTGCTGTCATGAAGCATGGGACAAGACAAAAGTCGACTCCTCGAGCCCTCTGCTCCGGCCGGAAGCATGACCAAGGTTCTTTGCAGTCCATTACTGCCCCTCAAAGACTGTGACTGCGGAAATCGGTCAATCGGCACCGGGTCCGACTTCCCAGGCAGGCCAGGTCGGCCCGCACCTTCTCGCACGGCTTCTCTATCTTGCTTCTTCGCTCCCCGGCCAGGCAGGAGGCTTGATATGCTTTTACCGCCACGCTCTTTACTTTTGTTTCTTCAGTGTCACCTGCTCAAGTACTCAAAACTTGAAGAGAGAGAGAGGGAGCAACATCAGAGACAAGTGACAGCTGGTCCTGCCCCGTGATAGTCTTGAGGCAACACTTTCAGCACATTTGGAATCAATGATGGTCATCTCCTTCGCCGGGTCTTTTTGCAAACAGCCTGAGGTGAAGAGGCAGCTTCCAGCTATGTCTGGTTGAGCCCTAGCCCCTCGCCCATGCACGGCCTGTCAAATCGGGCCCTGCAAATACCCTCTCCCCACGACCCAGCATGCTCCCTGCGTCTGGTCTGAGCACTCGAAGTTATCTCCGTCTCCCCACACTTTTCACAGGCCGAGTTTGCTGCAATCGGCTCATGGCTCCCGAGACCTACAATTCATGACAGATGAGACACACCTCTCCGGCCCGTCACTCAGCAACGTACCCAGGTATGCGGCCGCCCTTCAGCGAATGTGGCTGTCGCCAAGTCTCTTCACTATTCGTCCACTCTTGTCAAGCCCGCTGCCCTTTATCACTCCTGCCTGCGCCTGCCGCTGGAGACTTTGTCCCGGGGATCCTACCGTGCTCGCCATGTGGGTGCTTCTCGACCTCCCTTGCACCTGTTCTCTTGGCTTGGCTCGGCCACCCCGTCTCATTCCTGCGAGATGTTTTCAGTCTATCTCCCCGATCCCAAGGGTCCCGGGGAGAATTGTCCCAGGTCCGATCCTGGGGTATGGGGCGTCTCCCTTGCTATGTATGGTTATAATAGAAAAGAGGCTGGCTGAGACTCGGCTTCTTCCGTATCTGGGGCATTCCCGTCTTCTAGAAATGACTTGTGAATTATATTGTACAACTTGGACCCTATTTCTCCCTTCAGAATGTCCTTTCCTCGCTTCAGAAACCTCGGGGACGAAATCTGGCTCTTTGAGCCTCGGGATACCGGGGGAAACAAGGACAAGGACAACAATAACAACAACAACAACCCAACACTTCGTTCGCAACAAACTCGAAGTCGTGGCAGGGGACGTCCTCCGGCTCTCATCATTTTATGCACATGGCTCGGAGGGGCAACTACTAAAAGGATCGAGAAGTATACCCAGGGCTACCATCGTCTTTGGCCTTGCTCCAGAATTCTTCTCATCCGTACCACACTCAGCGAGTATCTTGCTCAGAGCAGTACCGGTCTCCGTAGGAGGCTCCGGCCAGCGCTCCGGGAAATTCGGAGACTAGGATTAGATGTTCAAGGACGAGACAAGTTATTGGGCGAGCCCGATAATGGTGAAGTGCTACTCCATATGTTCTCGTTGGGTGGAAGCAATACGGCGGCTGAGCTGCTCGAGTCAATGAACACCGTGCTGGCAACAACGGGACACCAAGGGCCACTGCCATTGAGACAGATCATTCTCGACAGCTGTCCCGGAGACCTTGACATCTCTCGCAGTCACAGGGCCGGTGCTCACTCTTTGCCGAAAGGCGTTGTTCTGAAGCCTTTGGGCAGCGCAGCTCTGTTCGTTCTCGCCGTGACGTTGGCAGGAATGGAGGCAACTGGGCTCAGAACACCTTTGGCCAAGAAGGTACGCCAGCAATTGAACAACCCTGAGATCTTCTCAGCCAAGGCAGCCAGACTGTATTTGGCCTCAGAGGCGGACGACATTGTGAATCTTCAAGATGTCGAGGAGCATAGGAATCAAGCCCTTGCCAAGGGCTTTTCTGCAGATATTTTGCGCTTCCAAAAGGCAGGACATTGTTCGCTCATCATGGAGGACGGCGCCGCCTACTGGGACGCGATTGCATCTGGCTGGGAGAGGGGTGTAGCATCTAGTCCTGCGCAGAAATCCGGACATGATCAAGGACCGCGGCTACTACCCCTCTCCTCCGTGTCCATGTCAATGTCCAGTCAGCCCAGATGTCGGCTTTAGATTTGGGGGCAACGCAAGACTCGGGAATTCGAAAGAAATGAGGGCCAGAGGGATGACAAGGCAGTTGTGCGGCAGTGCCATGCCGGCCAGTGTTCAGATAGCCAGAACTTCCTCAACCTTGGAAGCCTCTTCTCCGTCAACTGGTGTATTTGTATGTAAATCAGAAACTACACTCAGCACCGTCAACAGTGAGAAAATCAAAGTCGACGCCGTGCTCGGCCTGATTTACTTGACGTTCAAACAGCCCTCTGTAGCCTCGGGTTGGCTTCCTCCTTACATCGGCGGGGCCCCGGCACTCTTTCTTTCCTTCAAGCCTCTCCTTCCTGTCTGCTATTCGAGCCTGTATCTCTTCGTCGCTCAACTCAACTTCCAACCTCCTGTTCTCGACATCGCAGACGATAAGATCTCCAGTCCGCACGACGCCTAGCACGCTTGCCGGCAGCGCAGCCTCGGGCGAGATGTGCAGCACTATACTCCCGCCAGCAGTGCCAGACATGCGGCCATCACTCAGACGCAGCATATCCTTAACGCCCTTCTCACCAAGCTTTCGGGGAATAGGAATCAGTCCAGCCTCTGGCATCCCTGGGTTCAAGAACCCGATGGGGCCGATCCCCTGCAAGACCAGCACGCTGTGCTCGTCGACGTCCAGGTCCGGGTCGTCGATCCGCGCGGCCAGGTCCGCGGGGCCGGCAAACACCACGGCGCGCCCGCGGTGCGAGAGCAGGTGCCGGTACTTGCTGGCGCTTGCCTTTATGACCGCGCCGTTCGGGGCGAGGTTTCCGTGTAAGACGCAGAGCGATGAGGCCGGGTGCAGGGGGTTGTCGAGAGGCCGGATGATTTGCCGTGAGAACGGGAACGGCCTGAAGGGAGTCGAGTCGAGGAGCTCGCCGAGGGTTTTCCCTGTGACGGTCAATGCCTCAAGCCGTAGGAGCGGGCGCAGGGTATGTAGCAGAGCCAACACGCCGCCTGCGTTGTGCAGGTCCGTCATGTAGTTCTCGCCGCTCGGCTTGAGGTCCAGGAGCAGCGGCGTCGCCCGGCCGATGTCGTCGATCGTCTGGAGGCTGATCTTCCCCGCGACTTCAGGGTGACGGTTGGCGATGGCGAGCAGATGGACGATCCCGTTGGTTGATCCGCCTATGGCTTGGAGGACCGTGATGGCGTTATAAAAGGACGCCTCGCTGAGGATGTTGACCAGCGTCAGCGGCCTAGCTGCGCCTTCGCTGACGGATGCTGCGGCCGCCACCGCGTTCTTCCCCGTCTCCTCTGCGATGCGCAGGCGGGCGCTCGAGACAGCTGCGGCGGTTGCGCCTCCTCTTGGGTCGATCAGTCCGAGAGCGGCCGTTATGCAAGCCATGGTCGATGCGGTCCCCATGACACCGCATGTGCCTGCGCTGGGCGCGAGTTCCTCGTTGAGCTCCGAGACCTCCTCGATGTTGATCTCGCTCCCGCGATAAGCTGCCCAGTTGTTCCTGCAGTCCGTACATGCGCCAATGCGCTGTCCCCTGAAACTGCCGGCCAGCATTGGACCCGTGATCAAGGGGAGGACAGCTTTACCGGATGAGATCCCTCCCATAATCTGCGCTGGGACTGTCTTGTCACACCCTGATCATTGTCAGCGTGCCATGCCCAAAGAGCTCCGATACAACCACTTGGAACTATATTCGGGGGCAGTGTGTACAAAAGAATACGTCTTACCTCCTATGACAATGCAGGCATCCACAGGTTGTGCCTTGATCATCTCCTCGGTGTCCATACTCATCAGGTTCCTCAGAAACATGCTCGTTGGCGTCGAGAAGCTCTCATGGATGGAGATGGTAGGAAACTCCATAGCCAGCCCCCCGCTCAACTGAACACCTCTCTTCGCCGCCTCGATGAGCTGAGGCACGTTTGCATGGCAGGGGTTGAACGCGGAGTATGTGTTAACGATGCCGATGATGGGTCGCGAGAGTGCATCTTCACTGTATCCAAGAGCTTTGATAAACACTTTTCTCAAGAAGAGCGCAAAGTGAGGATCGCCGTAGTTGGGGAGGCCCTGTCTCATCCCTCTGATCGGTTGAATGGGCCGGTTCAGGTCATAGTCGGCAAGGTGGTCCGGAATGCCCAGGGTGGTCTCGTTCCCCTCACTCTGGCTCGCATCTCGTGCGTTTTGAGATGGGCTTCCCTTGTTTTCTGGCATTGTGGGTGATGATAGGACACTTCAAATATACCCATCCGATGTGAGAAACAAGGGACAGCGAGATTGCAATCTTGTTGTTGTCCTGGTGGGAGCTCTGGTCATGCTACGATACCCCATATGTAAACGATTGGCCAACGTGCATATCTACCTACCACCCTTAGTTTGGTTGCGTGCTTGCATGCTGCCGGGGAATTCCCGAGTGAATGGGTGCCGCACTGTGCCAGTGCCAGCCTCGCTGATCAATCGCCCGACAGCTAAGATCTGTCAGATTAATTATTCTTAGAATGTGCTATATATAAAATTTCAAGCACATTTGGTCCGAGTTCTCAACTTCAGAGAAGGCTGCACAAAATAATTGATCACTTGGTTTAGCTTCCAAAGTTCTCTAAGTTACCTAGGTAGTTGTGTTAGTTGCAAGCTTGTCCGTGAGCCACTGGCAGAGAGCAGAAACTTTGATCATACAAAGCATCTCATTTTATACAAGTGGTTTCACCCCCGCTGCCTCTGCCTCCTTATTTAAAGTCTCGATTTCGGCCTTTGCGTACGGAATGCCTGAACGAAGCCTCTCATCCCTTTTGATGATCTCCATTTCCCCTGGAAAGTAGATGCGATCAATGCCAGGCATCTTTTCCGATCCTACTACCCTCTCATACACATATTTCATGCGATTCCTGAACTCTTCCGTGCTCATGAATAAGTCCGGCTTCAGAGCCACGATGAAATGCCCCACGTCGCCAGGCCGTGATGGGTCGTACGGCCCGGCCACATCCCCACCAAATGCCGAGCCCGAGAGCACGCCCGAGAAGACATCCATCATGATGGCCAGCGCCGAGCCCTTGGGCCCGCCCATAGGTAGCATCACGCCGCCGTCGAGCGCCTTGGCCGGGTCCGTCGTTCGGTTGCCCTCCTTGTCCAGCGCCCAGTCGTCCGGGATCCCCTCGCCCCTCCTCAGAGCCTTGTAGATCTTGCCCCGGGCTGCCACAGACGGGGCCATGTCCAAGATGAACGGGATCGGCTCCCCGGGGGCACCGCATGCAATGGGGCTCACACCAAGCAGCTGCTCCTTGGCACCCCAAGCCGGCAATGCCGGCGAGCTGTTTGTGAAGACGAGCGACATCATGCCTGCGTCCAGGGCCTGCTGCACCACCCAGGCCGACATGCCAAAGTGGTTGCTGTGCTTGCACGAGACCATGCCGATTCCATAGGTCCGGGCCATCTCCACCGCCGCCGCCATCGCCTTCTTGGCCACTATGGCGCCAAAGGCATTCTTCCCGTCGACCTGCGCCACCACGGGCGTCGTCTGCTCCAGCGTGGGCTGGGCTTTTGGGTCCAGGACGCCCTGGCGCACTCGCTTCACATATGATGGCAGCCGGTTGATGCCGTGCGTGTCGACACCGCGCAGGTCTGCTGAAACGAGGTTGTCTGCGACTATGGCTGCGTCTGAGGGTGAGACGCCATTGGCCTCCAGCAGCCGTTGAGCAAATGCTAGGGCTGTGTCCGATGGGACGCTGATGAGGTCGGACCGTTCCGAAGACATGATGGACGAAGTCCACGCACGGGTGGTGTCGCGACGAATTAATGCCAGGATATTTGGGAACTGTCCAATTTGTGCTTGGTAGCCTGGCAAAGTCTTCTCACGATGGCGACACGGCTTGACATGTATTGAATTCGAGACTTTGTAGAACAATCGACAACGGGGTAAGGCCGTCTGCCTGTCGGACTAAACCCGATCATGGGTGATTTCAGCCTACAGCGACTTCGGCGTGTAAAGTTGAAGCCACCGAGAAGGGTTAGGGCTGGGTAGTCCGGAATGACTGCACATACCTAAGACTACTACTCCGTGCATAGTGGTGACATGATAGTTTCCTGGGGTCGATTTAGAAATGTACGAAGTACCAATTTTTGATTAGCTCGCTTACTCGCATGCTATTCAAATATCTGCAATGTTCTTCATGGTCTGAGAGATTTTGTACATGATTTTACTATTTTGACCGTAGACTTCCAACACCGATCTGACAACAAATCAGGTCTTCCTATAACATGGACTAGATCAAAGACTCGCTCGAATCCTCATCTGCAGTCTCGAAATCGAAGCGGCACACGTCTTCGTGAAATGGCCAGAGCAACTTGCTCACGACACTGTGATATCGATTCGTCAGTCAAATGCCCCGATGCAGAGTCGGCACAGTACCAAAAGATGAGATTCTTACTCGTGGTGTTCCTTAGATGCCTGGTACTCTGCTAGGGCAGCTCTGTCCTTGTGTCGGCTGACGAGCGCGAATTCAAACCCTTTGCTCCGTCCGATGGGATCGGTGATAGAAGGCCCGCCAACCGTGAGTTGGGCATCTTGGACACACGGGAGACTCTTCAACTTCTTGAGTTCAGCCACGAAATGATCTTTATGTTCTTGAGAGACATCGGGTCGAAATTTGAACAACACTTCCAAGGTTTAAATGTTGGCTCCTGGTCAGCTCTTGTCCTAGAGCATGGACTTTCGAAGGCGAGGAACTCACCTATGTGGATGACAGCCATTTTAGAAGCCCTGGATGAAGGCGCCGTGTGTGGCTTCAGATGTATACAGAATAGACGAAACCAGACAATGTGTTACCGGTACTAATGCAGGTTAAGTACCTGCTTGTGCCTGCCAGGAAAGTTGTGGGTGCTGGTCTCTGACCCGGTAATCGGCTTTCCCCCGCCATCTCGGCGACAATTTGTTACCCGAGAGCTCTTACACTGCGTGTGAGCCTTGGAATTGCTTAGGTGGCACGTGTAGCCTCGGGCTTGCTCCGGCTCCGTCCCAGGCCGCGCAGCGGACTGCAAGGCCACAAAATGATTCTGTGTTCCTTGTTTGTGCAAGCCGATGGTTCACATATCTAAGGCTCAAGGCTTCTTACGTGTGGCCATTATCAAGATGCTAAGCGTACCTAGGTAGTGCCGACCTCGGAGCTTTAACATTGAGATCGCACTATTACTCATAACCACCACTGCACGATGCACCCCGACATCTTGTCTGACTATGTGCCATTGTATACAGCTAGTGCTTTGCTTCATCGAATATTCCTCGCACAAGTGTTTCCCTGTAAACTGCAGTAGACACTATCCACACAGGGGTTTGAACAAGACAGCTCCAGATGTTGTTTATTGAGATGAGTCCCATGCATCCATCTCCCGGCCGATCTTCACCCAGCGCGGCAAGTTCTTCAATCTTGAACTTATCTAGATCATTCAGTGAGGAGATATTACTATTACTTTTCTATTCAAAATGAAATTGCCCTCATTTCCAATAAATGAAGCCGCAGCGATATGTCATCCGATACTGCGGCCGGGTAAACAGCTACCTCAGGCACCATCCTGGCTCTCCCATCACCTGTGAATGTATCACCACTGACATGTGCACAAAATTGGACCTCCAGGGCTCCGTGCGGAGGCTGTAGTCAGGCATAGTCAGCCAAGCGCTGCTGACGCTGTAAGTCAACTTCTACGCTAGCACCTGGGCAGCCGCTGAAAACTCTCTGGCTCTATCGGAAATACTATTGCGGCGTCACGGCAGTTGCAATGGACATGAGTTCTCATCTAGGTGAATGGAACCTAGTAATTCCCGAACAAGAATGACGTTGAGGTGGATAGCCCGTCTGTTACGTCACGACTAGCAACGGGTCTAGTTTGGTGTACCAAGGAGTTGCCATCACACGTCTACACAGGACATGGGCTCGACGCAAGGTCCTATAAAGTGGCCCTGGAGCGTTATTCTGACCATTTTCAACCCCCCAATTCACGAGCATGGAGTAAACGTTCATAGAAGATCTACATTTGTACAGCCTGGCACCATTCAATCATGTCGGACCCAAACTCACCTCACATCAAGGCCAGAAATGACCCGTCGTGGGGTCTATATCAGCGAGATAATTTTTGGAAGCTCAATGAAGGAGAGGTTCCTCCTTTCAACACTCGTTAGTAAACTAACTACCCTCAAATATTTCCCCGCGTGATGCTCTTGATGCGAACCACAGCTTCTGACATGGTCCTTAGACCCCGATAAGCTAGAAGAACTTGCCAGAGAGAAACTGACACAGAATGGATGGTGCGCATGAATACTCCCTTGGCACCAGACGGGCACCACACTCATACCTAGGTAGAGACTGCTGGAGGCTGACAGTCCTGTTGCAGGTATTATGCATCGTCAAACGCAGGCCTCTCTCATACCCACCTGGCCAACAGACAAGCTTTTTTCAGGCACAAGATCGTGCCAAAGCAACTGGTGGACACTAATGAACGCTCCATGCGGACCAAAATCTTCGGACACGAGGTTTCTGCACCGATCGGGATCGCCCCTATCGGCATCAACAAGATCTATCACCCGCGGGGCGAGCTCCCCGTCGCGAAGGTGGCCGGCGAGCTCGGCATCCCTTATTCACTATCGACCGCGGGCTCCTATCCCATCGAGGACGTTGCCCAGGCCAACGACGAAGGCCGCAAGGCGACACGGGAGGGTTACACGCCACAGGCGGACAAGATCCCACCGGGGCCGCGGTTCTACCAGCTCTACATGCCGCACGACGACGAATTGACCATCTCGCTGCTGACACGGGCCCACAAGTGCGGGTTCACGGCGTGCATCCTCACCACAGACACGTGGCAGCTAGGATGGCGGCACGACGACGTTGCCACGTCCAACTACGCCTTCTACCGGGGTATCGGCGCTGATCTGGGCTTGTCGGACCCCGTCTTCCAGAAGCGGCTGAGGGAGCGTGGGATCGACCCGGCTACACAGCCCGAGGAGGCTGGTGCCTTGTGGATTGACAACGTCTGGCACGGGCGGGCGTGGTCGTGGGACAAGGCCGTCTGGGCTAGGCAGAGGTGGCAAGAGATTAGCGGCGGGAAGCCTTTCCTCATCAAGGGCATCCAGCGGGTTGATGATGCCCAGAAGGCGGCTGACCTGGGGTTTGAAGGTATTGTGGTGAGCAACCATGCGGGCAGGCAGGTTGATGGTGCCATTGGAAGCCTAGATGCCCTGGAGAAGATCGTAGAAAGGCTTGGGGGTAAGGAAGGATTCGTGATCACTTTCGACAGCGGCGTCCGTGGGGCGGCAGACGTGGTGAAAGCATTGGCCCTTGGTGCAAAGTTTGTCTTCATTGGGCGACTGTGGATCTGGGGTTTGTCCATCATGGGTGAGGCAGGGGTGAGGCATGTGATGAGGGGCTTGCTTTCTGATATGGATATTTTGATGAACTGTGCTGGTCTTCGGAGTGTGGATGAGATAGACAGGAGCTTGTTGGAGAGTCTTCCCAAGACTTATGGACTGGTTGCGGACAAAAGCAAGCTATAGACGGGCCTCGGTCTTGAGCGCTTACCACCGTATGAAGGCGCCATGTATGTCCTCAGACGTATACGGAATAGAAGCGAAACCACATTGTAATAATACAAATTACTGGGTTGTACCATAGCTCATAGTCAGTAGTAAAAGTCTTACTCTCCCCCTTACTCATATGTACCCAGACACAAGCAGATACTCAGGTACAAAAGGCGGCCAACCTAGGTTTTGTACTGTATAACATTGTACGCTGTCTTACATTAATATTCACAGGACAATATCCTTGACACTCTAGATACAAATGAGCCTCTATGCCCGTCAGATCCACAGCTAGTCAGCGACACGCCCGACTCCCTTCGATCTCTTACAAACTTGGGCCATGTGTTGGTAAGAACAAGATACTTGATACTGGTCTCAGCCCTATCGAACACGGTCCCGTCGAACGTCGCAGGTATTTCACCCCAATATGCGATGCGGTCCGCCATTGCCCTCAGCTCAACATCGGCGTTGCTGTTCGTCCTCGACCCAATGATCGGCCTCTCGGACGCGTGCGAAGGTCGCCCCGCCTGCGCCTCGCGGGGCCAACCTGAACCGGGCGCGAAAGGCGTAGCTTGGCTGTTGGCCAGTCCACGGTCACCGTACAAGACCCTTGCTGCCTTCTCGAAGATAGCCTCCAGGCCGGTCTTATCCTGGAAGGAGATGTTGATTGGGAATTCGGCGTCCTTGGGGCTGATGAAATCCACATAGATGTGCAGGGCCTTGTTGTATGCTTCCCTTGCTGCTTCGCCCTCGCCTGTGGCCCGGTACCGACTCCTCCATTCGGCGACAGCCGTGAGGAACGCGACGTTCTCCCCTGAGAAGTCCTTGAGTGCCGAAAACTGTCGGAGTGGGTCCGGGTTGTGCTCTAGGACGTACTCCAGGGCACCCATGCTCAACATGCTCTCCCCTGAATAAGCGGTGCCCACCGAGTCGATCGTACTCGACTTTTCCACAGCAGATATGGTCTTCCACGTTTTCTGGGATGGGCTTCCTCCTATGACGCTGGTAGCGCCCAGTGTTGAAGAGCCCCCGCCCCCGTGGTTGCTGCGTTTAGACTCCCACACGGCAATCATATCAAGGGTCTCTTGTCGTAGTGATTGCTGTTTCCACACCTGCCAACATGGGAAAAATACAGACATTATCTCTATGAGCATAATAGAAATTGCAATCCTAGGGATTTGTTAGTCTTGTGATGGATGTAAGTCCACTTTGGAATTGACCCACCATTGTGGAGGTATCCAGTATCTGTTGACGCGGGCCATACCGGGCACATAAAGCGATATGAGCCACATTGGCGTTGCGGGTAGGCTGGCAGGAGTTTAGTACATCATCAAGGCAATTTTCAATGTTCGATCATCCAGGTAAACATACCCTGCGAGGCAACAAGTAAGTGTTTGTGTTCTCCACCCTAAGGTGTCGTGTATCCGTCTTGCCCGCCATAGCACAACAGGAGCTACTATCCAGGACCAAAAGAACTGCCAAATTATTGAGGGCCACCTGCGGGTGTGTCAGTGTAGTCCGCCACTACCAGCGATACCCGGGCTTCACCTAGGAGGACATACCATTCCCAGCCCCGAGCCTGCTTCTGAGTTACATCCCATGGGCTCCCTACAGCCTCGGTGCCCGGTACGCCAAAGGATGGGTGGAACTTCTTGGAGAGCAGGTACATGAGTACGGTAAGGAAAAGCTAAGCAATGTTAATCTAGACATCAGGAGCACGACTCTGTGGCATGCTTTACCTGCAAACCCATGCCCATGCCGATCACCACAAGCATTTTTCGAGTATGGCTCAGCGCTTGAAATGGCCCGAGTAGTCGGCCAAACATTGTCGTAGGCGTGTGTTCTTGTTGGTAGCTCTTGCGGACGAACCTCCTCCTCTGCTGCCTAGCGACGTAAAGAAAACGGGAGTTCGAGGCATGAAATAGGGCGATGCCAAAGGGAAGATATATCCCCATGATCCAATACTCTGCCTGCGGTGGGAAAGGCTTCACAATATAGGCCATTTGTACCGCCATCCAGTAAGTATGGAGGAAGCCAATGGCGGCAAAGGAAAGGTTGAGGTCGCGAATCCGTAGCAGTGGTGTGTCCCGACGATACCACAAGAATCCCATTGCAGCACACACAAACAAGGTCCACGTGCCGCACCATGTTACCCAGAATATCCCAGCAGCATCAAGATTCAGTTGAGGTTTCGAGCTGTCCATGGTGACTTTGGGGTGACGTGGTGCTTTGCTCGAGGCAGCTTTTGTCGTCGATATGGGTCACGCATCACCAATGGACTTGAGAACAAGGACAAAAATGGCAGAGACACAGGGTGCCCACACTCTATTATTCAAAATCTGCTCTAACAGGCCCCCAAGCCCACGCCAGTCAAGACACAGGCCAGAGAGCTGCCAGGCGAGCAGGCATCCTTGGACCCTGCACAGGAAGGGCCGACATCTGCACTACTATGTGTGGCTTTGCTCGTGGTAATTATGACAGAGTAATAGCAGAGCCTCTGGCGCTAGGGACGTGATGTATCATCCGATTCGTACATGTCCTCGACCCCTACTAGGCAAAGTCCATCGACTGCGCGAGATCGCCCCATGGTTCGGCCGGGATGTCCCTCAAACACCAGCCTGCAACCCGGCGAACTCATACGCCTCCTTTGCCCAGCCCAGGGAAATCAGGGCCGCTTCGGGCGGGAAGAACATTCTGCGACCTGTGCGTGTCGTCTTTGGCCTTTTGACTCGGGGCACCTGAGTGAGTTACTGGGTTTCCGTCCGACCACAAGCTTTGGGCCACAGGAGCATGCAGAGAACATAGCCACGCTTTGAAGAACGTTTCCTAGCAGTGCCGAGTCCTCGGCCGATTGTCGAGGAAGAGGGTAGCGGTTACTTCTCGATTGGGATGTGATTTACGGCAGACGCAGATCTGCGCCCAAGTAGTTCAAACCTTATCACTGGAGCTACTGCATCTCGAGAGCCAGGCAACCAGGCTAAGGCAGGTGGGCGTCGGTTTCATCTCGCCCCTGATTGTCCCTCCCTCTGCCCTCTCCCACATCTGCGAGGATTTATCAAGGTTGGTCGGTATAGCAGAGGACACCCCTGTCTATATTCGATCGGTCCGGCCTCCGTACCTAGAAAAGATCCGGTGTGTGTGGTTCTCCCCAGGCTCCCCAAGAATCTGCATCGATCCGCGCCTTCATGAACCACGTAGAGATTTATTACCTTCCGCCTCCTTGGCAAGATTCTTCAGTACCAACCTTTGGGATATGTCTGGAACCCTTCCAAGGTGCTTGATCCAGTCTCAGAGTGGCATCCGGCAGCTCTGTCGCGGTGTAGACCGCATCCTCCAATCCTCGAATAAATATGCAGATCAAACAATGTCACTGTGAGGCAATCTCGGCAGTACCCTGTCGTTTTGTGCCGAGACGACAGCATCCCTAGCTTTTATCAAATTCTCCTCATCACTGATAGCCTTAGCAGCCCCTATCAATATACTAGTGTAGATCGATCTAGAGAGCTGGCAGCCCTGGCAGCCCTGACAGACCGGCGGGACATATACGCTCGATATCATCCCTGCCTAGGTAGAAGACAATCTGATCATTGACCACTGGGACGAGATGGATGGGTTTGGTCAGTATAGCGTCCGCCCTCGGAGCGCTAAGCGGCATCCATGGTGCGCGATCTGAGCGTCGCCGTTGCCAGGAACATGATGCGACGCGCCGCATGCGTCGTCCTTGCCATCGTGGTATTCACGGTAGAAGTGGCTCCCGCGTCCCAAAGACGCGGTAATAAAAATAACGGAAGGACGCTATAACCTGCAGTGATGGCACGGAGCTGAAAAGTTCAGACCGAAAGAAGTCGGACCATGTGGGACGGACACCTGCGTAATCATCTATAGCTAATAATAATACTAAACAAATGGGCACAGTACAACGTCCCAAGTCCTCGGCTCCAGGGATCAGGGCCGCAACGGGCGATGCCAACACACAGTGACTAGTCTAGATCGCCGGTAACAGACCTTCCCGCCGTCGACCAGCCCTGTCCCGCCGCTCAAAGCCCGGACAACCTTGCAGCCAGCACCACAGGCGAACCTGGACCCTTCGTCTCAATTCTTCTCCTCTGTTCACGGGCAGGACTTGCGCACGGATTGCCGACGAGCTCGCAGGCAGGCAGGATGGATCACATTCGGGACGGTCTGTTCCTCCCCTCCCCTCCAACTGGCACGGACATGTTACTCTTGTTGATGGCTGCAGCCACGCGACATCGGCCGTGGTGATGACGACCATCAGCTGCACGTCGACGCCGGCTGGCGGGGTGCCTGTCATGCAATAATATCAGCCACCGACCGTGCGCCGTTTGTCTTAATATCTTGATCACGGACACACTCACTCATGCCCTCAGGCTGGGGATTCTAGACGGCTCCTTTCGGGAGTTTCTCGCAAGCTCTCCTCACAGACACCAACTGCCTGCTTCTTGCTTCTTATCACATGCAAGGGAGCAAGGTCTTGCCGCAAACGCCTGCGGGCTTCAAGACGTGCTTCGAGACGTGCGGGCTTCTCAGCTCAAGACAACTGGCGAGGGGCCCCTGCAGTAGAGGCTGAGACATCCTGGGCCCAGAAATCAGCGGCCCCGTGGGCTTTTCACAAAGGCAAGGGAGCCAGCAGCTAGCCGCCACCGCAGCAGCCGCAGCAGCCTCAGCATAGTAGCCCCAGATCCTGGACGCCATGGGGCCCTCTGCGGGGCCCCAAGGATGCTACGCTGCGCGGTGTTAGATGCGACGACCCGGGTCTCGCTGAGGTGTCCCAATCGGAGAGCCTCGAAGGGGTGAAGAGACAGGCGGATAAACATTAGTAACAGCCGCCGATGGACCACCTTGTAGTATTCCATACGCCAGATTTAGCCAGAGGAAGTACACAGAGCCCGGCAGAGAGGCAGGCCACGCTACGTGTGACGCGTTGCAGGGAGAGACTGCCTGGATGCACTGCAGGGCCGTGTGATATGTTGCGTGCATGCAGACAGCTGATCTGCCGTCACCCACAACTGCTCAACATCAGTAATAGCAGGAGCCTACTATCGTCTGTCACGGATAAGCCGCGGCACTACTTCCCTGCTCGTCAAACAGGCTTTAAGGTGCCAAACAGATGCCTCCACCGCGGTACGCTAGTGCACGTTCTAGGGGTGTTCACTTTATGCTGAACGTCGAACGCTGCCCTTGTGGATCAAGAGACTCACTCCATGATTCCGCGTGATTTTCGACCCATGAATCTGCATGTACATAGTCACTGTTTGTTGTGTAGGATGGGGAAAATGTAAGTTTGGACGGAGTGACTGAGTGGCTATCTATCGACAATATCCCGCCAACCTCGGACTCAGGACAGCTGTACCTCGAACCCCTCAGTGAGCGGCTTGTCCAAGTTGAAGCTCACTGCGCCGCTGAGTGCGTCCTTCAGCACGGCGGTGTCGTTGCCGGACGCAGGCCCGCCCAGGATGGTGACCTTGGCCACGTTAACGGCGTCGCCATAGCCGAAGCTGCCAGTGGCTGCGAGCTTGCCGTCCGCGTACTCAAACTGCACGAGGGTGGTTGCGTCGCCTTGGTCCAGGCTGACGCCATCGTCTAGGTACAGCTGGCCACGCGCGGTGCCGTCGGCGCCGAGCGGGATGACCAGCTCGAAGTCCTTCTGCCGCAGTTCTGTGGTGGTCATGGCCGACTCGGTCCGCAGCGGCACGATCACGCCGCCTCGGAGGAACAGCGGGATATCGGTCAGATTCTGGTCCGTCAGCGTGGTGTAGCCGCCGGTCGTGGCGACCTGTACGCCGGTGTACCAGTCGTAGAAGATGTCGTCGGGGAAGTAGACATCGACACTCGTGCTATTCTCTTCCGTCACGGGTGCCACAAGCAGGGCGTTGCCGTAGAAGTACTCCAACTCCAACCCGAACGCCTCCTCGTCCTCTGGATAGAGATAGAACACGGGGTTGAGCAGCGGCGTCCCATCGACGGTCTGCTGGTACAGCGCTGTGTAGATGTAATCGAGCAGCCGGTAACGGATGTCGAGTACCTTGCGCGCCGCCTCGGCGACAGTGTCCCAGCGGTAAAACTCCTGAGGGATATTGGGAACATACCCATTGTGGTTTCGGAAGAAAGGCTGGAATGCACCGAGCAGCGTCCAGCGAGCACAGAGCGGCTCGGTCGTATTGTCGCCAAAACCGCACACGTCGGAACCAACCATGGGAACCTGGTAGACAGAGGCGAAGGCCAGCATGGTCCGGATAGACTCACGGTACTGAGCCCAGTTTGAGAGGTTGTCGCCGAGCCAGTGACCCACCTTTGCACCGGCACCAGCGAAGGTGGAGCGGGTGATGATCAGGGGCCGCAGTTCAGGTCGTCGCTCAAGCATTGCCTCACGAGATGCCACAGACATCATGGATCCGTACAGGTTGTGCGTATCGTACATTGTCAGGCCGTTTTGGTGGATGAGATCCGTGTTCACGGTGTGATTCGAGAGCCCTCCTTCTGCAGCATTCCATTCCGGAAGGTATGCGGCTTTGTTGTGAATCGCATACTTGGGATACAGCAGATCACGCCCAGGCAGACCAAGCTGCTGTCCTGGCTCTTGGCGGACACGGAGATCGACTTGTTCGGGCGTCGGCCCTCTAGGCTGGCCCCGGAGCGACCCTCGAACCTCGAGGCCGCTCTCACGAATGCTCCTTGACCCGATCTGTGCAGTTGTGTTGCAGTCCGATCCTGGTGGCTGGAAAGCACAAGGCCAACCCGGTAGCGGACGCGGCCATGTCCGTACAGGCGGCGGCTCGGGTGGGTTGCCGCTGGTTTCTGCTTGCTCGTAAGGATTGTCGCAAGGGAAATTGCAAGCAAAGTTGGATGGCTCATTCATGTCGATCCAGAGGGCATCGATGTCAACTCCAGTGTCTGGGTCAAAAAAAAGTGCAAACTCGTTGTTCCAATACGACGAGATATTCGAGGCGAACCAGTCGGGGAAAGCGGTGACACCTGGCCAGACGACGCCCTGCCAGACAGAGCCGTTCTCGCGGAGCAGGAAGATGTTGTCCTCGACTCCACGGTTGAAAGCTGGGTAGTCGTAGTAGGCAGTCGCTGGGTCAACTGTGGTAGTATTAACGTCAGTGCTCGTTCCACAAGGCGTCACCCCAATCCTTGTCCGCTCATGTCATGCCTTCTTTGCACAATGAATGCCATGCACTCCAGAATGTACCTCGGTCGCTGAAAAGTCGAGCATGGCGCTGTTCTGCGACCCCGGACGCAGAGGCGTCGGGGTGGTGAGCAGACAGTATGTATCACGAAAGGGCTCAAACTCGACATTCTTGCGCACAGATACGAGGTTTTACGACTCTGTCTTTCCATGTCTCCCTCCCAAACAGGGAGGATATACTGCGGCTCATAGGGGACAGCAAGGCACTCACCCATCACGATGTAATGCTGGTCGTTCTCATGCAGGTGGTCTACAAGCTGCCGGACGAGGTCAAGAGGGAACCTCTCGGGGTCAAGTGAGAAGACCCGGCGAAGCTCCATATAGTCGATGTCAGTCCACATGGTCTCCAAGGGGATGGCGGCCTGGCTGTAGTTGTAGACAACCTCAGCGACGTCGAAGACGTCTTGGTAACCGTAGCGGCACTGGTGGAAGCCGAAGCCCCAGTAGGGCATCATGGCCGGCAGGCCCGCGATCTCAGCGTACTGGCGCGAGACGTCCAGGGGGCCGGGGCCGGCGACAAAGTAAAAGTCGAAGATGCCGCCGAGCGTATTGTATTCGAGGTACTGGCCGGCCTCGTCGGTGCGGTTGATGAAGACATCCATGCCGTTGGAGTTGAGCAGGAAGACGCCATGGGTGCCGGCGGCCCCGCGGTGCTCGAAATAGACGGGGTGGTTTCCGTACAGGTTTGCGTCGTTGGGGATGCCGTATGAGTCCTGCGACCACAGCGTGCGGATGTAGTCGGTGGTGTTGAGGCGGAAGGGATCCGAGTGCTCGCCCAGGCCGTACAAGTTCGGGTCGTCAGGCAGGCTGGTCCGCAGGCGCAGATACTGCGACTCGAAGACGAGGCTGGCGGCCGATGTGTCGAACAGGAGCTCACCGGTGTCGGCGCGCGAGATGTTGAAGGAGAAGGGCGACTCGACATAGCCGAACCTGAGTGCTGATGTGCCGTTGCCGGCGGAGCTGGCGGAGCTGGCGGATGGGCGGGGGAAGACGGACTCGGGGACCTGGTAGACGGAGTTTGCTGCGTCCTGGATCTTGACGTGGATGCGGGTAGCAGTCTCGTATGTGACCTCAAGGGTCAGGTCCTGCAGGTCGTCGCCGTACACATTGCACGCAGGCCCTGCCAGGGCCAGGTCGGCCGTGAGGCCGGTAGCCGTGGTCTTGACATTGGAAGCCGAGTAGCCGGGACAGGCAGCGAGGAGGTCGTCGCCGGGTGCATCTCTGAGCGCCACAGAGGAGGGAGGGGCTGCGTACGCCAGGGTGGCAAAGAGCCAGTGGAGGAGGGCTGGCTTTGCCATGGTGAGGGGGCGCGTGGCGGTGATGTTTATTCTGCCCTCTTGCTCTGGCGGTGCCAAGGGCTGGCGCGTGCAGGTTGGGAGTGAGGAGAGGTCCGAGTCAGAGATGGGAGGAGTGACATGAGACCTTCTTATATTGTCTTGACATTAGAGGCTGGGCCAGACATTTCCCCAGTAAGCGAGAGCCTGTTCGAAGGGAGCTCGTATCCACACCCAACAAGGGCTTGTGTGTAGGCTTCAGGCTTCCCCTCACGATCCTCAGGCAGGGAACAGCTGACGTCGAATGACGACCATGGCATCTGCTGGCCGTCTTACAAACTTGTTAGACCAGCACCAGACAGACTACCACAGTGGTTGGTGCCTGGCTGACTTGGTTGCTTGGGTGGCAGCTGGGTGGCTGCAGCGAGACCCCGGCCTTGGCGCGGAGAAACGGTGCATGTGCTGGCCAGGGGCAAGAGGCGGGAGAGGGCGGGATTGGTACTGGGAAGCTGCTATTGCATGGTCATCGGGCCGTGGACGGTGCAGCGAGGATGGTGTATAATGGTGGCCGTCCCGGCTGACGGCGAAGGCGAGGATTTGAGCGACATGAGGCCGAAGGGTGCTGGAGGCTGGAGCTGTCGGGCAACGGGCAGGTGAGCTTGGTGAGGTCACCGCACTGTTGCCCCTCATCCCGGGATCCCCCTGCCCCAGCGCCCAGTCCCCCACAGCAAGCTGGCGAATTGCAGGCCTCGAGGGGCCCCAATGCGGTATCTGAGTCTTGACCATGTACCCCGCATTTTAGCATTCTCTGGGTGGGGAAATTGGCAGAGCCCACAGTCACCGTGTCAGTGTCAGTCTGCCCAGGTGACTCTGAACTTGGCAGCTTGGCAACGGGACGAACCTTGTCGTCTCAATTGCCATCTCATCCAAAGCTCATGGTCAGAGAATACTTTTCTTGGCTTTTGCGGAACACTGGTAGCAGCACTTGAGGGAACAGTCAGTACATATATACTCACGTACGTGTTAGGTACATGCCCGAGTCTCTAGCTCGCAGGCACCATGATCCTGTCCACATCCGGCCCGTACGTCCCATCAGTCTGCGAGACAACAACAACATTATCACTGCCAGACCGCAGCGCACAGTTGACAACACTCGACCCCGGGGTCCCGTTGCCCGAGGCCGTCGGCAGGAACGCAACCTTCTGCTTTACCCCGTTGCACGACACGTCCGCGTACCGCTGGGAGCTGTCACCGTTCTGATACTTGATCCGGATGGTGCTGGTCGTGCCCGCGCTGCTCGCCACCCCGTTGAACGTCACCGTGCCGCCGGTGCTGCCCCCAATGTACCCGGCCGCCGAGCCCCCGCTGCACCCGCTGCAGCTGACCGTCTTGGCCCCGTTGGTGAGCACCGCCGTCTCGCCCTCGGGCTGGCTCTCGCTCGGCCCCACCGTCCACGCCCCGCCCCCGGCCACGTTGGGGATCCAGTTCACCTGGTTCGCCATGCTGACCGTCGTGCCCGAGAAGGTCAGCGGCAGCCACACATAGGTCGATGCCAACAGGTTGCTCGACACCCAGCGGTCGCCCATGTACATCGTCAGGCTGTTGGACACTGGCAGGATGTAGTTCGTCTGCGACGTGTACGTGTTGCTGCCCGCCGTCGCAAAAGTCGTCCAGGCCGACCACCCGGACGACAGGCTCGTCGAATACGTGTCTTGTTGCTGACGTCAGTCCTGCTGCGGGTCCTAAGGAGAAGAGTGACGATACTCACAGACATTGTCGTTCGCGTTCCACCCAGTCAGCTTCGACGCAAACAGGAAGTAGTAGCCGTTCTTCTTCACGATCGCAGGCGCCTCGTAGCTACCAAACGTGTAGACGGCAGACGAGACGTTCAGGTAGTCCGAGGTGAGAGCGTCGATCCGGAGGCCATTGGCACGCTGCGATGTGAGGTCGGTCAGTCGAGGGCGGGCAGTGAGTGATGGGATTGCAGGAGGGGCCAGACATACATCCTCCGTCAACAGGTAGGCCTTCCCATCATCGTCCTGGTAGAGCCCGATGTCACGCGACTGGAAGCCCAGCGGCCGCCAGCTGCCCAGGTAGTTATACTTGCCGCAGACAGAGTCCCCCGTGGCAACCCCGACCTTGGCCTCCCCGTACGACGAGTCGTCGATGTGCAGGTACATGACATACTTGCGGGTGGACGAGTTGTAGATGACCTTGGGCCTCTCGACCACCCGGTTGGGGCCGAGGTCGCCCGACGCCCCGCGCGACAGCAGAGCGCCGACATATGTCCACGACACGAGGTCCTTGGACGAGTAGCAGTTGACGTTCTGGAACGCCGAGCCCGTCGTCTTGTCCTCGCCGATCAGGTAGTACGTCCCGTCGACCTGAATGACCCCCGCCCCGTGCGCCTGGACGTGGGCGCCCGTGTTGGTCTGTGGGAGGATCGTGTCGTCAGTAACTCATGCGCTTTGAAGCTGTGAGGTGCGTGCGGGATGCGCTGGCTTGCTTACACCGGTCAGTGTCGCCCCGGGCACAATCTGGAGGGAAGCATAGGCCGCGCCTGCTGAGAGCAGCAGCGAGAGGGAGCGGAACAGGTTCACCATCGTGACAAGTGGTGGCTGGGGCGCTCCTGAAGTCCGAATGGTACGCGCAGGAAATTCCACACACGCGCTGCTTCTTCACTGTACACCTAGGTGCTCATATCTCAGGGCTCAGTGGCAGACAGACAGACAGACAGACGCACGGCCAAGCTCCCCGGGAGGCATTTCTCCGCCGTGGAAACATGTCTCTTTTATGTGTCCTCCCCTTCACACACACATACACACACACACGCGCGAGGTTCATGCAGGTCCCACCCGCGCGCTGAAAGTGCCACCCCACCGCGGTGCATATTGATACGACAATCAGGCCCAGGCTCCGACACCCCCGAGGGCGGAGTAGAAACGTCCGAATCTAGAAGTTCGCTGCGACCCACGAGCACCCCTCGTGACCTCGTTCCTGAGTAGGGAATCTGGGAATTCGATATATTTGGGGTTCCATCGCAGCTACTGTGTACCGGCAGTCGCACGCTAGGAATCCGGGGTAAAGCGACCGTGGTAATATGGACCGGCGAGAACAACGTGAAGAATCATGCAACATGTAGCATGGTGTACTCCGTACAGGCGGGTGCCCTCAGTTCGGTCCCGCGGGCGACTGGCAGGGTTGCAACGCAGTGCACATGTGGGCCCCGCCGGGCCATCAATCAAGCGATGATCCTGACGATCCTGGCCGGTCCACGCTGCCCTGTTAGCTCTGCGCCGAGGCTCGCCTTGACCTCGGTCACCGCTTGTCACATACACGCGACAGCAGCTCAGCCAGGCTTCCATAGAAATGCGGTGCTTCTGTTCGTGGTTGGACCGAGGGTCCAAGTTATCAATCAAGGTTGAGTAGCACAAAGTCTTCGATGTTCGTCTGGGCCACGAGTCTCAGCAGGTGAGAACACTCAATCAAGTATGTACAAAAAAGGGCTCCACATCGCACGATGGAAATGAACCGCTATGCCAGCAAACCCACACCAATTGGTTTTCAACAACACCGCGGAGGTCGCGCATGATCCTAACTCCCGCAAATAAAGATAGAAAACGCAAAAATCAGTAACCCATTTGCGTCGCGCAAAGGGACACCCTATGGGAGGGCCGTCACAGATCGCTCCGTTCATCGTAAAGGACTCGTAAGGACTGGCACAGGGACTATTTCCCAAGTTCCAAGTCAAGACCTGTAGACCCGCGGGAGGTCTTTCGGAAATGCGTTCAAAAATTCCATCCCCAGGGATTTCATAAAACCTTTTGAGCCCTGTTCACACTCCGTCGTGTGTCCGCATCATGCCTTTCAGCCTCTGAAACTTTTCATCAATCCCTCCCGGTAGCATTCATTCGAATCCTCATCAGGGTGGAACAGGCGAAGGCTCTTCTGGGCGTGCCATGTCTGCGCTTCAAAGCCGCACGCTTCTAAATTGCTTATGCAACATGCAGCCAGAATACCAGCAGCTTTTCGGTAAACTGTGAGACTGTTGGGCATTGGTCGCATGCGGACCTTCCGAGGTCGTTCCGTTTCACCAATGCCGGTAGGTCACCTGTGGGTTTGTCTCGCAAGACACACATGCTATTCCAGGCTTGCTTCGTCCCAAGCACGTGGCTTTTTCTAGGTGATATCCCGCTGTGTGAATTGCAAGAGTTGGTGTGGCTCTAATCATGCCGCCCCCCCCCCCCCCACAAACGCCCTTTTCCGTCCTTCGGAGGGGGATCTCGTGGCAGCCTGAGTGCCCTAAGAGGTCATGTGTGGAGGCTGTATTCACAAACCCGATCTCTTCAATGCGGAGGCGCCGCGCTGCCTTCGGACAAAGGCGAATGGGCTCTGATTTCGCATCACGAGTGCCGCCTGCGCGTCCGTAACACAGCTAATCTCCTAGTCGTCTGTGTCCATCCGGTCGTCGTGCATCGCGGTGGATGTTGCTACTACAATTGAGTTGGGATCGTGCTCGTCGTCTTCGATGTTGTCTTCGATGTTGTCTTCGACGTTGTCTTCGAAGTTGTCTTCGGATTTCTCGCCACCTGCGATGTCATCCAGCTTGTCCGCCTTGTGCTCCACCCCCAGCTTGCCTCCGTCCGAGATGAAGGAGCTATTTACGATGGAATCGCGTCGCTCTATATCTCCGTTGCTGGCGTTCTGTGTGGAGAACCTGTATCCCCCATTTTCATCCCGCTCGATGATACCTTCATCCAGGGCCCACTTGGCCAGCATGGGGTCGACGCCAAGCCTAATACCGTCTCCCTTCTCCATGTGGCGACCTACGTGCTCGGTCCACTCGTCCCAGGCGATATGACCCTCAAACTCCTTCCCACATTCGGGCTTGGGGCAAGCAACCTGTTGAGGCGGTTCGCGGCGTGTGACCAGGCAAGACTGCTGTAAGTCTCTGACATGATTGTCCCAGTCGGAGCTCAGTTTGCTGTCGACTTTTGACAGTGCCTTTTTGATGGCGAATGGGGCGTGCATCCTCCTCAGGTGTTGTGTGAAGAGGTCCTTCCTGTTGAATTCATTACCTTTGCCCTCGGCGGCACTGGATGGGCACTCTGAACAGCGGTAGTACTGCAGACACAGGTGCTGGGATGCGATATGTCTCTTCCATTCATTCTTGGAGCCAAATGTGCTGGTGCATCCGGCAAAGGAGAAAGCACAGGGGAATGGCCGGGTATGGGCAGCCGCGATGTGCTTGCGCAGCGACGAGGAATCTTTGAAAGGAGCATGGCTGCAGTGGCTGCACCGGGTGTCCTGTTTCGGCTGCGCCTTTGCAAGAGGTTTCCGCGCGGGTGTGGTCGGCTTTGGTTTCGGTACAGTACCGTTCAGGTCCGCAGAGTAGCGAACATCTTCCATGCCAGACTCACTGGCGCCGTTTGAGGATGGGGAGTCCCGTTGACGTGGGTCAGAGGCGGCGCTTGCCGCCCCGTCGCTCATGTGCCTGACGTGACTCAGTGCCTTCAGCTGCTCGGCTGCCTCCTTCATCTCGGCCGAGTCCTCGCCGTCGTCCCTTGCCGGAGCCGTATTAGCCAGCACGGTCGCTGAGGGGGCTGAGCTCGGGAGAGGATTCCTCGTGGGCGGCGCCTCCTGCCGCATTGGCAACTCTGAGTAGCTAGACGCCTGCTGGGCAATCGCCTCGTGCCGCCTCTTGCTGGCTGGGCTGCTGGCGGCGGCCTCTCGGGCCTCGAGAAGGATGCGGCCATCCTCCATTGCCTTGTGGTTGAGAGGCGGTACAGGCGTGGACTTGACTAGACCATTGTACAGGTCTATCATGTTGTGGGAATTGATGTAGCCCAGGAAGCAACAAACCTTGTCGTGTTGGAAAACATTCCAGGTGGATTGGGGCATGGAGATCAGGAGCATGGTTGGAGGCCCAAGGAACATGCCTTCCATGGTTATCTTGGAAGCGATGGGCGGTTTCTTCTGCAGCCACTGGTTGTAGAACATCATGTCCGGATTCGCGTCACCGACGAAAGTAGTGCAGACTAGCACTCTAGCCTCATCAAACGTAAGGTCAGGCAATGGGCCGGATCCAGTGCCATCTTTTGTCTCTGTGTCATGTGTGGGGGTGCGCATCGGGCGAATAGGTGCCAGGGTCAGATTCTGAGTCTTGCCCGGGGTGAGTGGGAAGAAAGTCGGGGCCTTCTCCGGGAGCGGCTTACCCGCCCCACCGTTGCTGAGCCTGGCGGCCAGGTCGTCACTCCTGCGACGCATGATCTCATCGTGTAGGCGCTGCGCAGTAAAAGGCCTCCCGGAGCTGAGCTTGTACAGAGAATCAACCAGGTGTGCTGTGAAGGAGCGAGTGGGATACTCGGCATCTCGCTGGCTGGGCGTGTAGGCCGCGATGGCCTGCTTGACCCCGTTGCTGCCAGCCACGGGGGCATCGTGGATAGCACACGTGTCAAGGAGGAGGAGGATGTCGGATGAGGCATCCTCGAAGAGACACCGCACGCCGCTCCACTTGAGCTTGCAGGCATCCTCGCGGGTGTTGCTACGGAGCATGGTCAGTCTGCTGGACACACGATGCCTGGCCCGAAAGAGTGGCATGGCACCTGTCGGGACATGTTTACTTACCTTGCCCAATACAGCTGCTTGTCGGCGCCGACGTAGCCATGGCCGGCGTAGTAGATGATCAGCAAGTGATCGCTCCTCGCATTGTCCATGAACCCGGCCATCTGGAGGCTGAGCTTGATGCTAGGGTTTGGCACGGTGGGTATTGCCCACTTGTCGGTGTGGTAGTTGTACTTGTCGCGGAAGACCTTCTCCAGGGCGACCAGCTCGTGCTCCACGGAGGTGTCCTCCTCCCAGCGCAGGAGCAGGACGGAGGCGCTGGTGTAGGAGGGCGTCTTCTCCATCTTGCGGTATATGAGCATGGCGGCATCCTGCAGGTGGCGGGCAAAGGATTCAAAGTCATGGCGCTCAGCGGCATGGGCTTGCGCATGGGCAGGTTCCTGCACGGGAAAGTGCTGGCGGGTCTGTTTTGTGAGGACATGGCAGTCAGCCCAAGAAGAAGCACGCGCAGTAGGGCATCTGGGGTCGAATTGGCCCGGGGGCTCACCTGCTCGGGGCTGTACTGGGCCTGTTGGGGCGTGGTCGCAGGGGTGGGAACAGTGGCGGCTGCTGCTGCTGCTGCTGCGGCCGCGGCTACTGAAGCTGTGGGAATAGGAGCAGGTTCTGGGACCTTGGGCGCAAGCCTGCGTCGCTTGTTGGGAGGATCCATCTCGAGCGGTGCCGGGCTGGGCTGCGGCGGGCCGGGGCTGATGCGTGGGCGGCAGATTAATGCGGATTGCACACAGCTTGAACCCCGGGGTGCGGGTTATTCGAATACCATGGAACAATGAATTTGTTGGCGGCGGGCGGACGAGGGCAGTGGGCAGGGTGGTCGAGGTGGAGGTGGAGGTGGAGGTGGTTGCGGTTGTGGTGTTTGGCCGTGGTGGACAGGCAAATTGTTGGATGGGGGTAAGGCTGGGGCACAGAGAAGGGGGCGAGGCTTCAGCCCTCGTAGCGGTCGGCGAGGCGGGCAGCCCTTTGAGAAAGCGGAGAAGGTGGCCGGCTAAGAGCCCAAGACCTGGTCTACACAGCACAGATGGGGGGTTGCAGGAGGTGCTGCGAGGTGAGAGGTGAGGACTGAGCAAGTGGGGAGTAATCAGGTGGGTCTCACTTATCCACCGGGCTGCACTGCGAGCCTCTCGACCACTCAGCAGCGGCCACAGGCGGGCGGCACGCTGGCACGGCGGTCTAGTGGTGAGGGGTGTGGGAAGCTTGGAGCTTCTCTTCTGCTGTGGCTGTGGGTGCACGACAGCCTTGTATCTCTACTTCTGCTCGCACGTGCAAACGCCCGCCAATGCCCGCAACCCCAAGTCGCTGGACCTGCGCCGGAACCCAATGAGACGAGGCCACCACAAACGCAAAAGCCTCGAGTGGATGGCGACCCTGTGGCCTCGCCTTTCCTACTTTCCTCCTACCCACACCGTCTTCGCTCTTGCCTCCCCCGCCCTTCTCTTGTCTTCTCTTGCCTCCTCTCTCCTCTCCCCTCGGACTTTTCCCTCGCCGTCCCTCTCTCTCTCATTGTATCCCCCGTGCCACCCCCCCCCAGAACCCCAATCAGGAGCCAGGCCGGGCCACGACGTGCAGCATCGGCACGTCCAGCCCTCCTCCCCTCACCTGCGCTGTCGGCGGCCACGTCAATTCCAAGATCCCAAGCTCCCGAAGGCCCCAAGGCTCCAAGGCTCCAATCAGAGTCCTGCTACTCCAAGTTACTCCTTGGGCTCTGGCCTTTCTCCTCTCATCAACCTTCTGGTTTCGCCAGCTTCCGGGACTGGCTGTGCTTTCCAGTGAAAATGCCGCCTTTCCAGGGCTTGTCGTGCCCAATAGCCGCTCAGTCCCAGGTGGGGGCCTTCCCACCCCCAGACGCATCAATCAGCCAATCAGCGAAAAGCCGTAGCCCGTCCTACCATACAATTAGACTAGGCACTTAGACTGCACATCAAGCGTGCAATTCTGACCGCATAGTCAGCCGTTCCCTGGCCTCGGCCTCGCATTCTGTTCTCCAGCCTGCGTAATCGCACAATTCCCCGCCACCTTCTCATTGCCCCCTGCCAAATACCAATCGCAGGCCACAACCCCCAGTAACTCGTACTTACTTGCCCAAGCCACACAAGCCCCCCGGGGGCCCAAGGACGCACCTCTTATCATTCCATGATTCCATCATTCCGCCTGCCTGCCTGCCTGCCTGCCGCCGTCCGTGTAATTGAAACAATCTCGCCATCATGCGACATGTTCCATTCCTCAACCATGATAACGTAAGACATGACCGCCGCCTCGGGCCATCATCCTAAAGTTGTCGGGCCAGCATCATCTTGATCCCGCCCCGACGGACCGCCTCTGTACTACCACTGCTGTCATCGTGGTGGCCAAGGCGCATTTTACATCATTGACCGCTCTCAAGTGCTCAGGCGTTGACTACTAGTTCCAATCAATGGTCAGAGTCAGGGCCGATGTGTGCACAGAAGCAGCAAACAAAGCGCCAGGGGCAGGACCTCGGGGAGTCTCCATGCGCAAGGTACTACATGTATGAAATGGTACACATCTTGGCACTCGTCCACTGAGCACTAGATTATCATTTCACATCTGTCAGAGCCTTTCGTGCGCGAACTTGCTGTTGATGCCGCTGTGTATGTATCGAAAGTGTGCCTCTTATCGACGCGAACAACGCTACACAAAGGCAAAACAACTCGCTGGGGCAATGCGTCGCTAATACTGGCAGCCATCTCATGTTGTTCTCCCCGCAGGCCTATCAGGTCTCGAAACAGGTGGTTATGGTTTCGTTTCTAATCCCAATAATGTAGCACCTTGATACAGTGGTAAACGCTCAAGACCCAGCATTTTTAAAACATCTTGTGTCGATAAAAGTGGTCTCTTTTTATTGCACTCTGTAACGTCGAAGACCCCGTTGGCCCCTGCAGCGGATTTTTGGTAGCTTGAGGGCTGTCTCGTTATATTCCTGTTGTAGAGTCTTGACGAGTTGCTGTATGGATTGGAACTTTTTCGTTCCAGCCATAGTCATCGGAAGGGGTTTCAGATATCGATAGATGGCGGTGAGGCTGAGGACGTCATGAGCATCACCGGGCTATCTGCTCGGAACTGTCCTTGATAGCTGGTCAGAACCTTCCATTTCATAGCGACAGGTTGTGGTAAGGCCGACTAGAATGCGCCCAATGTGTGATATTCGTGGCTAAAATGGGCTTTATGACCTCATGTAATGCAGAGGTAAGTTTTAAATAGTCAGAAACCCCTGCCCCCTATTTTTTTATTAGAAGAAGAGGAAATTCGTATTATCTCTCATTTGCTACTATAATTGAATTCACTATCCCTACATTGAAGGCACACAGCTCCTAGACTGAATCTTCATCCTTCTCATACTGCTTGTCGTGCAAGTGCACTTTTTCATTTCCCGCCTGTGGCCACTGAATCTTCCTGCGTGTTCGTCTTGAAAAAGAAAATCCCAAAATCATTCTCATTTCAATTTTTGCTCTGACTCAATTGGTCATACATCAACATAGTGTCATCCTGAAGCTGTTGGGATTCAAAATTCAAGAAATGACGCGCTTGCAATGGCCGGGCGTCGCCCTTCGAGCTCTTGGTTGCCATGGCCATTTTTCTTGCAAAGCCTTCATCTTCTTTCAAATATCTACGGTGGGTGGCACTTGGAGAATCTTCTTTCACATAGGCACATCAATGATGGAACCAACTGACAAATTCAGGCTTTGTTCTGATGGCTTGATAACCAATAATGTGCACATGTGAGCTTGTAATAAGGATAAACTCTTGCTTCACTGTATAAAAGAGTTCGAGACTTCTGTCCTATTATACCACATCTTCTGGAAACCAATCACGTATTACAGTTTGATCGGCTGCGCGGCTATAGCCTGGTAAACAAAATATTTATACATACTGAAAAATGCATAGCCGAGTCAAATATTCCGAATCGAATCTCATAAGGAGAGCATCACTTCTATTGAAGATCACCAAAGAAAATGTTATCGAAATATTTGAATGTCTGAAACCCGAGCTCTGCTTTCGCTTATTTCAACTGAATGTTCTAAAGTTGTTATGGTCAAGTCTATGTGGTGAAAACTTCTCCATTATTTTTGCTGTTTATGGAACACATACTAGCATCCACCGTATGAAGGCGCCATGTATGTCCTCGGACGTATACGGAATAGAAGCGAAACCACATACACGTGAGTCTCTGAAGAGTAGTCTACAGGACTTAGCACTATTTTTCGGTGGGTACCTAGGTAATGTCGTAACTAGGTAGAGATTCACAGTCGCGTACACGCGCGTTGAGTTTCGTCAGGATCCACCCCTCACCGGGGTCCTCTCAGGTAGAGACGCATCTCAACAGCCGCAGGGAATAGCCGTGCAAAGCTAAAAACGCTACGGCGGCGGGTGATCGTCAATTGCCACACCCTCGCTCTCGGCGTTTGGGGTTGCGGGGAAAGGCAGCCGGTACTCGGTTCTTTAGCATGCGTACAAATGCCAGGAAAATAGACTTCGGCTTTCGCTGCAACTGCCTGAGTCTCTCGTGCATTGTGACCTCAACTACCTAGGTACCTTAGGTCCGCTATCCGGGCAGGCCAGCGGTTTACCCAATTATTAAAAAGGACCCATCTCTTCGCTGTCTCGACCCGTTGCTTCAACCTGGCCGCTTTACCTGCCCGGATGAAGACCGTCGTCGCCATCTCTCTCACTCAAATTTGATTTCACCATGGTATCTAACACCGATGAGATCGAGGGCAAGGTTTCTGAGGTTGCTCATGGCGACGTCGGCAAGTCGCTGGCGGTGTCATGGGACAGCGAGGCGGAGAAGAATTTGAGACGGAAATGTGACCGGCATGTGTTGCCGTGCATTACTCTGCTCTTCTTCATGTCTTTTCTCGATCGGACAAACATTGGTGAGAAACCCAGAACAATTTCTTTCTTGGCGACTACTCCCAAGGTCCGCTTATTGAACAGACACCAGGCAACGCGAGGATCCAGGGAATGGTAGAAGACCTCAACATGACCGGTCACGACTACAATATAGCGCTTTTTATTTTCTTCGTGCCATACATACTTTTTGAGGTTCCCAGCAATATTATTATCAAGCGCGTTGCCCCTTCAACGTGGCTCAGCATTATCATGGTAAGGTTTAGCCCCATCTTGATCAGTCCGAAACAACTGGTTTAATTGGAAGCTGACTTTATCTGATCCAGATCCTGTGGGGCATCGCCACTGTTGGGCAAGGCCTAGTCAACAACGTCGGCGGCCTTATTGCCTGTCGATTCCTTTTAGGACTCTTCGAGGCCGGTGTCTTCCCCGGTAATTCACACATCTCTGATATATGGATTCACTTCTCCGTAACTCAGGCTGACCCCAACAAGGATGCGTCTATCTAATTAGCATGTACTACCCTCGTTTTGAGCTGCAATGGCGTCTCTCGCTGTTCTTTTCCGCGAGCATCATGGCGGGCGCAGTCTCTGGCCTTCTGGCTTATGCCATCGCCAATATGCGCGACGTCGGCGGGTACAATGCGTGGAGATGGTGCGTTTTTGCCACCCACTCTGATGTGAATGGCACAGAAAGAGCCCTTAATTGAGCGCCCGTGCTTATGAAAGCATCGAACAGGATCTTCATCATCGAGGGCCTCGCGACTGTAGTCATTGGAGCAGCATCAAAGTTCTTCACGGTTGACTGGCCGGAGACAGCCAAGTTTCTCAGCGATGATGAGCGGAAAATCCTGATCGCTCGACTTGCACAGGATCGGGGTGAGGCCAAAATGGATCGCCTAGACAAAAAGTCAGCAAAGCGCATTTTTAGTGACTGGAAGATTTATTGCGGTATTTTCATGTATTTTGGGTGGGTTGACTCTTGAACTTAATCCTATGGCCCTAATCCAGCACTTGAGCTGACCAGGAGCTGTAAACCTTCCAGCATAGTCAACACGGGATACAGTGGATCAGTCAGTCTCAGCTCCGAGCCATGGGCCAACATCAGTAAACACTAATCAAGACGCAGTTTTTCATCCCGACGATCATCCAACAGCTGGGGTATAGAGCCGAAGAGGCTCAGGTCCGAAGCATCCCGATCTTCGCAGTCGCAACGGTGTGCTGTATTACCACGGCTTACTTGACTGACCGGATGCGTCATCGTTATACCTTCACCATGGTCGGTGTGATGGTTGCGAGCGTCGGATACATCCTGCTCCTCTGCCAGCTCAGTATCTCAGTCGGGGTGAAATACTTTGCCCTATTCCTAATTGTCAGCGGCGGCTACATCACTCAGCCTGTCACCTTGACGTGGCTGCAGAACAATGTCAGCGGGCACTACAAGCGATCTGTCGCCGCGGCCATGCAAGTCGGTTTTGGCAACTGTGGAGGCATCGTGGCTAGCAATATCTACTTTCAGGCAGAAGCGCCTGAGTACTGGACAGGGTACGGGGTGAGCCTCGCTCTTGTGTGGATCTGTGGAACTGCGTGTACCGCTTTGTTCTTTGGTGTGCGGAGAGAAAACAGGAGGAGAGATCGTGGCGATAGGGCTTGGAGGTTGGACGAGCCCGATGTGGACAATATGGGCGACGATCACCCGGAGTGGAGGTTCACAATCTAACAACTAGCCTGAGGAGGAGGAGCACTATATCATTGACAACTCGATATTTTAAAGAGATTAAATAGTTATAGTAAGAAAATAAAATAGTATATTAGTATAAGTATAATTTATATATATTAATTTTTATATAACTTTATTATTTAATTTTACTTTTATTGTATAAATTTAAAAATATATATAATAATTTTATATAAAAATAAGTGCTTAAAATCTAGTACTTAAAAAAAATAATATTAATAGCTATAATTAAAATATAATAGGTGCTTGTGGCCTTAGCTTTACAACGCATAGATAAGGCTAAGGGGTAACATCTTAACAGATCCTGCTTTTAAAAAAATAATTTTTAGTGATTTGATTTATGTCTGATAATGTGAACAGTTATGTGTATGCAATGTGTTCTGCTGCTTGTATGTAGATCGAATTCAACAATGTGGGGCGACAAGAAGTGCAGTCGTATAATGTTATCAACAACTAAGCCGGGGGCGAGCTGCTATTCCTCTAACACTGCCTAGGTGACTACAAGATCTACTTCAGTAATGTCATACTAAAATCTGGCTAATTCTTATTGACAGAAGACTGAGCACTGGGCGTCCTTTTGCAGAGCCGCTGCTACAATGGAATCTTTTCCTTGGTGACCTGGCATTTAACGAAAACAGGACAGGGATCTTCAGCTTTGACCCGCTCGGCCGTGTCGCAGAAAGATCTGATTTCCGATGGGAACCTCACTGAGGGTGGTGGGTCAGTCAACCTTGGAGCATTGGAAGGCTTCTGCTTCCAGGTGCGGATGGTAAGTCTGTGAGTAGTACTTAAGTACCTAGCCCTGGAGGTAGCTCCGGTCGGTTTACACTTTGCTTCTCCACTTCGCCTGCATGTCCGCAACAGCTTATCTCACTGGCCGTCTGCCGTTTCTCTCATCAATGCCCTGAATCGATTTCCCCAGCTTTTAGCGCATGTAACCGGCTGCGGCCTATCTCGGAGGTTGTCACCGGGAAGCTATCATGCCACATGACGCGTGACTTGGCAACGATCACTGGTCTTATCTTGCCCAGATCGCCCTTGAGGATTAGCTTGAAGTAAAATGGAAGCCATTGCCGACTGCAAATGGTCAAAGATCATAACAGAACATCCCGATCACCACCATCAAAACCACGAGCATATGCACCACCTCTTTCTGACATACGCTCAAGCTATTACTTTGAGGCGGTTTCTCACTGGCTGCTTTGTTATTATTTGACCTTCAGCATGTATATTTCCCGACCATTACTTTACGTATTGTCATTTTTCGCGGCCGTTGTATCGATAGCAGTAGCTCGCTTCATTACAAAGACTCGCAGCGCGAGAGTGCGAACAACCCGCCAGGGAGATGATGAGAAATCTGGCACATGCACACCACCAGAGAAGAGGACAGCTGGGGAATGGACATCCAGCAGCTTTCGGACTCCCAAACCCCCTCCTTACCCTGACTGGTCCATAGAGACGACCAAGCCCCTTCCCTACCGGGCTTTCCGCTATGGACCGAAGTACAATGTCACAATGGGTCTGCGGACAGTCCAGTTCGACGACTGGATTCAACTTGACAATCGCTACCCGCGGTATCACGCCGATAAGGCCCGTCGTATTGCAGAGCGTGGTGCCAAGTGCTGCCTCACGATGCCCGAGGCCTACCCTGCCGCTATAGAGCTGCTTGAGGAGCTGGCTGAGTATCTCCCCTCCCGATACCCCACGCTCTATAAGAGGACCGACGTCGGTCTCGATAACCTCTGGTCCGGAGAGAAGTTCAACATCGTCGAACGGCCCCTGAAGGAGGACCCCATTCAGATGTGCGCCAGACTCGTACAGGATGACCTGGCTCTGATGTTTGAGAAGCCGGACGGGCAGTATTATCTGCTCTCAGGTGCGATACTGCTGCCCGGCTTTTGGCGCCTGGAGGATAAGGTCGGGATGCCGCTGTCAGAGATCCACACCTCCGGTGACGTCCCACAGTTCAAGGAGAAGCTGGAGCGCGGCATGATGAGCTTCTTCAGGAGACTCAAGTGCGAGGACATGTATGCGCGCAACAATTATTTCATCCAGGTCGACGACGATCTGGCCTGGAGCTGGAGTATCGGGTCCGAGGACAGCCCGGCCATCAGCTGGGACACGGCGCAGAAGAACCGGGCTGTCGAGCATCACATGTTCAGGTCGGAAAGACAAACGCTAAGGAGGCTTCCGAGGACTGGGGCCGTGGTTTTCACCATCAGGACGTATTTCCACCCGGTGACTGAAATAGCGCAGGAGGACTTTGTTCCAGGCAGGCTAGCGAGTGCTGTTCGCAGCTGGGGCACGGACGTGAGGAGGTACAAGGGAGCGGAGAAGTATGAGGCTGTGTTGCTCGAATATCTGGATAAAGAGCATCAGAGTCAGCTTGAAAGTGGCCTGGATATTGAGGAGAATAGTCGATATCCCTGGTAACACTCTGGATTGGGCAATTGTTAAATCCGGGAATGGCGACTTACGACCCCCATCAGGCGAAGGGCAAATAGCGATTTATGATATACCATCTCTTGTTAGTGAGACTACTGCCAGCTTTTCCCACGATGCGACTTGCTGGACCATTTGATGTACGCCTAGTATTGTAAGCTCTGCTGGATGGTGGGTGTACAGCATGGGATCTGCGCACCATCCTACCTATATCTGACTGAAGGTTTCAGCCGGAGGCTATAGGTATATACGCGGTAGATATTCAGGCTGTCAGGTGCACTAGAACCGCAGAACTCTGGTAGATGGTGATTTTAACCTCCCCATCTTCCACAGCCAGTGTCTGAGTGTCATTTCTGACACCAGTAACCTCCTTGCCCAGGCTCTCATAAGTCCACTGGCTCCCCCCGTATGTGATCGTATTAGCACTCGCCCCAGCACCCAACGGGCTACTAAGCAAGTCTACCGTCACGCTAGTGGCGCCAGCTGGCAATGCGACCGTAATTGTTTGACTCCCTCTTTCTGTCGTCGAGCTTGAGCTATTCCAGTAGTTCAGATTCACAAAGGCCAGTCTCTTTGGTATCCCATCTTCGAAAGCCGCATAACCGGCCCAATTACCAGTAGGTTCGCCCGTGATATTAAGCTGTGAGACACGGGCCCTGCCGCTGCTACCGACAAAGTCTGTCACAAACGGCTGCGCGTAATAGCTGGCAAAGACTTGTGCCTCAGAGTCCCCCGAGGCGACGGGAAGCCACAGGTCGAACCCGCTGTGCATAATTTGCTGAAAGTTGAATCGGGCAATTCCAATGCAGAGGCTGTAGAGCTGGAAGTCGACCTGCCAGAGTGCGGAGCCGAGAACGGCCTGGTAGGAGTAGTCATGCGTCGGGTTCAAGGAGTTACCTATCTCTGACATTATATAAGGAATATGGGGCTTGTTCTGCTTCAGCCAGTCGATCGCTGGCCTGAAAAGATCCAATCGACCACTTATTGCGCTGTGAGACATCAAGCCAGTAGCAAGGTCTGCCGCGGTACCGCAGCAGTCAGTTTGATAATAGTGGTGCGCGACCGTCTTGACGATGTTGTTCTCGTCAATGCCGAGGCCAAATCCTGTGGGCACATCGAGGATGTAAGCATCCTCGAAGAAGAAGTGGGCACTGGTGTCAAAGGCCTGGAAGAAAGGTTCGGACGGTAGTATATCCACCGCATCAATGATGGCTCGGGCGTAAGTTGTGAAATTGCCAACATAAGATTCATTGTCTTGCTGGCCTTGATAGGTCGGCGGCCTCAGAGTGGGAAAGGGATAGAGGTCAGGTTCATTCCCAGGCTCTAGGGAATGAATTTTGTCGATGCCAATGTGCTCCACGGCACTTGTTGCCCAGCGCACTGTCTCGCTAACATCGGTGATGGCAAGCGGGGTTTGGATAATATACAGCGCGTCTGGGAAATTGAGGCATAGGTCCCAATACGATGGGCCGATTCTGGTACCTCCAATGTCTTGATAATTGTAGACCTCAGCTCTGGGCTCGGCTGGCGTGGTCTGGTTCTCAAGATAGAACGCGTAGTCGGCACTGGATTCAAGGGCATCAACGGAGAGCTCGCAAAGGGAAAACATTTGTTGCATAATGAATAGTCCTACCTGGTGCCGCCGAGTCTGATCAGAGGTTTTCCACCTGTGCGCTTGGTGATCTCGGCAATGAGGTTCTGGGAGAAGACGTTCGGGTTGCCGTCCAGATCTAGCGCATAGTTCCAGAGAGAGGCCTGCTCGAACGCAAATCCGGCGAAGTCAGGGTCAACGATGCCCGACGCGTCGGCTGGGACCTCTGACGGAACTGAGACATAAGGTGATGCATGTGCCACAGCACTGGCTGCCAACCACCTGATCAAGTGCTGCATGTATTGAGGCATTATTGCTGTCGAGACTTTTGTCGAAGGGGAGCAGATTGCCCCAAAGTCCATTGACGTTGTGAAAAGCCTCTGAGAAGTCAACCCCAACACACTCTCCGGTAGCCACATGATGCGGAGGACCAGGTGACGGCTCAACCTTTGGAAATTAAGTGGACAACTCCTCCCAGACTCTGTATGCAACGGGTGCGTGAACGCTCACTCATTTGAACAGGAATTGGTTGGCTGCATCAGTAGACATGCAGCTTACCTTGGCCAGCTATTGTCACTGGTCCCCTGCGTGAAGTCCAACAAGGTTTGACTTTCAGTCACCTCCGTACTCGAAGGTGAGGGGTCCGTCTCCTCGACACAGAGGCAGTCACACGACTGCACACTGGCATATTCCAAGGTCGTTGTCAATCCCGGCCGTGGAACCCCACCTTCAAGGTCATGGCAGTCAGCATTAGCCCTCAAGATCAGCAAGAACCCGAGCCTTGCTTTGCCTCTCCGGGATCAAGATGGATGATTTAGACCCACCAGTGTCGGGGCGATCCTTCCAAGGCTTCCCCGCAAGTTGGGCCAGCCACAGGTCCCATTGCGTACGTCACGCAGCATGGGCGAGCGGAGAAATGCAGCCTTTCTGTACCTACCTACCTGGGTACTTAAGTAGGTAAGTATAATATAAAATTTAATACTAATAATAGTATGAGAAGATTAAATCTTTAGTTCTGGTATTCTTTTTCAATACTAGGCCTTTAACTATTTACTGTTATGTAAAGAGATTATATAATCCTAGGATATATATAGATTAAAAACGAAACTTCTACTTAATCCTCATGTGGACATTCACAACAGATCTAAGATGGGTGGTTGCTCTATGTCTACAAGGCTTTGGACTCCCACACCTCTCTTATGAACAGGTTGAAAGGTGTCCACTTGGTATTCAATATCAACCGTGATCCTTCTTGCCATTAGCCACGTGCAATCTCATTAAGCTCGCCATGTTGTTGCCTTCCCTTTGATTCAAGTCTGAAATCACCCCCTGGAGCAATTCCATTGAATCTCATCGTTCCAGTATTCAAGTCAATCCAGAATGACTCTCACGGGAAGGTAGTTGACTGAGACAGCCTAGGGAGCCCGATCCAGCCATTGAGACTGACTGGGAAGAGGGACATGCCGCTGGGGTGACGATATCCCATTTACCCATCCACAAAGACATTGCATAAAATCTGCGTAGCGTTTCAAATTGAGTTGATCACCACTCATATAAATTCAAGGGAAGCAAGAGCGTCGGATTCTCTAATCCCAGGCAGTCTGTCCAGGATACTCGGGTACACTTCGTAATTCCAGCCTCACAATACGGGAGTGCACGGCTCTGAACCCAAGCTCAACACAGGCAAGGCAAGTGCAGCGACTGGTAGTTGCTACATGTGGCTCCACTGGGTGTTGCACTGCCTGTCTGCAAGTAGACCTGCCAGAAGTTTCCGTCCAGCTTGCAGGCGAGAAAGTTGAGCTCTGTTAAGACACGTGGGAAGTATATCAGTACACATTTCCGTGGCCCTTCGATTATCCTAGATAGCCATGTCTCTCGCACGGTCCCGGTGGGATAAGGGAGGAGGGTGGGGTGACAGAAGGGTTCTCAGGCTGTCATGTAGTGAGAGGAATCAAAAACATGGACTCACGTCTTCCCCAGCTGCTGGCCTGCGCCGTGATGATCGTATCACCCTCTAAGGCCCACGCATTTGTCGATGCAGACGTGCCAAACGTCAGCGTCTTATACGATGTGCTGTCACTGCCCACGTTGAGGTAGAGGCTTGTGTTGGCTGACTGGACTGTTGTCTCATCAGCGAGGGCCCTCTTGTGTGAAAGGCCTACATGGATACATGGTTTTCCTCGGGCCAACTTACTGCTCCCGTTGATATTAAAGTACTCGGACGAGGATTCCGGTCCCATTACCGCCAGTGAAGCTGTCTCGCGATATGTAAGCAGGTCGGCTCATCATAGGATATGTACTTAAGTAGGCTCCCATCTTGTCTTCCATACTGTTCTCTACTACGCATGGGAATATGTGTGAACTTGCCATTTTTGGGGTACGACTGCAGATAGAAGTGATAGAGTGGGTCCTGTACGGCTCGGATCTGCTCTGGCTTAGCCAGAGCTCCCGAAAAAACCAGGATATATGCAGCGAAGACGGAAGTCAGCATAGTGGGATTCTGGAAGACAAAGGTTGTCGGCGGTGCTCAAGCATCACTCTAGGAGCGGTGATCTTGCATCGATGAGTGCAGGCGATCAAGGTTTTATGCCCTTTGCCTAATATACAACGCTGAGAGCATAGAGCCGCGATTGGGGGAAACAGACGAATACGCAGCCCCTTTCTCATTTTTCACGGCGTTGCTGTTCCGGGTAAATTGATGGGCGGTTAGTACCTAGGTAGACTATACAACTTCCACTCGGAAGCACAGGTCCGAGTCCACGGGCTCGGAACGACACTGGCCACTCTAGGGTCAGAGACGTGATAGTTCAATTATGCAAGAACAAAACATCCATTCGCTCATATTCTATTAGACACCTTGCTTGGACGTACAAGTACATTGAGATATGTTACAATCTAGAACCCGGACAATTTTTGCGAACCAACCCAGCCATTTGCCTTTTGTCGGATCTAAGGTTTGGTCCAGTCTAGTACGACGAGATAGCATCCGCTCATATGGTATCGTGAAACAGCTCAGTCCGCGCCGATAATACATGGGCACAAAAGAAATATGTTTACAGGGCGGAACTGCCCATCACCAGGATCAGGAGCATCCCGTTGAGGACGCAGACCGTCGCGAATGTGACCGATATAACCGCCTTGTTACCGATGCTCAGCGAATCCCACCGCGCCATGGTCAGTGCAAGTGCGGTGCACGCACACCCAAGGGACACGACACTGCCGATCGTCACGCCGGCGTCAACCTCGACGCGCAGCTTGTGACGCCCTGTGAGCATCAGAACAGTCGAGATGCCCAGCAACAGGAAGGACATGGCGAAAAGGCCGCTTGTCAACATGAACATGACACGGTCCTTGTACATGGCCATTCGCTGGTCGTTAACGGATGGCAGCGTCGCCCAGTGTGTCTCGTACCCGGCAGGGAATTCCTCGGAGCTCGCGTAGCCAATGTCGGCCTCGAGATCGGCGTCGGAGCCGTCCTCGCCGTCTGTCGCCACTGCGGTATGGGAATCACTGCCCTCACTCTGGAGCCGCCCAGAAGCATTGCTTGCAAAATAGCCGTCCCGGGCTGGGGGATCAGTGTCGTCGGTAGCGCCATAGCCGGCGGCGCTGCTAGGCCTGCCTAGGAGGGACTGGCGCTCCTGTCCTCGGACTTTGACCCAGGAACGGGCTTTAGAGAATGGCGCGGCTATGGCATTGACCAGGGCCTTCAGATCCGCGCCGTAGTCGGTCTCCTCGTCCGGGTTGATGTACAAGACGTATTGGTCACTCGCGTCTCCATTCTCGCTACCATTCTCGTACTCATTCCAGTACCCGGCTTGCCGACTTGGATAGTTAAAAGTGCGGGTTTCGGGCGGCCCAGAGTGGATTGTGACTCGACGCACAGACTGCCGGGGGTTATCAGGAGACCCCGAATTTGAGGAGTCGTCGGTGCTTGGGGATTCAGGGTAGTTCTGCACAGGTGCCGATGCCTGAATGATCGACAGGAGCTCATCGTATGCCTGTTGTAGGGGGTGGAAGTCCCTCCGAGTGAAGCTTTTGGGCTGGGTCAAGACGTCATCCCTGAAACGGTTCCCCAGCGTACCCGAGCCCGTCCATTTCTGACGGCAATGTTAGTGACTGATAGACGAGAGGCAGGTGACTGACTGAGTTCTGACTCATACCCTGTATTTTTTAAGGATCTTCCTGAAGGCGATGGACTGGGCGCTGACGAAGCGGCGCAGGTCCTGGATGTCGTTGCCGCACTTGAGGACATCGCGTTCAAGCCGGATGAACCTACGCTGTCTCTTCCGCGGAACACGGTCGGGGTCGTCGTCGTTGCACCGTGAAATGAGCCGCTGGACCTGGCTGGACAGGTGTTCTGCATAATATGGTCAGGTCAGTCAGGGTACACGATGAGGTACCTAGGCGCAACAAGGGACGTAGCCGAGTGGGAGTGGGCGTACGCAGTCGGCGCGTTATCTCGTCTGCCTTGGCCGAGACGAAGAGTCCGGCGCTGTCATGTTGGGCGCAGAGTTCATTATAGAGCTCGTCTTCGACCTTTGCGAGGTGGGTGTCGGGTTGGCCGGGGATTGCAATAGCCTTGGCCTGGTCCCTGGTGGTATTGGCCTTGATGAAGTGCTTCAGGGAATTGTAGTCGATGTTGTCTGCACAAAAGGGGTCAGCCACAGGCACGAGCAGCCGGACGGGCAGTCAGGACGAGACTGGACGGACAAGGGGCCATCATGGGACGGGGGACACCACGGATTGAATTGATTGGCGGGGCGCATGGCGACGGACGTACGGAGGCTCCATTCTGGTACTGATTCCTTCTCGAAGTTCTGACCGTATTTCATTGCCAGTGCACCACAAATGCAGGGCGACGCAGGACGACGCAGGGCGACGCAGGACGACGCAGGGCGATGCAAGGCGAGGCGAGGTAATGTCAGGGCAGGCCGGGCAAGACAAGGCGAGACAGGGCAGGGCAGGGCAGGGCAGGGCAGAGCAAGACAATATTGGGAGCGGCTGGTGGCTGGTGGCTGGTGGCCGGAGCAACCAAGGCGGGATTCACGGCTCAATTGGATATGATATACTGGTTGTTGTTGTCTTGTGGAGGTTGCAGGTTCGGTGGGCGGCCAATTCGAAAAGTAAAGGCACTTCGGATATCACGATGCCAAGCAGTAAGGAACCTTGGAAGTGAGTCGCTGGCCGTGAGGCTGCGATAAAGGGTGGCCGTGTGGGCGTCACAAGCTTTTATTCTGGACAAAGGCTACGTACAAGGTGGCCCGCCATTCGTGGCAGATACTGTTGTACGCAGTAGTACTGGGTACCAAGGTACTCCGTACGGAGCACAGTAGTGCGTGCCAGCTGGGCCAAGCGGTCTCGTAGGAAACGTATCCTGGGCGAGCGCAGGGTCCGGCTCTCTTGGGTCGCCTGGGCCGACTGGGTGGGGCCAGGGACGGATCAGTGGTGGGCACCTGGGGCGCCTGGGCAACCCCTGACGCAGGCCGTCATCGAGTGGGCCTTTTCAAGGTTGCCTGTTTTTCTTGCACTCTTGTCGAGCTGTGCTTGCGTTGGCAGGTTGGATGGGCGGTTGGGCAGATGGGCAGATGGGCAGATGGACAGATGCGGTGCCGAGTACACAGCATTTACACACTGGAACATTGCACTCCCGGACATGCCAATGCGCATGCAACAAGCACATGCATGCTGCTATGTGGTAGGTACAAGGCAAGTACAGTACTTGGTATGTGGTCTACCGGTCGGCCGTTGAAGCAGAGTGGCAGGAAGGCAAGAAGGGCACGCAGAAAAGGGCACTCACACCCCTGCCCCTCCCCCACCTCCTTCTCGATCGTACCAATTGACCAGTAGGAGTCTAACCATGCAGCTGCCATGGCTGCCATGGGTCACACATATGCACTTGCAAGTGCTGGCTGCATACTTCGGTACAGCCCATCGATAGCCTGGCTTGCCTGGGCCCGTCTTCTCCTCGGCCGTGCACGAAACAAGCCAGTGCCCTGTGGGACCCCCAAGGCCACGCGGGGGACCCTGGCCACCCGCGAGGGCTGCCTCCTTGCCCGCCCTGCGGCAGTGCCGCCGTTTTCCATTATTATTGCCGTCCTAGGGCCTAGAAGCCTGGCCTCCCGCCCGCACGCCCGCAAGGCCAATTGCTTCCTTCCGAGAGGCCGAGTCCCGACCCAGATGTCTGTCGCCTGTGAGATTTGGTCACAGAGTTTTCTCAAACCTTTCGCCTGCCCCGTCCTGATGATAACCTGGGTCCGTCCCTGGGCCTCCTGACTGGCCACCGCGCCGGCAAGGCGTCATGCCGTATGTACACATGTATATGCCTCATCGATCCATTGTTGATTCGTTGGGCCTTTTCTTCTTCCGTCCATGGCCAGCATAGCGGCACCGTGTGTATCTAGGCCAATTGCGTGCGGTTCGTTATCATATCTCACTTGCTTGACGTCCTTCATTCCTGGAAGTGGTGGATCCCAATTTCTGACCATACCTCTCACGGCTGACCCTAAACTAGAACACCCAAGCCAGGCGAGGAGGTTGGTGAAAAAAAAAAAAATCATTGCCTATCCGCCTGCATGCACCGCCAGATCTGTGCGGCCGTTGTTACGCCGCTGAGCAAATTTGGAAAACTTATTGCGGTTCGATGGCTCCCCTCTTCGCACCACAGCGGTGTGAGCTCCGGATCGGTCAGGCGTCGTCCAAGCCTGCGATACAGTTTGATGAAGGCTGCAGAGCTAGAACTCTGTTCTCCTAAGCATGTTCCCTGCCGTATAGCGCAGCGGTCTTATGGTGTCCGGCTCGGTCTCGTGTTGGCGGGGCCCGAGTTTGGTTGCGCTCGCTTCCGATAGCGGTATTGACGGCAACTCCTCCAAGAGGGCCAAAAGACGTTCGTTCGCTCGTTCGCTCGTTCGTTCGTGATACGGCCATGTCTGCAACGAGCCTCCTTGACCACGACCACCAATATCAAACAGCAAACAGAGCACGTGCTCGCTTGACAGGTGCTTCTTGTATGGGCCCTACAAACTCCACTGTCAAAGAAACCTTTCCGCGGCCGCCGGCCCAGTTGCCCGTGGAGACTCGAGTCTGGACCAAGGATGTAAGCGGGGAAAAGGAGGCTCTCTAGACGACTGCGGCGAGATCCAACACCTCCCGGGCTCCGCTGCTCTCCGTGCCCATGGCCCGGCCAGAACTAGCCGGCCAATAGCTGCTAGATCGGCCCCGCTGCCGCTGCATCACAAGTTGCATGCTCGCTTTGGTCTGCTGCAAGAATACGTCCATAACCTGCCGTTTGGGGCAACTCCGCCTCTTTCACACAGGAGAGTGACGTCTGCCCAAAACGTCGTCTTCTGGACCTCCGACGTTCGTACCGTATACAGTGGACTCACCCGGCACCGACTGTCCGTCGGCCCGCTTGGGAGTCTCCGTGGCTGATAAGGTGGTGATTGTCATTGCCTCGCATTACCGGGCGTGATTTTCCAAGTCCGCACGTCGGTTCTACCCCCCTGGTCAGACCGGCTGCCGTGCACGATCGCCGAACCGCACTGTTTATCACCGGCTCAGAGACGGCCATCGGGACCTCAAGAATTGCCCCTCCCAAGTCATCGTAAGGGGCCCAATCATGCCCTGCCCCGTTGGGCGGACAGAGTGTGTCGGCTCCTCGTGGGCACCACGCATTCGCCAGGCAAGGTGGTGCAGAAACACAGCCCAGACTGGGCATCGCCATTGCTCAGCAGGCGACTGGCTGATGCGCATTGACGCGTGGTACGGTTGCAAACTTCATGCGGCGTGCCTCATACTGTGTATTCTTCGCCGTGAAGTCATATGGTGTACCTAGGTAGAGGTAGGAATCAAAGGACAAGCCGCCAAAAGTAAGGGACCTCAACCATGACATGAAATCCAACGGCAGCTCGCGTGACGTCCTTCCGACTCGGGATGGCTGGTGGTCATTGCTACATAATGCACGTCACTGACAGATTCCAATGGTGGGTAACAAGAGTCAGTACAGCCGCCCCGCGTCACAACTGGGCATTGACATTGTCTTTTGGCGTGAGTGGTGGCATCCGAGAATATCATTTGACTACCTAGGTATTTGGAATCAACAATGGACGTCTTCCAAAACACCCAACGGCCATCAGTGTCGCCCGAGGAGATGCCGATTAATAGTTCAGAATGCTCCATGCGGTGCAGATGCGGCGCACAGTACGGAGTATACCTAGGTAGGTAGATAGAAGGGGAGAGGCAGCCACCCCAGCCCTTGGGCTTGGCTCAAATTGAGGAGCGATTATTCAATACTATCCCTTGAAAAGTACGCAGTAATCCTGCGCCACTCGCAGAGGAGATCAAGAATATGCCTCACCGATCATACGGTGTTGGGTCGATTACGGAAATTGAATCGCGGGCAGGCTGCTTTGTGGATGGACGGATGCAAATGCAATGCCAATGCAGTCGACAGCTCCTAAACACCAGGTCTCTAATTCCTGTTACTCCAGGGGCTCGTTCGAAGCTCTGAGAGCCCGAGAGAGGTTCTGCATATGCGTGTGTGCTCTGCATGTAGTTTACTCCTAGGACTAGGTAAGGCACCTAGGTACCTGAATAGTCTACTCTATATGTGCTTTCTACCTGCAAATCAGGCCAGTGCAGACTACGCACACTGTACCTGCTCAAGTACCCAGGTACCTTCTCGCTATAGTACGTGTACGTGGGGGTGCTAGGCTGCACTGGGCAGGGCCCCACATACCGCTCAACCAATCAAGTCGCCTTTCGATTTTGACGGCCAAATTTTTTCTGCAACACTGCTTCCCTTGCCAAACCGCTGCAGCACTGCCGAAGACGCAATTAACGATCAACTCGCCCAAGGCCGGCCCGTGAGACCGATCGTGACGCCACGGACCGCCTGTCGAGCATTGCGAACTCCGAAGATGGCCGGAGAAGGAAGCACGTCGTCGTCACTAACATCCACATCGCACACGCTCACACACCCCGCCCCAACCAGCAACGCCATGGCTGCGACCACCACCGCCCCTCTCGAGGCAGCCTCCATGCTGGCCTTCCTCGATTCCCTCAAGGCCGAGAATCGCCACGCCTTCCTCCAGCCTCCGGCCTCGATACCTACAGCATCTTTGCACTGGGCTAAGCAGGCGCTTGACGCCTTCGCCGGACAGGTCAGCGACGAGCAGCAGGCCGCCCGGCTGCGCGACAGGAAGAGAAAGCGAGAGGCCAGGCCCAGTAGCGACATACTGAAGATACGAAAGGTCCATGTGGACGGCTTCGAGACCGGTCAGGTGTGGCAACAGGCCAGGAGGATCATCAACAGCGCCCTCAGCCTCTCCGAGAACGTCCTGCAAGACCTGAAGGAGAACGGGCAGATCCAGACAGACGAAGCAGAGTCCAGCAAACTGAACGGTGATGCGTCAGCGACTTCGACCGACGAGAGTGCATCTGAGCTCGCCTCGTCCGAAGAGGACGCGTCCGCCAGCGGCTCAGACGAGGACGGGGAGGACAAGTGGGAAGACGCCGAGTCGCAACAAGGTCGAAGTGAAGCGTCAGAAAGCGATGAGGACGACGGCGAAGACATTGAGGATATCGAGGATGAGGGACTGCACGAAGACGACGAAGACGACTTTGACGAACAGCCCGACAACGTATACGTCGAGGATCCACATGGACTCAACGACGGGTTCTTCTCAATAGATGACTTCAACAAGCAGTCGCAATATTTCGAGGACCAAGACGCCAAGGCCGATCCATTCACGGACCAAGCAGACGATGATGACGAGATTGACTGGCATGGAGATCCCTTCGCTGCACCAAAGGGCCAGGCTTCGAAGAACAATAAGGGACAGGAAGGCTCGGAGGACGAGGAAGAAGTGGACGCGGGAGGCGAGGAAGATGAAGACGATGATGGCCCAACTTTTGGCGACATGGACCTGAACGCCCCGGAAGGTGCAAGTGATGATGAGGGCGACCTGGCAGACGGGGTTCAGGGAGACATGGGCCTCGATCTCACAGCGAACGACATCTACTACCAAGACTTTTTTGCACCCCCGCCCAGAAAAGCAAAGAAGGGAGAGAAGCCGAGAAAACCCAGGCCGACGAGACAGGGGACGCCGGATGGACGGGATGTGGAGCGGGCCATGGATAACGTTCGGCGAGATCTGTTTGACGACGTCTCGGACAACTCGGACGAGGAGGATGCTTTATCGGACGCCTCCGCTGGCGACCCAAAGTCTCGCCGGTCGGCACATGAACGTCGACAGGCCAAGTTATCCGAAGAGATTCGCAAGATGGAGGCTGAGCTTGTGGCCAAGCGCGCATGGACGCTCTCTGGTGAAGCATCAGCATCTGCACGGCCGATGAACTCGTTGCTGGAGGAAGACCTGGACTTTGAGCACGCAGGCAAGCCCATCCCCGTCATTACGGAAGAGGTCAGCGAGGAGCTGGAGGACCTCATCAAGCGGCGTATTATCGCGGGCGAGTTCGACGGGGTACCAAAGCGGAGACCGGATGCGGACGTTCCTGCCGACGTGCGGCGCGGGCTTGTTGAACTCGACGACGCCAAGGCGAAGCAGAGCCTTGCTGAGATCTACGAGGAAGACCACGTCAAGGCCACCAACCCAGACTCATACGTCAATGCCAAGGACGAGAAGCTGCGGAGAGAGGAGAAGGAGATCGAGACGATGTGGAAGGACATCTCGGCAAAGCTCGACTCCCTCAGCAGCTGGCATTACAAGCCCAAGCCGGCGGCGCCTTCGCTGCAAGTCGTGGCGGATGTCGCGACGATTGCGATGGAGGACGCACAGCCGACGACCGCGCAGGGTGTCAGCGGAGGCGAGAGCATGATCGCCCCGCAGGAGGTGTACAACCCGGGCAAGGACACAGCGGAGAAGGGCGAGGTGGTGGCCAAGAGCGGGCTGCCGGTCGCGAGACAGGAGATGAGCCGGGAGGACAAGGTCCGCAGGCGCAGGCGGGAGAAGGAGAGGATCAGGAAGGCCGGCGGGGAGACGACCAAGATCAGCAAGAAGGCGCAGGAGAAGAAGGACACGATGGCGGAACTAAAGAAGGGCGGTGTCAAGGTCATCAACAAGAAGGGCGAAGTCATAGACATGGAAGGCAAGAAGCCACAGGCTGCCAAGGCTGTCACCAGCGGGAACTTCAAGTTGTAGATGGAAAGTCCTCTGCTTTGAATTATCATACGAAAGCGTCATTGACGGGCTCAGCTACATCCTCAGCCTTGTCGGTTTTGTTTTGTTCTGTGTGCCTTTTGAAGGAGGTTCAAGCTGTGCTCGTATCTGGAACAAAGCGGGCAGGGTTATTATGACGGCCTGTCCCTCTTGGATGCCCAGAAAAGGAGTCAAACACAGTGCCGCAGTGCCGCAGTGCCGCAGTCCTGTAGTGAACAATAGTCTCATTTCAAGCCACCGTCTTGAGACGGCTGTTGGCAGTGTTGGCCTAGGAACAAACTCTGGTGACGTGCACGAGTCTGGGGCGGCAGCATTTCAAGACCGCGGCTCTGGGGACCCACCAGGCCAGCCCGGGCCAATCAGGGCCGCCAGGTTGGTGATCAAGCGGCGATTTCTAGCGCACCTCAATTCACAACGCTCTTCCCCAGACCGAGACTTGTCTCCCAGCAGCGTCCCTTGCCCTCGACTGCAACGACCGCCTTCCCTCTCCACTCCTTGCCCCCATCCCCGCCCAAGACTCGACCGGGCATCTCACATTCAGACCCAAAATGTCGGGAGCATTACGGACGTCGGCCTCAATGGCTCTGAGAGGTGCGTAAGGCCAGCAGCAACATTCCGGCAGAGCAGCCTCCAAGCCGGCACCAGCCCGCCCATGATACCCATCTCGAGTGGCACATGCAGTCCCGTGGACATGTATCACGAAAGCTAACTGGAATCCTGCGCCTCCAGCCAAGCCGACACAATTCCTCACCCCCTACCGCGTCGCCGCCGCCTCCATCTCCTCCTCGACAAAGAACAACGCCGCACAGGTCCAGCCCCACGGTGCCTCATCATCGCTGCTTAAGCCCCAGCGGAAGGAAGTCCCGCTGCCAAGCCAGCAAGCCCCCAAAGGCGTGGTCCAATACGCCCTGTACGTCTCAGAGCCGCCTCAGAATGCCCGACGAGAAGCCCGTCATGCCAGACGCAGATGTGAGCGAGACTAACAGGAGCCCCGACAGCACGACCCTCGACCAGATTGTCAACTGGGGCCGGCAGTCATCCTTCTGGCCCATGACCTTTGGGCTCGCGTGCTGCGCCGTGGAGATGATGCACCTCTCGACCCCGCGGTACGACCAGGACCGCATGGGCATCATCTTTCGTGCCTCCCCGCGCCAGTCCGACGTCATGATCGTGGCCGGCACCCTGACCAACAAGATGGCCCCCGCCCTGCGCCAGGTCTACGACCAGATGCCCGAGCCCCGCTGGGTCATCTCCATGGGCTCGTGCGCCAACGGCGGCGGCTACTACCACTACAGCTACAGCGTCGTCCGCGGCTGCGACCGCGTCGTCCCGGTCGACGTCTACGTCCCCGGCTGCCCTCCCACCTCCGAGGCCCTCATGTACGGCATCTTCCAGCTGCAGAGGAAGATGAGGGAGACCAAGATCACGAGGATGTGGTACCGGAAGTAGGTCACATGCCTGGGGTCTAAGTTGGTATTGGCGGTGGGCAAAGCTTGGTCGTAGTGGTTGCTATCAGGCAGGCCAAGCGAATGAGAGCAAGGGTTTTTTTTTTTGGGGGGGGGGGGGGAAGGTGTTGTCGAGCTGAAATCTTTCCCAGCCACGGCTGTGGTGGCATCCAGCAGAGACGACCTATCTGGGTCGAGGATGACGCGATAAACAAAGAACATACAGCTGACATATGTTATGGCTACATTGTTTCATTTGTCTGCCATGTGAGTTCTGTACACAACCGTGTGAGTGTGGTAGGGGAAGACACAGGAGTGACCACCAAAATAGAAATTGATAAGCAACATGATATCTGCCGTGCAGTGGTCATCAACTTCTCAGACAATGTCATCCTGGAAGTACTGTTTCCTTTGAACCGTATCAGACACTCAGCCAGACTGGGAGCGCATGTCTTCGGATCCGGTCGACTAAGCCACCTCAGAACGACAGCCGTCCCAAGAAGAAGTCCCGCCCGAAGGCACTCAAACTTTAATTTTCTAGATGACAACTGAAAGCGCAAAGAGGAGCAAGCCTTTACGGATATCTCCCTGATTGGGACTTATCAGCCGGCCATGCGAGAAAGTCGTACCTTCTGGAACCCTCAGGTACAACAACGCGCGAGCGGGCAGGAATAGAATTCCTTACTGGGTCCCAAAATAGACCAGTGATGACCCCTACCAGCCTGCAAGAGGCGGCAGTGGGCATAGGATTTTGAGCAGGATCCAGTACCGAAAAAACACGGATTCCCGCATGGTAACATGTTGACTCGCCTTGGGGTTTCGAGTTCCGGAAACCCGAGACAATCAGAATGACGCCGCTGGAGACTCCTGAGTGGAAGTACAGCGTTTATAATTCCTGAAGCTTAAGAATGCCTGCCCTTGGATCCGCCCAGTTTGTCCCTCGAAACAGCTTTGCTATAAACGACAGACTTTGTGGAGACTGATGTCCAGTCCCGACTAAAAATGTGTGATAAAAAAACACCATCCTTGTTCTCTCCAAAGTACTGCGTGGATGATTGCCAATGTCTCCCTACTACAAATAAAACATGCTCTGCCTCGGTCCATTGACGCCTGAACGCCTCCGGTAGTAATTGTAGCGTCCTCTCACACGCTCCACTTCCCTTTAATCAGGGACACACTCCAGAAGGGCCATCATTTGCTGTCCGCATTTCAACCGCCTTGGAATCGTCTTGGAACCGCCTCAGACACCTTCTCCTCTCAATTCAAGTGCGGCACTCATATGTTTATTCTTGTCCGAAACCCATGGTCTCTTCGACCGCAATGGTGAGTTTCTGCTGCAGCTGCTCAAGAGACTTGTATGGTGGCAAGTCCAACCGGTTGAAACTGCGGCTTGGTAAGTAGGAGAACAGTAGACTGGTAGAGATAAAATCGAAAATGTGTACGTACCATGTGTGGGCCTTTGGCAGGTTGTTGACCTCACCCGCCTTCTCAATGGTAAATCTGCGTGGCCCATCGCTTCCTTGCAGATCCTTGAATCCATTGACTGGGATCCGTGATGTTCCAGTTGTGAACTGCAGGAGTCGACTCTTCTGCTCTCCATCCCAGCTGCGAACCGTCTGCCAGAAGAACTGGATCACCTCGTCGCTTTCTGTGTAACCACGGTAGTCGGTGTGCTTCTTCCAGTCATCCACGTCGATCTCGGCGATACCTCCGATGAGTAGCTCGAGCTCACGCTCATCGAACACGTTGATGAGGTCCTGAGGAATGAGCTCATGGAAGCCCTCCCTGAAGGCCTGGAATTGCTCCGCGATGCGTTTCTCAATGCGCCACTTGACCATCAGATCGACATACTCCTTCTTGTTGTCGTTGGTGACGTCAATGTCGCGGCCGCCTGGGATGAGATCCTCGACAGTAATCACACCGAAACGCTCATCCTCTGTGGAAAACGTTTGCTCCAAAATGCCACCCGAAATATCGTTGTCCAGCATCCACTGAAGCGATCTGTGGAAGTCCGCATCCACGCCCTCCATGTCTGCCAGTACCACGGACTTGCCGAGAATCATCTTGTACAAAGCGCCGATGAAGAATGCATCGAGGAAACGCCTGTGGAAGATGGCCAGGCCTACCACGCGGCCGATGAACTTGAAGTAATTAAGATGCTCAGGATTGATGCCTGAGTGGGGGTTGATCTGAAGTGTGTAGTTGTCGTGTGCCGAGTACTCAAAGAGGCAGTAGAAGGGATTGAACATCTCGTGAGAGAGTAGGAAGAAGAATTCTCGAGACAGACCGCCATAGTCGAGACCGTCCTCGCCGTCGAACTTTATCATCAAGCGCTTCTTGAGGTCAGTAGCAGACTGGCGCGAAATCTCCGCGAAGGAATCCTCGAAAATATGTGATCGGCGAATTTTGATGTGGCATTGCCCGGAGAGGATGCGCATGGCCGGTTGGGACCGGAAGTAGATGAGCTTGCGCCGGAAGTCACGCTTGTACTGCGGTACATTCTGATCCAATGAGGACGGCAACCGTGGGTCGTCCCAAGTTGTGGTTTTGGTGTTGTGGTCGACGAAATAAACTCGAGCAGTGTTTGTAAGCCGCATTTCCCAACCGCTCGGAAGCGGCCCGAGTTGAGACACGGGTTGCTGCTGGATAGTGCCACTGGCATTGTTTTGACCCCCATACATCCTGATGTATTGCTGCCTCCGAGGATCCACCCACGTCGTAGTCCTGGTGTTGTGGTCGACAAAGTAAGGCCGTCCCTCGGGCGTGAACCGTTGCTCCCACCCGGGTGGGAGCTCGCCGGTCCCGGGGCTCGTAGCCCCCGTGTGCATCATTGTCTGCGCATTCGCATTCTGCGCCGCCTGCTGGGCCTGCAGCGTAGGGGAGCTAGAGCCAGTCCTATCTTCAGGCAGAGTACGGTTCTGATGCCTCTGTCGCTCAACTTGTGTAGACTCCTCCTGCCTCGCTGAATTGACCGCGCCGCTGGCGCTAGGCCTGTTCCAACTCGTTGTCCGCGTGTTATGATCAACGTAGTAAGTACGACCCAGGTTATCCTCCCGGCGCTCCCAGCCGGGTGGCAGACGGCCTTGTGCATCCTCGAAGGGACTCAACGTGCTATTTCCTCGCTGCTGAGCGCCGCCGTTCGAGGCTGGCTGCGACGCAGACGGTGCGGTCATGCTGGCAGGTCGGTGGGGGAGATTTGCTGGGTTCCCGTTGGTGCTGCCGCTTGGTGTGCCCATGGCTGAGGTCGGTCGTTCGGACGAGCGATCGGGGTTGAGTGAACCTGCACCGGCAGGGTGAGGGCTACCCATTGGGGGGCGGTTGCTAGCCGCCTGCCCTCTTGGCGGGCTAGACAGGTTGGTAGATAAGTTTATTATCAATTTTCCATGGACGACGAGATTATCGGTGGATTTCTTCAGGTCTCTGGTAAGCATCTGGTCTGTTGCGGCGCGCATGATTGTCAGCATGAGAACCGATAGGTTGGGAGCTTGAAGGGGCGAATTACCATCGGCATCAGGAGCAAGCTCTATCACATCGCCGATGCGAATGTTGATAACGCCCAGGAAGCCTTGGTCCTTCTTCTTGAACTTCTTTTGATCAAAGACTTGCACCGCCAAGATGCTGTCCTCGTTTACTTTACTGTACGGGGGGTTAGCTAGCAGGCACCGTGGCCGAGGCCGTAGGTTGGGGTTGCACACAAGTCGAAGCTCTCGTTCCAGTAGGGGCAGAGCGTCCTCTTGGAAACGGCGGTTGTCTGCGTCTGTTCACCACTGATGGTGGCGACGGCGAACGGGTCGGGAAAGCCTGTAGAAGGGTCAGTTGAGGTCCAACCTGGCATGGTGTTAGGACTGCAGGGTGAGGCATACGAAATACATCGCGTTTGTAAAGCCCGTCAGCGGCGATAACTACGACCAAGTCAGTATCCAGGGCGCTGCGTGTGACGAAATGACACCTTACTCGTCACTCGGAGATTGGGCTGGTTGCTGTAGAATGTGATGCTCGTCAGCGAATGGTCTTGTGGACGGCACCTCATCACCCACCACACACGGTCGTGTGCAGCCTGGGGCCGTGAGGCGGGATATTCGCGTGGACGGGGGGGTATGATGAAACGTACGCAGGAAGGCCGGAGTCGTTTCGGCGACTCATCTTTGCGGTGGCAGCAGGTTGTCCTGCTGTTGTCGGCGACCTCCTCTCGAAAATCAAAAGAACAAAGGCGATGGAGGGATCCAAGCAACTGAACGGGCCCAAAAAGAAATGGCTCAGGAGTCCAGCTGTTGGAAAAGGAGTAGCCAGGCGAGGATTGTAGGATGGACGGGCGCTAGATTGCTGACAATGACGATTTGGTATGGTTCAAGGGCGGCGACGCAGGCGGGTTGAGGCTGTGCTCTCTCGGGCCCCCGCTCTGCCAGAATGCTCGAACCAATCCCGCGACCAGGTCAGGCGTGTCAAATACTGGGAGGACAGTGGTGCCGGTGAAGGGGCGAGGTTTTGGAGCGGGCAGCTGCAACTTTGTTGGCGGCGGGTTTCGATGCGGATGGGTGCAGCAACGTGCGGGCAGCGAGGGCGAGTCGCTGTTGGATGGAAGGCGTCAAAAATGTCGGACGGGGGGTGGTTGGAGGTGGCAGTTGTGAAGGAGGAGTGGGTATGTTCCAGCCCGCCCACCTGCCCCCCTCCCCCCGGCGAGATGTACTGTGCCTGCACCACCAGCTGTGAACGGATGATGAGGTGAGCAACCGAGCAAGCTAGGAGCATTGGGCACTTGCTGGCTGGCGAGGGGCAGCAGGCAGGCAGCCTGGCAGCCTGGAACTCGCACTGGGCCTGGCTGCCAGGGGGGGTAGGGGAGGCGGGAACGACGACCTCGGGAGGGGTGCCAAGGCAGAGGCAGGTTTGCCCTGCACCAGCCGTGGCTACTGTGTACGCTGTGGCCCCAAACACGCTTCATCGCCATCCCAAGCTTCATGCGACTCCGTTGGCCAGACATTCCGGCCAAACATGCACCCCAGCAGCGAGCTCCGAGGACAGCATCTTATGGACTCTGCCACTGCTCCTTAACCCATATACAGAAGAAGCACCCACCACCACACCAGAGATCATGTGAGATCTACATGCGCCTTGCTGCTTCACCCAACAGCACGCCTGCGCAACCTCGACGTGGCAGTGCTCGCGTTGGAGGCTTGCTGATAACCCATTCCAAACCTCACAGCTCCGAGTCCGCTTGCATGATTTCTCTCCCTCTCGCCCGTCTCGCCTGCCGAGCCAGCCCTCGTTACTGAGGCTTACTCTCTTGGGCATCCGGTGTGTCGTCCACATCAAGCTGTACTGGGCCGCATTGGCGGAGCTGCCTATGACGTTGATATGTGCCTATAGATCCGGACTGCCGCGGGGCCATCGACTCGGAGTAGCCTCCCTCCACCGCTGTCTGACTGAATTCCTTGGAGAATTACCGCCGCCTCTTGTGCACCGGTCTGGGAAACCTTACATAGAACACCGAGGAATGTCAGAAGAGGCAGGGTCGGTCTTGACCAGCATTTCGAACCGCCTTCACAAGGAGACAACTTCTGCAGATCCTAGTCAGAGTGTGAAACCCCTGCACAACCTCGATCACAGCTGGCATCCTGTGGCATCTGTTGCAATTGCGATGCCCAAAGGGTTTCCCCTGTATTGCTATTCTTGAGTATCTTGGGTCCCATTTGTCAATTAGAATAATTCGATGGGAGAAACCTGTCCTTTCCCCCCCTTTAAACCAATACGCCATAGGTGAAAGCAACTGTCACCATCGCTTCTAGTAGGCGAAGCCGTGCGAGCCGGTGACTCCATCACACGCCTAACGAATCCTCGTGCCACCTCAAGTGTGCCATGATTTTGATAACCTTACTACAAGGTTGGAGAGTCATTTAGTAGGGTGCAAAACCTCGGGGTGCACCACGGAAGCCTCCACGATAACCACCGCGATAGCCACCTCGTGGGACAAACCCTCCTCGACCGCCATAGAATCCTGGGCCTCCACGGCCACCTCGGAAACCCCCTCGACCGCCACGACCCCTACTCATGCCCGGTACGTTGGTTCGCTTCGGTACGACCTTGATGTTGCGGCCCTTGAAGACACTCTCGTTAAGGACCAAGGCCTGGGCGACCAGGCTTGGCTCGGTGAATTCGACGTAGGCATACCTGCAGCCATGTGGTCAGTAGGGCACGCTGTAGTGAGATCCTAGGAGAGGATACGGCGGTGCAGGGCGCGCGTCTGCCGCAAACTCACCCCTTGGGTTGGCCGGTGAACTTGTCCAGCAGGATCGTGACACGGTTGATGGACCCGCAGCTCTGGAAGTGCGCCTGAATCTCCTCGGGAGAGGCGGAGTAGTCGACATTGCCAACAAAGATGCTGCGGCTGTCGACGTCGGTCTTGCTCTCCTGAGCGTTCTCGGCCTGGTTGTCCAGGCTGGCCTGCATCTCGCGGAGCTTGGCGGCCTCCTCTTCCATCTCTGCAACCCGACGCTTCATTGCAGAGATCTCCTCCTAAAGTGCCAACTCTTGTCAGATTGTTTTTTTTTTGAGATGCCAGAATCACCATATCTTGTGATAGCCCACCTCTTCATTGCCCTCTTCCTCGGCAGGGCGAGTCTCCTGGACCGGTTCCTCTGTCTTGACCTCGTCCATGGTTGTATCCTGTCGTTAGTACGGGCGAGTGCAATCGTAAGAAGAAAGAAAGGGAAGAAACTGTCGACAGGTCAGCAAGAGCCTCTCGCGCAAAAGGTCAGTAATGTCGGCATCTTTGTTGCGGGGTTGTCCTCAGCCAGGTAGCGACCGGCCCAGCTTGCGCCACTCGTCGGTGCTCTCTGGAGGTGGCCGGCACAAAGGCAGGGATGGGCGGTAACAGTGGAAGTATGACTTACCTCCCAAAAGGAACTAATCGGGGTCGGGTTTGCAGGCCCTTGGCAGCAGCAGCGGGAAAAAAGACAGCAAGATGAGGAGCCTGATATGATGGGAAGGTGAAAATGGCTGGCAGGTGTTGCGAAATGAAAGGCTCCGGACGTGAGGCTTATCGCCGATAAGAAGCCTCCGGCTCTTTCACTACCCAGGTACCTAGGTACCTGGGTACTTAAGTAAGTACTCACTCACCAGGGGTCTTCATCTTTGTGCCAGCCCTGGAACAGCTACCTAGGTACCCAAGTGCCTGGGCAGTACAGTATTGGGTACCTAGGTACCTAGGTAGGCAGGCCCTGCTAGGCCGCCCGAGTCCACAATGGCTTGTCCCTACTGCACACTACCAGCACAAAGCCACCATACGTTGAGAGGCTTGTCGGCATCTGATGAGACAGCAGCTATCCCGCGCTCTTGCTGTAGTCTTTTGCAGCATTGCCCAGATAGGCTGAGAGGTGGTGGCATATTTCATGTGTTTCAGTCCCCAACTTGTGACGTTCACCAGCCACAAGCATTGTAACAGGCAGGCCGTCAGGTCTTCAGGGATCGGAACACATCATTACAGAGCCCACATTGCTTGGTTACCATTTGCCTGGTTGCTATTTGCCTGGTTCACCGTCCCTATTCAGCTGGAGGTTATCCATAGCAGTTGAAAGTCCCAATGGTACATGCATGTATTTCCCATGTGTTCAAACCGGTTTTGATTGTCTCTTTTCTGATCTGCAAAGAATGCTCCCTCACAGGCATTTTACATGCATGGGTGTGCCCGTTCCAACCAGTTAAACTCCAGCGAGAGCGGTGCAAGCTTGGGGTTCACCCAATTCAGAGCCCGTCTGTCTCAGTGCTCCAGTCCGTGTCCGTGGTTAACGTGAAGCCCCGCTCCTGCGAGCCCAAACCGCCTGCGACGCAGCTCCCAACCAGCAGCCGAAGAATACCACACAGTCTTGTGTCCCATACCTAGGACCACCCATATCTGGCATACATCATGGCTCTCGTCCCTCCTGTTGAGAGGGATGGCTTCTCCTACGCAGGAGATTTACTTTTCCGTGAAACAAGTAATCTCAACCGCCACCGTCGAGCGACCGTGCTGGAGCTCAAGGCTCATTTCACTGGAAAAGACACTGAGAATCGGCCCGCTCACTGGTACGAAGCTCAATTGCTTCATTATGGCTTGCCTCCCAGCAAGGTTAAGGGTACAGCTCACAAACGTCGTAAGTCTCTTGCAACTTATACAAGGAACAGACATCTTCAGCGGGTCCCAAAAAAGAAAAAGGGGGCGTCTCGGATACCTAAGGGAAATCAGATGCGGCCTCTCCCCCTGCATATTGATAACCTTCAGTGCTTTGGTAATTTCGCTGATTGTGTATATCCTAGTCTTTGACGCCGTGATGGGTAAAGACGGCCTCACTGTGCCAGCTAACATCAAAAAGATTGAGGCCGACTTGAAGAGAGAATGGAACAAGCGGGAGCGGGAGGCAAGGAAGGTCCTTAAGGAGTCCGAGGGCAGAGGCACCAAGCGCAAGACTGACCAGGTCTCCACCAAAGTCAACGTGAATGTCACTGTCCAGGTCTCCAACACTGGGGCTGTCCAGATCGAGACCGCTCAGCCTTCAACCAAGCGGCCGAGGGTTACGAAATCAGCAGCACCCACTGCGAAGACGGCCACTGCCCCTACAACCACAGCCAAGTCTAACAAGTCACCTGCCACCAAGCCAGAGAGGGTCAAACCGACACCAGTCAAACTCGCTGGCAAGAAAGCAATCGCGAAGACACCGGCCCGGCAATCTCGCCTCCCCAAGTCAATTACTGCCCAGACTCCGGGGTACGTAGGCGGAGATGCGAGTGGGAGCTATGGCGAAGCGCCCCGTCCCTACTCTGAGGCTGACCCTGGTCGTGGTGCTGGATTACGAGCTAGCCCTCGGCGGCCTATCGGTCTGCTCAACGGAAGATACAAGGTTGAGTGTCCTTACATGGGCGGCAATTTCCCAGAGTACGAGGACGACTTCGGAATTATCGCGACTCTGGACGGTACCAAGCTCTGGCTGAAGTTTGACTTCGGCCCGCTTGTTGGGATCATGCAGACGGACAGGCCTTACGAGGCAGATGAGGATGGACACGGGACCAGGCTGTTCTGGCGTGCAGAGTGCACGTTTGAGCAACGAGATATCAACATCGACACCCTCTCTCGTGCCGGCCTGGTAAACAAAGTGCATTTCCCAGGTGGTGGTCATGTTCGAGGCATGATTGCATATGACCGCCATGTGATCGAGTTCGACGCTTACAGGATCCCGGGACAGTCGGTGACCTCCGAGATCAGTCCTACTCAAGCACGAGCTGAGTGGGCCAGACGAGATCAGCAAAACTGGGACTGAATAGTTATTAGGAACGAGTCGTAGGTCGCACAGAAGAGATGCTTTATCGAACACGGTTCAGGCATTTGGCAGCGAAATGAAGGTGTCTTGGGGGGATGGGTGTTGATTTTGCACAGCATATCTAGGTAGCAGGCTACCATGAAATCCGCATATTGTCTTGGGGTTTGATAGATGCCAGTCTTGTACAGGAGGTCCAGTCCACCCCCGCCACTTAGTAAACAGGAATGGAGTCATGGGGAATTGGTCGTATTTGGATGGTAATGACCCAGTGTTCAAGTGCTCCTACACAGCGTCTATCTACCTTTGAAAGAAAGATGGATGGCATGTGTGCTACTCTGTCTTGATGCCCTAAGTAACTCGGGATTCATTAGCATGGTTCAAACATAGTAATTACTGTACCAAAGTCTACTGTAAGTCAGAGTTTCGCGCTTGTAACCTCGAGGCGCATGTCAGACATGCAGCTTGTTTGCCAAGCGTGTACATACCTAGGTAAGCAGTCGACAGTCTACGGGTTCGATGCATGCTTGTATGACTTCATTGGCCCGCCAAGACCCGTGGCAGCCGCAAGACTGCATACACCAACAGCCAACGACTCACCACACAGTTAACGTATCAACCGTCTTCACCTAGCGACATATTGCTACAGAAATTTGGGCTCCCAAGGATCAGAACTTCAAATACTTCCTGGGTTTCAGCACCAAAAGTAGCCACGCCGACTCACAACTGACGTCCTCCTTCTCAACGAACCCGATTCGGAATCCCCCGCACATCACATCACATCACATCACATCGCAGCCGACCGACCTGCCCAGTGACAACCAGCAGCATGGCTCCGGAACGGCCCCAGCCCAAGTCAAAGCTACAGGAGTTCTTCCCGAACACCAAGCTCCCCGTGATCATCTCAGCCCCTATGCTCGGGATCTCAAATGGCACCCTGGCCGCACGTGTGTCCACGGCCGGCGGCTTCGGCATGGTGCCCGGCGGGCTGGACTTCAAGCCTGGCAGCAAGCAGCTCGAGGCCCTCGAGAACGAGCTCAAGGCGGCCCGCTCGGTGCTGGGACTGACGGAGATGACCCTCACGCCGGCGCCCCTCGGCGTGGGCTTCTTGACCCTTGACCCGTCCGCCACCCGCTTCCGCGAGACTGTGATCCCGATTCTGGAGAAATACCTCCCCCAGGCTGTCTGGCTATTCGCACCCGACCCGGAGACCGCCGAGAGGGCACACCCCAGCATCATCGAGGCCTGCCATGACCACGGGATCAAGGTCTTTGTACAGGTCGGCACGGTCGCTGCCGCGAGGGAGGCGGCGCGGGACGGGGCGGATGTGATAGTGGCTCAGGGGGTCGATGCTGGTGGGCATCAGTTCGCTGCGGGTGCCGGAATTATCAGTCTTGTGCCCGAGATAAGGGTGATGCTCGAGGACGAATTTAGGGGCAAGGACATTGCGTTGGTGGCAGCGGGAGGAATCGCCGATCCGAGTGCCGTGGTGGCTGCCATTGCTTTGGGTAAGCTGGCTTACTATGTGATTCAGCACAGGCGTTAGGCAAGATACTGATCTCAAAATAGGAGCAGACGGTGTTGTCATGGGCACGAAGGTCAGTCCCGGCCAATGGTGGGTACCACAATGAGACATAAGTGCTTACTCTCAGGTCGCAGTTTATCCCCGCCAAAGAGGCGAACACATCTGAGAATGCTAGGAGGGCAGTTCTTGAGACTCGAGACGGAGGAGGTTCAACCGTGAAGTAAGGTCACCGTCAAAACCTGGTTCTTGGCTGCTCGTTAACATCGTTCATCTCATAGGTCCACATTCCATGACGACCTCAGAGGCACAACGTTCTGGCCGAAGCTCTATGATGGCAGGGCTATCATTTCACAGTCCTACAAGGACCATCTCTCTGGCATGTCTCTTGATGAGAACAAGACAAAGTTGGGCGAGGCCGAGCGCGACGGGGACGCCTCCAGGCAGGTTACGTGGGCGTAAGTTCAGACATACCATATGCCCGCTCCCCACAGGTATTGATAAATCGCAGTGGTACTGGCGTTGGTTTGGTCAATGATGCAATCCCGGCAGCCGATATAGTCAGAAACACTAGGGAGGCGGCGAAACAACGGCTCCAGGCTATCAAGTTTTCTTTTGAAGACGAAGGCAAGAATTCGAGGGACAGTTCGTGGGTCAAGGAGTTGGGTCACACTCTCTACAAACACAAGTGAGATGAGACGCCTTCACGTTGGGGGTTGGGAGGGGTATGGCCAGTAAAGTGGCGGGCATAAGGGGATGACTTGTTGAGGGCGAGCAACAATGCTTTCTGTCGAATTTAACGGCACGGGCGTCTCGACCGAGCGTTCAACTGTTCCGTGCATGAACAGAGAATAGTGTGGCATGGCTCCTACCGGGAGAGATGAAGATCTAAGATACAGATGAGTGTCTGCTTTTGCTGCCAAGATATAAGAGAAGTATCAATGGACTTTTCCAGGAGCAGGAGCAGAATCCAAAGCAACGCATTCGCCATTCTGAGGATTTTCTAGGAGCTCTGCAATTTCAGTGGGAGTATCACCGATCAAGGGCAAGCAAAACCCTTTTCATACTGCGCGTCAACTCCTTAGCTTAATCCCTTGAGTAGACCCGACGCCCACCAACCCATGTCTCCTTTACCTTAACATGGCGAATGTCCTCAACACTCAGTTGTTCCAAAGGCTCGTCCAGGACAACCCAGTCCGCGAAAGCGCCTGGTTGGATCACCCCAGCCTTCCCATCAAGGAATGCACCATGTGCAGGACCCTCGGTGAAGCCCACCAGCGCCTCACGGACTGCCAGCGCCTCCTCGGGGTACCAGCTGTCGGCGCTGCCGTTTGTGCCCTTACCCGTGTGAGGGCTTCTCCTGGTGACAGCCGCGTAGACCCCCTGGAAGGGGCTGGGGGGCTCGACGGGGAAGTCACTCCCTAGGACAGGCTGTAGATCGAGCAGTGAGCGCATCCTGTAGGCCTCGGTGGCGGTTCGCTTGGTTCCCAATCTCAGCTCAGCATAGCCCATGTCGGAAGTTGCATGAGTAGGCTGTATGGATGGTATGATTCCAACAGAGTGCATGCGTGTCTGGTCTTCAGGGTGTATAATTTGGGCGCTTCACAACCGCATGATTAGTAACAGCTCATGGTTGATGACCTAGATGTTCGGGGCGTTGAGACATCACAGGGAACGCTTGAGAGAAATAGTATATAGCGAAGGGATTGATCTTACTGTTCTATTCGAAAACGGTGCTTTGCCTGACAGGCTGATACCGTCTCCCCTGGGCACAGGTCGGCAAGCGCAGCTTCGAATGCGTCAAGGGCGAGCCGGTTGGCGAGATCTGAGACCCTGTCAGTAAATTTACCTCTGACACCAAAATTGAAAATGTGTGGAAGTAATGTCAGCATTCCATAGAATTCTCCCCATAAACCTTCTTTGTGTACGACATGGGTGGTGATGATGTGATTTGCGTTGGTTCAAACGGTTGAAAACACGCATTGCGATATAGGGACACAAATGCGAAATACGAACCACCAATGGCATGGATGTTAACTTGATAGCCTTCTGAAGACCAGGACTTTGTCAAGGACGTAAGCGTAGATGCATTGACGAGGAGAGAACCTGCGGTGTCAGGGCGATCGGAATAGGGCTCGATCATGGCACTTCCCCAGGAACCCAGGGCCCCATCTGGTGTCACAGGTCAGCACTGGTGGAAGCATTCCTTATTCAACCCGATTCGATTAGTCACGAAAGAGGCAAGCTAGATCAGACGTACCAGCGAAGAGCTTGACGCTCTTTATACTTAGGAACCCGTCGGCATCGGTGAAGGGAGACACCTTTTCGGGGCAGAACGTGTTCCTCTCCTCGCACTCGATCATGGCATAGACGCGCAAAGTCCAGTCTTCCGCGCTGAAAATCCTCTTGTACAGCTCCAGCTCGTTGGTGTAGACGCCGGCATCGTGCATGCCCACGAGTCCAACTTGGTGGAGTGCTGCCATTGCAGATTTAAGGAATGCTTGCCTTCGAGCAGCATCTGGCCGTGGCCAGAGCTTCATGACGACCTCCATGGCATTGTCACAAAAGACACCCATGCCCGGCTCTCGAACGATCTCGCCGCCAGGGACATCGGCTAGGTCGTCTGGCAATAGATCGAGGACGGCTTGGGAGACCCAAATGCAATGGACATCCACGCGGTCAAGCATGATATACAGCCCGTCGAAGTCGGCAAGCATGGTCTTACCACAGGCAAATTGTCAGCAGTCACAAACAGGTGCTTTGGAGGGAGAGCTACCTACTGCGGTTGGCATTTCTCCCATACTCATCTGATCCCAGCCAACGCCCCTGATCCAGTCTGCCCTGGACCCCACGCCATCGTGTGCCAGAATGTAAGCCGCAATGCGGTCTTTGGCATCTTCGATTGAGTTTGCGCCAAAGAGGTCAACTGAGTGGAGGAACTCCCCGTATTGAGCCAGATGGCCATGCTACCACAAAATTGGTTACTGCTTTACAGAGTATTCGAGGAAGGTCTCTTACACCGTCCCAGAGGCCAGGAATAGCGTGTCCAGGAAGGACATCAACAGGTTCTGATCCAGGCGTGAACACGTGGCTGAAACGGCCGTCCTCGACGACAAAGCATGCGGCGGTGTCCTGAGTTGAGAATTTCGTCGTGGCGCCCTTTGCATAGCAGAATGTCTGGACTCTGGTAGACGTGAAGACCTGCTGGAGTGGGCCCTGAAATCCAAGGTAGACGGCCACTACCACCACAGCAAATGACAGCCAGAGGCTGCTTCTCAACAGGAAGGAGGGCATGTCAGGGAGAGTACGTGTTGATATACGTCAGGAAGACAAGCATCACATCGTATCTGACTTTTTTTCTTCGGGCTGGATGCTGAAAGCGGTGGCCGTCCTCCAGCCTACCTAGGTACTGATTGACGGTGGGGACCGTCGATAGCAGATAAGGTTGTTGGAGTCGCTGTCCGTGGTTGCCAATGCTTGCACGAATCGACTTCACAATTTCCATGACGTATCGAGATTGTAGACATGAGGTTTCGACCTTCACTCAGAACCAATCTGTTGAACCATCAGCCCTTCAACGACCCTCATGGTATGACACCAGAGCAATTTCGTGCGTCTTGTGCTTCCGCGGATGACCCCTGCGCGCCAACTCCCCTGCGTCGTCGCTCAAAAGCCTGGTAGAACAGCACCAAGATAGAAAGGGGTAACGCTACACACCGAATAAACGATTTTTGTCCCTCTCAACCCATGCCAGAAAGCTGTGTACAAATATCTCGGCTGACAATCCATCTTCAGCTGCACCATAGGATCCGAGCCATGGACACGGAGGCACCGCACACTAAACAGATGTGTCGTCGCCAAGGCCGTCTCCGTCTCAACCTGACGTTTGTCGATGATGGCACATCACTCGGCTCAAATATCAAGGGCACTTTGCATCAGGTCTCGAAACAAAAGCGGGAGAGCTTGACTACAGCACCTCAGAAGCAGTGGTGGTTCAGCATCCTGCACAATCTGGTCTAGGGGCCAGCAACAGCTCTCCACCTGACCATGGGACTGCTCCTAGGCGAGGTCCAAACGGAAAAAATGGAATCAATTACTCCGCGGGAGCTATGTGGTTTCCATTCGAAGCTCGCATGGTGCATGGCTGTGAGAACAGTCCACCGCGGTACAAGCTGAGCCCGAGACCTGGTCGACACTCACCCGCATCAGGCGACATGTTCGCCCCCATAAGCCAAGGAGCACAAAGCTCTCGGGTGATAACATGCATTCGTTGGATTCTGCAAAGATCGTTCGACGTCTTACCAAAAGATTGAGGGGTCACACCGTGGGCAACTGCACATGTGGTCCCAACGAGGCAGTGGGTAAACGAGCTGCCTGCCTGCCGAGTTGCACGGTCTGCTCCAACATGGTGGTTCAGGTTGAAGGAGGGAATTCCACGGCTCAACGGCGCGGCGAAGCAGTCGATGATTGCAATGGTTGGCGGACAAGCAAGGGGGGAGGGGGGAATCCATGTACTGGCGCATCTGGCCAGGGCACGGCAACTCCCCGAGCTCGCTGATGAATCTCATCACGTCGGACCGAAATTCAAGCAAAAGACATATGCACAGGTTAGGGGATCATCTATCATCGAGATTCATTCGACGTGGGGCTAGAGAGGAGGACCGAAGATCCACCAAGCTAAGCGAGAGTTGAAGCGCATGGTTCTCTTGCGAAGACTGCCAACGACTTATCAGTCTACTTCAACATGGTCACGAGCATTTCGAAGTTGGCACAAGCTCAGGCGTCCGTGCTCACAAGTTGACAAGCTCTTGATACCAGGAACCCGAAGCGAACGAGACTGGCTCCTGAAGAGACCAATGGAGCCCGGAACACTTTGTGGTCTGAGTGTGTTTCCTCGGTGCGGCTACGCACACAAAAGAGGGAGAACAGCATAGTGGTGTCCTTGCCCAGCTTGCGGCCATCGAGTACTTGGCTGCCTTTCCACCAATACTGTATCGATACGGGTGGGCGTCGACACGAATGGGTTGACGTTAAAACACTCCTCTTACACGGGGCACAAGACACGGATGCCGTCTCCAATCATCACGCCTTTTCAGCGAAGACCCGCCCTTGTGAAAAATGCTTGCCGAAGGCTTTTGCAACGAGCTCATAAGGGATGTGGCGCCGCATTCCTTGGCCTTGGCTTAGTTGTGTGCATGGTGAGCTCCACGGCTGCATTCTGATCGTGCCTTCCCTTGGCGACACTGACCATAGGCGGAAAAACTGGCTTTGTGTGGGAGAGGAATCTTCTCCATACTGATGGTAGTTGACGTCAAGTTATCCAACGGCCATCACACGCCACAAAATTGTGGCGGGGAAATGAAATTCAAGCTGTCTTAGAGAAAGGGCGAGACGCGGGCAAAGTTAAGCTCTTTTGCTGTCTCTCCCACTGACCAAAGGAAAGTTTGGTAGCCCAGGGGCTAGAATCATTTGGTTTTCAATATGTAGCCAGATAACTGAACTCAGTACGCTCGCCGGTCTGGGCTACCGACCGACTCGGACGATCCAGCCATAGTTCAGCCGGCCACAAAGCCCGTTTCGGCAAAATTCCACGACCAGGAGCCAGCCGGGTCAATCGATCGGATCGTCGTCGCAAGGCACTCACTGGCTAACTGGCTGCGTCCCACCCTCGAATCTCCAGCAGCACAGAATGGACGAGCTTGGCAGCCGCTGCTCACCAAGCGCTGCAGACTAGCAGGACTAGGTGCAAGGCTCCCCTCCGTATTTCCGGGCTACCGGGTCCGCCTCGGGGGACAAGCTTTGACCCTAGAACATGCAGATCCAGCCTGACGTTCGCACTTGATGCACTTCGGAACGATCCGACAAAGGCGACTGACTCTAGCATTGCTGATGGGTATATTGTCGTCTCGGTCACTATCGCGGGACATTATTACTGAATGTCTCATGCTTGTCATGGCTTAGACGATCATAGGACAGGCGCCATCTATCTCCGCGATAGCTGGCCGACATGGCCATTAGGCTGATGGGAACGGAACGTTGCTCCAACACAGCTCTTGGAAGGAGCGGTTCAGAGAGGCGCGATGTCTCATAAGAAATATATGACCCGCATGGCCGAGGCACGCTCCATCTAGGCTGGAAGCAGCCTACAGTACCTGCCTACCAGTCAAGGAGCCAGGGAGCCAGGGAGCCAGTCAGGGGGCGAGCCATTGGCCGGCACCAGAGGTGTCACAATCATAACATGCCCTTCTGTGTACACAGTAGAGTGTCTTTTTCTTCGGCCATGCTTGCTGATCATCAAGCGGCGTTCGCCAAGCAATATGCCGAGGCCAGTCCAATACGTGGTGATTGGCGGAAGATCTCGGCTTGCAAAATCCCAGAAATAGGGGAATTACGGCAGAAATCAGTGGTCCAGATTCCGGACCACCCTCGCCCCACATTCTTCCCCAACCTTCCGGCCTGGGGAAACTGGTCTGGAGCAGCTGGGCGAGCTCCCTGGCAGGGGCCAGAGATGTTTTGGGTGTTGGGGATCCGTGGGATCAAGCTCTTTGGCTTAGGCAGTCTGGCAGTATAGACAGGCTACCCCGCGATGTTACGTCCCCTGCGCTGAGCCTGTGACTCGGCAACGCGGGGGGCACTCGGAGCCTCCTCGCACCCTCCTGGCCAGGTGGAATGGCACCCCCAAAGGACCCTGGTAGCGCGTATCCTGGAGCCACCTATCACCAGATGTTGCCCGCCAGCCCGCCAGCCCGCCAGCCCGCCAGGCCACGCGGATTGGCGACAGGCGGGGCGGGTCGCAGGCCTTGCATTGCATCTCCACCTGCAGCTCTCACCGTGGGCAACCACAGCAGATCTTACTGGTGACTCCTCGCTTGATCACCAGTTTCGGCCAGTGGGACCACCACCTACAGCATGGCACATCTGGACCTGCTGGGCCCCGCTGGGCCTTGCTGGGGGAGGACTTCTCTGTGTCCGCTTACGTTTGAGAGGCTCATGGGCCTGGTGCGCCGAGATCCGCACATTGTAGATCTGTCGAGCTTCACCCATGTCATGTGGTGGAACAATGGAGTGCCCTCAGCCGCGGCATGTCAGTCACTGGACACCGGTGGAAGTCATCATCACGTCCGGCCTCTTGCTCCTGCCTTGAGCAGCTTAGCAGCTTTCCTTGTCTTGACAGTGTTCAGTGCAAGCATGGCGGGCAAAGCTGGGGTTTGTCCTGGGTCATGTTTCGTCGAGAGCGCTCGTAGTAACCCGATGCCCCAATACTCTGTAGACCCCTGCCACAAGTGTCGATATCTCAATGAGCTTATTTCCAGACTAGGTCAGGGATAATCGTTTCCAGCGTCGGCGAAATATTCTGGCTGACTCCTTGGCGCAGCGATTGCTCGGGTCCCTGATGCGGGAATCCGACTACTTCTACTTACCCACTACTCCAAACATCACATCAGTCGGCCTCCTGACATCTGTTTCCCCCTTCGATACCACACGCATGCGTCTGTCCTTTCGGCCTCCAGCACACCCGGCTACCATTCGCAGACGCCTCGGGCCTTGGGCTTGCGTGACTCCTCCAGCGAAGGACGGTCTGGATCTAACGTCACGAGATCGGTCTACAGCCGCAATGACATGACTGGAATGCGCCGGAATCATATGTGGAATAACGTCGCCTCTGCACACCAACCGGCGTCGGCCAATTGACGCTGTCAGCTCCAAACAACCTATTGAGAATTTCTCCAGGCCCCTTCTTCTCACTTGGCCTTGCATATCCAACCAAAATTCCCCGGGGCACTGAGGGTGTTCTCATCAGCGCCGCCTGTCAGTCAACCGGCCCAACCGCATACCTTCTATCAACTCGCGAAGAGGGACGCAGCCTGTCGCGCACCACCAAACCGAGTAAGCTTGCACCGCCCTACTCTCCCACTCAGGCATTCTTTACAAGAGGTCGGAACTCTCAAACGGCACAACTTGCGTTGCGGCCCGCTATCCTTTATCTGCCGCCACGCGACCCTCCATAGCCCGTCCTACATGGGCTGTTAATCTTGGAGCCAGGGCTCCAGCTTTCCGCCCCGCTCTGTACAATCTTTTACACTGCTGGTCACTTTGCCATGCGCCATTGGGAACACAGAAACATTTCACAAATACAGTGGTCAACTACAGAGTGGCACCACCGTGGCCCTCAGCCTTGGATACTAAGAGCAGCGCAAAGGTTTCTGAAAGTCGACCGGTTTCCGTTGCCATAATTTGATCTGCTGTTGTCAAAGCGACGACGCTCGCATAATTCGCAGTGCTCTTGGCGGGCTAATATCACCGGAACAAAAAATGACGACGGCCGTACAACAGCTTGAGACGATGCCGACGCCGGCGAGACCTAAGAGTTTGGTCGCCGGTTTCTCAAACAATGGCGATGCTGAAATGGAGATGAACGGTCACTCACCGCCGATCTTGACCACCACCACATTTGGCAGCGGACCTCAAAGGGGCGACACAAGGATAGTCGTCATCATATACGGGACCGGCCAGGACAAGATCGTGTCCATATTCGCTGAGATCCTGGGGAAGCCTCAGCGACTTATTGACGCTTTCAGAGACGTCAACGAGGCGGACCAAGGGCTGGTCGTTGGTATACCTGCAGACAAGGCGAAGACGGACATTGCAGACCGTGATCAGGGGCTCGTTGTGGCTATCAACGCACACTGGGTGAACCTGGGCATGCCGCCGGACAAGCTTCTATCCGCGCAGTGTGACTATGAGTTTCTTTATACCGAAGCACCTTCTTTCCGAAGGGACCTGTCGAGGTTCATCTCCTTCACCTTGGGCCAGCTCAACCACCACGAGACACTTATGGCAAAGTCAAGGACATACTTCATATCAACCACCTTCCCAGACGTGCGGGCAGCCCTGCCAAATCTGGACATCCTGACGGTCGGGGCAGATGCTGTTGAGATCCGTGTCGATCTGTTGAAGGAGCCCCTTGGGGACGGCACGTATTCAGACATACCAAGCTTGAGCTATGTTGGCCAGCAGGTCATGCTTTTGCGACAGAGTACAGAGCTCCCTATCATATTCACGACAAGATGTACGAGAGAAAATGGACGATTCCCTATGGATGATCCTAACCTATACTACGAATACCTGCACAGAGCCATCAAGTGGGGTGTAGAGTACATCGACGTCGAGCTCTGGCTGCCCGAAACCATTAGGAAGTCACTTTGGGAACAGAGAGGGAGCAGTCGAATAATGTCTGCGTTTCACGACTTCTCTGGCACTTTCAAGTGGCCTTCGAGATACGCCGAGGAGATATTCGTGGAATCCCAGAAATATGCAGACATCATCAAAATGATCGCAATCATCAACGACCACAACGAGAACTTCGAGCTTGAATATTTCCGATCGAAGATGAAGGCCGACTACCCAGACTCACCGCCCTTCTCGGGCGTCAACATGGGCGAGACTGGACAATTCTCCAGAACCTTGAACAAGGTCTTCACCCCTATCACGCATCCGCTGCTGCCAATCATAGCCGCACCCGGGCAGATGAGTGCGGCCGAGATAAACGCAGCGCTGTCTTTGCTCGGTCAGCTGCCCAAGAAGAGTATCTACGGCATCAGCAGCCCAGCCAGCCGCAGCGCGACACCACAGGCCCCCTTCTACGAGAAATGCTTCAACGAGCTCGGCTTGCCACACCACTTCGCAGTGGTAGAAAGGCAGGCCAAGGGTAACGGCGGCATGGAGGCGTGGTGTAACCAGAAGAACTTTGGGGGTGCCTACCTCCAACCGCCAGTCTCCTTCCATAGCCTGGTCGGGAACAGCCCATTCTTCGCCTCCGTCAACGGCGGCGCCGGCCCCATACTCAGCGAGGCGGCCCGGGTGATCGGTATGGTCGACACGATCGTCGTGCGGCCAGGGGCGTCCTCGCCGTCGCCGTCCTCGGCGCCGGCGTCGATGCCCTCGAGCCCACGTAATGGCCACGCGCGGATGGACTCGCTGGGCCACCTGGGCGGCGACTCGGGCCTCTCGCCCAACACCACGCTCATCTTCGACAACGCCCTCTGGCGAGGCGTGCTCAGCACGCTGACGCGCGACCTCGCGCCGTCAGCCTACTTCGGCAGGGCGGCCGTGGTGCTAGCATCGTCGTCCGATGACGCCGCGAGCGTCATCTTCGCGCTCAAGGCCCTGCGCGTGGGGAAGATCTACACCGTGGGCTTCAAGACACCTCCAGCGCTGGCCTACGGCCTGACCATCGAGCCGTTCAACTCGCTCGAGTCCCTCCAGCGGGCGCGCATGGTCGGCGCTACTGACGACGCCGCGTCGCCCTTCGTGGTCGTCAGTGCCCTCGGCCCGGAGAAGGCTAACATCGTCGGCATGTTGATCCGGGTCTTTGGCGGCGGGGCCAACAACAAGGCACGCGGTTCAGGATCCGGGTCGGCGCGCAAGGTCTTCCTCGACCTAGCCGACGGCGGCATGGCTGTGGCCCGCAAGGCCGACCCGGGAATCGTCGCCGAGCAGAGCGGTTTCACAGCCTACGGCGTCGCAGACACGGCCGCGTTCGCGACGGTCGAGACGCTGAGGCTGTTGGTGGGCCAGAACGTACCGTACAGCTTTGTCAGGCTGGCGAGCGGGCGAGGCATGTTCTGAAAACCTGATGGGAAAGCACCTGAGCCTCGCAAGCACCGTCCGATGCGCTCCGCGGAAGCCCCTGCCTGACTTCGGGCTGCTTCAGGAGCCATGCGCTGATGGGTCGGCGTAGGTTAGGGGATATGCGGGACCCTGTGTGTGGGTAACGACGTGGAGCTGCCTCGCCTTTACATGCTACAGTACAGCCCGCGCATAATGGGCCCCGGCGATGCACCTGGGGAGCTGGAAAGTCATGTATCCGGAAGGCGGCGCTTCACGAGAGCGTTCGGGGATACTGAGTCGCGTGTGATGGAGTCGCTCCTTGTTGGTGCAGGAATGGGCCTTTTTTGCTTTGGTCCTGTCCGCTGCATCCCGAGTCTCTTTTCCGACCGGATGCTTTCTTCGGAAAGGTCGACGGGTGGGAGCGTTTGTGATGGCACTATACCGCCGCTCAATGGCACCAAGGCGGTGGGTAGACAGACAGCTGGATGTGGCCCAGAAGGGGGGTGGGCGCACAACACTGGGGGCGGGAGGGCATCCCCATCAGGAATGATCAGGGCAAGAGTCAGCGGTGGAGCCAGAGGCCCCATGGGGTATGGGAGCAAGCATAGCATCGGCCCTTTGCTGACACTGAGCAGGGGTGGGTGACTAGGGCTCTTTTGAGAGGGGGGCGGGGGGTGTTTGCAAAGTGTGGGTATTGGGTAACGTTCGCATTGGGTACGGCGTTTCGGTCTGAGTTACGGAACTACTGCTTCCTTCTTTCTCTTCTTTCTCTTTTTGTATGGCTCTACTTGGTAGGTATCCTTCGATCATGCCCAACTAATAGGCGCGCATCCGTCGAGTTTGCATCGTCCGCGACCATCTTGTACATAACTCCCGTCGGATCTTCTATAGCAACATTGAATGAGTAACGGATAAGTCTTCCGATCAGCGTCGTGCCAATGTACAAAGCCGGCACTTGCAGCCTGGGCATTTTGCTGGCTGGCTGGTGTCTAGGTTGCTGCAAATAGTTGCGAGTGGTTAGTACCTAGGTATCCTGCGTCATCATCGCATCGATAACTTGACATTATGTCGGCGGGCGTGTGTATTGTGTGCCCGGGTGTGGCCCAAGACCCCCGAGCCGGATGCCCTGCGCTCACAAAGGATCCCAGAATAGAATCCGCTGCAGATTGCAGTGCAGACAGATTTCTAGCCGACCCTCCTCGCTTAATCATTCCCAACTTTTATAGCATCGCGGGACCACCCATTGCGCGGTTCCTGCATATAGAGGTGGTAAACGACCGGCTCCGAACGATGTTCGGCTTCCGGAGGTCGGCGATCACATTCTGCTGGGCCTCGCCCCCTTCGCAACGGCTGCTGGACAAGGGCTGTGCTCTCAAATCCAGGCTCTTGGTGGGCGACACGGCAGAGAAAAGAGTATCAGCCTCAGTCAGGACCCGGGTTCCAGTCGGCTCCCAAGGTTTGTGGCTTGACCGGAGACTTGCGGTGGGCAAGAACAGACGAGGCCAGGTGCAAGTGAGTCAATGCTGTGCGACGACGAGATAATCACACCGAGGCTGGCACCAACGTGGGTTGGGTTTGTGACTGTGGCGCCACCGCGATCTGACATTCCCGCACAGTTCCGCGCCTGCATAGACAAGACAGACCCGACAAACTTCGCGATCGGCTTTCTCGCTTCTGCAAGCTGTACATGATCGTGCTTCCGCATCTCGCCAAACCCCCACAATCTGAGACAGCCTCACTGTGTCACCGTCCTACCGCGACGGCGATCGAGCGCCGACTCTTTGGGCCAGAGGGCGCAATTCACGCGGCAACGATGACGATCGAGACGAAGCGCCACAGTGGCACTGCACTTGGAAGCCCCGGGCATCTGTTCAACGTGCACCACCCTGTCGCAACAATCCCGCGGCCCCATAGGGTTTCCCGAGACATCGGGCATTGTTGAAGCCCTGCACAAGACCCCAAAAGTCACTGGGGTCCCTGAGACAGTGGGTTGAGACACAAAAGAAGCTGCTTCGCACTATCACAACACCACTGGTGCTGGCGTCACGATGTGTGCCTGTTCTTCAGCGATCGACTCCTCACTGGTCGGCACTCTTGCCAGCCCGGACTGACCGCCTCCACTCCAGAGAATCTGACGTGGCTAGAATGCGGACGCTTTGCTGTCGTCAACCGGCAGGGGGTGACCGCCGTGAACTTTAGGCATCTGGAGGCTCCAGGGGTCCAAAAGCGAGGCGAGCCCTCAGAGACAGCGACCCCATTGCCAGCCTGGTCTCGTCTTGCAGGGACGAACAGCGAGTGCGTATTCTGCTGTCGCTATCCTCGTCTCTGCCGTGGTATCGGTGGCGGCCGTCACGACTGGACTCCACCCAACTACTGCTCCAGTCGCTCATAAGAAGCCTTATGGGATGTTTGTCAGTCTCCGGTGTCCACATCTGGGCCAGTTGGGGGTGGCGTCGGCCAGTCGACCCGGCCACATGTGCCGACATAATAGATCTCACATATCCGGCAAAACAAGATCCTTTCCAGCCGCGGGGATGAAGGCGCAGACCGCCAATATGTCACGCCAGGCATCATACAGGGCGATATTGTGAAAATGCCGAAGGACAACCGGCACTTGCCCGACTGTAAATGGCTGATTGAGGCTTGCGAGGGCGTTCCGTAGGCCCGTAGGATGTGACGTGGGACGCTGACACGGGTCCGACCCGCACTTGTCTTCATATCTGCTGGCCGACGTCGAGGCCCACTTTGCAGCTGAAAATATAAGCCCGACATATACACGCCTGTGCCGTACCACCGGTTAGCATCCCGTGGTTCCGGTAAGTCTGCGCCCTAGCAGGCCGCGTAGAGATGCCTACCTGGCCTTACTAGTCATGCTAAGGTCGTACTGCGGGCGGTCCAGAGTCTGGGGTAATGGCAAAAGGCTCTGAGTGGTCAAAATGGCAAAGCGGATAAATGAGAGCAGCCGGGGATGCACGGGCGAAGGTCCATGTGATTCAGCATCACTCACCTCTGGGCAGTCGAGGTGGTGAGCTGTTACCTCCTGGTGGTGAGGGTCCGGTCTGTGCTGAGGCTCAAAGGAGCAAGCATGGGGGAGGAAGCCAGCATTGCAAGGTGTGTACTGGCCACCGAACCGCTATTGGTGCGCATCGATCGCAGCGCATATGCACCCCAGATGAGGCGCATTGCAGATCTCCAATCTTGGCTGGTAGGTCCGGAGGGTTGCTGCACATTAACGTGTACCGAGAGGGAGGGTCGAGATCGCAACCGTCAACCTGGCGCCGACTCGAACCTGTTTCTGGCATCCCATGTCATCGAGAAGTTTGAATATGGCTGAATATAGTGTTGCCTCGCACCGAAATGGGCTGGCCGACAATTCTGACGGGGAATGTGGAATGTCTACGTACAAATGATATCAGACTAGCAGGATTTGATTACAAGGCCAAGAAACGGATTCAGTGTTGCATCGCAATCACATTTAAGCAGCTTCCAGAACATTATGACGGGCAGATTTGATAGGAGCCGAGCACTTGCTCAACATGGCGGTCGATTGCCGGTCGCACACATCCTAAAGAAGATCCAAACAGCTGGACATGTGGACTGCTCCCCCAACAAGCCACTGGTTTTATGGTATCGCTGGCCAGATGGCTTTTGAGGGCACCAAAGAAGGCAAGCACTCAAGGCACAGAGCGGCCTCCAGCTTGATTGGTGCTGTGCGGTCTGGTAAATCTGCAGACACACGGGTACGGCTAAGCTCCAATAGGCAGGCCATGATGCATACCGACCTCGCAATGCATCCAGGCAGGCCCAATGTTCAGGCCCACGCGTTAGCCACCACTCTCGGTAGTATGAGTTCGTCCTAACTTGGACTCTAAAATGTGGTGCCGCGTGATATGTGACATTCAAATACAGGTGTGCTTTGACTGGACGTATCAAGGTCACTGGGCGAATATCCTGGTCGAGTTGTGCGCAGCCAAGCATGAGGTGGTGGGTAAGCTTAGAGTAGGTTCATGGATATGACCTGTATCTCGGGTGGTGAACATTGCGACGCGCCTTGAATGATTGAGCATTTCTTATCTTTGAACCAGTTCAGACCGAGCCGGTTCAAATGGAGGATATCAAGTGTGCATACACTGAGTGGGCAGTCGATAGACTCCGATTGACCGGCTTGGCCAGAGATGTCCTCATAAACGATTAATTCGGAAGTATTCGCTTTACCAATGACGATATCTCGTGCGACAATACCTGGCCTGGTCTAATCAGCAGATATTGGGAACAACTTGCCTCCAAATCCGGGCATGTTGTTATCCGAGGTTGGTGACATTGGGCCATCCAATCCTGCTCAGAGAGGGATAAGCCGTCCGCGACCTGGCTCTAGTCAGGCCATTCTGCTGAAATGGGAAGAATGTTGGAAGGAAAGATCCAGACTCGTCTAGCCCGTGTAAGATATAGATTAAGACAATGTCGTTGGTGCTGAGGCTGGACCCTTGTTGCGCCTGGGCGGCAGCATGGCAGCGTGGATGACCCAGAGTTCTGTCCCGGGCCCCGAATTAAGATGGTGCCGTCGATCTTGCTTTGGCAGGGCTACCTTGGTGACTCTGGGCACCCTTGATGTGGTGATGTGATTCCTTGGGTGGAGAAGCGCCTGTTTGCCTCTGTGGTGCCTTGGACAAGACGTGCCGGCTGGCCATGCCCAAGGGAAGCAGCAAGACTGGGCCGCCCAGATCTTCCCCTAGAACGGCAAGAGTCAGAGCGCATCACTGGCCTGATGATATTTGGGCACAAGACAATGGCGGAAACGAGCAAACGTGCTTGCAAGGGCCTGGGCATGTCTTATCCTCGGCGCTGAGTGGATCACGCTGGCTATGTCAAGACCTTGCTGTTTCGGTCTGCAAATGCGGCACCACCGCATGCAACACATATGGGGAAGGTCGCATTTAGATCGACTTTATCTGAGCCGGTTCAGGAAATACACCAAGAGCAGGCGTGGGCGCAACAGCGGCGCTTGAAGTCGAATGCCGGCAAGAAAGAGTGGGCGAGCAATGTGGGTGGGAGTCGGCGCTAGCGAGTGCCGTGTTTGAAAGTACTTCTATCGTGTAGATTGGGCTGATTGGGTTGGTAAGGCCGCAGGCGCGAGCAAGCGGTTTTGTGGGAAGCTGCGAAGTGATCGACGGCGTATCAAACAAAAGAGTGAACGAACCAGGCCTGACGAGACGAACACGTCGGGGTCGGGGTCAGCATGATAGCGTGCAGCTCCTCAGTCGTCGTTCAAGGCGTGCATGGTGCATCAACCAGCTGCCAGCCTAGGCCTGCTCGACGTAGATCGTTGGCATCTGCCGTGACAGCTGAGATTGTGCGGCAGCAGGCCATGATAGTTGCGGAGATTATCGTTTCACGACGTCGAGAAATAAAACGCCGCCACGCACGTTGGTCTGAACTACGAACAACCTAATGAGGCGATGACACGGCTGAGGGCAGCGCTGAGAGGCCCCGGTGTGTATGCGTCGTGGTCCCGCTGATAGGGAGGGGACGGATCCTGACGCGGCGGTTTAGTCAAAATTCGTCAAGATCCGTCAGCGATCGGTAAGGCGAAGGCGACACCACCGAGCAGCCACGGCACAGCATCATGACGCATGGAGCCGTCAGCGCGTACCGAGCCTGCTTTCATGCAATTAGATTGACATGCTGAGAAGCTGACCGGGTTCAACAGGCGAGAGCCACGTGAGCAATAAGAAGCTGCCGGGTGGGCCTCGGCCTGGACGGGGATGCGTGGTGCTTCCAAGCCTGTACGTGCATGGGGTCTGGGGGTGCATGCGTGATTTGAGGTTTTCGCGATGCAGAGGGGCGGGCACGCTGCCAGGACCGGCGGGAGAGGGGTGTTATCCCCCTTTGGAGTCTGAGGCGGTGGACAGGGTGGCTCAAAAGGTACGTACTGGTACGTACCTCGGCTCGTCCCTTACTCTACCTTCCTTCCCATCCACTCGCTACCGTTCGCTACCGTCTTACCGCCTACCTCCCTTCTGCAGATCGGTTACCGTGCAATGCGCGAAGCTTCTTAGGTCCAGCAATCATGGCACCCACCCCCCCCCCCCAAAAAAAATAGTGCTCATCCATCTACAGCATGAGCTTCAACGACAACAGAAACCACCCCCACGATTCTGTGCAGGGCTTCACTGACCCCGGCCATCTTTTTGTGTGCGGGTTCATCATGCATTATGCAACACAGTTTTGGTCACCCCCGAGTCTGCGGAGTCTTTGCTACATGGCACCCCATTGTTGGCTGCTCCGGTCGGCGCAAACTTCGGCAACTTTCTCGCCTTTAGATGCAGAAGGGTGGGCTTGTGCTTCCTCGCTAGGTTCCATTCGGTGGGCCAGAGCCTCGAACGGGGTCCAGCATAAGAGGATATGTCGGTTCGACAACGGCAAGCGCTTCTGGACGAATCGCAAGCCCTCGTGGCTTGCTCGAGATAGATGAACTCTGACGTTGACCAGATCTTGACACCTCGAGTCCCGAGGCCCCGACGCGGCAGCACGGGTACAATCACATCCCGACGGTGGCCCGCAGGGGCCTTGACCTGCAATATGCCCGTAATAATACTACACTGCTGCTGTGAACCCTTTTCTTCTTCTCGGCTCGACGTTGCACGCAAGGCACCCGGCCTGGGGCTTCACAGCCTCCAATTGGTAGTCTGCTAGGTCAAGACTCACGACCGGCAGGGATGTGCCTGCGGCATGATCGGCTGATCATCCTCTTAGACGATCAGCAACATTGGACGACGGCTTTCATAGCAACAAGCAGTATAGCATGCGAACAACTCCACCTGCCAGATGCATATCGGGAACAGCATCGTTCTATCTGCTGCCGTGTACGGAGTATTGCCGCCTGCGTTTGGTGAAAACAGGGACCAAGAGCTGGACGCCTGAAGGAGCACTGTGATGCGCCAGCTGCTCCCCCAAGCCAAGGAGACCCTCTAGGTGTGGGTGGTTGGGTTCATACATCCTACGCAGTCAATGCTTGCCTGCCTCACATAACATCTGGTCAGCTTCTCGCACATTGGTTCTCTTTCGATACATCTCGCCATATCCTGGTTTCCCACCTGATGGATGCTTTTGCCCAGCCCACCAGGATTCGGCCCCTCTGTGCCTACTGTAGTTGCCGTCCCGTGGAGCTTGGCACGAATCAGGGCCAAAGAGCTTGTCCACTTCCCGGCCCAGCTGCCGGTTGGCCAAGCCGAGAGAGGGAGTGCTCACGGACACGAGAACGATGCTTGCATGTGGTGGATCTCCTTTGGCACGTGTGGATACCATGCTGTTCCGAAGAGCTGTCCGGAAGTGCCTCGACCTAAGACAGGACTGACCCGGTGGCCCGGTGTCATGTCACTGTTGATAAGCCAAGTCAAATATAGTACCAGGGCCCAGAGCCGCGGGCTCGCTGGCGGCTGTTGTTGGGAGCACGGACTCCTCTGCGCTCTGAACGTCAGCCCCCAGAGCAGCAGCATGATGCGGCTGTTCCTGAAACTCGGGAGGTGGTGCAATCTCGACGAGACACGTGCGATTTCAGGATCTTCGAATCGCAACAGCCTACGGACCCAGCCTTATGGCTTCAGTGCCAAGATCACCCGCCCCGGCCCCGCCCCTTGTTGACTCACTCGGTACATGTAATTCTGGCGATTTGATCCGGACCTCACTAGAAGTACGCCCCACGATGGAGTTTGTGATCGTTTTTTTTTTGTGTCAGATTACCGAGACCGAACCGAAGACATCGATGGCGGGACCCGCCCGCAGTGAACCTTCGAAGGCCGTGGCGGAACAAGCCGACAAAGTATTAACGGGGTGGCAGCAGACGGACTTTGTTTTGCGAGGAGACCCAGCTTTACTTGGAGAATGCTGCAATAGGTGACCACGTGCTCCCGGCCAGGAGACCTCGAAGCAAGGAGTCCGCCGAGGCGATGCTTCTCTGGACCACTGAGCATTGCTCGGTTCAGAAACGGCCAGCTTCAAAACAAATTACTGTAGCCAGGATCTTAGGATGCCGTGCCCCGGGCTGCGATTCACCGGTACCATGGCAAATGACCCAGTGGTAGGTACTCCGGGGATGACCTCAAAACCTCCGTCAATGCTTCCAGTAGTCGCTTCCACTTCCTTCTGCATGCACAATGACCAGGTGCCGGCTGGGCGGGAGCTGGGGTCCAGGGAGACATTATTACGCCTCCGGGGTCTGCCACGCGAGTAGGCTACCAGGCCCCGAGCTCATTTTACGTCGGACTAGGGACTCGGATTTCATCATCGCAACAAGAGACTGCCATGGCTAGGAGCATGAGTTCGTCTCCTATCCAGAATGTTGCTTCAAGTGTCAGAGGTGGTGCAGTCAAAGATTAAGGGTCCCTAAGCTCGTCACACTGCAACTGGGAGGCATTGGGGGGGGGGGGCAGCTCTCTTGCCCTGGGTGGTCAAATGAGAGATAATCTTGGCCAAGGAGCTCTCACATAAGAGGGCCAACGGTGCCTGAAGATGTGACAGATTCGGGTGAAAGCATCATGGAGTGTCCCTGAAGCTAGCCATGCCGCAGTTTGGGGATGACTGGTGTGCTGGTCTGAAAGGTGCCAGCTAGCAGCCGTGCGGCCACGACAGTGCGAGACGAAATAATGGAAGGCGACTCGACCAGGGCACCAAGTGGCCAGACACTGGCTTCTGGACAGGGACCTGTGCAGTTCTGGGGAGCCCAGGCATGCCGCCCTGACCAGGGTCTTCCCAAGGTTTTCATCAAGCTGGGCCCAGGCGCCGTAAATTTCTCAAAGGTTTCCATGCCCCGTCTGCCCTGTTGTCGTGCGAGGCGAGCTGGCAGACAGGGCAGGTTTGGGAGCCTGAACGAGAGCGGCACAGTCACAGCGAAACGCCTCGCAGGAGATTAGTCTGCACCTCTCCCAAGACCATCACATCCGGGGCTTGGTCCACTTGGAACACTGGACGCTGGCGACGCCGACAGAAGAAGCAAGGCATACTGGTTGTAGTTGTGGCTGGCGGTGCAAGACGCAGGAGGTGCATCTGATATCCCTGACGTGACAGTTCGTCTACCGGCATGGCAATGATGACAGGCGTGTGGTGCGACCCTGCCTTTGTCAATATCCATGAGTCAAGTGCCTAGGCCCTAGGGGGGGGTCTATGAGGAGGTCGTTCAAGCTATATCCAGCCATCCGCCATCCTGGTGGCGGGCATGTGCACTGTCCTGTCAGCCTGTATGCGCACCGATTGCAAACCAAGATCTGCCTTTCCAGCCGCTGCAGGAGCCTGCGGGCAAGACAGATGCGGAGCTTGGGAGCTTGGGAGCTTGGGAGCCTGGGAGGAGGCTGGCCAGGCACCATGCACAATCTTGGGCTCAAAAGTACCGGTACGAGGCCGGTCGCGTTAATAAAGCAGGCTGTCGTGGGTGCAAGGTACCGCAGTGCTCGGCACCAGGGAGTCCCAGGCCGGCCCTATCACAGGCTATCCCTGTGGGCAGAGACCCACCCGCCCGACGGAATTCTTCTGTCCCCACCATGGAAGGAAAGAAGCCTTCTCGCTCGTCAGTCTCTTCCAGGTTGGACCGTACTATGTACGGAGTACTGTGGTAGCGGGCAAGGCAGGCAGGCTTACAGGGCAAGCACCCACGTTCTTCTGCTGACCATACTTCTGCACTGGCCACGACCTACCTAGGTACCTACCTGCCTACCTAGATACCTAGGTACCTAGGTAGGTAGGTAGGTAGGCAGGTAGGTAGATAGGTACCCAGGTACTTACATGCCCGCCCTGGACTGTCATACCTCGAAAGTACCTGACAGACCTGTAACGCGCCGCCAGCAAGCAAAGTGATGAAATTCCATCCATGCTCAATTTCGTCACGCTCCTCTCAGCATGCACCCATCCCTTTCATCTCAATCCCTCGGCAAGGCCACGGTATCAAACCCTGGACCCGCAGCTGCTGGTCCTTCCATGATGACCGGCCTGACAGGGCAGGGCACGACAACTCGGGGCCAACAGCCAGCTCTCGACTCAGGGTGGGGCCGGCAGCTCTACACTACGGAGTTTATACGGATACGGCTCTCTCCCTCTGGCACACCAAGGCACACGCACGTTGAGGCACATTCCACACTGCCGCCTGACCTGCCACCCAGCCATCCTGGCAGTGGGAACGCACTCAGGCACTCCACGGGGCCTGATGACGAGAGGGCATGCAAGCGCTCTACTTATGTGTGGCATGTTCCGTTGGTTACACTCGGCTCTGTCTGGAGTAGGCTCCGCTCTCGCCAACGGCCGCGGCTGGGGCCAGCCACGAGCAACGGTGTCGACCTCGGAGGACTCTGACTGTGGACTGCGAGGGCTGCAACATCGCGACCCCCAGGCGAGTCGGGGTTTTCCTTGGGGTGGGCCCTGTCCCCATGACCTCTTCCTCAGGCGGCTGCGGTGCTGCACCTGCGCCTGCGCTCACTCCATTCGAGTGAGCTTGCTGGGCTGGGCTGGCTGGCCTCCAGGTGCTCGCTCCGCGGGCCCACAACCCACGACCCACGACCCTCGACCCTCGACCCTCGACCCTCTCACTCCACGCTCACGCTCGACGCTCCAGTTGAGCCCGAGCCCGAGCCCCCCCCCCTCTCCCCTGCCCCCTCCCATCCCCTCCAAATGGCCATGATTGACATGTACAGGGCCGGTCCTCTTGCCTCATGCAGAGTAGACCAACGCCTTGGGGGCTGCGAACACGCAGACACGCTGCGCGACATGCCAGCGTGCCTATCCACACTGCCCCTCGCCGGGCCATGCACCTTGTGCAGTGCAAATCCCCCCAGGGACGCAGAGAGGGTACCACAAGCTTATCCACATCCTCGCCTCACGGCCCAGATGGCCAGAAGGAGTACGGAGTAGCGTCCTCTCCCCATCCCCCTCACTGCCCCAGTTGCAAGCGCGGTCGAGTCCCTCCGGCACGCCTCCACACGTGCGTTGCTCTCCCGGAGTCCGATTTCTGGGGCATCCTGCTGGGCCCCCGCTCCGTCTCGCCCGCCCACCCGCCATCTTGTTCCCTCGTTCGAGTGCCTCTCTCTGAGTCTCTCGCCATGGAGAGCTTGCACATCCTTGCACGGATGCCCAGCAGGTTCTGCAGGTCAAGGTATCCTTACTCTGCGACCTGATCTCGGCCAACCCTGCCGTTCCTCACCCCCCTGAGTGCGGTGTACTCTTGTACTATGTACACTACACAGCTCGCCGCCCCCTTCCCCTACCACCACCCCTGATGGGGGACTGGATTGACTCGTCTGGTCTCTTCTCGTCCGTTATTTATTATGTCGCGTTGGTCGCAGCACAGCAGCTTCAACCCCCAGTCCTGGGACTCACTAGCCACTCCTGCCACCTCCACACCAGGGTCCACCACGCGAACCGGGTCCGGCTAGCCTCCCTTCTCATCTGCCTCTACTCCACACTCCCAGGTCGCCTCTAAAGTCACTTGCTTGCTTCATATTTACCGTGCCTTCTCCTTTGATAGTCTTGTTCTCTCACCTTGGTGCTCTTCCAAGTCTCCGAGAGTTAGCCCAAGCTCGATCCCACCACCACCTCACTTATTGCTACTACCTATCGAGGACAAGTCGTCATCGTCGACTTGTATACATATAACAAGACAAAGGCCCCCTCGACGCCTGCTATTGACATCAGAGAGCTTTGCCCGGCCATAAGCTTGCGATCCCACACCGGATGATGCGTGTGAACGACTGGTAGTTTCAAGGGAGGAAACTTGGGCCAGACCCCTCAGCTTCGATCTGATAGAGGCACTGGTTGTCCTCTGCCCCAACGAATGCCCTTCATCACACTGGGAATGACTGTTCCTTTCGAAGCGACCGGTGTCGCGCCGCCTCCTCCAGGAGTACACTCCGTCGCAATGTCTCGACCCCAGGTCGGCATCGAGAGACTCCCTGCTCGGCGCATGAGCAACGAGCCCCGAGAGTCAATGAACTGCAAATCATGCCGCAAGCGCAAGGTATGGAAGCTTCGAATCGCTGAGGGTCCCATCGACGAGGCCTCTCTCTTTGACTTGGCCCCGGTCAACATCGACTGATTATGCTGCCATGGCTAGATAAAATGCAACCGGCTACGACCATCGTGCGAGGCATGTCAGGTCTTTCAATGCCCTTGTGTATATGGTACGTGAACAACAGCGCACGTCGGTAACGGCCAGGAGTTCCCCGTCTAAGTTAGGCGAGCGTGGAAGCTTACCATATGATCTCGCGCGAGCAGATGCTGTGCCGAAGAAACGCGGGCCCAAGACAGATGTCCTGGAAGCACTCTTGAAAAGGGTAGATGGGCTTGAGGCCAAACTGAAAAGCAAAAAGGAACAGCCAGGCCAGCCGGCTTCGGAAGCCGTCGCCTCCACTACGGAAGAGGTGTCGTCCTCAACGGTAGCAGAGGCAGCAACCACAGCAAGTCGGAACAGCACTGAGGTCGATGATGCGAAGCCTCCACCTGTCATTGAAACAGCACGAGCTGTGGATGTTACAGAATCGGCCGTGTACACACCTACTTCAAGCAGGTATGATACCTTCTCTCTCACACAACAGGCTGACGAGAGGAGTTTGACGGACAGCTGATCTTGCCCGCCTGGAAACAGCGCCCCATCACCGCCCGGCATTCAACCTGACGCCCTTCTCGACACTTACTTCTCCAGATTCCACGCCAAACCATTTTACATTCTCGACGAATCGTCCGTTCGACAAAGGCTGCAATTGAATCAGCTTCCAACGTATTTGGTACACGCCATATACGCCGTTGCAGCCCGGTAAGCGATTTGCACTTCATCTTTGTCCGGTGTTACTAAATCCCTGACAGATACACGCCTCATCCGAGCGGGTACCAATCCGCAGTGAAGCTGAGCGAGGAATATGCCACACGTGCCCGGATGGAAATCGACCTCGATGAACCGTCAATTGATGCCTTGCAGGCTTGTCTTTTGCTGGTCACTGCCTTCACCGCAGCTGGAAAGGGGAAAAAGGCATATATGCTTCTAAGTAAGATCTCCGCTTTGCCACCTTGTATCAGCTACTGATTGATTTAGCCAACGCTGTCGGAATGGCCATGGCACAGGAGCTACACCGAGAAATGGACCCACGAGCAGGCGTCACGCCGGTCGAACGCGAGACGCGAAGGCGCCTGTTCTGGACCTGCTATTTGCTTGACCGATTCATGGCTTGCGGGTCAAAACGGCCATGTCTGGCCGGCGACAAGACCATTCTGCTTCGTCTGCCATGCTGGTCGCCGAACCCGGCGGCGCTGCCGATCGAGGGAGAGTTCTTCCAGAGCGCGTCTAATCTTCAGTACATGCAGGGCACGGGAAAGAAGTCACAAGGAAGTAGTGGGATGCTGATCGATATCAGCCGGATTCTCGGCATCACAAACCGGTATCTCGCAGCAGGGGGCGTCAAAGGCGACTCACATTTCCCCTGGCACTCGCTCTCCAACCTTTCGAAGATCCGACAAGACTTGGACGTGTGGGCGTCTGGCACCGAGGACGTGTTCTCGAGTCTCGATACCCTCTTTGGGCAGAACGACTCAACAGTTCTTGTACTAAGCAAGCTCATCTATCACCTGATTCATTGCCTGATCTACCGTCCCTTCCTCCCGATCGACCTCGCAGAGCTCGCAGGCAATGGCCAGCACCAATCGTGGCAGATCGAGGCTACCAATATGTGCTTCCTGCATGCAAACGCAATCGCCGAGCTGGTGGAGCTTGGCAAGCAGACAGCAACCATCGAGTGGCCTGCATTCGTAGGCTACTGCATCTGCACGGCTGGCACTGTTCACATCCACGGCGCACATTATAGCAAGCTTGGTCCGGGTGGAGAGATGAGTGTCTTCAACTCTTCCGCCGAGTTCCTCTCCAGAGAGATGCAGCAGCTTAGCGAGCTGCGATATGCTTGGGCTAGCGTGCAACACCAGCGCGAAACACTCCAGAGCATCTTCAACGCGCACACGGAACTGGTCAAGAGCTTTGCAAACATGCGGTACTCTCCGGCCTTCCAACTCGAGGATTTCTTCGATCGATACTCAAACATCGGTGGGCCTGGCGGGCAGACCTTTAATTTTGACGCTGCCAATCTCAGCCTGTCCGACGTGGTGGTTGATTTTACCACTGACGCTTACACCGGGCACGACTTCTACGCACCTCGGGACCAGGGTCCCGAACGACCCAACCTCAAACGCAAGCCGACCCTTCAAGGAGGCCGACGGAGGGCAGATTCGAAGCCACTGGCCCCATTGGCCAGCAACGTCAATATGAACGCACCGATACACACGGGCTTGCCGACGCCCTCGCAACCCCGACATCCTGCTTTTTCAACCCACGGCATGCCAGCCCACCCACCGCATCCGTCGCCAGCGATGCTCCACAGCCCTGCATCGATTGCGTCCCACACGGGCCTTCCAGAGCATGGACACATGAATGGTATGCAGGACTCCGACGAGATCGCGAACAATGCCGCCATGGCGGCTGCTGCTGCTGCTGGCTTCTCCATCCCACAACATCCTCAACATCCTCCACCTTCGCAACCCCAAGCCAATCCTTTCAGCCCCCCTTATGCGAGTTTTGGTCATATGCCTAGTTCGACCCCCGGCCCCGCGTCCCCACCGAACAATCAGAACAACACGAGCGGAACATCATATGACCCTATGTTCGGTGGTTTGCCTACTAACGCTTTCTCAAGTCCCGCCGCATGGAATGGCAATGAGGGAACACCTCGACCAGCAGGGGTTCAGCTGGCACCTAGTCCAGGTGGAATGAGCAATAACGGCAGCACGGGCACTGGGCCTGGTGAGGAGAAAGATCCATTCCTCAGCCTGTTGGAGCAGCTTGCAGAGAACGAGAACGCACGTGGGCCGGGATCCGAGTTCGACTTCTTCTTCGCAGGCACAGCTCCACAATGAAAATCCGAGCCTAAGGTTCATCTGCATTGGACGGGACAGCTCAAGTTTTTTTTATTCCACGACGAAGCCATGAACAGGACCCTATGCCTGCCGGAACTTCTATTATTATTTTTCCTTCTGTCTTTCCGACAACCAATGTATTGTCTAGCGGCGCTCAAGTTGAACTTGGCAATGGAGCGGCACTAGGTGTTTTTAGAGGGATGGAAAACTCAAGTGTGAAGGGAATGCGGCGTGTTTATCACGGGAGCTTTGTTTTGTTGTTGGTAGCAGCTGCTCTCAACTGGAACCAATTACGAGCAGTGTGTCTAAAACTGCGACCATGGTTCAAAAAGAGCCTGGCAGTGTCTCGGATTCAACTTGCGACGATCGCGTCCCAATTCTTGGAATCATGAGCACAGGCTCAGGGTTGAGAGCGAGAGCGATATTTTCTACTGCCAGTCTCACTTTGAGGTGGACGGCAACGACGACGACGACGATGATGAGGTTTGACGATGCCCATCTACATTGATACCGACCCGGCATACCCATAGGGTCAACCAAATCATGTATCATATTGCCTAGTTTATAGTATGCCCCATGAGGCTTCGGATCAACGGAGTTTGATACCTCTCAGGGGTCACGAGTACATACAGCAGCGTAAGGCGATCTCAAGCTTATTGGAGATTACACTTTCTCCACCTGGCATCTACCTCTCCAGAATCACAGGGCCCATGCCAACAGAAACAAGCATCATTCATGTCAGCCGGAGCCAGGTCCCAGGACAGGCACAGGTCGCTCCCTGCAGGGGCCCTGGGACGGGCTGAAGCCCTCCGTGGCCCTCCAATTTTGGGGGCCAGTCGAGCAACTTCGATGGCATCGATACACAGACACAGCACCTAAGCCATGGTCCGACAGGCTGGAGGGTCGCAGCCGAGGCTTTTCCGACCTCCACCGCGATCATGGGGTATCCTTATCCGCAGGGGTGCCACGACTTTCTTGCTCCCTTACCCCAGACGAGATAGACAGGGTAGATCCCAGCTTCTCCATGAGAGAGCCGCAGGCGGATTCAGCGATGTGACCTATGGGCTCTCTGCGGGAGACACCACCCTATAGTCGAGTCTTGCTATTGCTTTGTACCTGTACTTGCGAGGTCTGGCCTTGGAAGGGTTTTGCGAACAGACAAGTTTATTTCCTCTCCTGGACACGGAGACGTGGTCGAGAGGATTGGATGGCCTTGAGATGGTCGCATTCGTGCGCTTGTCTTGTCACAATAGGGAGACGTTGCCCACACGAGAGCCTACTCGGAAGCTTTTGTGACGGGTGATGAAGAGTGATGAGCGGTGTTGGAGTGATGATTGCACGGGGTCTATGCTTATGATTGACGAAAACGCCCCGGTGCCGACCCCAGAGTTCAAGCGCAAGCTTTACCGGTAGTTCATTAGCGTCGTCCGGAATTCTCTGGCTCATGCGCTGCTGGCGGCATTGTGATCTTTTGGTTCGACAGGCTTTAGCCCGAATGGCTCGAATACTTTAATACCACCTCAACGGATGGGCACTGTGGAACGGGGGAACAAAAGAGAGGAAAACATGCATAGCATGCGTGTTTGGGAGCAGCGCAGGCATGAGCTGGTCGATATAAAAATGCACACATGGGAGCCCACAGACCTACAACCCAGGTGCACGCACGTCTTCGCCCTTTGGCAGCTCATGCGAGATGAGACGAATTTCTGTTGGGAACGGTGCCCCCTGCCACACCACGCCACACCACACCGCAAAGCCCCTGGGCAAAAAGAAGCCAGACCCGGATCCCTGGACGCCGCCCATCACCACTTGGTACTACCATGAGCACCAGTACACTCCGTACTGCCACCACCGCCATGCCGTTGCCTTCCACAATGTCATATTGACCGGCATTCCGTGGCGATTCCAGCGATATCATGACGCATGTGTCACCAGCGTCACACTGGACAAGGTTTAACGGGCCGTCTTGACATTCGGTCGTGGGTCTCCGGCTGCCCTTCCATACAGTCCAAGTTGGCCGCCGGCCACCTGGGCACCAGAGGCCGCGCCCGTCCCTTCACACCAGTGTATTTGATAGAGGTAGCTATGGGCCAGGCTTATTGTCCGGTGCGTGAGGCTCGTGTGCCTCGTCCGTCATCATCAGCAGCCGGACACGTCCGGTCGACCCCTACTTGTAGATCGCAGGCATAGGTGCGTCAACTGGTGCCTACCGACAGAATCGACTTCAGGACCAACTGCGAAGAGGCCGAATGACCGGCCGACATGCCGTGGTGCATGTGTGTGGGTACCCACTTCCAGCCCGTCCAGCCCGTCTTCCCGTGTGCTATCGCGATCCCGACCCATATCACAGCGTACCTGCGCATCGGGGTGAGGATGTTCCCACATGCCAGGCTCCTGTGAACCCAGGGACGTGGGTAGCAGGACAAAGAGCCGGTAATAATAGATCGTCTGAAGTCACCTATAATCACCAGTTCCCGGTAGGAAGGAGGCACAATGCAAGTGGGCATCAGACGATAGACGGAGGATCTCCCTCGGGGATCTGTAAATCTGCCGTCGTTTCAAGTCCGGACTGCGTCTGGAGCTTTTCAATTGGGGAACCACTGGCCCCATGGGCTGGTTCGCGGCCTGCTCCCTGGAGCCTTGGACGATGCTGATAGGGAACTGACGAGGGTGCCAGATTTCCTGATGTGCCAATCGCAAGTGATATATCGACATAAACCCCCGATTTCGCCCCCCCCCCCTACCGTCCAGAAAAGAACCTTATTTATAGTGCACAAGTGCTGCTATCATCCCAATTGGTTGGATGTCGACCCGGTAGCGTAGTGATATGTATTCCTGGGCACAATGGCTTTCTTGACTGCCGAGAAGACGACCCGACCATCATCCCCCAGCCCCTGGTGCTCGTGGGTGACGTCCAGTGATGAAGCCTGGCCGTGGGCATGATAGGATCCATCCGCGTTCGAGATCTCCCGTCTCAGCAGTGGCGGCTCGCGTGCGCGGTCCAGCGGAGCGACGCGTCTATCCCAAGCTGGTGTGTGAGAGATCCTTCCTCGTCTCTGCCTTGCCCACAAGCCAAGGGAACCACTATCGCGGCCACCTTGCCGGCACCATCATCATGGAGCCCCTCGACAGCCGCCTCACCATACTCCCTCCTGGCATTTATACATGAGACCGGCTCCACGGGCGGCAGCCGGGGAGCGCTCTGCAAGCCCCAGCCTACATGGCTGGCGTGCTTGCTTGCTCCGGGACATCCGGGCGGGAAACGAGTCCCGTCAGGACAATGCGGGATTTCCCTTGGGGGGGGGGCAAGGAATCACTTCCTCCCCGATGCCGGGATCCTGCCGAGTCGAGTCCAGCCCGGACCGCCTCGTCACGATAATCGGCCCATCTGGCGTGAGAGTCACACGTTGCCCGGGTTAGTTCTAATAATCGAACCATCCGGTGAGGTGTGAGGTGCAAACTGCTGCTTACCCTTGCTGTGTCGTTCGTGTTCCACAACCTTGGCTGAATTCTCAGCAGACAACCTGTTCCTGGCGTCGAGCCGAACCCGGGTACCCTGTAATCATGTGAGCTGTTAGCTAGCATGCCCTGCTGGTTCTACATACCACCGTTTCTTACATCACGGTACAAAGTTGTTGAGTATTTGATTCGTCAATACACTAGAGCTTGAGAGGGAGGTTGTTTACGCGGGTTGTTGAGATTGTCAGTGCGATCTGGGCATCTGCATACCTGCTGGGGGCTCATGCAGGGGCCTGACACAGGGAAGCTGGTAGCCGGGATGTTTGCGAGTTGGTAGTAAGAAATTATTTTGTCTGTGTGCTCTGTGGCTGTGTCGGTTGTACCAACAGGAGTTTCACAGCAGCCAAGTCTTCCTTTCGGCTGCTCACGCTAAGCAGAAGCTTGGAAGCTCAGTTAATAATCCAGAGATAAGGCGATCACTGTTCAATGGTGTTCAGTCATCCCGAAATTCCCCCGTAATGCTGTACAAGCAGTAGAGAAGGTTTCATTATTCGTCCTGTGGTCGGCGCTGACCTCTTGGTTATTGCTTGAGTCTATGGACACAATTCAAACATCAGGCGTGCCTTTGACGGTTTCAGTAAATACAGCTTCGATATAGTAATGGAGGCTTCAAAGCAGACGACATCCATGAGGTTTGTAGCATATTTGATGTGGCTCATATGTGACGCCGTTGGGCAAGGTCTAGGGACAAAATTGCAATAGACTTTCAAAGTCAGCTTGATGGTCTTGTTGCTGCTGACGTTTCTTTTCAGGTGGTTTTGTTCCTAATCCCCATGCATATAAAACACATGCGGCGCCTTCGTACAGTGGTAAACGCGCTTAACAGTCCAGCGTCTTGAAAATTGCAATGCTAATAACAGTGAGGGGGATAAAAACACCAGATAATTAGCCGTAGCACATGGCCAAAGCCTCGTGTCAGCACTGGAGCCGCACAGACAGGGCTAGCGAGAATCCTTCTGGCGGCCCCGTCGAGCATTGTAAAGAGCAAAAATGACTTAATTTCGACCGAAGAACACGTGAATCTAGATGGAACTCCCCGTAGCAGCATTGTAATTGCCGTAAGTTGATCTTACCTACCTAGGTACGTAGCTCGTGACGGATTCGTAATCGTAGATCTGAGCATTGGAAACCACAGTACGGGCATCAAATGGGGTGCTCTAGGCAAGTAAGTCTATCGTGGGTCACTCTGAGAATTTTGCGACATATGTTTCCTCAGGTGCATATAGACCTCGGGATTCATCTTGAGAACCATGAATCAAGTCAGCTACGTACTGTGTAGTCATCGGAAGTGGATGGGCTGACAGCTGGAGGGAGACTCGATTCTCGACACCTGAGCACTCATTGCTCCCGCTACCTGACTCAATGCTTACACCCAAATTGTCATATATTTTTACCGCTCACTACGGGTACTGCATAGATTCTGGAGTATATTGCACCAGTTGACACCAATTATGCTAGAGGCTCATCGTTATTCTTTCACATGCTGAACAGCCAATGAGCAGGAAAACCTGGGTGACAACATTTGAGGATATTCAAGACGCGCATTCAAACTGCAGAGTTTAGAAATATGGATGGTATTCATGCTGTCATTGATGGGGACCGCATATCCCGGCATTGCACGGCATGTCAGACTACCACGTATCCTGTCACTAAGCATTCTCATTCTCCGCGAAATGTCTCTTGCACAACATTTAAACAAAAGAAATGATTTCTATCTCTTTTAATGAGGAAGTTATGATGCGACGGCCTAGTCAGAATGAAAACAATTGCTCGAGTGATTGGATCATAGCATGCAATTTGTGGTTTCACTTCCATTCCGCGTACGTTTGGAGACATACATAGCGCATTTCAAGTTATACGGTAGTAAACGCTTAAGAACTAGCATGTGATTTCATTTTGATTATGAATGATCATTGTATTTAGTTCACATAATTTAAGCTGTGTAGTGCTTGGGAAGGTTGTGACTTTTGTAGATATTGAGTATGAGCAACAGAACCTGGAGGATGCCAGGACTTTGAAGGTCTGCCGTCAGACCTCAGACGGATTCAATGAAAGATGATTGTACGAAGGTGTCACGTATGTTTTGTATATATGGGAATTAGAAACAAACCTGCAACAGGAGGCGCACTGCTAGCCATCCCGAGGTCGCCGTGGCCTGCCCGGTCAAAAGACCAAAACGACCTTTTGAAGGATTGAATTTCCTAACAGTACATGAACTCTAACGCCACAGAAACCAACTGTTTTCTTTGTTTCCTTCCTTATTTCCTTCTTTTTTTTATTCTTAAAAAAAACCGGGTCTTAAGCATTCCACTACTCAATGAGGACGCCACAGTGTGACAATACAACATTGAAGTTAATAACTGCTGGATTGCAAGTTGTGAGGCAACTTGGAATTGTGGTCTTTTGGCCGGGGCGTCTGTCACGTAGCAGTTAACGGAACCCTCTCACACTGGCACAGAACACATATGTGCCCAGGTGCCTTGTCCTCCTAGAACACTAACTGTGAGTTCCGGCTTAACAGAGGAACCAAAAATCAGTACAAACAGTCCAGTCCATATACTTTATAAGTATAAAGATAAAAAATAGTATATAGCATTCCAATCAACACTATCATTACTAAGATGGTGGCCCTTAGCCTTATCTGTACGTCACAAGGCTGGGGCTATGAGCACCTATCATTTTATAACCATAGTTATTAATATTATGTCCTTTTTAAGCGCTGGGTCTTGAGTGCTTACCACCATATGAAGGCGCCATGTATGTCCTCGGACGTATACGGAATAGAAGCGAAACCACACACATAATCATAGATTCCAGCCTCAGGAGGACTCTCATATTCGATGATCGACTGCATGTGTGTCCAGGTAGGTTTGCCCCGGCCCAACCTGGGCAGTCCAAAGCTGTATACCTCGTCGCTTCCCGCTTGACTCTACATGGCGTCTGTCTGGGAAAATGTTAAGTTTAAGGTGGTGTGGCCGACAAGGATGGCAGCGGGACACAAATGTGGATAATGCCCGGCTTTTCTATTTACAAGTCCAAGATCAGGGCCCAACACGAGTCTGCTCACCAGCTCATACTAGAGTAACACGGCTCAGTCACGATGGAAGGACGGCCGTGTAGCCCGAAGTTGAGGAGTGGCCTGAGTGGCACTGCATAGTACTAGGTCCCCCCGAACATAAATGTATGGGCGCCGGGCTCCGCCGTCAGCTGGTACCAGCCCCCCAGGCGTTATTGACCACCAATGCAGCCGAAACGGGGCGACAGCGATTACTTGGCTGGCCTGAGGTCAGACAGAATGAAATGAGAGGTGACCCCCCCTTGCAGGATGCTCCAGAGTCAGGAGCGTAAGATGACAGATGTGTAGTTATTGGATGCTGACTGCGTCCAGTGAGCTGTGAAACGTGCCGGTAGAACAACAGCCACGACTGCCCGTGGCAGAGGACCTGTGGTTGCCCGGAATACCATGCATTATTAGTTTTTGGTGGTTAGTGTGACAGCCTCTAGACCTTCTGATGTCGTGTGACACGAGAGGTGTGGAGTCCTCGCCCTGTGGTGGTAGCTTCAACAGCGGGCATGACTAGGCAACTGGCGTGACGAGAGCCGCAGGCCCAAGATTATCGCTCGCACTGGCAGGGACCTGTGTAGTACAGATGTGAGGCCAGTAGATATCCTGGCGCTCTGCTTCTGTGTACTGCGTACGAAAGGCTCCATACATTTGTCTTCCGGACTAGTCAGTTCTGTGATTGAGGGGGGGGGGGACTTGGGTGTGGATCGGGCCCACTCCGAGTCTCGGACGACGTGTCTGGACGCCGGCAGCTTTGGCGACCTTAGCTAATGTGCGCATTTTAGCAGATTGTAGGTAACCGCGCAGGAATTTTCCCCCAGAGGCGACGAGAATGCGGTGTAAAGCACTAGGCTCTTGGAGGCTGAGACGGGTTCCACGGAGGGTTACTGCTGACAGTTGCAGGTGGACGTCCCACACTTTGCCTGTTGCTTGCTTGCTTACTCAGGCTGTGCCCAACACTGCGACAACCAGCTTGGCATTGTATTGATGAGGGAAGCAGTAATGTCTGGAGGTCCACGTATGATTCGGTGATGGACACTTGTCCCTACTACACATTAGCCTCGAGCAGGACCAGAGAGAAGCGGAAGTTCCAAGCGACGGCGGGGCGACGGCTCGGCGAGATCGTGGATCATGTGCGGATAGTCTAGTCTGGTTTGAGGTGTGGGTTCCACCACCTCGAGGGAGGGCGTTGACTCTCGACCAGAGTGTTCTCTCCAGCACTAGAAGGGTCCGATCTAATCCAAAGAGAAAGAATGAAAAAAGAGAAAAGGAGAAGAAGAAGGTGGGAGCATGTGCCAACTCATCAGCAGGCGTCCATTCAGGAGCTCAGGATGCGGCAGGGCGTGATGCCATTGGGCTGTGGCAGTCAGTAGCTTTTCCCTCACCGCTGCTGGGAGGGCCATTCAAGCGTGCATGAAGGCGACATGCAGCTCCAAGGGTGATGATGCGATGCAGAGAGCCAGCCAGATGGGCTTACGGAAGACAGCCGTGTTTTGTGAGTAATAAATACATTTTTATCTGTACTCGACGAAACGCCTCCGGAGAGTGTCGGTAGCGGTGACAGGTACCTAGGCACCTACTAATCTGTACGTAACCTAGGGAGGGAGGATCGTGTGGTATGAAGTTGGGAGCGCAGAGGCTGTCTGTGGGCAAGCTGACAAGCAGGACATACAGTCTGCTGCTAATCGGTCAGGACCAGCAGTTCGAGGTGGAGAGGGCATCTCCTGCAGGGTCTGAAGTGGAAAGTTTGTTCAAGATCGCTCGGCAAACACCGACAGGGGTGGCTCGGACCAGGACGAGATACCTAGGCATGTACACATGCACGCCATTGCTGTGCAGGTCTGCTCTGACCAATTCATGTCCGGTAGGCTCTATGTAGGATGCGAGGCTGCCAGGCTGCCAGCAGCCAGGAGCCAGGCTGTCAGGGAGTTTGAAATTGCCTAGAACTGCTAGGATCAAAGGCCTCAATTGGCGATGCGGGGTCAAACGGACGATGACGTCGCCGGGGACGACCCGAGATGTCCCATCCCAGTCTGGTTTGGTGCCAGGGCAGCTGGGCAGCTAGCTGGGCAACTGGGCAGCAGCAGGGCCTGTGGGCTGGTGAGTGCAAAATGGAAGATTACGATCAGCAATTGCGACCAGCCTGCCAGACTGGCAGACTGACAGACTGGCAGACAGAGCACAAGGCAGACAAGGTGAACAATGATGACAATGAGGACAATGCTGCAGCAGGTGGCATGTGGCTACCGCGTTAGCGCGGGCAAGCCAGCGAGCAAAGCAGCTACCTAGGTACCCTTGTACCTCAGGCGCCCATTGCCCGTCCCGTGCTTGGAATCCGGGGTAATAAGAGCAACTAGTGTGCCTACCTAGGTGTACATACTATCAAGGTCTCTCTGATCGAGGGTCGATCTGCTGCAACGTAACGCCCTCGAGCAGGAGTCAGTCAGCCAGACTGCCACAGTGCTCTCGTCGGGTAGCAGCCAATGCCAAGCTTTCCCGGCCACCTGGGTCTGGGACAGGTACAGCCATCCATCATCATCGACATCGATTCGCTTCCGTCGCTGCAGTCAGTCGGACGGCGTAGTAATCCCATATGCCTGCACGCCTGCATGCCTGTATGGCCGTATCCTGCTTGCTCTCCTTCATCCTCTTGCCCATCCCCATCCTTGTTTCTTTTTGGTCTGCTACTACCACCACTCCTCCTTCTTCTACTCGTCGTTCGTCGTCGTCGTCGTCGTCGTCCTCCCCTCCCCTCTCCTCCCCGCCCGCTCCCACTCACTACTACTGGCAGAGCATTCAGCCATCCCAGGACCGATCAAACTCAGCCCTACTCTTGTCCGTTCTGGTCGGCGTCGGTCTGCTGCTTGTCTGCCCCCGAGTCGCATCTTCGTCCCTTCTCGCCCTATTGCACCCGGCCTTATTCGATCGGCCAGTCCCCCGCCGATTCATGCACCCATCCTGGCCTTGAACGATAAATCCCTCTCCCCTCCCGGCCTGGCTGCATCGACGCTCGCCCGGCAGCCCTGACCGAATTGAAGTGGGGAAGGTGTTGAAGAAACTAGCTCCGGCGGCCCCGCCGCCCCGCCACCCCAGGCCCCCTCTAGGGTCGACCGGACATCTGGGCCCCAACTTTTAACACGTCTCGGATGTCTCGTTCCAAGAGTACCCTTCCAAGAGCCCGCCCGTCCACGTCCAGCGACAGCACACGCTCACATCGCACACCACAACAGCAATATATACCGAGTACACCTGCGTGTCTGTGTGTCTGTGTGTCTGCGTGAACCCAGTCTGTTCGTGCCAGCCCTCGGTCTCCCTCTCACTCTCCCTCTCTCCTCTGCCGCCTGCCGGCATCGAGCATCGACCGACTGGTCTTAGCGCCCCCGTCACAATTAACTTTGTCCGATATTAAAGCGAGCCCATTATACAAGCACAAAGACGACAAAAATAGCTTGCCCGCCGACCTGACAGCTCCGTCGCACGTGGCCCAGCAGGACAATACCACCGCCATTCCGCTGAATCCGGTCATCTTGCGCCCCCGACTTGGGACTCGGCCAAAGACAACCTCCCAGACAGACCCCAAAGCGCCCCCGCCGTCACCAGCATCTCATCCCGAACGAGAGGACTGCCCTCAGCCTCACTTTCTTTCTTTCTTTTTTTTCTTAAAAAAAAAGAAGAAGAATTCCATCAGGCCGCGGCCTGTATCCGCGGCCAACTGAACCTGCCGCTTTCTCATCACCGTCGCCTTCCAGCCTCACCTGATGCGCCCGAAATCCCAACCATGGCGCCTTCGCTCAAATCATCGCATTAGGGCCCCGTCGTATCTACGCAGACCTCCATAGGCGGCTTCTGCCCCTTGGTCCTTCACCATGTCTGATATGGCCGCTTCGGCGGTCCATATCCCCGATCGAGGTCCCGCCGTCTTCGCCGTCACCACAGCCACCCTGGTCGTCGGCACCGCCTTCTTCATTGCCAGGCTCTTCTGCCGGTCTCTTATCGTCAAGCGCGTCAGCTGGGACGACTACTTCATTATTGCGGCATGGTTCCTGGCTGTCGGCCTCAGCACAACCATCGATATTGGCACGAGCAAGGGGCTGGGGAAGCACGATGCCAACATTCCCAATCAAGACCGACTTCCGCTTAGGAAAACGGAATATGTCTTCTCCGTGCTTTATGTGAGACTCACTTTTACATGCGCAATTCGGCGCCTCTTCGGCTGACATCAGAGTAGAACCCTGCGCTCATGGCCCTGAAGACCAGCATCCTGATCTTCTACCTGCGCCTCTCCAAGAACACACAGCAGATCCTTCGCATCGCGTCATGGGTCGTCCTTGGTATTGTCAACACCGCCGGGATCGTGCTCACCTTCTTGAACATCTTTCAGTGCAACCCCGTGATCGCCGCCTTCAGCCTGTATAGGTACCAGGCCCAGTGCATACCCCTGCTCACCGAGTTTATCTGTTCCGCGCCGGTCAACATTGTCACCGACCTCGCGATTCTGGCTCTCCCGATCCCCGTTCTCACCGGGATGAGGTTGCCTAAGCGGCAGAAGTACATCTTGGTTTTCACCTTCTCCCTCGGTATCTTTGTCACCATAGTGGATGTCGTCCGCATCTACTACCTCCAACAGGCCATCTCTTTCGTCCCAACCGCGCCGTCGAACGACCCCGACGCCCTATTTGGCGACAGCCCCGAGTTTGCTTGGAACGCATCCCTGTCGTTGATGTGGTCCGCGGTCGAGGTCAACGTTGGCATGATCTGCGCCTGCATCCCAACGCTGAAACCCTTGATACTCAAGATCTTGCCCTCGGTACTCTTCGACCCAGATGGGACACACGAGTCGAGCCTGTCTACGTACGCTACCGATACGCAGGACAAGGAGCAGAGCCAGAATGCCTCTGGACCTGTCGAGCCTGGCGAGGCTCCTGAAACATTGGCAGCACCTGCTCCGGCGCAGCAGCAAGACTCCTCTGCAGAACAGATCTCTGCCCTCGATTTCCTGACGACGCCGGATATGGTGGACGGCGCTCCTCGAAATTCTGTCACACAGCAGCCCTTCTCTCCGGTGACAAGGAGCACCTGGATGTCCGGGAGGTCCCGAAACGACAACGCTGTCTATTTCGGATTCGTCAACATGAGAAGACCAAAGAGCATGATCAAGACGGCGCCGGCCGAATCCCTCCGGTACTGTGTTGTTGTCACCATCCTGTTCCTGCTTTGGGGATTCTCTTACGGGCTTCTCAACACGCTCAACAACGTGATTGCCACCATTTCCAACATGAGCACAGCTGAGACGCTGGGGCTGACCAGCGCGTACTTTGGCGGAGGCTACTTTTTCGGACCTCTAGTCGTGGGAGAATGGGTCCTCCGTCACGACGAACACGCACGCTTCCACCGGAATCGACGCAGACACAAGCACCGCGATGCAGTTGGCGGCTTCAAGGCCACATTCATCCTGGGGCTTTGCATCTATGGCATCGGGACGATCATGTTCTGGCCATGCGCCGTTCTGACCTCGTTTCCCGGTTTCATGATCAGCAACTTCGTTGTTGGCTTTGGTCTGGGCGTTCTCGAGACGGCAGCAAATCCATTTATCATTCTGTGCGGGCCTCAACAATACGCCGAGACTCGCATACTGATAGCCCAGGGATTCCAAGGCGTTTCAAGCGTCATAAGTGGACTGCTGGCGCAAAAGGTCTTCTTCGACGACATTGCCGACAGCGAAGGAAGGACTACCAGCCTGGAGTTGATCGACGTGCAGTGGACGTATCTGGCCATCACTCTCTCCTGTGTCGCATTGGCACTATTCTTCTACTACATGCCACTCCCCGAGGTAACTGATGCTGAACTGGGCCGAGCTGCGGAGCGCCTGCCCGTGGCCACGAAGAAGCGGACCGTTGGGGGACTACAATTGCGGACTTTGTGCATCATCCTCGCTGTGATGGCACAGTGGTTTTATGTTGCAGCGCAGGAGTCCATGTCCATCTTCTTTGACGACCTGATGGCTTCCACGTTACCGGGCCCATCGGATGCCGACCAACCCCCGGGCCTCGTCCTCTCGGTTTCCGACTACCTTCTCATCGCCCACACCGCATTTACCATCTCTCGCTTCAACTCGGCCCACCTCGCGTGGCTGTCGGTGAAGCACCCACAGAGCCGACTCGTACCAACTCCCCGCACCCAGCTTACCATCTTTTCTGCACTGTCTGTTGTCCTCGCACTCGTATGCGTTGTGCTGCGCCCCGCGAACCCGAATTATATCGCGATACCTGCAATCCTCTTCTTCTTCGTTGAGGGACCCATCTGGCCTCTAATCTTCGCAATGGGTCTCCGCGGGCAAGGCAACCGCACCAAACGCGCATCAGCGTGGCTTACCATGGGTGCAAGTGGACCAGCCTTCTGGCCATTTGTCATGTATGGCATTATGAGCAACAACGGCGTGTCCGTACAGCTTGCATTCATAGTGATAGTCGTCCTGCTTCTTTTCACGCTCGCATACCCGGTCTTCTTGACGATACAGAGAGACGCCAAGGAGCTGGTGGACCCCAAAATACATCGTGGCCGGCGTGCTAGTGCAGGCGGTGGAATGGGCGGGGGAGAACACCCGGAAAGCGGACACAGTACGAGGGACCCCAGTGCCGGCTTGGACGAGATGCTCCAGTACAGGAGGAGGATGAGCAACGCCACTACTAGCTCTTACTATAGGGACAGTGGGCCGCTTGCCTACGTCGTTGGGAAGATCCACGATCTCAATGAGAAACGAAGGGAGAAGAAGAGACAGGGCTCCTCAACAACGACAAGCTCGTCACCGATGTGGGAGCACTTTGAGCTGCGTCGCGAGAGCGACGGGGATCAGTCTGGAAACGGCCAGGGACAAAGGGGAAACAGGACACCAACGATACCCGAGGAGCAATGATCTGGCCATGTCGCTGAACCGGCCCGTCTTGCTTTCTCATCCATCTATGTTTTCTTACGATTTGACTTTGCCAATGTGCTTTTTCTGGTGGCAGCATACCTGGCTACGGGTTGGAAAATCTGCATATAAGCGTCTGGGCATCGATTTGATTAACAATGACCTCGTGCTACTGTACATTCGAAGAACGCTTTTGAGCGGCGTATATGATCTATACTTGACAGTCGACGGTCCTGGTTCGAAGCCAACATGCAGTGATCCTGGTACGCCTGCTTAAGTGGCTTTCTATTCAAGTGATTTAAATATCTTAGTCTCGGAGGGAGACTCAACTTTGGACCACCAAGTTGTGCGTTAAATGCACGCGACATTACACAATTCACACTTGGAAAATGATTGGAATAAATGCTATTCAGTTCTTTTCGTTTGGTCCTGGATGAGTAAACACGCAATCTCATCTTCTGGGCCCGTATATGGCTTGCGTCTAAACGCCAATTTCTTATGGATGCGAGGTTGGAGAAGACGCTAGCGTGCAAGTATATATTGTGAAGATTATCATGACCAGCCTCGAGGCAACACCTTACTAAAGACTTTTCTATGGAGAATTGGAGGTCATCCCGTAGGTGTGTATCGTGGTACGGTAATCTACCTACCCAGCTAGGTGGGTGGGCTTCGTCACCACAAGTCTACAGCCTCTGTTAATAATGATATACAGGAAGTCCTGAGGGCGGTGTTCGATAGAAGATTATTCTTGGAGAAGGTACTGCAATAAACTATCCCACAGGGAGGGTGTCAGCAGGATGGCATACGTATATGATATTGTAGAAGATATCAAGCCCTTATCTCGGAGTCTACCACGTAATGTTCTCCCTCTTTCCGATTTCACTTTTCAAGTGCACGGTTTGTTTACTCTTATTCTACTGCTATATGGCACTTGAGATGCTGCTTTGCCAAGAGATCCACGAGCGTCATCTACTCCCCGACGCTGCGTTAGATATCAAAAATAAGCCCAGTCCATATGTCCGGGTGCAAAACCCATTGGACAGAAGAATACGATTTAATTTTGGGCCCAGATGCCTTGGAGGTTGCCCTCACAGTCGACGAACCTAGCCAAGTACCCCATTCCGCCACCAATGGCCGTCTTTTCCCTATGCTGAGTTAAAATACATCATTCCTCTTGTCAGCAGGCCGGCGCACCTGTACAAAATATGGTTCGTGCCAAGCAAGTGAATAGCAAGGGGAGAAGGAAGGAATGATAGAAGGCAAAGACAAACTGACCCCCAACAAGAAGATGGAGACACTCACAAGTACACTCTCCCGCCCAAGTCCTCAACCATCTTCAACGTCGCCTCAATGCTCTCAACCGCGAATGTCGTCAGGACCGCCATGCTGACTCTGCCGTCGACCGAGCCGCTGGATCCCCAGGCCTGGACCAGACAGCCCTCAGGCACCTGAATGAACGCGCCGTTGAGCGTGCCGCCCTTTCGGAACATGTGGATCGTGCTTGCTGGGTTCCTGTTGTTGGCGGGTGTAGATGATGAGGAGGACGAAGAGGGGGGCGAAGACGGGCCGAAACTTGTGCATTCCCACTGCATTTCATCAAATCTTGGTGGTCAGTTTTGATACGCATTGCAAGAACGTTGGTGTTTAAGCCAGCTCTAGAGCTCTGGAGGGCTACCGGCGGTTTCGTTTTAAACACCGCTCTTCTGGATGACGCTTACGCGGAAGATGGAGGTGTAGAAAGCTGCGGCCCGGGCTGCATTTATGACTGGGATCTCGAGCCAGTGAATTGTGCCGTGCTGTTTCAAGAATTAAAAGTGTCAGAAAGAACAAGACACGTGTGATGGAGGCCGGCGGAGCCCATTGACCATGGTTGGCGACTAAGGGTGGCTAGGACGGCTTGCTTTACCGTGGACAGTGACATTGTGATCCGAAACCCCTGCAGTGAGACTGTAGCAGAAAGAAAAAACCACAGGTCAGTGCTCGCACATGGGAGTCAATCTGCCCGTGGAAGGGACATGCCTCATCGGTGGTGGGACGCGTTTTCAGGATATATGCGCTCCTCACGTCTTCCTCCATAAATGATCATGATCATGCGGAGAGCTAGGAGTCACACTCGAATTGTGTGATATGGACAAGCCAGTGACCGTCATGTCTCAGAACAATCGTGGGAAAAGAGGAAACACGAGGATCCGCTGGCTAAGAAGGACGGCGCCGCGGAATTTAGCAGGTGTAGCGGAGTCATAAGCAAGGATATCTCACATGCACCCGCGATGGTCTCGCGCAGGGTGGACGCGGGTTTCACCGGCTTCAGACTAGCTAGGTATGCGGGGATGTGCTGCCTCAGAGGTTCGGGTCTTGGAGAATTGCGCATGTTTGTGGCGAAAGCCCACACATGATTTTAAGATAAGGCAGCGCTACTTTCTCGGCGTTGAGTTGTGTTTATTGTGCATCTCTACTAACAGGCCCGAACATTGTTGTGAGCCCAACGAACTGCCAAACGCCGTGCCGCCGCTAGTAATTCAAGGCTGCCAACTGGTCCTTTCCGGCGTAATGCACTTCGCCTAAGCCTCCATCCGCGGGTCGTGCTCCTCGATCTCTTCCTGTATCTCGTCCTCCCCCTCCTGATTCGCCGGCGCCGTCCAGCCCGTGCCGGCCTGGACCAGGAGCACCAGCACCACCAAGGCAGAGGCGGAGGCGTACATGACGCTGAAGGCGGATTCGTATCCCTTGACCGCCACGTCCCTCTCGGCCGGGCTCAGCCACCCGTTGAAGACGAAATTTGGGCTGCCCAGAAGCCTCCGGATCAAGGCCACCCGCCTGGGTGACAGGTCAGCCGTGCCGTCGAGCTCTTCGAAGCCGGCTGTCAGGTGCGTCTTCAGGCTCCGTGTGAAGATGCCGCCCCCGATCGCCGTGCCGAAGCTGCCCGCGAAGCCCCTGAAGGTAGCCAGCAGGCTCGTGGCGATGAAGTGCGTGTCCGGGGTGGCGAGGTGGAGGATGTGGGCCAGTGTGTAGTTGAGAGCAGCGCCGGTGCAGAAGCCGTTCAAAAAGATCAGAAGCACATATAGCCATGCTGGGGAGCCGGCGTTGCTCGTCAGGGACAGGCCGAAGAGGGCCAGGCCGAACAGGAAGACCGAGACAACGCACGGCAGCCAGAATGCCCCCGACCGGCGTATGTGGAGCCAACCCACAAGCACGCCCCCGACGCCAAACCCAAGGTTCGTCGGGATGAGGATGGAGCCGGCCATGGCGGGCGACAGCCCTCGGACGGCGAGGACAAAAATGGGTGCGTAGTACAGCACCGTCCAGCGGGCTGCCATCAATCCCAGCTGGGCCAAGCAAGAGAACAGGACGCCCCGGGACTGTAAGACGCTGACGGGGATGAGCGGGTCGGATGCCACCTTGTACTCGACGACAATGAAGAGCACCAATGGGATCACCGAGAGCACCATCGGGAGGGTCTGGATCGAGCCGGAAAGACCGTAGAGGAACAGGACAATGGCAGCTGTCAGCAGGACGGCGCCAGCGTAGTCGATCGACTTCACCTTGTGCAACACGCTCTTGTCCTTGGCCGGGTCCGAGGTGGCAAAAGTCGGGATGCTCAGGTACACGCCGGCCCCGGCTAAGATGCCTACAGGCGCCTGCACCCAGAAGAGAGCCCGCCAACCGAGGGCTGGCAGCAGCGCGCCAAAGACAACGGCCCCGAAGGAGACGCCGACGGTGAAGCCCATGTTCACCATCCCGACGTACAGGCCCCGACGCCGTCGGGAGGTGAGTTGCAGCACCAGGATGAGCGACAGCGTCATGACGCCGCCTCCCCCGACCCCCGTCAGTACGCGGCCGAGGGTGAACACGGCAAAGGACCCGGCCTGGGAGGTGATGATTGCGCCGGCGGCGAGGGAGAGTCCCGAGGCCAGGATCATCAGGCCCGGCGAGAATATGGTGGCGAGGCGGCCGGCCAGCGGGGCGGACGAGGCCACAGCGATCATGTATGCCGACGTGAACCAGGTGACTAGCTCATACGCCTCGAGTTCCTCGGCGATGTATGACTGGACCATTGTCATACCAGACATGTTGCATGCTATCCATTGGAAGTAAGCGTGCTTGTTATACAAGTGTGCATCCGAATACCCCTGGCATCCGCACCAGCCACAGGCGGTTTATGTATTTACTTACCCTGGACAAACATCAGCACCCACATGCTAAAGGAGATGCATGCGGCACGTATGGGCGTGACATGGTGCTGGACAGCGTCGTCGTCAATGCCATCATTGTGCGCGGCAGTCCCTTGTCGTATAGGTCGGCCTCGTGAGTGTGGGATGAGAGGCGTGTTCTCGGATGCATCGTTGACTGAGCCCGGAGTGTGGTGGAGGTCGGGCTCAGCCATATTTGGAACGAACGGCGGATAGGATAGCTAGCGGTAGGTTGTAGCAACGCACAATATATCACAACGATATGAGCAAGATACGACCAACGAGAGAGTTCCAAGGGTTGATAGTGACGAGCAAGCTTCAAGCAGACGTGACATGACCTGGATGGGTCCCGGCATTGCTCAACAAGGGGAACATAACTTCAGGAGGGCTGTGACAGTCATTGTGAGTAGTCTAACAGATGAGAACAGCACAAAGCACCTTGCCCCGTAATGTCGTAGCCAGTCTCGAGCCCGGAGGAACCGAGATAATCAGCCCCCTAGATAGATGGGCGCCCGCCTCCTGCATGGGGCCGGTCAGGCTGGGTGATTGGTAATCCGGCACGGAGAATGCGGTATTATGTACCCCGAGTGCTTGGGCCCCGCCGTCCCAAAATACCGGATTCGCATCACCGGGCATCATCCCATTGGCAGCCTCCATGCGCAACTCAGTGGTTCCTCATATCCACTATATTGATTATCCGCACACAGTCGGCTTGTCGTCTGATCAGCTCAAGTTCGATGAACATTTGCTGTCGACAGTATCACCTGATACCAAGTGGCATAAATTGCACCCCTTTTCCCACAAACTCGAGGCTGTCTGCCTGCCTCCGGTCTCTTGCAAGTAGCGACGAGCATGTCTGAACGTCTTTGAGCACAATCCCAGAAGTAGTCGTGACTACACACCTATGATGCGGACCCCTAATAGGCGAATACCTGCTACGTGCAAGGCAACAGAGGGCCAGAATTATCTGCCTCTCTTTTGAGCGGGAATCACAGAATATGGGAAGGCGGCTCAGATGCTAAGAGTGCTGAAACTCCTTTTCAGGAGCCCCGAGCGCCTGCGTTCGGACCGCAGCCTTCCCGTCAGCCTCATTTTGTTTTCGTCTTTTCGTCTTTTCGTGAAGCCCGCAGGCCTCGGCGTCTGTTGATGATAAGCGCCAGGCCTCACTTGGGCCTACGATGGCTGTGGCATCCCATCCTCTCGCCAATTCAGCGAAACCCAGTAACAAAGAGCGAGGAGCACCTTCTTCCGACGGGTCTAGACCTTCTCGCTCACCCAAATCGCACCACGACACCCCAGCCGGATGGCCCCGGTGAGAAGCCAGTGTGGCTCGGCCTTCTGGGCGTCGTGCTCGACGGCGTGGTCTAGGTGTTCAAGCTCCTCGTCCCGGATGCGGCGCAGCGTCGAGATAAGGTCTCGGATCTCGGGCCCAACCTCGTAGCCCTCCTCCTCCCAGCCGCGCACCATGGCGAGCAGCTCGCGCACCTGCCCGTTGTAGTGGTCGCCAATCTCGGTCTCGACAGCCTCCGTGCACGCCATGGCGGCCTCGTTGCTCATCAGGGCCGTCACCCACCCTAGTCCGTAGCTCATCGCCGACCAAGCCGGGTACATGGCTGTGGGCCGCACCCGGTGGCGCGCCAACAGCGCGTTGAACGTCGTCAGGTGGCCCTCCTCCTGCTGGTACATGTGCCGCATCAGGGGCCGTAGGTTGGGCTTCCGCCGCACAACGGGGGGCGTCTGCGCTGTGTAGATGAGCGTCGCCGCCAGCTCGCCTGCCTGGTTGACTCGCAGCGCCGACGAGAGGAAGTCGCGCTGCTCCTTGGAGAGCGCCTTGCGTCTCCCCTTGTTGGGGCTGTCGCTGTTCGAGCCATCACCCTGTTGTCCCTGTCCTGGTATGATGTCGGCAAGTTCGGCGCGTCTCGCGGGTGTGCTTGAGACCAGGCGCCGGGGCGAGACGATCGGATAGAAAAGCGCGGGCGCGAGGAAGTCGTGGACGGGGAATTTCCTTGCCGCTGTCAATCTGCGGCGCGCGGCGCGCAACAAAGTCGTTGAAGGAGGCATGTTGGCGCTTCGTGCAAGCCCTGGTGGATGTGACTCGGGTCGAGATGGGGTGTGCACGAGAAGAGCTTCGCAGTCGAGGAGTCATGGCCATCATTGATTAACAGATGGCCTGACGTGCCCGCGGTAAACTGCTCCGTCTTGCACCGGGAAACCCTGGCAGGGTTCAACCCTCGGACTCTGGACCCCCCTGCGGACCTAATCCACGTACGTAACTTACAGTAATGTCGAGAGAGCAGACGGAGGCACTGAGGTGTAGACTTGTGGATGAATACCTTTGGAATATCTAGATGACTAACAATGACTTGTTTAGACAGAGGAACGTAGGGCTATCATGCCCCGTAATGCAGCAGCAGAGCAAAAGTCTATGCAAATGCGCGAAACCAGAACGCCGATTGCTTGATGATGATGATGATGACCTGCCGTTTTCCAGGGTCGAGATGGTGCTTCAGCAGCGAGCCATGCCATGCCTTGCCTTTGAGCCTAGTCCAGCCAGCAACCTCCTGTGATATCTGTGAAAATGTGCATGAGAAAGTGTGAGACGCCATCGGGAGACGAGTATTTCGTAGGAGAGCTTATTACATCTCTTTGGTGTCGCCGCCAGAGCCCACAATCCAATCCGGAGCCGTCTTAGTTACTATAAAGAGGTCAGCTTCCACTCAGGACAATCAAATCAACGTGTGCCGAGACTTACTAGATCTGCAACGGAGCGGCCTGGTCCACCAGTGTAAGCCAGTTGCCCTTCTCGTCTGCGCCCACAAGCCAGTCGTACGGGAACACCACGAGGTGGCCTTGGGTCATTCCCAGCAGCCCCTCGCGCTGCTCTCTGGTCAGAAGCTCTTCTACAGGGGCCCTGTGGCGGCTGCCTCTAGTGTTGGCGCGTCTGCGCCGCTTCACAGAGCCCTGTATCCCGGGGGCGGGTGTCGTTGAGGCCGAACTGCCTGGCGGTTTCTCCGACATGCCTGGCGTGTTGTCAGGAGTGCTGAAGGTGGTACGGCGGTCCCGCTTTTCCGGTGTCGTCTCCCTGCTGGCCTCTGGCACGACAAGCTTGGACGATGGTGCCAATGTGCTGCCATTCGTATTGCTGTCCTCGCGTGCTGCCGCCACTTTCTCGGGGTCTGCGGGTGCCGCCGACGCTGGAACGAATGGGCTGTTGGCAGGCGGGCTGAACGCAGGGCTGCCCATGGGTGAGTTGATGGCGCGCTCCGCCGCCGCCGCTCTTTCCACGTCAAGTCTCGAGTCCTGTCGAGCATGGCGGTGTGCCGGTGACTCATTCTCCGTCGGGGACTTCTTGAGACCGCCGGCCAGCGGAGGCAGGTTCTTGCCAGCGCTGCCTTTACCGGGAAACTTGCTAGAGAACGAGCGGGTTGCGGGAAGCGCTGGGCCCGGTGCCGATATGCCAGCTCCGCCAGACACGGCTTCCGGCGGCGGCTTTTCAGATCCGCCGGGGTCAACTGCATCGCCATGCTCGCTCTTCTGTGCCTCGTGAGGTCCTTCTTGTGCCACCTGCAATCGTTTCTGGTGGTCAATGTACTCCGTGTACTGATCCCATTCTCTCACCTCGTTGTCTGGCATGCAGTGGAATACCTGCCTATAGATTTTGGTGTTGTTCTCCGCAATCCGGCACCAAACATCATCGTAGAAGGCCGCATCTAACGGATCACGCATACAATCCTTGTCCAGGACAGCAGGCTTGATCTCAGCGGCCAGAGGGTGCGACACAGACAAGATCGGTTCTCCGTCTGCGTCGAGGAGTGGTGGTCCGCCAATATCCGTGTCGTCACTCTGTGGGAGGTCAGGGAGCTGATTGGCCCTAGGGAGCCCTAGCTGGTCGGTATTTCGACGGTCCAGCGGAGGCATCACAGCCCTGCTGGGACCTTCTCCGGCCGAAGCCGTCGCAGCAGGCCGTGGGCTCTCAGATTTCTGGCTAGGAGCTGGGCTCTCGATGGTTCCCTTGCCCTCGGCTGAGATATCACGGGCAAGGTATTCTCGCCCGCCAATGACAACGGTATCCCTGCCCTGATCTAGACCCTTCTCCTGTGCCTCCTTCCAACGATCAGGACCAAAGCCCTCAACCTCGGTCTTCTTTTTGGGGTCGGCGGGTGCATCCACGCTTTCTGCTTCGACGATATTCGAGTCAGAGTTGGAAGACTTGGAGGATGACTGATCGCTGTTGTCCATTCGCTGGAGATCGACGTCATGATTGATACTGTGCCCTCGCTCGATTGGAGGACGCGGTACGTCCAAGTCCCCGTTAGCACCTGTCCGCCTTGAAGTTTCTGAGCCATCCGAGTCGCTGTGGTAGATTCGATCCATATCAGACTGGAAGGCCTCCTCGTTCTCCATATCTGCGTTTCTTTCCTCTTCAATGATTTCATCCACGGGGAGGCCAACGTGTTCCCTCATGAGCCGCATACGCAGCGTGTGTGCAAAGCGGCCGACCTGGAAAGGCTTCCCTCCCATAGTCGACCATATTAGGTCAGTATCCCTGACGACCGCAGCACACTCAGAGTCACGGGAGCCCAACAAGGATCGTTCGTTGATGTTGGCCGAGCCTATCAAAGCCACACGGTCATCAACAATGATAAGCTTGGCGTGAATGTAGAGCTGCTCGGTGACATGCATCTTATTGGGGCCAATCTCCCCCCATTGCCGCAGACTAAAGAACTGAATGTAATCTTCAGGCTCAATGCCGGCAGCTCGCAGTCTGCCAAATATGGAGGACTCCCCGCGACAGATGCTTCGGTATTGACACTCCATGATGAGTCGGACGCTGGTACCCTCCTTCTCAGCCACTGTGTTCTGGAAACCGGGCATTAGGGGAATAAGTATGACAGCCTTCCAGTCTTCGTCGTTTTCGTAGGCGCGCTTGATGCGGTCCACAAGGGCATCACCGATATTGTTGACTATTGGCACGCCGAGCGCCTCTGTGCTTGAGACGAAAAACTGGTTCTCGATGTAAACAAAATGCTCAGATTTTTCAATCATTTGGAGATACGCGTTCTGGATACTGCATTCAGTGTGTTGTATTCCCAAGGACCAGGTTGATGCAGATCGAAGAATTTGGACCTCGCATGTTCCCGTGAGTCCCATGGCTTCCAGGTCTTCGTGACGGAAGTCAGGGGGTGGGAGCAAGTAAGGCAAAGGCCGTGTTGGCTTTCTCCCGCGACGGAGATAATTCCAACGCTGAACGAAATGCCTCGTCAGGTCACGGGCGGGTTGTCCGACGACTTGCATTGAGATGTCGTGCCACGGCATGCGAGGGATCTTCGATCGGTCATACATCTCTTCATAGGGCCGATCCAGGTTGAAGAAGTCCTGCACCCTCGGGTTGGTGTAGTCCTTGCCTGGGAACATTTGAACATGTTCAGCATCCCGGGGAACGTTCTGCACTTCATCCGGCTCAAAGCCTGTCGGTTTGTCGTCCGTAAGTTTGTGCTGGGGGGTATCCCATCTACCGAAACACAGATCGATACCTCCGACAAACGCGATGTAGTGATCGACAATGCAGATCTTCTCGTGGTGGGCAAAGAAATACTGGTTCTTCTTGTACTGGTTTGGTGATCTCTGCACAAAAATGTTCGGGTGCAAGTTGAGCAAGGACCTCTTCGTGTACTCTGAGTTGATAGGAACGGCGGCCTCGACGTTGCGGTATACGATCACGAAGATCTTCACGCCTTCTTGCGCCTTCGACTGGAGCAGCCGGTCAAGACGCCATCGCTGACTGATGCAAGGTGGCCTTCGCATGTATATCTCCGGGCTCAGCCACCAGTCGTGGATATAGATCACATCCTTCGCCATAGAGATAGCCCGCGAGACATTCCACATGTAATCACGGCCGTCAACAAGCCACTGGGCATACACATTTTGTCGAACGGGCGCAAAGCTGGCAAATCGAATCTTGTCCGATGCCCAGGGTGAGTTCTGCTTCATGAGCTTGATGGAGTCCTCGAACTGCGGCAGGTCGTGCTGCTGGGCATACAGTTTGACCTTTCGCTCAGAGTTGATGATGGTCAATTTATGGTGGTGGCTTTTCTTGGAGGATTGGGGATCGTCGAGGAAATCATCCCCGTCAGCGACATCCGGTCCCTCCTGGTCAGACTTGACCTTCTTGGAGCCCTTTCGCCCCACCTGCTTGAGGCCTTTCTTCTTGGCAATAATCTCAAATTTGAAGTCGACGAGGACAACATCACAGATATCGATGCTCTCTGGAGAGTCAACACACGCTATGTAGCTCTGTCGAATCAGGAACCACTTGCGATCTCTTCGGGTAACAGACTTGGCCGGGTTGGCGATGCCATTAGCCGGCCTAATCTGCATGAAGCCTTCTTTCCCGTGATAGCCGCCCTCAGCCGCGAGACGCACGCCCAGCGCGGACAGTTCAAAGAAACGACAGAGGCGGTTGCTGTCTGGCCTGAACATGAGCCAGCGTATCATTTCTCGAAGATACTTCTCCAATGACCGTCGCTGGAATGTGACATATTTGCGCTTTGCATCATCGGCGTCCTTGGTAGCCTGGTCCTGGGCGTCGGCCCCGGCACCAGTACCATCCTCAGGCATTGAAGTATTGCGCCTTGGACTGAGGACATTCATGCGTGAGCCCTTGCGTCTCTTCCCGGAACGGCCCTCCGCCTCGGTACCCGTGCCCTCGGCAGCAGTCATCTCGCCGGCTGTGGCCTCACCGGCCGTCATTTCGCCGGGTGCCACAGCGTCAGGCGCCTCAGTAGGGCGGCTCTCGTCTTCTTCTTCACTGAAATCCATTGCTTTGATACTCCGCAAGTAGGGAAAGGCCTTGGCTGGGAACTTGGGTTGCTTTGGTCCTACGCGGGCTCCAGGACGCTTCAGTCTTTCGGTGGTGACGCTGCCCTTGTACTTGAGATGCATGCGCACGATGTCCCCGATGCTCTTCTTGACTGTCCATACCATTCGGTTTGGCCCATTGCCATACTCGAGATGGATGGTGAACAGGGTGTGTCGCTCGCTATCGCCTCGAACCACGCTGTCGCTGATGTTCACGCGGACTTGCTCCAGAAGCACGGGGATCTTCTTGTGGCCGTGTTCGTCACGCTGGAGCATGCTTGCAAACATGACCACGGCCGGCGCACCAGCTCGGAGCTCACCCATGAGTTCAGTAGACTTGAGGTAGTCGATGCGCTCGCCTTTTCTGTGCCGCAGAAGACCCAGAGTATTCTTAACTTGTTTCCATCTGTGACCGCCGAACGTTGAGTATCGCTCCCCTCCGAAGCGTGGCCGCCGGGGTGTCTGCAATGCATCTCCATCTGACATGCCTCCACCTGTGAAGACGCTCATTCCACGAAAATGGCTTCTTCGGGGGGTGCCCACGACGTCATCTGCTTCCTCCGCATCGACTGATCGACCCAGGTGTGAGTGACCCCGTAGGGCGGGGGGCCTAGACAGTTCGCGTGCCTCGGATTCTGACACAGCACCACGGTCGCGAGGGTCTGGCATTGTCGAGCGACGTGGCAGGGACGGGAAGCGGCGGGCGCTGGGAGAACTCGTGCGCGTCTTGGGTGTGGAAGGAACCGAGCCGGAGAACTGCCCTATGCGCCTCGGCAGGCGGCGCTTCTTCTTCCCAAAGGCGCCATTAGATGGGCGCGGGGTTGACTCGTCGGCGGTCTCCTCAACGTCGGCATCGTCGACGTCGCTTGCGTATTGATGGACATTTTGGGGTGGTTGGGGCCCTTCTGCCGCCATTGGCGTTGGTATGGGCGTGTTGAGGATATCAAGGTAGTTTCAGGGGTCAATCGGAACGCTCAAAGGTTTGCTATGCTAAAGGATGCAGCTCGTTGATGGTGTTGGAAAGGAGGCACAGTATGGGAGCGTGTGGCCCGCGGTCGATCCCAGGCGGTCCTTGCAGCCAGCTCTGACGTTGGAGACGGGCCTTGGGACGATGCTGCAGGCGGTCATGCAATAGCGCTGGGGCGAGGAACGGACTGTCGGCCTCTCGGGAATCTTGGGTGACGCGCGTGCAAGTTGAAGAGAGGCGAAGACAGGACGGGGAAAGACCACAGTCTTGGAGTCTTGGAAACTATGAAGTCTCCCTTTCCAGGAGATTTGGCGATGGTTAGGAGGTCGCCAGCAATCTGGCTAATAACAACAAGCTTGTGGAGACTAAGTAGGGGTCGTACAAGGATGTTTCAGTGGAGGCAGGGGACCTAGGTCCACCGTAAGCTGCTGCCAGATACAGCGTAGCTAGTGTGCCTAATGTACCTGATGTACCTAGTGTACCCACTACCTCTGCGGCACGGAGCACAACGCAGCAATCTTGCATACGGCTGCATGTACTCCGTACAGGTGATGTCACCCAAGACCACCTGGCTATCTCCATGTATGGAGACTCAGGTTAGTAGTACACTACATGGAGAACCTCAGCCAACGGTGCCCCACAGCAAGGTTAACGCTTCGCCTGTGAGCCGCCAGCGGACCGCCCGCCAACACACTTGGGTAGCTTCAGACAAGGAGGGAAGGCCTTGTGACATGTCTAGAAGCCAGACTCAAATGCTTTAGAGGGTCAGTTGAAGCTGGGCAGCCCCTATAAGTCGGGGACTTGCAAACCCCACCAGCTCTCTGGGCCTTGAAATTGAAGACAACATGGTCCAAGATAACGATAATCCAAATGATATAATGGCCAAGCCATAGCACTTTTTTTGGCCCAATTGCACAACCCCTTCTTAAGCCTATTCATTCATATCCTACTGGAGAATTGTTTCTCCTATGTCCTATGGCAACTTCAAATGCAAACTTGCAGGGATTTCTATTTAAGTACCTAGGTACCTAGGCATGTAAATAAGTCTCTAAATCACAATTACTGGTTGTGCTAAACGCATTCCGGCTCAGCTTTGCGGCGTCCGGGCACTTGGTCAAACCAGTCATCAGTGTCTGAAACTCCATCCTCGCTCATTGTCCATGAGTCGGTATCTCGGCAAGACGGGGCGCCCGCACGTCCCCTGAGGGACAACGGCCTCTGAAGTCGCCTACGTCCGCCAGCCCGGCTGATAGCATTCTGCGGGTCTAGCTGAGATGGTTCGTGCTCTAGAGCTTTTGGATGGGCTGCGGCAGTCTTTGCTCGATGCTGTTGAGGAGGCGATCCCATGACAAGAGAGCGTCGGACAGGTCGTTGTCAGTCCAAGGTCCAAGGCCGTACGCCAATGGTGCCCTTTGAGGCTTCCCAAAAGTACTTCCCAGAGTTCCACTTGTCGAGGGATTGCTGCAGGGCGAATTCGAGGGCGATCCATTGCTCATCGGCAGGGAACCGCCCGGACGCCCAACGTCAGACTACATGACAGCTCTGAATATTGAGAGCTGAGCCTTCATCTGCAGCCTCACCGTTATTCTGGCTGTAGAGTAGGATGATATCGGGCCGTTCGTATACAGCGAAAATAGGACTCCAAAATTCCAGCGGATCAGGCTGAAATATCTGCGGCCTCAACACACCCGGGGAGCCTCGAGGACGTTGGGTCATGCTCGGTGGCTCGTTGTAAACATGTGTTTGTGTATGGCAGCACATCGTGTTGGAAGAACGGCCATGCCTGCTAGGGGATCGATACAAATAAGCTGCTACATTATGCGGATGAGTACCTGATGATGTTTTTTATTCTCTTCTCCTTTTTCCACGCCTTTTTTTGAAACAAAAAGAAAACAGGGAAAGAAAAAGAAAAAGGAGATAGTCCCTTCACATATACCTATCTTGCATGGGATTGTCTCGCCGGTGTTATGACCAACGACGGACTGGTATTGTTAGGGCGCTTTTGCGCCAAAACCTTGGAATTTGACGCTGGCGCTCATGTCTTTTGCCGCAGTTTGTTTGGGATTATCCCACAAAATAAATACTCATTATAGTCAGACATTTTCCGGCGCAGCCGGTGGACAAACACATGGTATGCTCTGTAGACCAAAGAAACTCGGCTGCAAGTCTGTCTAATAAGTGTGTGGAGGAAAGCGCCACCCTCCACTCTCTCCATTGGCGGCTAGCCCCAACCCTGAGCCACAACAAGGCGTGGGGTCTGATAAGCAGCAGTCGTGGGGTCTGATAAGGACAGGAGAGTCGCGTCCACCCAGGACGCGTTATGCGCTGCACTTCAACCACATTGACGACCGGCGAAGATACCCAGGTACTCAGACAACCATGCCCAGGTAAGCCCGTGCATTGACTAGAACAAAGCGGATTTTTGCTGACCTCGAGGAGGGAGATCATCACCGTTCAGGCGGGCCAATGCGGCAACAGCAGTGAGTAACTCATCCACGTTGACCACAGAGTCCGGCCCGGCACCCCACGGACGTTCAGCGCCGACCGTTGCTGACAGCTCCCAGTTGGCAGTCAGTTCTGGCAGCAGCTTTGTCAAGAACACGGAATTGGCCAGGACGGCAACCTCGAGGATTTCGCCACCGAGGGCGGTGACCGGAAAGACGTCTTTTTCTACCAAAGCGACGACACACGGTACATTCCTCGGGCTATCCTCATCGACCTGGAACCACGTGTGATCAACGGAATACAGACTGGTCCTTTCAAGAACATTTACAATCCCGAGAACTTCTATGTCGGCAAGAATGGGGTCGGCGCTGCCAACAACTGGGGTGATGGGTACCAGACGGGCGAGACCGTGTGCGAGGACATAATGGAGATGATAGACCGCGAAGCCGACGGCAGTGACTCGCTAGAGGTACGCTCGCTTACTCAAGGAGCCATGGCTTGAGGCTGCATCTAACGTGATGCACAGGGATTCATGATGCTACATTCTATCGCTGGTGGCACAGGGTCTGGTCTGGGGTCATTCCTGCTCGAGCGGTTGAACGACAGGTTCCCCAAGAAGATCATCCAGACATACTCCGTGTTCCCCGACACCACGAACGCCGGAGACGTTGTCGTGCATCCCTACAACAGCATGTTGGCAATGAGGCGGCTGACGCAAAATGCCGACTCGGTAGTGGTTCTCGACAACGGCGCGCTGTCTCACATCGCCGCCGACCGGCTACACGTGCAAGAGCCGTCTTTCCAGCAGACCAACCAGCTCGTATCAACTGTCATGTCTGCCAGCACAACAACTCTACGATACCCGGGCTATATGCACAACGACCTCGTCAGCATATTAGCCTCGCTGATTCCAACACCTCGGTGCCACTTCTTGATGACTGCATACACACCATTCACAGGCGACCAAGTCGAGCAAGCCAAAACGGTGCGGAAGACGACTGTGCTGGATGTGATGCGGAGACTGCTGCAGCCCAAGAACCGGATGGTCTCGACCGTCCCGGGCAAGAAGAGCTGTTACATATCTATCCTCAATGTCATCCAAGGAGAAGTGGACCCGACAGATGTGCACAAGAGTCTTCTCAGAATACGCGAGCGCAGGCTGGCCCAATTCATTCCCTGGGGCCCGGCCAGCATACAGGTGGCCCTCACAAAGCGAAGTCCTTACATCCCAATGAGCCACCGTGTGAGCGGTCTCATGCTGGCCAACCATACAAGCATTGCAACTGTAGGTACATGTCCGGTTCCACTTGCCGATCAATGATTCTAACACGCGTTGTAGCTCTTCAAGAGGATCGTCAGGCAGTACGATGGCATGCGCAAGCGCAATGCGTTCATGGAGGGATACAAGAAGACTGCCCCGTTCTCCGACAATCTCAACGAATTTGACGAGTCGCGGGAGGTTGTGGCCGACTTGATTGCCGACTACGAAGCCGCCGAAAACGCGGATTACCTCAATCCGGACCTGGGCGAGAAGGCCACCTCGGCCGAGACCGACAGGCGCGTTGCCTAGAGGGTGTGGGTCGCTGCGATGTGCCCAGGGTTGATTGAGATTTGGCCCATGGCGTTTGTGAGTGATTAAAAACGGAGTTACTCGGCTGGCATATGACTTCACAAGATCTTTTTGAGTGCATCAGGCCGCAGGCGTTTGTGGGAAGATACCAGGCTGAAAGACCCGTCAGGACATTATTCCCAAGGTTTCGGGAAGGCCTGCCCCCTGCCTGCTCGGCCGGAGGCTTGCGCGGTTTATGCCCTACCTATGTGTCATGGCAAAGCTATGTGGTGTGACATTCTACATATTGTGCCAGTGTACCTGGCAGCAATGATTCCATCCGATTCTGGTACAGCGCACAAGCATCCCGAAGTTTTCCTTGCAAGTGCATGGAGTTAGTCAGCAGTACCTCTCCTCCTTATTTGGCCGTCGTTTACAGATCTACAAGAATCCTGGAAAGCACCCACTGTTTGCTCGAAAGTACTTTTAGCAGAGAGGTTAGGTGGCAACTACCTCATAGCTAACCCTGGCCAATCAACTTCTCAGGGACAGGGAAAACTCCGGGATGCTTGCGCGCTGTACATACCAAACCTATACGTATGTAGGTACCTAGGTGGGCGGTGGCGTGTGGGGCACGATGCGGCTGCTGAGCAGCCGCTGCTCAGGCCTTAGTGAGTGCCCCACCATTTACGTCAACAGCGCGTAGTTGAGTGACGTAGCTTCCCTAGGAGCTTCACCATCGTTCTTACTTATAAGACCTTTCTTTTCGGGCCAGAACAGCTTGTCGTTCCTCTTGCCTCATCAACAAAATACACAGAAAAGCCAGAACGTATTCGAAACCAGCAAACCCAATCACCCCAAATCCAACCACTCAACCGACCAACCAGCAATCTCTCACCCACCACTCAGTAAGTTACAAGCTGCCCCTCCATTCTCTGATCCCACGCGGCCAAGCACCCTGTGGGCACTGTCGTTGCCTTCAGAAATTGGGAGCTCACATCACCATGCAGAGATGTCTCAATCCAAGGCCGACAAGATCAACGAGGCTCAGTCCAACCTGCCTCTCCCCGAGCAGCCCCCGGTCGCATCTGACTGGCAATCCGCCGACGCCCGCAACGTCAACGTTGGATCAGGCCGTGACGTGACGAGCGACATCTCTACCGGTGCCGCCTCAACCGCTGGCCTGCGTGAGCCCGCCACCAAGTCCTCAGAGGCAACTGACATGAGCAACATCGGTCGCGAGGGCAAGGACAACCTGGACGGCCCTCCCAAGGACGCCGCCGCGTGATAGGTGTCTATCACAAGCACCTTCGCCCCCACCTCCAACAACAGCGGAGCTTGGATTGATTTCTCGTGGTTTGGCGTTCTCTGGAATGAAGGGACATGGATGGAATGGGATGAAAACTGAGCATACTCATGCCTCCGCTATGACGGTCCGTATACATTGAGGGACCCCCTAATGGAATGGCTTTTCGGCGTGTCGATGGATTAAAATTGCATTGACCCAACTATCATGAATCTTTCCACGTGACCTTTTGTTGATTTTTGCCTTTGACAATGGTGAAAGGTCTGATGTTCTTCTGCAATCATATAAGAGGCTTGATATGTTGCGTCTTCAGACTCCCATCTCTAGCCCTCATCTTGATTTGTTCTGAAGAATCCCTGTTCCAACGATCTTCCAATTCCATGTGGAATATGCTTCAACACGCTGGGCCGTGATGTTTCAGAGCATCCCGAGGTCATAACACACTGCGCCTCTCCACTAGGTACCAAGAGAAGCAGCCATTCCTGTAACTCGGGTCCGGAACTTTTCGTGTTCGTACCATAAATGGTTACATATATGACAAAAGATTCCCGCAGGTTCTCGGGCACACAATACTGGGCCACTTGGTCGAGAGCTAAAAACAACCACCAAGTTACTGATTCGTTTTTTTTTTCTGTATATGTCCGAAGCCATGCATGGCACCTTCATATATTGGTTACCAGGTTACGAGAACCACAGATTGTAATACCAAAGGGAGAAGCAGATCAATTCAAAATGACTTCTGTCCCCTCCGGCTTCACCAGGATGCCATTTAAGTTTTCCCTAATTATCAAAAAGCTCCTACGGTTTGGATAGATAACTCTCTACAAAAATTAGGAATTTGGAACATGACATGCTTATAAGACATTGACTTGCATTTATTTATTAGCTGTCTGGTTAAGTATTCCTGTATTACTTTCCTTAAAGGGTTGCTGTGGATGGGGAGCAAAGAAAATGGTGCCCTCCGATTCAAAGCTCAAATCAACAACAAATTTGACCAGTCCTCTCAGCTACTGGTGTGAAACCAAGTCTCAGTTGGGTTTGTGAAATGACCCAGAGATGAGGCTCAAGCTTCAATAGAATTATGATTGTAGGCCCGAATAGGGACACATTTTTGACACTTAGCCCGGCTAGAGATGGCTTGGACATCATAAAAAGCAGCCACTAACAGAATCTTGTACATGATAAAGCTTTGAATTTGGTTTCATTGCAAAGCTTTGTAGACCAGCATGGTTATTTGGTAATTGACAGTGCTCGGGTGTCTACTACACTCCCGGCCACAGTAACTTGCCAGTTTTCTTAGGACAACCTCCCGGGCTCTTCAGGACTAACCTGCCAGAAGCCAACTTCACATGCACCAGCCTGCAAGACCAACCTCTTAGAGGCCAATTTCCCAGAAGACAGCCTTTAGAAGACTAAGCCTTTCTAGGTTAACTTGTCGTCCTTGGGCATCCTCTTATTAGACAGCATACCTAGGGTAGGTAAATGTTAGCTCTATTAGAATAGGTTTCTTTTTTCTTTTTTATTTTATTTTATTATTATTATTATTATTATTATTATTATTATTATTATTATTATTATTATTATTATTATTATTATTATTATTATTATTATTATTATTATTATTATTATTATTATTATTATTATTATTATAATTTTTTTTATTATAAAAAAACAAGGCATGGTTGTGTTATAGTAATGGTGGATGTGATGAAATAATCTGAATTGAATTGGGATAGAAAGGTTCTTAGAGATGTGTGCCGTCTCCCTTCTTTTACTTCAAACTGGGTCTCACATTAGCTTTGATCCTGGTAATTGCTAGGCGCTCTATGCTGGTGCCGTGGCTGAAAGAACTTCCGCATCCATCTGTACCCTGTTGATGCGTGTGTTCTCCGGATGTCCCTAGGATCTTACAGACAGGCATGGACGCAGTCAAGATAGGCCAGGAGCCCCTCAACAGCAAGTGTGCAGAGGATGTGACCCAGAGGCAAATGGGCATGTTTTTGTGGGCAAGATCTCAAGTCTCCAGCAGAAACTTGGTAGATTCCGGAATCAGGTCAGTCTTCCTCTCCATGAGAGGCAAGCCTCCAGGTCCATCACCAGCACTTCCATCCTCTAGGCTTGGGCGCCTGCATTCTTGGCACCTTCAAAGATACCTAGGTACCTAAATACCTTGGTAGGTACACGTCTGGTCTCTCAAATCTTCTTGCTGGGCCAGAAGCCAGAAGCTAGTGTCGTTTCCTGTCGTGAGGCTGCTGCATAAGAGAGAGGCCTGACACTGGCAACAAGTCCAAAGCTCCTTCCTTCTCTACTACCTACCAACTTCAACCAGGTACAACAAACCAACTCCCAGGCAACTGCTCACTTTTCTCAACAAAACTTCAGCAGCACATGCGGAGGTTTCCCAAGGACCTTGAATCAGAACCAACCATCAATCATCCTCGGCTTTGGTACCTAGGTAAGCACTTTGTGTCTCATTCTGCTTTGATGTGTCTTTCTTCCCAAATACAACTCTCCTTCTGCACAACAGAATCCAATACAGTCACTTGAAAGCCACTACCCAGCCAGTCTGCTGATGATGTCTTCGGTCGTTGAGTAGCCAGTTGAGTAGCCAGCGTGATCCGCCTCCTTCGCTCTCACCAACCACCAAGAGAAGACCATCGTCATACCTCCTCAAGGCAGTCTTGAAACGGTACATTGGCTGTTTGTTGTTCTTGCCCTGGTAAGCCTCTTTATTTCTTCCCACTTTCTTGCCACTGTCCAAGCCCCTTCAACTCCCGGTCCATACCATTAAGGCCGTTCGGTACACCTCAACTCTGAAAACAAAGTCCCAACCCTCCCAAGTCCAAAGCCAGCTCAAAACACCTCCAGTTAGTCTTTCCTCTTGAAAGTTGTGCATGAATCTTCCCATTTTGAGCCTTCTTCAGACTTGAAAGGCCACGTTCTGCCCCACAGCTGATAGCCTGTCCCATGTGGCATCTGCAACACATCCAAACAACACTTGGTCGTCTCCATCCTGGTTACCCTGGCCACAATTCCTTGCCTTTGTGTTCTTGGGATGCCAAAATTGGCAGCCATGAGCTAAATTTCCCAGACAACAGATAATTTGACACAAGGCTTGGGGCAAATACCAAGACACCATGGCACCGAAACGGCAACCGCGCGAGTACAGCGCCGCAGAACTGGCCATGATAGTAAGTATCCTCCTTGCTGCGTCGACGCTCTGACACACCCGTTTGAAGAGCTAACTAGCAGCCTGCAGGATGACATCGGCGCTGGTCGTGTCGATAAGCTCCCCATGGAGGACAGCGGCATGCTTCCTCGTGGTGCTTCTGCCATCGAGAGTCTTGAAAGCCGTCGAACGGGTCTGCAGAATTCCTGGAATGAAGCTATAAAGAATGGGAAATTTGAAGACGAAGACGCCGCGTTTGTCGTGGGACAGCAGGAGCTTGCGAATGGATCGCTTGCTCGCATGAGACGAGCGGCAGAAGCATCGTACATGGCTCTCAACACTCACTTCAACTTCAACGATCGCCGTCTTCGACAAAACCGCAACGGTCAAGTTGCCCCTCGAGCACAATTCTCCCGAGGCGAGCGAGGTCCTTCTCGCGCTGGACTGACTCACACGGGAGACGGCCCTGTTGAGCTTCGCGGGTCAGCGCATCATAGTGGTCAACCAGCTTCTGCACGCCCCATGACTACGCCTGCGCAGTACCGCGGAGATCCCTCGAGGGATAGAATTTTGCCACCCATCATCCCCAGCACCCATGTTACACCCAAATCCTCATCGCTCTCATACCCAGCTGGGCAGCCGTTGAGCCATGCTCGGCCAGTGGCCCAGCCTACTGCTGTTCTTGTCCAGACTCATGGCCCTCAACAGGACGTTCAGGTACGGACGACTGATACCGGTATGAAGTTCCAGCTGTCAGCTGGACACTCGATACTGTTCCAAGCAGCGGTCAGATTTGCGTCGCCAATGTTCAACGACCGAACCGGGGAATACCCCGGAACAATTTACCTGGTCGATGGCCCTGTCGGCGCCGACGATCAGATCATCCTCCATCTTGACGAGGACAGTGTGGAGGACGTGAAACGTCGTACCAAAGAATATGTCGACTATCTTTCTGATTCTGATCGACTCATTCTCCAGTTCAAGGATGACGCTGGTTGCACCACCTGGTTCGTCGTGATATTCCGCCAGAGGGATATCATGGAGTCGTTCGTGAGTGCCCTACGAGACTTCACCGACCGACTCAAGCAACCACTTGCAACCCCTGTTGTCACTCCGGCCGTGTCTATGGAGCCTGCCAGGGAAACGCCAGTCCCACCAGCTGAAAGCCGCCAGCAAGCAGACACTATGAGGGGTTTCTCGGCGGCGATTGTCGAGGACATTGTGACGTGGGCAATACACATTGTCTCTTTTATTCGAGACGCAGGCCCTCCCGAATTGGCAACTTCGGACGCACTACCTGGAATCATCCGAGGAGCGTCGGCTGCGGTTTTGATGGAGAAGCATGCTGACTTTGCGAGCCTCGACTCTAAGCAGCGGGTCACTTTCGTCGATGAAGTCTACGCCCCACAGGTATTCGACAGATTCAAGAGAAGAATGTTTCCCAATGAACCTAAATCAGCAGACGCGCCCAGTGAGCGCTGTCGGCTGACATATACCACGGAGAGGCTCCTACAGCTTCACTGCAAGGCCTATGGGAAACCTCCAAAATTGGCCGAGCACGAATTTCTCCCACAGACCACCCCAGAGACTCAAGTCCGGATTCAGCAGGTAATCCAACGAGCTCATGGAGTCCTGAAGGCACCAGATCTGTCCATCCCGACACCTGGTATCACTGTGACTACAACGGACCCCATGCCAACTCCGGAGGAGCCTCTCATCGCCATTCATGGTGAGATGAACGGGCTCAACTCTTCCAGACATAACAAGGACGGTGGTGACGTCCTTGGAACAGTCGCAGGACAGTTCACAGGCGTGTTGGCCAACGATAAGTCCCATCTAGCAGACTTGATGTGTCTCGACGGAGGGGAAGACTTCGACTTGATCCGGGCGCAAGACCCCGAGGTGGCCGAGATTGCTGACCGCTTTGCGCGAGTCAGCTTTGTCGATTGATGATCAGATGAAAGCTTCTGTGATTGATTCTGGAGTCAACAATCTAAGAACGTGACTAGGCTGGTAGGCAGTGGAGGCAATTATTGGCAGAAGACAATCCGATAACTTCGTCTCGGATTTGTGGGCCTCTAAACACAAAAAGTTCTCTGGGGATTTCATGATGATGGGAATCGTTCGGGGATTGTTTATAAGCAATGTAGAAAAACCTCTGGATCTTGGTGCCCAAGGCCGATAACCAATGGCATTCCACGCAGGGTGCTTCTGGCAGTGGCCGGGAATCGCCAGTCTCTAGATAGACAATGGTAATTGTTACTTAAGAACCGCTGCCACCTGGAATGCTACTCAACGATTTAATGGCCGGGTTGACTGATTTGAAGCAACTCATCAAAACCGGGCCGAAGTGGTTGTGGGCATACTTACCCCTGAGCCTACCAAACTGTCGTCATTGTGCCTTCACTTTTACCTCGCGGTCAAACTGGGCCTGATGAATGAGCATTGTGAACGAGCTACCTGGTGGAGTGGCGCTGGAATTGACAAGAACTGTCTGGACACTGCCCACGAATTGTCTCGATCATGTAGGGTTCCAGCAAATGAAGATTACTGACTGCGGGCGCTGGCGTCTAGACCGAGCACTCGCAACCCAGGGACACTGCATCTGACGCAACTCGAAACCTCGAGGTTGTTCACCTGGTACTAGGCGCTTCCAGCCAACCATGGCTTTTCATTCATGTACCCACCTCGTGTCCTCCTTGGACACGATAACCTCATCGACAGGGAGCCTCTTGCCGACAATCTCCTCTCCGTTTGGCAGATCATTCTCCACGGCACGTTTGTCAGCCTCAGCCTCGTTAGCAGCAATACCGGCCTTGACGTGGCGGGCGACGAGGCGACGGCGGGCGACGGCGAAGTCGACGTCAACGAACCACACCTCGTCCATGAGGCGGGCGGCTGACGACCACGGCTCCTTGTCCAGCGCGACGTAGTTGCCCTCGAAGACGACGATTCGATGCGTTGGGAGGACCGCAATGTCCGCCTCCTTGGGATCCTTGACGGCGTGGTCGAAGGAGGGCGCGAACACGGTGCCCTTTGGGTAGTCCTCGGGGCGCGTAGGGGTCTCTAGCGGCGCAGGTGGTGGTGGTACTGGAAGGGGCCCGCGCAGGGCCTGGATCAGCTCGTGGAAGGAGGCTCCGTCAAAGGTGAACTCGGCGCCGCGGCGGGCGTGGGCCGTCACGGGGTCGGGCATGGCCGACAGCTGCGCCCGCGTCAGGTGGAAGCCGTCCATGGGCACGAAGGCGGCTATCGGGTCCGGGGAGTAGGAGGCGTGGGAGGGCTCCAGCCTTGCGCCTTTGGCGTTGAGGGCCGTGGTCACGACCTGGGAGAGGGTTGTCTTGCCTGGTGGGTGTCCGGTGTGAGCTTGCTTGAGGGGATCTCATCCGGAGCGCACTTGAGTAGTCTGTGCGTGTTCAGACCACCACGAGAACAGCATCGTTTCTGGGAACTTGGGATTGCGGCTTGACTGACCTGAGCCTGGGATCCCGCCGATTCCGATCACTGCAATCTCAGCATGTCAGTTGTACATGCTCTGTTTATACACACATGTGTAAGCGAGGATCTCATCTCCTGTGAGGTCACTCGAGCTGTGCCGCCGGGATCAAATGACTGGGTGCATCTCGCAGCCTCTGTGTGCCTTTTCTTTAAAAGAAAAAGCAAAGTAAAATAAAGTAAAACAAACCCATATGCGGTGTACTTCTCATTTACTTGGGCACCTGTCCCTCTCGCCAACTGGATCAAATCGTCACAATTACTCACTCAGTCGCCTTTCCGGGGGCGTGGCCAGGAACTTGTCCCAGACCTTCTCCACGAGCCGTTGAACCTGGCTATCCATGTCTGTTTATCACTCAAATCGGACTTGTAATGATTGGATTTATTGGGCTCAATAAATGTACAGCGAATGTTCCAGAACGAAGTTGGTGAAGTTGGTTGCAGAGGACGAAACAAGAAGAGGAGACGAGGTTGGGCCTCGAGCCACTGTAGTGGACGTATTGCACCCTGCTTGCATCACCACCAACATACCAGCCCCACCTAAAATAGGACCCTTCTGGATCCAACCTTGCACTCAACGCCCATTCAGCAGCCACTTCCTGAGGCCGGCCAACCTGCACACTGATGTCAACTCATGCAGCCCTACCGAGATTTGGAGTGACAGGACCCAAGATCCGACCTCACCAGACTTGTCTGCATTGTTCCCCCTAAAATACAGCCACCTCCTTGACCATCGGGATTTTTCAAGCTACAGTTCGTCCACGTCCTCACTGGACTTCTGCCCCCGAGCGGGCAGACTGCACGAGGGCGTCCGGGAGGGGCAGGAGAAGAGACAAATGGCTCAAGATGGGATAGACAACGACTCGGGCGGACTCTTCAACATCTCCATCTCTGACTCTGAAGGCGAGGACGGCGGCATCGACACGAGCCACGGCATCGCCGCCTCCTCCAAGAAGGAGAACCGCACCGGCCAGTCCCTGGAGGCATTCCGGGCCGTCAAGAGCGGATACCGGGCCAAGGTTGAGAACGGCGAGGTGAGTCAATCAGCAGGCAAGCAGTATCTGATAAGACCCCCCCTCCTTTTCTTTTCTTTTCTTTTCCCATTTTTTCCCCATCTCTTTTTCCGTTTTTTTGCCTTCTTTTTTTTTTTTTTGGGGGGGGGGGGTTAAGATACGAAAAATGAAAATCTGACAATGGAGCCTCGCGTGCTCGCCTTTTACAGATATGGAAGTCTGTGGATGTGCCGCTGGGCCCTCGCAAGGTACCGAAGCACGAGGCCCAGGAGCTGCTTCACGCTGTGGAGGAGCTCTACTTCTTCCGCAGGTTCGAGGAGGCTGTGTCGCTCGTCGCCAAGATCTTTGAGGGCGAGGGTGGTGGGGATGGACTTGATGGGGATGTCCGAAGTTTGCTGACGACCTACGAGAAGAAATGCAATGAGAAGTTGGGTCGGTAGCGACCTTCGCCGCAACGCAGAGCGCTTTCAAGGTTACAACCATATGAACAATGCAGTGGTGTCCCCAGCGGGTTGCCATGAAGCGATTCTTGGCAGCACTGACTTTGGCTTTGCGGTTGTGGTGCTTTGTGAATAGGAGTCATTTCTTATAATTATGACTAGGGTCTATGAGATCTATTGTGAGATCAAGCCCTAAGGCGATCACGAGCGTAAAATCAATCCCGCTCAAAACGAGTCCGGAACGCCACAATTCTAACACAACCCAGTACTCCTTTGGCCCAACTCTAACCCATCCTCGCCAATTTTTGGTGTCAAAAGCCAACGCTATGCTGAATTGAATCAAGGTCGTGTGTTGCATGTGCAGGTCGTAGCACCGTCGTGGTGGTGCTCGGGTGTTGGTATATGTTTGGGTACTGATACGCGGAAAGAGAGGGAAGACGACAGGCCTTCTATACCGACATGGCCATCTTCATCTTCTCCTTCTCCCTCTCCTCGGCAAACACCCTCCTGCTCATGGCAAGCACAGCCTCAAAACCCTCCTTGCCCTTGATTGCGTTGTCCCGGAAGCGGTTGACGGAGAAGTCCTCGATCTTATTCTTGATGCGCTGCCAGCCGCCGCAGAGGGCGGTGATCTGGGCCTCCTGGGCGAACTGGGTCTGGTGCTCGCCCATAGGCTTGTAGACGACCGTTTCCTGGCAGTTGATGAGGTTGGACCAGGTCAGGTTCCAGGACACCATGGTGACCGTCTTCTTGGCCGGGTCGACGTAGGAGGTCTCAAACACCTGGCTGACGTCCCCGGCGCCGATGATGGACTTCATCCAATCCGGCGCGGACTGCTTGCAGGTGATGAGACGCTCGGTGCGGAGGATGCCTGTTGAGGGCTCGACGGAGCGGGCGAGGGTGTCGACCGCGACGACGTGGGTGGATTGCTCATTCCAGGGGCAGTACTTGCGCCAGTTTGCAGTTGTCACCTCCTCCCACGAGTAGTTGAAGGTGTGCGAGCTGGAGAAGACCTTCATTTTGGAATCGGAAGACTTGGAAGTCGTGGAATTTTGCCCTGGATGGACGGGGGTCGAGAAACTAATTCTCTTGTGGCCTCTGGGGGCGAACCGGATGTACTCGGCGTTGGCTTGTGATGGCGGGCGTCTCGGCGGACCTCGGGTTTTGTTGTGTCTGCTTGCTGTCTTGACTCTTGACTCTTGACTCTTTTATCTCAGTCTGGGTCGGCTTTTTGTAGGAAATCAACGTCTATGCAAACGACTCGATAAGTGAAAGGGTGAAAAGGAAAGTATTGGCAGTCCAAGCCTGGTGGTGAACGTGTGACTGGAAGATGGAGGATTTTCACAAGATGGCAAAAGATAGCGGAGAGCGACAGGGTGCGCGTTTTTAATGGGGCCGCTGATTAGAGTTTCGAAAATTCTGGCGGCGGCGGCGAAAGGGCGAACGAAAGTAGATCGGAACCAAGTGTTTTATCGAGCCAATCACGAGATGCCAGTTTGGCCCCAAGAAGCCGGGGTCGACAAAGGCTGCAAGGGGGGGACGAACCGACGGCGGGGCGGGGACGGCGGGGACGCGGTCTGTGACAAACCGTGCGCTAACAGTCCACCGCCTCGACTTAGTGGCGATCTGCTAGGTTGGTCATAGGGAAGATCCTTTTGTTTTTGCGGGTCATACCGGCTCCGCGAACCATGCATTTGATGCCGCTGAGCGAATGATGAGCGCGATCGGCCGGCCGGAACGTCACGCATTGGGGCACACGACAAAAACATCGACGCCGATTCGAGGCCGTTCCATTTGTCTTTACGGATGTATGTTGTCATATCCGCGTTCCTTGACAGCACCCGGCCCTGACAGTCCAGCATGTGGCGTCCATAATTTGCACAAGCCGCGATACTGATGCCTGGCTTGTTGCGTAAAGAGGAGGGTGATGTCCTGGTCCTGGATTATGCCTAGTATCTAATTCGTGATAACCCCAATCCCGTGGTTACTGCATACCAGCGAGGCCAGCTATCAGAATCAGGATACAGCTTGGCGACGAGTTCCCCTGAACTGCGCGTGCAGTAAGATAGTCTGCTCGCGACTCCGCTCCAAAGGGGCCTTTACTATGATTCTAATGGTGACTGTCGGTTTGACCGAGCAAAGAGAGCACCGTCCGCGGAGGGGGACGGGGAACCATGAAGCAGGCAACGCGCAACCCACATTTTGGTTGCTGTCATAATGTTGATGATGTATCACGCAACATTATGCACTACGGATACAGCGCTGTCTATTAGCCCAGGTTGCGAACTCCGCCCTAGGTTAACTTAATAGTCGTCTCCTCGGCTGATGATCTCCTTGCAGCTTGGCTTGATCAGGATGGTCTAATTGTGGGTTAGCATCCAGAGTAATGGGGTCATCGTAGCCCGGAGCTCAAAAAGACTCACGTGTTCGAACTGCGCCGTGTAGGACCCCTTCTTGTCAACCAGCGGAGGGTAGTCCTGCACGATGCCGGTGTTGACAAGGTTGTTGAGCCCCAGAAGGTACTTGTCGCAGCCGATGCGATCCAGGTACCGCCTGCAGAACGGCAGGGTGCCAAAGTTCTTCTTGATGGTGCTGAGCAGCGACCTGGCTGACGACAGCCTCAGGTCCACCTTGGGCGCATCGGCCATGAGCGCGTAGTGCGACACTTCGCCCTGATCCCTCACGTAGCCGTTTCCGGTGCTGCCGAATGTCTCGATGGCGAACACGTCGCCCTCCTCCATCTTGGTCTGGTCCTCGGTCTTGACAATGGGCACACTCTTGTCGCCATGGATGCTGTAGTGGTGGATTGTGTGCCCGTTCAGGTTGCGGATCGACTTGATCGGGTATGTCTTGCCGTCCAGCTCGATCTCGTAGCTCTCCATGGTCTCCTGGATGGCCCCGCCGATCTCGCCGAGCCGGGCGTCGATGCCTGCCTCCCTCACACCAGTGTTGGTGGCTGCCTTGACCGCCTCCAGCAGGTTGTCGTACTTGTGGTCAAAGGCCATGGTGAAGGCACTGTCCACGATGCGGCCGTTGACGTGCACGCCGATGTCAATCTTCATGACGTCGTCCTGTCCAAAAACCTTGTTGTTGATCGCGTTGGGCGAGTAATGCGCTGCAACGTCGTTCAGGTTCAGGCCGGTCGGGAAGCCCATACCCGCCACGATGGCGTCGCCCTCCTCCAGCCCCGAATGGCCTACAAGCGCCCGTACGCTATCCTCGATGCCGTTGGCGATTTCGGTGAGCCCCATGCCCGGCTGGATCCACTTCTGCGCCCACTGCCGCACCTGCCGGTGTGTCTCGGCGCCGTGTCGGTAGTCGCGGAGGAAGTCATCGTTCATGAGCAGCCGCTCGCGCTCCCGTACCTCGGCGTCGGTCGTGCGCCTGAGGTTCTCCTCCCCGATGTACTCGACCTCCTCGCCCTTGGGGTAGCTGCCATTGGGGAACAGCTGTGACAGGAGGACTCGTGGGGGGTCGGACTGGGTGGTTGCCTTCTTCTTCTTCTTCTTTTTCTTGTTCTTCTTCTTCTTCTTTTTGGCTGCGCCTTCGCCCTCTACCTGGGCATCAGCGTTGCCATCGTCTGCCTCGTCATCCGAGCCATCACTGTCCTGGTCGGCAACACCACCCTGCGCCGTGGCCTTGGTAGTGGCGGCAGCGTCGTTGACTGTATTTTTCGTCAGACCACCGGGAAAAGGCGACCAGTTTGCATTGTCTTGGGAAACTTACCTGTGAGCTTGTTCAGCTCTTCTGCGGGAGCCTGAGCCGCCATGTTGATTCTGCCTCTCCTGAGAAAAAGCAGGAAGTGAGATCAAGCTACCTCGGACTTGGTTGTGGGAAAAACCGACCCCACTGAGTCGAGAAATGTTTATATGGAAGGGCGCAGTAGTTGGGTCGCAAGGGCGCGTATTTTACCGTAGCTTTGCACAAAGCACCGCGTCTAAGCGGAGCCAATGCAGTCCCCCAGTCCCCCTGTGCAGCTACTCCGATGTCGTCACCATGCAAGTACATTGACTGCCCGCATTCCGCCCCAGCATCCGACACTTCACCCTCAATGGGCTCGTGCTGAGCCCCCAAAACATCAAGAAATTGGCCATAGCCAGCCAGCGAGGTCGGGATGAGGAATGCCACTCCGCACCGCCCCGTTCCGTGCAGCAGCGCACCTCATAGCTGCAGCAGACAGCCGCACGCGACCAGCACCCGCCGCCTTCTCGTGCTTCTTCCACAGCAGCCCGGCCCTGCGCCGCGATGATATCGACAGCAAGAACCACTACGAGACCCTCGGGGTCCAGACCAGCGCCTCCCCCAAGGATATCAAGCGCTCCTTCTACCACCTCTCCAAGACGCACCACCCAGACCACAACCCAGACGACCCGCTGGCCTCCAAGCGCTTCATGCGCATCAGCGAGGCCTACAGCGTCCTCTCCAACACCGACAGCCGCGCAAAGTACGACCGTGACGTCCTGCGGCTGCATGACCAGCGCCCCGCCGCCGCCGCCGCCGCCGGGCCACACCACCGTGGCGCCAGCTACAGCAGCACCGGACCTGCGGGCGGCAGGCCGGCGTCGGGTTTGTCAAGGAGGCGAGGGACCTTCCGCGGCCCGCCGCCCAGTTTCTACCGCAATGGCGGGTGGGGCGCCCACGGCGCCAAGAGAAACCAGGCGCACGAAGACTCGATGAGCGGCGGCGGCGGCGGCAGCGGCGGCGGCCACCACGATGCCCACCACCACGGCCACCATCACCACCATCATCAACATCCTCGTCACCAACAGCAGCAGCCAGCATCGGGTGCGAATGGTTTCGGCGGTGGTGGGGCAGGCCCCGGTCATGATACCTTCGGCGGCAGCAGCGGTGAGATGCCGCACTTCGACCGGACGGCCAAGGCGGCGCACACACGGACACAGGGAAGGGTCGATGAGATCCGGGCGCGCAAGGCGGCCAAGAAGCCCGGGTTCCCGTCCGCATCGGGCGACTACGGCGAGGTCGGGAGTTTCTTCGCCGTGCTGGCCGTGCTGGGTGTCGCGGTCGGGCTCCCGTACCTCGTCATGAAGGGCTGGAACCGGCCGGACAAGAAACAGAAAAAGACCCAGGGGTGATGGAGCGGCGGGCAGAGAGAAGACACAGATCGATGCCCGGGCTCTTGGGCCTACGTCACCCAACTGTGGATGCTTGGTGTTGTATCTGCTAGACCGGAAACGATCTCATCTTCTTGGCGTGACATAGACAGATACAATGCTTCGACGGGATGGACTTGCGTGAGTGTATTATGAGTGCATCTGGGCGCGCGTGCTCATCTTATCTACCCCTCCGAGATGACATTTGCACCCGAGCGCTGGTTGTCTAAGCTGCGAATTTGGTATACATGTGGGATACAAAGTCTAGAAGAGTATGCGTCCATCCAAGACCTCGCAAAGAATCGCATTCGGATGGTTCAAGGCCCAAGGTCTCCCTGCCTTCCAGATCTCGCATTTAGCCCTCGAAGGTGAAGCTGGCACCGACCTGCGGAACTGAGATTAGTACAAATGCAAGCTGTCTCGCGCTTCTGGGAAGGGGCGACGCACCTTGTGGGTGGCCTGGTCAAGCTTCTGGGTGTCGAAAGAGGCACCAATGCCGAGAGTGACACCGGGGCGGAGCAGGACGTTGTAGGCGATAGCGGTGACACCGCGGTCGTTGATCTTGCCCTGTAATCACGATTATCAACATCATGGTCCAACAAGATGTGGAGTCCGGCGGCAACAAACCTTGACGAAAGAGACGGGGTCGATGCGGTACTTGGTGGCAACCTCGAGGCCGACGGCGCTACCGGTCTTGGAGTCCCACTGAGCCTTGGCGCCGGCCTCAACCATGGCGTTGACCTTGTGGTAGTAAGAAGCGGCGAAGACGCTGGCCTTGTCGGAGGCGGTGATGGCGGCGGTGTAGGTGGGGTGGGCGTAACCGACGGCGGCGGCGAAGGTGGTGACGTTGGCGTTCTGGACGTCGAAGCCGGCAGAGGCACCAGCCAGGAAGCCCTCGTGGCCGACGACGGCGTCGACGTTGGCGGTGGGGCCCTTGAGCAGGTCGAAGAAGCTGCGGAAGTGGAACTTGGGCTGCTTGAAGTACAGGTTGAACTTGGCACCCTTCTTCTGCGACTGGGGCAGGAAGGAGAAGACACCCTCGAGCTTTAGGCCCTTGGCGAAGTTGTCGGCGGCCTCGATCTTGGTGTCAAGGGCGTTCAGGGTGTTCCACGTCTGGGTGAGGGTGATGCCTGGTCGGGGCGCAACACTGATCAGCAAAAGTTGAAAACGAGGGGCCAGGACGGTGCCGAATTGGAACCGGCACTGATTCTATCGGTGCGCGGTGCCAAACAGCTCGAGATGGCCCGAAAGAGGCGGCGCTGCTCGACGGAGGACAGGCCGATATTGTGGTGGGAGGTTGCAAGTACCGTTCTTCTTGTCCGTGTACTTTCCCTCGATCTGTTGGTCCCGCGCAGAGGGTCAAGTCAGCCGCCAGGTTACGTTACATTTGTGTCTCCAACGCAACTGGTTCTGTCGCATGTCTTTGACGAAGCTGACGGGGCCGGAGGCTATTCGTACCGCGCCAGAGGTGGCCTTGTCGTGGCTGCTCTTGCCAGTCACCTTGAAGGCAACATTGTTGGGGGTGTTGCTCTTGACCTCGACGGTGCCGGCAGACAGGTGGTAGAAGTCCTTGTTGAGCAACTAAAAAGGGCGCATCGGTGTTAGCAGCAATGCCCTGGGCGAATTGGCCCTCAGCAGCTCACGCCCTCGTCGAGGCGAGTGGGCGAAGGCTGCGGAAGGTGGTGGAGCAAGCCAGACTCACGTCGTTGGCCGACTTGGAAATATCGGAGAAGGCTGGGATAGACATCTTGCTGGGACGGGGGGAGGAGGCCTTGGATCTGAAAGACTAAAACCTGGATAGAGAAGCTCAACAGTTGCTCGCAAGAATGTTAAAAGAGGTGCAAACGGGGTGAAGCGGACAGGACAAGGCTTTGTTTGTTGGGCTGACTGAAGCTCGGCAGCTGCGACTGACAACCGCGAAATTTGATTCCCGCCCCGGAGCCATTGGGCAAGAGTGGCTTGTCGGCACAAACCGGCCCCATGCGAGTGAGGCAGGGGGGCCGGGCCACACTGCTCAGGAGCAGCAGCAACGCAACCTCGGGCCCCTCTGCATTGACACAACCTCAACCACGTGCTGCACCAGCGCTTTTGAATGGGTCCCCATGCATGCACGATGACTTTGATTCATGCAAAAACCTACAAGACTTGATCAACTCTGGTCTTCAACACTCCGTAATGGCTCGGGCTGTAAGTTGCATTACGACGGGTTCTGTGACGCTTCCCGGCATTACACATCGCCAAGTAGTCCATCTGTTGTTCTTGGACGGTATTTTGCAGTCTATTCGTGGGAAATAAGAAGGCCATCACCAGCCCATGTCTACGTTGTCCTACAACACGGTCATTCGTGTTCTGTTTTTCATCCCATAGCCTAGACTAAATTTACTTCCAACATTTTACCACAGCAGTCGCGAGTTTCTTGTTGCCGCAAACTCAGTTACTCAACATGGTCATACTTCTGCTGGTGGGAAGCAATCGCACTAATTGAACACATTAGTCACACAGCCAGACATGACAATTACAGGCCAGGGGTAGACTTACCGTCCACTGGGGTCAGTCTGCTTCACCCACTTCGGCACCCACCGCATCACAGTCGAAGCACAGCTTGGAGGAAAGTGCTCGTCGAACATGCAGCGGTACCAGTAGGCCTCCTTCGTGTCGGGGATGTCGTTGCCCCACTCAGGCTTGGGGTTCTTCATCATCTCGTCCGTCACGTGCAGCTCAGCGTTGTCCTTGAGCGCGTCGATCCAGCCGTACCCAACACCGTCCGAGAACTGCTCCTTCTGTCGCCAGAGGATCTCGTCGGGGAGGTATGGCTGGTTGTCGGGCTCGTCAGAAGTGTCGAAAGCCTTGCGCAGGATGTACTTCTCCATGTGGTCCTTGTCGATCATCTTGTCGGCGGGGTCAACAGCCATGGCGGTCTCGAGGAACTTTGAGAGTGGTCAGTATACATTGAGGCAGGATGCAGCCCGTGCCCTTCACATACCTCCTTGTCCAGGAATGGCACTCGCGCCTCAAGACCCCACGCCGAGGTGGACTTGTTAGCCCGGAGGCAGTCAGCCAGATGCAGGGCCTTGACGCGGCGGACACACTCGTCATGGAAGGAATCCTTGTCGGGGGCGTGGCCGAAGTAGAGGTAACCACCGAAGATCTCATCACTGCCCTCGCCACTGAGCACCATCTTGATACCCATAGCCTTGATCTTGCGGGACAAGAGGTACATAGGTGTTGATGCGCGGATGGTCGTCACATCGTAGGTCTCGAGGTGGTAAATGACGTCTGACAGGGCGTTGAGGCCGTCCTCAATGGTGAACGTCATTACGTGGTGCTTTGTTCCCAGGAATTTGGCGACCTTGAGCGCCGCCTCGTTATCGGGCGAGCCTGGCAGGCCAATTGAGAAGGAGTTGAGCTGCGGCAGGTACGTGACGGTTGACAGCTTGTTCTCATCATCGATGCCCACGAGGCCCTCGCCCTTGTCCTCGTCTCCAGGTTGGGGCTCTGCGCCGCCGTTGGCCTCCAGAGCAGCCTTCTTCAGGCGCAATGTCTCGCGCTGGGCAATCGATGCGACCAGACTCGAGTCCAGACCTCCTGACAGCAGAACACCGTATGGGACCTCGGCCATCAATCGCTTTCGCACCGATTTCTCCAGGCTCTCCCGCAGAAGCTTGAGGTCGGCAGGTTGCTGTGGAACCTTGGAGCCGTCCCACCACTTTGGCTCGAAATATCTCGTGGTCTGGCCGGTCTGGCTGTCGTAGATGTGCCCCGGGGGGAAGGCCTCGATCTTGTCACATACTGGGTGCAGGCACTTGAGCTCGGAGCCGAAGTAGACGGTGCCGGGCTCCTTGGATGACCAGCCCATATACAATGTGGTGATACCGATAGGGTCACGGGCGGCAATCGTGCGGTCGAGCTTCTTGTCGTAGAGCACGAATGAGAACATGCCATCGAGGTGCTTAGGGGCGTCGAGGCCGTATTCCATGTACTAGGGATTAATTAGCCTCACTGTCTCCGGTACTGGACATACATGGCATGAACTAACCAGAGGAATGACAACTTCGCAGTCAGAGTGCGTCTTGAAGTGGTATGGTGTCTTGAGACTCTTTCGGATTAACCTGTGGTTGTAGATCTCGCCATTGACGGCGAGGATGATACTTTCATCGGCGTTGGTCAGGGGCTGGGCACCGCTCTCTGGCCTTTCTGTCAGTCCATATGCTTGCCAAAGCGGTGTGAGGGCAACGCACCGACGCCGACGATACTCAGACGCTCATGGCATAGGACTGTCGCAAGAAGTCAGCAAGGCTTGCGCCACTCTGAATACTGCATATTCGTATCGGGCATCCATACTTGTGTCCTTGCAGATGATGCTTCCGCCTGCAGAGCCCCCAATGTCAGTCTGTTGCGTCGCGCAAATCCGTGTGACTCAGTTCTTACTCCAATCGGGTCCTCTGTGCCGAATTCTGCAGCGATAAAGTCAATTGAGCAGCTCCTAGACCAGAATTCGGAGAACATACGCTTTTGAGAGTTTCAATGCAGTCGGCTTGAACTTTTGCACCTCGGGGTGTCTGCGCGCGCATGCTTGTCAGTTGAGTTCCGTCCGCGACAAATCATCGCGATGGTGGGGCTCTCAAAGCTGCCCCTCCATGGGAGATCGCCCCCGAGCCATTGACTCGGGAAGGTGGAGATTTCGTACCTATGACACGCAAAAATACCACACATTGTGACTGAGGCTTGTGCTGGCCGGGGGTATAGTGAGGGAAGGGGGTGTCAAGGAAAGGGGGACGACGGTCGCGACGTTCAGCTATGCGCCTGGTGGGAGAAATGTTGAAGGGTGTAGAAGGGAGGAATAAACAGCCAGCACACCAGGTCGACCAGCGGGTCTATCTATCCAGTAGCAGAGACGCCAGTTGAGTCAGAGGTCAGCCAGATTCGATTTGATAAAATGTCCTGATACAGAGCCCACCTCGAGGCCCCATGCGAAACGTAACGCCCGTGATTTAATTTTGGTCAGAGCTTGGGCGAGCTGGTTCCGATCTCGGGCCAAGTCTGAAAGGGTCAATCTACTGGCCCAGCGCCAGAAGGCTTATCTCTCTGGGCCCCTGAGACAGTGCCCTCAAACGACGCCAGTGGGATTTCCAAACCGCCTACTGGTCGGCAACGCGGATGATCACTGGCCTGGCCAGACCATGCGTGCGTAACGTCTACTGGGCGGTCTGAAAGGACAGCGAGCCACGCATTTCGTACACTAAGAATTTGTATGCATGTACATTCGGTTCACGACGAGATGCAGCGTCATTCTCAGAATCCAGACCGGGGACGGGATGATCGCCCTCCACGGATAAATTACTCGTCCGAGTCCTAACCATTCGTCCCAATGACCCTGGTAAACAGGTGGTATATTGTGAGTGATGGTTGCATTTCACACCTTCTCTGAGACCCGTCCACAGCTAGGTTCGAATGAAGAGCTAGCCAGGGCACATGTTGGGATCACGTAGGGGACGCAATCAGCGCAGGAGCTTCTTGACAGCATACAACTATGCTCGTCTTTCTATCCCTCATGAAATGCGACGTCGAGCCCGTGCTGCTGATCGCATGGCGACCATCTCTTTGCTGGTTTTAAGCAGCCCTAACCCTAAAGATGATTGCGCAGTTGCGCAACGAGGTCGAATCTCCAAACTCCTTGTAAATGAATCACCTGGACCGACCCTGCCTGGTATCCGCCCTGCCTAGAACTCCGCAAAATCCTGCCAAAGCACATTATCGAGTGGATAAGTCCAAGCAGTGCATTTGAACCACCGCTCCTCAAGGGGCTGGGTTGTCGCGCACTACCCGCTTGACGCGGCGCTCGTACTCCGCCCTGTCCTTCTTGAACAAGTTGTAGGCGTCGGCCTGCGCAGGCGACTCGGGGTTGGGGTCGTTGAGGAGATCCTGGACGCCGATGAGGATCTGCTTTACTGTGATGGCTGGCTTCCAGGCCTCCTCCTCGTTCAGTATGGACAGGCAGACGGTGCCACTTGGGTAGACATTCGGGTGGAACAGAGGTGGGACGAATTTGCCTGTCCATCTTGTCAGTGCCTTGTATCTCCCAGGACTTCATGATTCGGCCATGTTCGGCTTACACTTTGGGGGCTTTGTTGGGTACTCTAAGTAGACAAACAAGTCTCAGGGTCAGCTGTCTGCCTCTCGAGTTTCATGAGTTGGGCGAGTTACCGTCGGGGAATTGCACGGTCAGTTTGAACTGGCCACCCTCCCAGATGGTCTTCTCCTTGCCAGGTATGCCGCATTCCCAGTTCTTGAGGTCGAGAATGCCCTCGCTGTTTCGTGTTGGTCGCGCGTAGAATCCAAATGGATGGTCACGCCGCCAGAGCTTTCTGTTCAGCCACCCCGTCAGCGAATTTCGAAATGCACGACACGTTTGGGAGGCATTCGCCGCACGTACCGCTCCTCCTGGAGACGATTCATACACAAGGACATGTCTGCAACAGAGGGACGGGTCGCACAATGCGTATGTGTGTCGGCGGACGAGGCCAACGATAAGGGTTTCCGAAAGGAGCCGAGATCAGCCCGTTGAATGGGCTTGATGAGTGGCGGCGGTTGGTTGAGCGAGGCTGTCACCGCAGAAATTCCGAAGCTGGATGGGAAGGGCAATTTATCAAAATGACCGAGAGAAAGGAGAGAGGGATAGTTGAGCACCTTGAAATGCTTTCTGAACAAGACAAAGGGTCGGGGCAGACCAGGAAGCCTGGAGGGGGAGGGTGGGAGTGTGTAGTGTGATGCTCAGAGTGAGGCTCTGACGGTTGTTGGTCCCTCAATATCGAAGTTGTTAGCCCGCGGCACCCACACTGGACAAGGATTGGGCAGCCTGGGCAAAAAGGCACCCGCAAGGTAGCAGCACACCCCTGAAAGAGAAGGCGGCAAGGTGCTCTGGTGATCTTTAGCCTGCACTGGAGCCCTGGGCTCTTGCCCCACTACGCCAATGGAACCGTTGCGGGGATTGACCTTCGACTGAACCCGCCTGCCAGTCGCTGCTGCTGGAGGAGACCGGTTGGAGCAGGGCTGAGTGAAGTTCCTCGGCATTGATCGACCACCTTCAGACACTTGCCAGTAGCCTGGAATTTCGGGTGTTTTCTTTGGCATCTTCTCATCCTACACTCTTTGCTTGCCTTATGTCCATTTAGTCCTTTCATCTTAGTAGCCTGCAGCTTTCACATCAGCATTGAAAGGAGACCAGCATCTAAGCAAGTTCGGGAGTCTAAGACAAGAGCTTATTCAGTTGCCTGCCTGCCCCTCAGTCACTGTTTAATCAACAAACACCCCTCCCCCAAACCGAGGACCCCCGAGTTGGACTTGGCAATAGAAGATGGCAACAAAGCCAGGCGATACAGAGGCCTCGAAGGATGCCCCCAAGGTAGCACAAGACGTCAACTTGGAGGACGTGGGTGATGTACCGGATCCCGATGAGGACGATCTGGACGACCTCGATGGCATGTGACAATGAGTCTTTTGGCGGGGTCTGGACGTGTCTGACCTTCGAAACACAGATATGCTGGATGACTTCTCTTCAGTCAAAATTGATTCCAAAGAGCCCATAATTTCAGCCGCTGGCCCGGGCTGGCCTTCAACGACAGCAGCTCCAGCTCCAGCTTCAAAAGACAATTCCGCAACGGCCGAGGATGACGTTCTCTCGGATGACGACTTTGCGAAGCAGCTTCAGGCTGGAATGGCCGAGTTGATGGGGGAGATGGAGAATTCTGTATAGCAAACCCTATCTGTGCACTGCAGACCTTGCAATTACTGACATTACCAAGCCGGAGATGCAAGCCCAGTTTGAGAGCATATTCAAGGAACTCGGCGCCGCAGCAGCGGCCACCACTGGTGGATCGCCGACAGGTGCCGCAGCGCCGGGCTCAGGGTCTGCCGACCGTCCTCAGGCATCGTCGTCCACTGGCGCGGATGCCTCGTTCCAGGACACGATCCGCCGCACGATGGAGCGCATGCAGACCTCGGGCGACCAGGCCACTGCCGCTGCTCAGAGCGAAGGATCGGACGACTTCATGGCAGAGCTGCTGAAGCAGATGCAGACGGGCGGCCTGGGAGAGGGCGGCCTGGGTGAGGGCAGTGAGGAGGAGTTTTCCAAAATGCTGCTTGGCATGATGGAGCAGCTGACCAACAAAGACATCCTGTACGAGCCCATGAAGGAGCTGAACGATAAATTCCCTGAATGGATGGAGAAGAACAAGGACACCGTTTCGGAGGAGGACAGGAAGCGCTATGAGCTCCAGCAAGGGTTTGTCAAGGAGATCGTGGCCAAGTTCGAGGAGAGCACGTACTCGGACTCGAATGCGGCAGATCGGGAGTATATTGTGGACAGGATGCAGAAGGTAAGCTGCCTCTGTCAAGGTGTGGGCAAATTCATTCCTGCTAATATCAAATCTCCTTCTTTTAGATGCAGGCTGCCGGGTCTCCACCTCCGGACCTAGTCGGCGACATGCCCTCTGCACAAGACGCCTTGAATGCTCCTGATGCAGAATCCTGTAATCCTCAATGAGCTACAGGCGCTTTCCGTGAAATGTCCTGTAGTCTGTAAATACAAGCCTATGACAAATAATTAACCCTGACCTCGATACGCCATTTCTATGATTAACCCCAGAACGCCGAGCCGTCTTCATTGCAGTACAGTAGAGATCAGTCTTGGCTCAACCCAGACATGGGCAGCGAGCGCGGGTACTACGGCCGGATAACAGCCAATAGTCGAATGACGCATTATCATGATAAATCCATCTCTCCCGAAGAAATAGGCGCCGGTGCTGCACTCTGCTGCTCCTGAGATAGGTAGTCCATGAATAGCGCGTCGTAGTCATCGTCGTCGTCAGACAGTTGGGGCGAATCCGGCGGCTGTCGTTCATCATGCTCGCCCCACTGATGTCCGTCAGGAGCGCCGTTCTGCATTGCCGCCACCATGGCCTCGTATTCCTCGATCTCGGCTCGTTGCTCTCGTTCCAAAGTGTCCACCATCATCTGGTCCACGTTGGCATTGCTCTGTCCTGCTTGACCCCATGGCGCAGCCGCTGATGAGCCGGAGGCGGCGGCGGCGGCTTCTTCCTCCTCACGTAGTCGCGAGGCCTCCTCAATGTCCGATTCGAACACATGCCCATCGAGGTCGGCGTTCTTTGCCTGCTGCAGGTCCTTGTTCAGGGAGATCCACTCAAGTTTGAGGAGCTATAACCAGAAGTCAGCACAGTCTCGGTGTTGTCAACACGGACGCCACTCTTCTCATTCGCAAGGACAAAGACAAAAAGAGACCACGTACCTCCTGCTCGCCGCCCCGCCTCTCCCACCTCTGATCCTCCGCCCTCTGCCTAACATTCTTGAGGAATAACTTGCGCCTGCTCTCCTGCGCCGCCTCGCGCTTCTGGCTAACCACTGGGTTCGGCCGCGTGGGGCGCGCCGCAAACCTGCTAACGGGCTTTGTGGTGCCTGGCGACGACGACCATGACGCGGATATCGGTGAGGACTGGGTTTCCCTCCGCGCATTGGCGTCGCGTGCGGACAGCGGCGGCGGCGTTGTTGCGCGGATGGGGCTGGATGACAAGGGCGAGGAGATGGCTGGTCGGTGGGCTGAAGGGGAGGATAGGCTGGAGGGCGAGTGGCTGGCAAAGCCGGGGAAGACTGGAGGGAGGCCCATTGTGGTGAACATGGCTCGTGGCGACAGAAATGGAGCACTCGAGATTTGACTGCGGTTAAATATGGTACGGGCGCCTGCCTCAGATCAAGTCGCGCAAGTAGTGCTGCATTCCGAGTCTTTGCTGCTGATGACCTGCACGTTTAAAGTGATGATGGCCGAGCCGACGCGGTCCGGGTTTAATGTGCCAGTCCAGTAGAGCGCGTCATTCAGGGGTCCTTGCTGGGCGGGAGTGGAGCCATTAAAGATAAGATAAGCCTCCTAACTTCAATCGCCCATCATCACCACGCACTGATCAATCGTCGACCCTGCCACAAGTCACATCAGGCACAGATGATATCTGACGGCACTCCTTTGGGATGGCCAGATGAAAGCCGGGCTGGCTTCTGAACTCAGCGGTGTTGCTGGATCCTACGCGAGCCCGCCATTTCCAACTGACAGCGCTCTCAACATGGCCTCTAGATTTCTCGATTCTTTGCATTGTCAAAAGTGGAACCGTCATCACATCGTGGCCTTCATTAACGACGATGGTGTGGAATCACGTCACTCGCGTTCGTGTCTCGCCTTTGACAAGAAATGACTAATTACCTCGGATCTACGCATTCACAGCAACCGCAGAAGTTAACGTGGGTTCTTGAACTCATTGAGCGCTGCGAGGCAACGACTCTCGACTGCCGAGATAAGTGTTTGTACTCCATTTGCTACCTTATGTAATTTTCCATTTGTTGGTCTTGCATGCTACCCACCGCCCAGGGCCGAACACCTGGGCCTGAAATATATACAGAAAAATAAAAGGTTGTTTTACATAATGAGGTTCTGATCACATGCTTCTTGGAAGACAGTTCCTCGGGGCGGACTCAAGCAAAGTTCGATGCCGCGGTGGCCTTTGAATCAGACGCAACCGAGACCTTGCTCACTGTGATAGTGCTGCCAGACGTGCTGGTAACACGGACATCCACAGTGCTCGTGCCGAACCCGCTGGACTTCTCAAAGAAGTTATAGTCTGTTCGAGTGGTAGCCTGCCACGTCTTTCCGCCGTCGGTGCTGACTTCGAGCTTGGACACAGGCATGTTGGAGTTCACGACCTGCATGGAGAACCAGTACGCGCTAGTGCCGGACTTGTTGTGAAGGACAATGGGCGAAGAAATGCCACAAGGTATCTCGGTATACTGCAACAACTCGAGTCAGCCATGCGGTTCGACGTGTGGCAAGTAGATGGTAACGACGCTGCCTGAGGCCCTCAAGATTCTCAACAAGTGGAAGACCTGAAACTCCATTTTGAGCCGAAAAGAGGCGCATGGAACATCACGATATGTACATTGAGGAATTTCTGGCTGCTTACGGATGTAGCGATCCTGCCCGCAGGGATGGAGCCGATCTTTGCGAACCCGTCCTGGAAGAGATCGAGGTGGCCTTGCTCACACTCTGGGCATTTATCAACGACCTAAGACTCCAAGTTAGCTGGTGGAAGACTATGGTATGGGTGAGTGGAGGACGGCCCTACCATGACCTTGATCTTTCCATTGGGTCCTGTCACCTCGAGACAAGTACCACACTTGGCGGCATTGTTCCAAGCGGAGCCGGGAAACGCCGTACCATATAGCCCGGACGGAATTACCGACATGGTGGTGAAGGAGCACGCGCCCCCGTTGAGGTTTCCCCCGTAGAAGGTGGAAGTGCCGGAGACGGCCGCAGCGCTCAAGACATTGGTCAGGCTACTGGAAGAAGATGATGTATTCGAATCATCGGAGGACGGGGCTGCCGCCACTGCTGCAACCACCGGGGCTTCGGACTTCAATGCTGCGTCCGAGGCAGTGGTTGGCGCCGCCGAAGGGGAGGGCTTTGGTCTCTTTCCCGCGGGACAGGCCGCGGAAACGCAGACAGCCGAGATGGCGAAGAGCACGACTTGGAGCTTCATGTTTTCGAAGAGAACGTGAGCGCAAGAAAGCGTCAACTGGTATTCGAGTATTCGGTAAAGAGGAGGCGAGGTTCTACCCGCTAACGAAAGGAACACAGAGTCCGGATGGAACTGTTTTGGTACTTTTGGTAAAAAGAGCGACGGGGGCACCTTGGAAGACTAATGAAAGCATGGACGAACACCTCGAAGAAGGAGCCCTGGAAAAGAAGCGCGACAGGACGAGCGTATAATATACACGATGCCCCGGATCCAGGAGCACCCACAATGGGGCCGATTCGGCCAGGTGCCGGGTGGCGCCGTCCACATACTAAAAGAATAACGAGCTTATTGACTCTAGACTTCAGAATGTGAGGGATCGAATAGTGGCAGACAGGTGGTGAGAGGGCAATCTCCTCCCAAGGATCAAGATAAAAGTAGTATGGCCCAGGGGTTCACAGCCGTGCCGCCGGCCAGACCCGGGTGGATTCCATGCACGCTCATGACTCTTTGATCATGGCCCCAAGGGCGTCCTGCGCGCGGAGAATTCAGGCACTGACTGGGTATAATGCTGTAAGTCGAGGCAAACATGTTTGGGTCTACCCGGGAGCTGGCGGCCGAGCATTGCTTCTGTTGAGGTCGCGCCGTTTCGCCTTGATAGCGTGGTGCGCGATTGGCTTACGGGAGTGAGTGGGGGCTGTGAAAGGGGGCTGCGATGTGATGTCCACGGGTGGCTTAGAGCGTGAAAGAGGCGGGTGCGCGCAGATTCCTCCAGGTTATCCGTATGATGTGATATGGGCTTCATGGCCTCTTCACCTGAGCATCCGCTGCACCACGACCGTGCCATGGTGGGCAGATTCCTCTGGGCAGGGGTGCGGTAGTGGGAAGTGTCAGAATCGGGGAAGAATATCGAGCGATATCCACTTCTAAATGACCCACCTGCTTGTGCACTCGGGTAGATTACCACGCATGCAATCTGGCGTCCGAGGGTAAAACACTGCATGTCCTCGTGCTCTCGCGTCGTCCGTGTCACTCGGCCGTTGAGATGAGAATGCCAGTCAAGCCGAGGACAGAAAGCACCAAGGGTTTCAAGCTGCGCCAAGAAATCCAGAGTCGAATGTTTCTGCCACTTTGATATTGAAAACGAGATCACTCGAGATGCTGGCCATTTTCAATGTATTCCCGTCAAGCCATCGGCGAGTCAGCCGAAGGCTATGCCTACATTGATAGCTCTATGGAGGATCGCTTCTTCTACTTGTGGCTAGAGCCGGAGTCCTCCAATCTCATGTGAAGGTCAAATCTAGTAACCATCCACGAGGTTGAAATTACCAACAGCTACAGGCCGGGCCGAACTGAAGCGATATCTCGGGTTCATCGGCACCACAGAGTCAGTGGCCGTGCTGAGCAGTCCTGCCAGGGGGCCAAGAGTGCTGCTAAATGTACTTTTGGCGTGTCCGAGAGTGAAGGCGTGTCAGCATGTAGAGGAGCTCGTCGCCCTCAGCGCCATTGCACAGCAGAGGCAACTTGGTTGAACGACTGTGTAGGTTGAGGTGTGGAGAGGCGAAATAAGTGCTAATCAGTGGGCCTAGAAAGCTTGACCTTGGTGCAGATCTTTGCTGCAAGCAGCGGCGTACGTCTCCGACTCCACGTCCCCGACTCCACGTCCCCGACTCCACGGAGGAGCAAGGGCAGGATGCCAGGATGCCAGACGCATCTTGACAGCGCTTGGCAGAGAAGTGCGGGATCAGCAACAACATGCACCTGCCCGCCTGCGATTCGGCACGGACGTTTTCGTGAAGTCTGGCAGTGAGGACCGGAACCGAGGGTTCGGATCGGTACTTAAGTACCTACTCAAGCTACTTAAGCTTAAGTACCTACCTAAGGGAACGAGACAGGCTGGTCGGGTCGAACTGCCTGCCAGAGGCAGGATCAAACATCAGACGCCGCAAGTAGTGCTCAGCAACGATGATGCCTGGTCTTCAGACGTCATGCGTGCCGCCCCGGCTGTCGAAGCGCAGCTTTTAATAGCCAGCCCATCCGCGCTGTGTCTGGTGGGTGGTTAGCAGCCAGACTAGACCGATCTTTGGACGACCTCCCTCGCCTGTCACCGAGCTGGCCTCTCACCACCAAGACTTCTGACCAAGACTACTCCTCCTCCCAGACAAGCCCACACTGTCAAAATGGCCTCGGTCGCAGCCACAGCTGAAAAGTCACTGCTTACACTCCCCGTCGATGTCCTCAAGGGCATCACTAACAGCCTCGATCAGAGCGATGAAAAGTCACTTAAACAGACGTGCAGACGCATGAGTCTCCTCCTGGCGCCCCCACCGGCGGCTCGCCTCGGAGCTGGAGACAACCCCGCCAGGGACGGGAGATCAACCCCGCTGCCCCAGAGCCCCCTCCCAGAGAAGGCAACAATCACCCTCCGAGAGCTGGAGCAGGAGAACCACGAAGTCGAGCAGCGCGATGCGCAGAGGGGGATGGAGCTCTCCGACACGGAAGACGGGTTCGACGATGACAGGTCGGACATCGGCTCCAAGCCCACAAAGTACAAGGGCAGCAAGATCCTGAACTGGACGGCGCAGCTCGAGTCGGCGCCCTCGAGCCCCAGGCTTCGCAGTCCTGCATCATTCCTGAACAGCCCACGGCCAGAATCGCCGCGCCCGGCAGAGGTCGAATCGCCAGCGAGGCAGTAGTGAAAAGGGAATCATGTCCTCCTTATCGGCCTCCTCATCGGATGGGTCTGGTCGCGAGCGAGGGTCTGAGCTTGTCCTCGGGCTGCTTAAAGCCACTGTTCAGTTTGAGCTCTACACTAGAGGCAATTCCCGCCTGTGAACAGGGTCCTTGGGTGGGAATGTGGAGACTTGGAGACAGAGAGAGTTATTAGGCGAAAAGTGGCATTCTGGGCAGGGGCTTGATGACAACAATGGATTTGCCTGAGTCGCGACCAAAATTCTGAAGCTGGGCGGCATGCGTCGTGAGAAACGAAAGCATCAATTAGCAAAGAGGTGAAGAAGATAAAAAAAAAAGATGAATTATACGCAACTCCAACCGAAGTTGCTTCTTTTTCGGTGTGGATTTTCCTGCAGTTTATTAATCGCAGGGCGGAAAACCGACGGTCGTGTTAATGCACAAGCCTCGGCCGGGACCAGACTTCGGAGCCGCCGAAGGCGACTGCCCCCGATGAAGACTGTTGGGGGATAGCAGAGTGATCGGCCATTCGCGGCTGCTGCTGGCAAAAACCCGCATGCGATAATTCGTTCCTTTTTTTTTCCCTCTCTCCGCCAATCAACTCTAACCAGTTCTTTTCCCTTCCACTTATTCCATGATGACGAGCTGAAGTCCTGTTTACTGCATCCCAGCCTTGCTTTGACAAACATGCAACATTCTCGAGCATGAACACCTCAATCTCGTCGGCGTTCCTCCGGCGCGTCTCCGCCAGCCCGGCGCAATGGACATGCACGTCATGCCGTAGCTCACTGACAAAGACGGCCCCGAGCCAGTCGTCCATGCGTCGACAACTTGCCGCTGGGAAGAGATTCCAATCCAACAGCTCAACGAAACGGCGCACGAAGCCGACAAGGAAACTTGTCTTGTACGCCGGAGGCGCGGCTGGAGTAGGTCTCTTGACCGTGGCAGACGACATCAAAGGTACATACGAAGGCGCAGAGAGAGCAGGGAGAGTGGCATCTGCCCTATTCATTTGTATAAATGAGTGCGTCAATCCTCAAAACGCACGCCTCCCTCGAAGCTGACTTGGCCTCGTCCAGCTACCGAACAACGTTGAACCAGAGGGATCAGATCCAAGATGAGGAGGAGAAGAGCTCGCTGCTGAAGAGCTGCCACAAGAGGAGTGCCGAGAGGACATTGAGGGTCCTGGAGAAGAATGGCGGGATATTCATCAAGCTGGGGCAGCACCTGGTACGCGGGTCAACCATACTCCCACCGTCGTGTTCATATCGAGGCAGAGCCGCTGACATGCTTGCAGAGTGCCATGAACTACCTCCTACCAACCGAATGGACGACGACATTCATACCCTTACAAGACAAGTGCCCGGTGTCCTCAATCGAGTCGATCGAGGAGATGTTCAAAAAAGACACGGGAGAGGACCTGTCCGACTACTTTTCCGAATTCTCCCGCGAGCCGATCGGGGCAGCTTCCCTGGCTCAGGTACACTTGGCCACCATCAAGGAGACGGGTCAGAGGGTCGCAGTCAAGGTGCAACATCCAGCCCTGGCGAGTTGGGCACCCCTTGATCTGGCCTTGACGAGGTTCACCTTCACAACCTTGAAGAGGTTTTTCCCGGAGTACGATCTAGAATGGCTGTCCAAGGAGATGGATGCGTCGTTGCCCCAGGAACTCAACTTCCAGTGTGAGGCCGACAACGCGATGCGCACGAAGGCCTATTTCGCCAAGTTCCCGAATATACCGCTCGTTATCCCCTCGGTCATCTGGGCGAAGAAGCGGATCCTCGTGATGGCCTGCGAATCTGGCCACCGGCTGGACGACCTGGAGTATCTCGACTCTCAAGGCATCGACCGCGACGAGGTGTCGGCGACTTTGGCCCATATATTCAATGAGATGATCTTCGGCGAAGGCGCACCGCTCCATTGCGATCCGCACGGCGGCAACATCTCCATCCGCAAGAACGACTCGCGGCGGTATGGCGCCAACTTCGACGTGATCTTGTACGACCATGGGCTCTATCGCGATATCGAGACCAGCATGCGCCGGTCGTACGCCAAGATGTGGCTGGCACTCTTGGACGGCGATATGGAGCGCATGAAGGAGCACACCAAAGACGTGGCCGGCATCACAGACGAGCAGTTTCCCCTGTTCGCATCCGCCATCACGGGCCGCGACTTCACGGTTGTCCAGTCATCCATCATGAAGCCCAAGTCGCCCGATGAGCAGAAGACCATGTCCAGCGCTCTTCAGGAGGGCCTGCTCGAGGACCTCATCCAGCTGCTGGGTCAGGTGCCGAGGATCATCCTCCTGATCCTCAAGACCAATGACCTCACCCGCAGCCTCGACGAGAGCCTGCACACGCGGCAGGGGCCGATCAGGAACTTCCTCATCCTTGCCAGGTACTGTATGAGGACGGTGTTCAACGAGCAGATGGAGCAAATCAGACATCATGGGTCGTACCTGTGGCCGCCCAACACGCTGAGGTTGATCGCCGCGTCGCTGGGCTTCCTCCGCGTCGAGGTCAAGCTCAAGGCATTTGAGTTGTGGCTCATGGTGAAGAGAATGGCAGGACTCAGCACGACGAACATGATGGGGATGTGATCGTCTCGGGATGGTGGTACATTTTCTGATTGCGATACAATATAGATTCACGATACCTTGCATGGGTCCTGGTAGAGGGCGATGGTGCATATTTTTACATAGGGTGAATAGACAAATTGTACTTGTTTCCGAGCGATTAACCCCGAGCCTTGCCCAGTGTGATCTGGGGGCTAATCTAGCGATGGTATCATGGGGCAGAATGACAAGGATCCCTTTGAAACGGTGTCAGACGATTGGTCACGATCAGGACGATGCATAGGGTTCCGCAGATAGTAAGCAGGCAGGCATCCTACTCCTACGTCAATTATCTCGTTCGGTCGTCTTCTTCTATCTCCCCTGCCGGCACGGATTAACGTTGTGAAGGGACTTACATGCGCCGCTTCCTCTCCTTCCCCACGATACAAGAGCCATGCATGTTGTTCCTCCATTATTTTCGACCCTAGTGTCTGGCCCGTGACCACTGGCCAACGCCTACATTTCTTCCCCGTCCTCTATTCGCGTTCCTCCCCCCCAACAGCAGCTACTCGAGTACTCTGCCCCCGAAATCAATCGAGTTCTTTTGAGGACTGTCTGCCGTCCAGGCATGTCTAACCCTGATACCACTTCACGGCGGGGTTTTCTGTACCCAGGCCTTCAGGCGAGGCTGAATGGATATGTTGGCATCCGCACCAGATTTCAGGGCGCGGCCTGGTGCAAGTCAACTTTTTTTTCTTATGTCTTCTTTCGGGCACAGTACCCATTGGCCCCGAGAGAAATTCTCATCTCCTCTGTATCCGTGTTCAGAAAAGGAGCCTTGTTCCTGTTCCTCGCTCATACGTTCATAGTTTGCCTCCAGGAGATTTGGGCCCGTCTGCGCCGTGGTGAGCTCAGGGTGCTCTTCAGAAATAGCGACGTTCGTGATCAGGCCTTTGCCGAGTTCTACACGGCAGCACGTACGTTGGATGACTTTCTTTCCTCCGCAAAGTCGTCGCTGCACCCCTTCCATTGCAGTCCTCGACCGGGCATTCGTTTTGAAGGGAATTCCGTCAGCGCTCTGCCGCTCCCACACATAGCACAGCACAAGACCAAGGCTCCTCTCGAGCCACGCACCCCTCGCTGTATCGACCCACCAGCTTGCCACGGCAGGAAGGGCATAATTCTCACTGACAATCCCTCGCGCAGGTCACAACTTTATAGCCTTCGAGTCCACGACCGCCGTCGCCTCCCTCGTCCCCGCAGCTCACGGCACAGTGGTGGACCTCGGGCCCGGCGCAGGCACACAGCTGGACCGGTTCGATGCCGCGCGCGTCGACCACATCTTCGGCGTGGAGCCCAATACGGCCTTTGCGCCGGCCTTCAACGACCGCCTCCGGGAGACGGCTCTGGGGCAGGACGGCAAGTACACGCTCGTGCCCTGTGGCGTTGAGGATAGCGAGACCCTGGCGCGGTACGGCGTCGTGGAGGGGAGCATAGACTGTGTTGTTTGTATGCAGGTGCTAGTTAGTCCCCATCCCCCCTCTCATTCCTCCTTTGGCGATCCTGAAGGCCGAAGCGGATGGCTCTTGGTAACGCGCAGCGGGTGGGCAGTGCTCTGTTCCACACCCGGAGGAGCAGGCTCGGCACCTCTATCGACTCCTGAAGCCCGGCGGAGAGCTCCTCTTCTGGGAGCATTGTCGGAATACAGACGTGGTGACAAGGGCCGTGCAGTGTGAGTCAACCCCCATCAGTCTTATCTCTCGAGTGCGCGTAAGCATCATCCGGCGATACATGGACCAACTGACCACTGGCTTGGCCTCCTCCCAGGGATTTGGGGCTTGGTCTGGCCGAGTGTGTTCGGCGGGTGCCGGCTTGACCGGGTCACTAAACAGGCCTTTCTCGACGCCGGCGTTTGGCAGACTGTCCAAATCGAGACGAGTATGGAGCCGCATGATTTGATGCCGCGTGTCTGGGGGAGACTGGTCAAGCCCAAGGCAGCTTGATGAACGGGTACCCTGTTCGTGCTTGGCGGGTCTTGTGAGGCGTTAGGCGTGAAATTGAAACCGCAAATCCATTTTGACCTGACGCCTTCCTAGTGCTCTATACATGGCAGATTGGTATAAATGCATCAGACAAGTCCAGTCCCTCAACTAGAGAAGTAGATAACCCTGCTCGGTCTGAACCTAGTCTCTGTAGGCATCCTTCTCACTGACACCGATCATGCCGGTGTGCCTCCTGCGCCTCTTGCCCCACGCCTCCTTCGCCCACTCCGAGAGCGTGAAGCCCCAGTGTCCGGCGACGAGCGCACCACTGAGGATGTTGATAACCTTGACCAGGAACACCAGGAAGCTGTCTCTTGACTCCTCGATCTGCAGAAGAATAGGCTCGATGTCGTACTTGACAAAGATGCCAGGGATCACGCGCTCGTTGACCTCGGTGCTCTGCTCGGTGACGGCGTACTGGTTCGTGAACAAGGTGTTATCGCTGTAATGGCTAGCCTGTCCAACACTGTAGACAGTTGGCACGATGGACACGAAGTACTGGAACTTGTGGAAGTTACTCGTGGCCACGTTGACGGTCCGGTCGAGAGGGTTCTCAAGGGACGGGAAGAAACTGCCGAACGACAGCTCGTTGACGATGTGCGAGAAGTTGAAGGCTGGGGGTGACGGGCGTCAGTCAGACCTGGCGTTCAAGAGTACGGGAAAGGGTGCCTGTGGATCCCATCAGAACCTACAGTTGTGGTCCAAGTGTTCCCCAAACTCCATGTACCCGTGGCCCCTGGCAGTGATGTGGAAATCGCCCTGGACCCTATTCAGATCCAGACTACCGAAGATGCGACAGCTATCGCTGGGCCCCCGCAGCTTCGGCGTCTTGGCCCATTTGGCCCTCTTCCCACCCAGCCGCACGATGTCGTGGACGTGCTCCTCCCCGAATCCCTCCTCGTGGCCCTCTCCGGTGACGATCTTGCCGTTCTGGTCCCTGTTGAGCCTGTGGTTGCCCCTGATGTCGACCCACTGTGACCAGGAGGTGGGGTCGCGCTTGAACTTGGAGGCGGCGAGGATGCGGTCGCCGGCGGCGTCCTGGACGTTGATGTGCAGGTCGGAGCACTTCATCCTGACGACCGTGTCCAAGTTGATCTGCATCTCGTGGCCCACGCCCTTCTCGACGGCGAAGGTGTGTTGCTCGGTGCCGCGCCACCACCGCGACAGCTCGGACCAGACGAGGATGAGGGTGACGAAGATCATGGCGACGGTCCACTTCCCGCCGCCCGCGGTCCGGGTGACATACTGAGGTTTCGACTTGGCTGCGAGGAGGCGAGACAGGTGTTAGTTCCTGGGGCAGGGGTGTTCTGGTTGGCTTGGGGATGAGGACAGAACATACGGAAGGCGTCAAATGCGCTGACGATGTTGCCAGGTGCTGGACCGAAGGCATCCTCATCCAGCTTGTGGTCCTTGAAGCCGTTGATGGGGGTGTGAGGACCCGAGTTCGGGTAGGGACTGTCGTAGGGGCTTTGCTGCCAAGCCATGGCTGGCCGAGAGAGACCTCGTGGGGTCGGGGAGAAATCGTCTTGATCGCACGCCTCTGTGGTTGGTTCGTTGGGTTGGTTCGTTGTGCTCGGTCGGGTGACTGAAGGGGTTGGTCGACAGAGAGGAATTGCGCCTAGAGACTTTGGCAGCCGATCCACGATGTGGGCACTTCCAAAAAGTCGCAATCTGTCACCTCGACCCCATATATGCCTGCTCACAGACCTGGATCATGCAATTGGGCCGCCTGTGGAAGAAATGGGCGCAGGTTGTCGTCGTCGTCAGCTTGTGGAAACTGGAAACTAGAGCTCTTGGGACGAATCTGTCAATCAAAGGACAGGTCGCCAAATTGTACCTCCAGGGACAGGGTCTCGGCTTGGGGCGTCGCCGCGGGAAGTGGCGCGCCGAGCTGGAGCTGTGCAGCGTGGTGCGGTACCTGACTTTGCGGGGGTATCCACTGATTGCTGCAGGGGGGTGACTTACACCGAGTACTTGCTTACTGAAGTGCTTAGTTTACCACAATACAGTAGACTACTTAGTCTACTGTACTCCATATATTGATTGGACTTACCCCGCTACAGAGACTGGTGACATCTGACCTAGATATTAGCCGGGCAAGTAAAACCTGTTATTTCAGCAACAGTCCATTCGTACGTCTTGCGAGCGTCAGCTGAGGCCTAGGAAAACTGTGGAACTCACGCAGTGCCTTGGGTATCCATTCTCTACAAGGATAGCATCAAATATAAGCATCATTTCTGATTACTAGGGATATTAGATGCAAGTTTCACATGAGCCCAGCGTGTCAACATTGACTCAGATCTTCTTAACCCTTGTTGACAAGTCTCCGATGGCCGGGAGACCGATACTTGGGACCGTCCCCTCCCTGGCGTGAGCGGACCTTTTCTGCCCACCCCCACCCCCCCCCCCAAAAAAAAAAACATCTTGCCACTCCGAACCAGATACTTGCTCCTGTGCAGGATTTTCTACTCTTGTGAAAGCTTCACCCCGGTCCATTCTGCCAGGGTATGGCCAAGCCAGACCAGGAACTCAGGTATGTAGCGAATGATGGCTTGACCTCTCCAAAGGTCATCAGCCACGATATCTAAGTTCTCGGGAAATCCTGCTGGGAACTTGTATCATCTAAGTGGCCCGCCCATGTACCTGACGTGCTCAGTCGCGGTTTGAAGATCTGCATCGTGCAATTTGCGAGCAGTGACGCATTTTACCTCGAGCACGCCAAACTCATACTTAAGGAGTACGGTCCTGGTAAAAGTCCTCCATGGTCGTCGTCTCTGCCCGAGATCCCGGCTCGTTGATCGCAGAAGCGGCGCCAGGAGATAACATCCAAGTTAAATACGTCTGAGTGGATCAGTAGCCAGGGGTTATCAGGTGCATCTTTGTCAAGCTAATCTGCTATGGATCAGTGGACTGCGACAGAGCCTGTGCTGATACGTTCTGAGAAATTGTAAGCGTGACAGATGCTGGACTGGTAACGGAAAGGACCAGAACTTACAGCTCACTGGCTCGCCAGTACCATATTGCCTATTGATCTTTGGATGCTGGTGCAGTGGAACCTATCCGTTGCAAGGGCTCTGGTGAGCATTGCCAACTCTTATTTAGGGGGCCACTTTTGTGGGTATTTTCAATATGTGTTTTTTTTTTTAAAAAAAAAAAACAAAAAAAAACACGAAATGCTGGAACTTGAGTGTTGACCACTGCATTAACCCGTCACATACGTCTTATACGCATGGGAATTATAAACGAAACCACCTGGCAAGTGCCACCGAGGCTGAGATCGGCACCGCTCCAGGACGAGGATATCATGAATGCAAGGGAGATGGCTGAACTGTTCGTGTCTGATAGTTGGGGCGCTGAGGATGTGGACGTGGTTATTCAGCTCATGACAAACCGGATCGCCGGCTGGGGATGGACGTGTTCTCGCGACATCGCCAACCCCGACGAGAACGGTCTTTCAGTGGACGAGATTGAGCGCGTACTTGTGGCTCTGCGGCCCCATCTGGAAGATAGGGGCCAAAGGCAGAAGGCCCCCTTACTGCCTGAGAATATCGAACCGAGTATCTATGGCTTTGAGTTGGTCCAATGGAGTTTTGTGTTGCTCAGACTAATGAAGAGTATCACTGAGTGCTCAAGTGATGATAATGGTATCAGTGAATGAGTGGGTAAATCAATTTAGAACTTTCAAGTTAGTTAGAGTAATACCAAGTCTTGGTTTCCACTGTCGTTCTAGGAACCATCCCGTCTTGTGATCTTCCTTGTCATGTCAGTAGGTGCTCAGTGTTTCTTGCCTAGGTAGGTATTGGCTGCCTAAAATAACCACAGTAGTTCAGCGGATGTCTACGGGGACGGCTTGTACAAGCAAGGGACTTCCTACTAACCTGTCTTGGATTTAAGGCCCACGACGACAACGCTATTAGCCTAGCAAGCGGGTATCCGCCAGCCAGTCTAAGCATCTGCCGTTGCGGTAAGCAATAGCGCAACGATCGCCGACCAATTGACGTCTTCCCCGCAGGGAGTCTGTGGTGGCAGACCACATGCAGGCTATGACGCCGGCCATAGATTCTGCAGTGGATGTGCGGCCCCGACACAGTCACACAATGTGCAAAGCCGTGATCCCACAGCAAGAATACATCACTTTAAGCGCTACTGCTTGTTGTTTCAACCGCATCGACCATGTATAATTCGCAGATTTCCTTCACTCTAGACACAATCTGCCCTTGGACGTACATTGCCAAAAAGCGCCTCGACCTCGCGCTCACCCGGCTCTCACCCGAGGTCACCTCGAAGGTTTCGTTCAGTGTTCGCTTCCTGCCCTACCAACTGTACCCTTCATTCGGCCCCGCGCAGGAAAAATACGCCTGGCAGCGAGACCGCAAGTACGATGGCTCAAAGGACAAGATGGACATGTTTGTCGAGTTCATGAGCACTCTCGGCGAGGCGAGCGGGATCAAGTTCAGCTTCGGCGGCGACATTGCCGACACGCTCCAGGCGCATCGCGTCATCCAGTACTTCCAAGAGGAGGCGGGTGCGGAGACGGCGAACAGGCTCGTCGCCGCGCTCTACCGTATGTACTTTGAGGAGGAGCAGAGCCCCAGCTCCTCCGAGACCCTGGTGGCAGCGTGCCTGGAGGCTGGCATAGAGGAAGAGAAAGCGAAGGCTGTGGTGGACGATGAGAGCGAGGGTAGGATTGAAGTAAAAACCGCCTTGAGGGAGTCCGTGACGAACGGCATTGATTCAGTGCCACATATTGTATTTGAGGGGAGAAGGAGGGATCTTACGCTTGTGGGGGCGAAGGAGGTTCACGAGTACGTCAGGGCGATGGAGACCATTGCTAAAGAATGTTCATAAGGTCCAGACGGGCACCAGGGCGGGTTGACGAGAGTCAAGACATTAGCCGCCTGCGTGCCACGAATAATCTTTCCGCCCGCTGCTCACCTGTGGGCTTAGCTGTTGGCCGTCACATTTGATTATGAATACCATTGTAACTAATTAGCAGGTCCGCCATGCTTTTGTAACTCCTGACATTGTTCGATGTTTCGGCCAGTGGTATCTAGTACCGTGCGATGAGAAATCTCCGCCTCTCCTCGTCCTCCATTGAGTTGAGGAACTTGGACTCGAACTGCTTGACTGCAGAGTACCTGTCGACCACTTCAGAACCTAGCAAATCTTTTAATTCTGCGTCCTTTTCAAGAGACTCTAGAGCCTCCTCAACGTTACCCGGCAACATCTCCGAGACATTAAGCTCCTTGCGATCGTTCTCCGTCAGGCTCGCCGGGTCGACTTCACAGTCCTGCCAAATTAGCTTCTCTTTGGCCATGAAACCGTGGGTGCCCGCGAAAAGAACCGAGGCCAGCGCCAGGTACGGATTTGCAAGTCCGTCGAGACATTTAAACTCCCAATGGCTATCTTCGATTTTGCGCAGGGGCGTCTCGCGATTTTGTGTGCCCCATGTCACCCACCTGTACCAAGCAGTCAGTCTCATTGGATATCATTATCCCATGGGATGTCCTATGCGCGGAACAACAAACTTACCTCCCTCCAGCCCACGCCCCATCGGCCAATCTTTCATAGCTCGCTGGGTTGCTATACGCAAACGCCATGATGGCGCGTAGATGTTTCAGGATTCCTGCGTAAAAGGGCTCGTATGTCTCCTTCCTGTCACCCCCAGTCGAGGCTATAGATATGTGCGCATGCGCCGCCGTCCCACATATACCCGGAAAAGGCTTGGGGTACAGTGTAAACTTGAATCCTGCTGCCGTCGCCATGGCAGAAATCACCTCTCTTGTATGGAGAAGGGTGTCAACCGCCTGGACCGGAGGCAACGCTGGGAGGACGAGTTCGAACTGGCCCGGTGCGCTCTCGGCGTGAACCTGCTCGACCAAGATTCCCATTGACTCCAGCTCCCTGGTGATATCCGCGAGGAGCTTTGGAATCTTTTGATTCGTGAAGAAGCGGGATACAGACCAAGAGTGTCCGTCCTTGTCCAGTGGCTCGAATTTTCCAGATTCACTGCGCTCGAGGAGCAAGAACTCGATCTCAAAGCCTACCAGAAAGGACAAGCCTTGCCTTGCCCCATATTCTTGGGCCCTCGTGAGTTGCGTTCTGGGGCAAAGCGGGACCTGCGATCATTGGTCAGACCTTCTGTTTTGTTGGGAACAGAATCATACCACAGTTGTGATATCTCTTCAAGCCACTCACGATAGACCCATCTTTCTCGCGGAAGTCACCATACATGCTGAAATGTCCTGGTATGGGCCCGCTCTTCAAGGACGAAAAGTCAGGATGAAGTCTGTACTCCCCACTGGCGCTAGTTCCGGGCGTCATCAGGTCATTCTGCAATAGGCCGAGGCAGGCTTTCGTAATGCCTATGTCCACAGGCTTTCCCTCTTCCAGCGACGTGATGAGCTTTCTAAAGGGGATCATTCTCATCCGGGGCATCGCCGTCAAGTCTGTCCAACAAATTCGGATGAAATCCGGCGTTGACTTGCCCCGAATGACATGTGTGAAGATCTCGAGGTCTGTCGCTTCGTCCTCCATTGCGTCACCGCCTTCGTAGTCCGTCTCCCACTCCGAAAATGAAAGTCCGAGGTGGTAGAGCTTATTGGAATTCTTGTATAGAATGTCTCTAACAAGTTCGATAGCGGATTTCCAGCTCATGGCACCTTTGCGGACATAGTCGCACAAGACCTACTGCCCAGTTAGAAAATTAGACCACCCACTAGTTGGCGTCGGACCGAACTCACCGATTCCAAGACTTCCCTGATCTGAATTATGGCCAGCGCATAGGTCTCCGGGAACCAGTGGCCATCGGTGGACCACATTATCTTAGACCAAGGGCAGAGCTCGAGGATCTGGCGCACCGCAATAGCCTGACCATCTTGACTGACAAACGGGAAGATTTCACCAATGTCCTGTCCGGGATCAATGGTCAGTGGAATGATTACCAGAGAAGTGCTCACAGCTTGGAAAATGGATGATCTGGGGTTCATGGTGGATGTAGTCCTCAGTCTGGGCTCGAAGGTAAAAGGATGGTAGCACGCACAGCGTACACGTTTGCATAGACTGTCGCCAGGTAGCCCAACTCTCGCGTGAACGGGTAGCCCGCATGTAGCAGCACGATCGGGACCTTGGGATATGTTCGGATGAACTCTTGCAGATGCGCCGGGGATGATTTGGCGAGAGTGAGATCGTTATCTCCTAGGCCAGTGTGGAATTGTAGCGGCTTCCTCTCCCGTCCCGGCATCTCGCTGATCAGCGCGGCTGCCCGGTGCACGAGGAGGTCGTTGAGGCCTGGGTGCTGTATCCTCACCAGTTCCGCCGGACCAGCGTAGTCCGTCACAATCTCATCAAAGGAGGCTTTCGCAACCGTGAGATCGACGACAGCGGATATATCCAGGCCGGTGCGGTAGCAAATCACGCTCTTGAAGCCTACCACCTCCGGGTCCTCGAGGGCACTGCGGATCTCGGCGTCGAACTCCTCGATAGCTCGGTCGAAGACATCCTCGGAGCTGTCACCCTGCTTGAATTCGGAAGCATGCTTCTGAAAGATCCTGCCCGCCACAGTCTCGATCCGGACGATGCGCTTGCATCCGCTCCGCGTGAACGAGTTGTGCCAATCGTAGTCGTACGCATCATCAGGTGTATCCAGTCCGTCATCGACAAGGATGGTCTCGATGCCATCCAGGCACTCACTGATCCAGTCATCGTAATCCTCCAGCCGCCGCTGCTCAATGGCAGCCACAACAGCCTCCCACGTCTGCGCGCAGTCGAGCACGTGAGCGAGCTGCTTCACACCGCGCAGGTGCGACAGGCTCGTGAATGCCGCATGGATGGCATCTCCTGCGGCCTCGGTAGTGATGGAGAGCAGCGGATACTTGGCCAGGGCATCCGGCTTGAGCAAAGGATGGGCATGGCCGTCGATTATAGGACATTGGGCAATGACGCGCCTTACTTCGTTGAGCTGGGTTCTTGAGACGCCCGCGGCAGGGGCTGAGGTGGACCAGGTCATTGTGTTCACATGAGCCCGAGATTTCTTGACGTGGAAATGATTCCGAGCGTGGGTGAATTTAGAAAGCTCACTGGCCGTCGATGGGATGCTATTGCCCTTGGTCTCCCCAAGGTGGGCTGATGTTGCAAATGCGAAGTGTGAGGTGGTCGCCTCCCCGCTTCGCTCAGCTGGGGTCGCTCAAGCCCTCTCACATGCACCGTGCATAATCCGTTGTACTCAGCCATTCGACCAAGGTTCTTGGATATTTACAGTTCCTAGGTGCGACCGCAGCCACCATCCACCATCCGTTGTTTGGGCTAGCCAAGTTCCTGTCTTCCAGTTTCAAATGATCCATATTGAAAATGCTTGCCACCCTCGCCGAAACAGACCAGGACGACCCAGCCTCAAGCTTTGCCCCATCTAAATGGCCCCTTCAACGATTCTACTAAAGAGGCCATGTGTGCAAGCTGTGCTTTGCGTAGTTAGGGCATGCTATTGCTGCTCCATCTGCATGCGGGCGTCACATATATTTGAGATCTTTGAATCTCCAGTAAGTACCTAGGTACCTACCTAGGTACTTAAGTACCTTACTTAGTACCCGGGTAGCTCCCGCCACTACCTGAGGAGCTTATAAGTGCCGGTGAAAAGCATTAGGATTGTTCCACGTGCTTCGTTAATTTGTCCCTGTGACTTTTAGAATTAGTGGAAATCTCCTAGATATTTTAGATCGTCTTATAAACTATATAGTATATATAATATCTAGGAATATATACTACTTAAGTAGCTTATATAGTTTCACTTTTATTTTATTTATATTTAAAGATATATATAATACTTTTATAAAATAATAAATATTTAATATTTAATATTTAAAAAGAATATAATATTAATAATAATAATTATAATATAATAAATATTTATAATTTTAACTTTATAATATATAAATAAAGTTAAAAATATTATTTTAATAATAATATTAATATTATAAAGAAATTATATAATAAAGTTAAATTAAAAATAATTATTATATAAATAAATTATATTAAAAGAAATTTAATTAAAATTATTCTTTTAAATATATATATATATATTAATAAACCTTTTATTAAATAAATATTATAACTTTTATTTAAATATATAATTAATTTTAAAAATTTAAAATAAAGAAATAATTTATAATATATTACTTTTAAAATTTTATAATAAAGTATTAAAATTTTTAAAAAAGTTTAAAAATAATTTATAAAAAATAAACTATTTATATTTTTTAATTTTATTATTAAATTAAAAGTAAATAGTTAAAGTTTTAAAAGATAAAATATAATATATTTTTAAAAATTAATTTAATTAAATTTATTATATAAAACTTTTTATAATAACTTTATAATTTATTATATTTATAATACTATTTATTATTAAAAATACTTTTTATATTAATATATTAAACTATATTTATTTAAATTAATATAATTAATTTTAATATAAATTAATTTATTAAAAATTAAAACTATTATAAATTATAAATTATTTAATTTTAATATTATTAAATATTATATATAATATTATTATATAATTTAAATAAATTAATTAAAATAAATAAAAATAAAATTATTATTTTTTAAAGGTTTTAACTTTATTTTATAAATAAATATTTATTTATTAACTTTATTATATTATAAATAAAATTATTTAAAAGTAATTACTTAACTTATTATATTATTAAATTAAAAATAACTTTTAAATAAAGTAATTATACTTTATTATTTAAATTTATAATTTTAATAACTTTATTATAAAAAAATAATTATTAATAATTAAATTTATAATTATATAAAAGTAAATTTTATTTTAAAAAATTATTAATATTTAAAATAATTAATATATTTTTAAAAATTAAAAATATAAATTTAATTTAAAGAAAATTAAAATTTATAAAAATCTTAAATTTAAACTTAAAAACTTTTTTAAATTTAATTTCTTTAAAAGAAATATTAAAAACTTAAAAAGTTTAAATAAAATTAAATAAAATTATAATATAATAAAATAATTAAATAAAGATTAATTAAAATTTTATAATTATAAATTTTTAACTTTATATTTAAAAAATTAAAAAAATATATATAATAAATTTATTTTCTTTAAAGTTTATATTTTTATTATTAATAATTATTAATTTTTAATAATATAAAAATATAATAAAATAAAAAAGAATTTAAAGTTTTTATAAAAAACTATAAAAATATATATTTTTAAATATAAAGTTAAAAACTTATAATTATAATTTTATAATTAATTTTTATTTAATTATATTATATTATTATAACTTTATTTAACTTTATTTAAACTTTTTTAAAACTTTTAATATTTTTTAAAGAAGTTAAATTTAAAAAAGCTTTTAAATTTAAGTTTAAAATTTTTATAAATTTTAATTTTCTTTAAATTAAATTTATAATTTTTAATATTTTTAAAAATATATTAACTATTTTAAATATTAATAACTTTTTTAAAATAAAGATTTACCTTTATATAATTATAAATTTAATTATTAATAATTATTTTCTTTATTTATAATAAAGTTATTAAAATTATAAATTTAAAATAATATTATATATAATAATAAAAGTATAATTACCTTACTTAATTATTTTTAATTTAATAAATTAAAAACTACTTTTAAATAATTTTATTTAATAGATATTTATTTAAATAAAATTAAAACTTTAATTAAAAATAATAATTTTTATTTTTATTTATTTTAATTAATTTATTTAAATTATATAATAATATAATATATAATATTTAATAATATTAAAATTAAATAATTTATAATTTATAATAATTTTAATTTAATAAATTAATTTATATTAAAATTAATAATATTAATTTAAATTAATATAATTTAATATATTAATATAAAAATATATTTTTAATAATAAATAGTATTATAAATATAGATTATAAAGTTATTATAAAAAGTTTTATATAATAAATTTAATTAAATTAATCTTTAAAAGATATATTATATTTTATTTTTTTAAAACCTTAATTATTTACTTTTAGTTTAATAGTAGAATTAAAAAATATAAATAGTTTATAAAAATATATATAAAACTATTAAAGACTTTATATATAAACTTTAAAGGAAAGAAATAAGTAGTTAAATAAAAAGATAGTTATATAGTGTAAAGGAAAAATATAGTATGGTTGAAGCCTTAGGTAGCTTATCTATGTGTTATGGAGGTCTATGTAAGTACTAACGAGGTTATGTGCCTCTTTGACGTTGACAGTGTGTGTCATTTAGGCCCAACCACCCAGATGTGTGCGTTTCCTACCACCGTCCAGTTGCTGGTCCTCAGAAGGCAACTGATGAGCTTTCTAGTGCTGCAACACTTCCAACGACACAAGCCCAACTAGCAAGCTTTCAGCTTGAGTGGTCGCAGCACAACACCGTTCTGCCACTTTGCGTACAACAAAGCCACAGCTTGCAGAAAAAGGGCACCCTCACGGGTGGCCTGGTTCTTGTCCACTCCTTCCAGAGGCTTGTTGCTTGTACTTAAGTAGGCTGTGGGCTAAGAGGATTTACAAGTGTGCTCGACCCTTTGTACGAGTAAATTGCGGTATGATCGGGTAATACACTGAACCTATATATCTTAATCCATGCTTTCCACCCCGATATAACTAGGGAACTTATTAAAGTAATTACCCCTTAGCTTTATTTATATATTATAAGGCTAAGGTCATAAGTACCTATTATATTATAACTATTATTATTAATATTATATTCTTTTTAAACACTAGGTTTTAAGTACTTATTATTATATAAAAGTATAGCTTTAATTATATTATATTTTTTCTTTATATTATATAATTAATTATTTCTTTCTAGTAATTTAAAGCTTATATATAAAGTTTTTAATAACTTTATATATATTTTATAGTTCTTTTATAAAGAAACTTTAATTTTTTATTATACTTTTTATATTATTAAAAGTTAATAATTATTAATAATAAAAGTATAAACTTAAAGAAGAATAAATTTATTATTTTTTATTTTTTATAAATTATTTTTAAATTTTTATTTAAAAGTTTTAATACTTTATTATAAAAGTTTTAAAGGTAGTATATTATAAATTATTTTTTATTTTAAGTTTTTAAAATTAATTATATATTTAAATAAAAGTTATAATATTTATTTAATAAAAGTTTTATTAATATATATATATATATTTAAAAGAATAATTTTTAATTAAACTTTTTTAATATAATTTATTTATATAATAACTATTTTTAAATTTAATTTTACTATATAACTCTTTTATAATATTTTAATTAATATTATTATTAAAATAATACCTTTTAATTTTATTTATATATTATAAAATTAAAGTTATAAATATTTATTATATTATAATTATTATTATTAATATTATAATCTTTTCAAATATTAAGTTTTAAATATTTATTATTATATAAAAGTATTATATATATTCTTAAATATATATAAAATAAAAGTAAAACTATATATAAAGGTACTATATATATTTTTAAGTATATATAGAATAGAAGTAAAACTATATAATTTAAAAACTATAAGAACCCTTATATAACACCCTTAACTTAGAACTTTAGAGCAGCTAAACAGGAGCGCACTAAAGATAATAGTAGAAAGTTAAAGTAAGATTAACTAAGACGTTACACTATAGCCTTTGTTTATTAATAGGCTATTCTAGCTGAAATGACGAGTTTCTGCCCCTAATAAGTGCACCAACGACCGGTACAATATACTTAAACTCGGGCAACTTGCAAAGAAGGAAGCCTGGGTGTTGAATTTCCATTCTGCCGCAGCAGGGTCCAAACGAGGATTGAGAAGCATGTAGAGATGACAGACGTGTGAGTTGACCCCCCCACAACGTTAACTTGCAGGGCACCTGGCGAGGTTTGCACAGGCTTTGGAAAGGCCCGACCCGAGTTACAAAGAACGTAATTGCGTGCTGAAGGACGGGTGACTCACATCAGGCTGCTGGTGTACTCGTCAGTAGGCGCACAGGTTGTTCCCTCGCTTCAAGGACTCGACTGGATTCTGGATGCTTGAGTTGGACGTGAATACAGCCCAAGCGGCCACATTAAACCCCTGAGAGCTGCTGTTTACATCTATTATGTGGCTGTGAGTGTGTGTGAAACAGGTGTTTAGGTTTATTGTAAATTACCTATAATAGGGCTAAAATCTCGTTGGTGGTCAATGTTGTCTTAGGGTGAGGCGGGATAATTGGGATTGGACCCCAAGCACGCAGCTGCGCAAGCCACAGGAAGTAAAACTCAAGGCTGGTTGACACTATTAGGGGTGGTTGCCTGTTCATGCACAGGTGTGAAGAAGAAGTGCTTGAAATGGTATAGGCTAGAATGTATCTTGTGGCTCGATTATAATTAGACAGGGTCACACACAAAACAGGCGGAAGTATGATGAGGCGGGCGTTTCTGTTGTTTTTGAGCGTGAAAGAGCATGCGGGATCGCAGGTACACTTTCGCGGGACCACACAGACGCTGCCACAGTTCAGAGTGAGGGGTGAGGAGTGCTAGCACCAAGGTGTACTTGGCTGGCTGCACATTTACACGAACCTGACACGGAAGGCGTGTTGGACCAATAGGATTGAGCCCCGACGCGTGTCTTGCGGTGGGGTCCCTTCGGTAAGGGTAATGCAGGGAGTTGCCCTCGGGGCTGCAGCATGTCTTGTTGGGGTCAAGTCTCTCTCTCTTAGTACCTAGGTAGATTTGTACAGGGTCTTCCCCTAATTCTCGTCGCAGAGCGACTTCTGAGAGGTCAGGAAAGGATCCCTAGAGTAAATTTCAAGTCTGTGCGTACTCACAAAAAAATACCACCAGACACGGCAAAATTCATTAGAATTTAGGTAGCTGTTTTGTAGCGTTGTATTGGAAAAACGTAGGTACCGTGTGAGGAGGGCAATTGGTTGGTGGGAAGCAGGTTACATCAGAGGAGGTCAGAAGTCCCTGCACGACAAGAATTAAGGGAAGACCCTGTATGTATGTGTGTGTGTGTGTGTGTGTTTTTTTGTGCAGTCGCTTGTTCATGACCTTGGGAGCTAATCATGTGAGGGGGGGATATGGTGGATGGTCTACGTATGTGTTATGTGTTATGTGTGGCCAAAAGAGTAAAGGTGAGTAAGTGTACCAGGACAGCTAATCCAATCCACCATGCACCACTTAAAACTTGGAGAGGGAGGGACGGAGGGAAGGAGAAGCTGGATTCGTTGCGCACTTCCAAGGTTGTTGACCCCCCCCCCACACCCCCCTCCTCCACTCGTCCACCCCCGTTCCACATCCCCATCCCCAATCCCAGCGATCTCACGCCTCACCTTCCTCCTCTCGAGCCAACAATCTCAACCTGCCATCGCATGCGCCATCGCGTGCCTCGTTTCCAAAAACCATCAGCACATCACCGCCTATAAATATTTGGCGTCGCCATATCTCGCCGCACCTTTTCCCGGGCCCCACCCATTCCATGTGTCAGTGTCCATCCGCCTCGGGAATTCTTTGGCCGCCGCATGGGCCGGACCGCATGGCGATCGGGTTGCGACCAACCGACTGACATTTGCTGCAGCATAATATCACCAAGTGCCCTCTCCGGCCTACCAGCTCGCTCGTTGCCGCCCGGCCTCTCGTCGCTCCAATCGCTCCAATCTACCTCGAGTCGGCCCCCGTGCCCCCGCGAACCTCGGCCGTGTCCTCGATCCCGACGCCCGCGCATGACCATTTCGCACGTCGTCGGCGCTTTCAATGTCACTTGATCCCCAAGATCGCTGGTTAAAGACATGAGCTCTCCCGTGCTCAATGGCCGCTACTCCGTTCCCCCCACACCTGGATGGCAGCTTCTCCCATTTTAACATTTTCAACGACGGCGGCGCCCCGAGGAACACGCCCCCGCCTGCGAGTCCTGCCCTGCCTGGAGGTCCGTGTAACTTTGTCGACCTGAGCCATGGTCCCAACGGCCCCAAGTGCGGCTGCCGCCGTTTCTGGGGCCGCCAGGTCGCCGGCGCCGGAGCCAACGCTGCGGACCAGGCTGGCTGGTGCATGTGCTCGCACCACGCCTGCTTTCATGATGATGGAAACAACACCCAGGCCACAGCAGCACCCGCTGCGCCAGTCATGGACAACATGCCGGGCCAGGAGAATGAGAAGCCAAGGTCAAACAGGGCTCCGCTGAGCCCCGTCCAGGACTTCGCCTCGTTTCAGATGCCCTCGAGCCTTGCGGGCGCCGCCGTGGACTTTGCCGGGCTTAATTTTGATTCCTTTGCATCCAATATGGGACTTTGCGCACCTGCCCCGCAGGCTAAGCCACCTCCGCCTGTACAGGATACTGATTCCATGCCGGATACCTTGAGCTGGAGGAATGTGCCTTCCACCCAAGGATGCCCAACACCGCTCCCGCCAATCCCATCGCAGTGTCTGATCCCAGACTCCCAATCGGCTTCTACCACGGCGTCCAGCCAGATGAGATATTTACGGCCGTTCCATGGGATCGGCCTCAACACACTAAGTGGTGTGACTCCTGCCAAAGAAGGCGAGCAGGCCGGCAAGAGTGCTGCTGTCTCACCCAGAATCGATCCAGGTGGCCAAAATGGTGATGACACAGCCACTGCCCCGTCTGGGGCCGCGACACCGGTACCAGGGTCATCTCAGATCAAGCCAACAACCAACGGTGACTCAATTTCATCTCCTAACCACAGACACGACGCTTTGCAAAACCTCAGTGAAGCTGTCGAGGACCACAGCCAACGAATTGACAAACTGGAATCTGGGTCCATCTATTTTACGGCCCATGAAGAGTGCTCGGACAAACATGACGTGACTGATCTGCGAGTAACAGAGCTCGAGTCACGTATGGATGATGCCGAGAGGAGACTGAATGACGATGCCGCCAGCGTTGCCAGCACTCGTCGCAACATTCAACGTGATGACGATGCCACTGTCAGCGATCTGTCTTTATCATCCAACGTCACAGTGCGGGCTGCTGAACGTGCTGCGCTTGCCAGCCAGCTCCAAGTATTACAAGCTCGTGTCGATCACCTCGAGTCATCTGCACTGCCGTGCTATTCATCGCCGTGGGAACTGGAGGTCGTGTTCCTGCCATTTCCCCTGAAGGGAGTATGGCTAGAGGCACAGGACTTCAAGACCCCTCGCAACTATGGCGGACGGGATGAGTGGACACCAGGGCCGAACTCGAACAGCAGAGCAACCCCAGAACCCCAAGGCTTCGCTTCGTACGACGAATGGGTCGGTCAGGGTACGGGATGGCTGCTGCCTAGAGCTTTTGCCCCGGGCAGGCTGATTGATCAGCGCCTCAAGAGCCGCGGACTGATTAAGAAGGTCCAAGTACGGGGTGCCGATGCTCGCAGCGTGCAGATTGCCATCGGCAACGCCTTCCAGGACATTCTGCGGATAAGTCCTCATCCTGCCAGCCCAAAATCTCCTTGCAGCTCGGATACCAGAGTACACAGGTTCTTTGGGCTGCAGCAATCATGGGTGCCTCTGCGCAAAGTGCACAAGGATTCCCGCCTTCGATTCCTGTCGCCTCCGGAGCTGCTAACCCCGACCTTGTGGACCGCGATGTTCTTAATGGACAACGTAGTCATGAAGGCTACGGGAATACATCGACTTTACATCACGCAACCTGAAGCGTATCTACAGGACAATCATTCATTGAATTTCCTTGGTGCAAATCCAGGTTGGACATGGCAGAAACTTCGGGAACTCGACCGCGTCTATTCAGAATCACAGACAACAAGTGGCAGCTTCGAGGTCCCTGAGGCCGATGCACTGGAAGAGTACTGGGCATTCAATGCGCGCCTCGATGAGCGTCCCAGCCCTCGACAGTCCGTTATAAGCCTCCAGCAGTCACACGAGAAGGCCGCCAATATGTCGCGGACAACCGATGGGTCGACGGAACAGTTTTTCACCGTGCCTTCGCACCCAAACACGTCAATGATGAGCGCCGTGATAGCCCGAGGGCAATCGCCCTTCATGCAGAGAGAGCGTCAACGCTCCAGGCCACCCTTTGTTCGAACCGGTTCCATGCCGCCGGTCAGCGCTCCAACAATACACTCTCCCGCACGCAGCAGCCGCCGAATGTCATCCTTCGCCATCATGCCCTCGGTGGCTGGACCGGCTTACCAACGGCACCCGTCGCCTCTTGTCACCGGCCGTCCTAGCCCCCGCCTGTCTCTGGTCTCCAACTCTCCAGCAGCGGCGATGGTCACCAAACATAGACATCGAAACACTCGCTCGCCCTCTCTCCGACTGCACAACACCCCGCGCTGGAGTAATCGGTCCTTCAGCCGCAGCCCAAGCGTCAATCCCATGCCGTCGCATCACGTGCACCCCGAGCAGCCAGTTCGTGGAGATCGCCGCCCAACACCCATGGCCTACATGACTCCCTACAGCAATGCACCGCCAGAGTACCCACCTCAGGGGCTCCACCCTAGCCGCAGTTATCACGTGCACGGGGACGATGAGCTGATGGATTTTGATGACGACCGAGGCAGCTCGACCGATCCATATGGGGAGGAAAGTGACGGCGACATGCCAGACGATGACGATCCTGACGTCGACGTTTACGAAGACGAGGCAGACATGCTTGATGATCTAGAAAGTGGCTCAGACGGACAACACCACCCTACTGGCCACTCCCAGCAATACCGGGCACACAACCGATCTTCCCAGCCCCAAGGGCCAGAAGATATCCCTTGGCGAGGTATTGAAGACAACATGTCAGATGGGGAGAACATGGATCCACGTGACGTCGACGGCGACGGCGATCACGCTGACGACAGAAGTGACGTGTCTTCACAGCCATCAGAGTACCCTAGCACTCAAAGGGCGTGGCGTGTACCTGCAGGGGCTGATGGGAGAGAAACGACCCACGCACTCGAAGATGATGATGGGCCTGGAGGCGTCGCGTTTACTATCCACGAGGATCCGGACGGGGAGGAGTCGGGGCCCGAGGCGCAAAATATATATTGACAAGACGGCAACGAGTTGGATTCACATGGTTTTGGATATATCGAGGCATTGTGAGGCACATGCAGTCAGGGGCTGTGTGGAAGCATTGGTGTTTGGCGTTTTACTATATGCTTTGGGATTGTGGGCGGCGTCGAAAGTATGATATCTAAGGCGCTATTTGGAACTGTATCATCTTAGGCGAGGCATATTTCATCTCCATATTTACCCAGTATATCATTCTACATCACTCATCGCTTCATGCGCTGGCTCGGAGCAAACAAGCCACTTTACAAGCATTACAAGTTTCTCATCTGGCTCGACGGACAGGAAGTTGGTGGCAGTTCGCCTGTGGTTTCAGTGCAGTCGACAACCGTCCTCACTGATATCGCACCCATCGGAAGCTCGTCAAGCGCCACGCTTTGGCTCCTGCTCACCTCGGCCTGATGCCCAACACTAGGGTCGCTGAGCCAGGACCACCCTCGACGACCATCCGGGACGAGGCGGCCGGCCTCGACATCTTCGACGGCCCCTAGATACTCCAGCGACTCGAATGACGACATGGCGTTGGTGGCACCTGCACTGCCCCGGCGTTTCTCCCGGTCGGGATGGCTCTCGCCCCGACCCCTCGTGTGCCCGCCTGGCGCCGTCGACCCGCCGATGGTATTGAGCGCAGCGTGCTTGCTGTGCCGAGCGCTGCTACTGCCACGGCTGCTAGTCCCCACACTTTTGCTGAATAACCTGCTCCTGCCGACAGGTAGGTGCGACGCCATGGACTGGTAGAAGGGCAACGCCTGGACCATCGTGATCAGTGGCCGCAGGACGGGCAGACAGGCGCAGATGATGGCCATGTCGGGCTCGATCGTTAGCCATAGTTGCGGCTGGAAGAGTCCCACTTTTGCTCGCAGACAAAAGAAGTCAGTCATCTTGGTTGGAGTGGGCTGTCTGACACGAATTGACTGGCTGTGGTTCAAAGTCCGTCAAGGAGTTACTTACATGTGAAGTCAAAGTTCCCCTCTCCTGCGTTCACTAGCTTCAGGTGATAATATAGCCTGATCCCGCTCGCGGAGGTGACTGCCGCACCGAGGAGGAACACGCCACCTAGGGCGAGTCTCTGGCTTCGTGGGAGGTGCTGTGGCGTTCGGGTTAGCCATCTCCTCTGGACAGCCCAGCACACCCGATTAAGAAAGGTTACAATAAAAGAATGTCTGCCTGAAACCGCTGGTCTCTTCATGTATAGCCGACCAGAACTCCGGGACAGCTCAAACACACGCAGAGAATGGCACGACTGACAATGACGAAACTGAAGTCATCAAACGCGTGAAGGCAATTGTCTGCAGACCTGCTTACCAGTTTGGAAACTTCAAATGTAGGCAGACATAGAATAATCATATCCATCAAGATATTTGGTATGATCACTGCGTTACTCGGCGTCAGCTACCAAAACATTGAGACGAGGCAAGATCAAATGCCTTCAACTTGTATCCCGAAGCTACTTACTTCCCATGCAAAATGCATCCTGGTCGACACACCCCTCGGGCGTCATGGCTGGATCGAAGGCTTTGCTGACAGGGGAACATTGGAATATATCCACCAGGACACCGGCGATCCACCACATGGCTGTGAGAATAGCTAGAATAATGCATCCACGCTTCACAAACACAGTAGGGAAGAGCCGCCAGTAAAGCGATAGGATGCTGAACTTTGCTGTCATGATCACTGTGAAGTACACCATTTGGCTGGCGTAGAGGAGCTGCGTGTGCGGCGTGGTCAGCCGCCCACGCGCCTGCTCGAGGAACGAAAGATGCAAATGAGCTTACCTTGCGCGTGTTCTCTAGCCAAGCCATGGACGGTTCGATGGCCACGTTCTCCTTGAAAGGCGTCCCGAGGCCGCCTATTTCAACCATAAGCACCGAGATGCCGTACATCCCCCAGGCTAGTACAGCGGATGCGAGGATGAGCCAGTCGTCCAGCCAGAGGCCGGCATGTCGGGAGAGACGCAGCGAGACCCGCACGCCGACAACTACTGTGACAAGAATAGCAACCGGTGTCAGGGTTTCGATCATCCATCGGTCCCCTTGGACTCGTGAGCCCGTTGCCATCTTGTGGTAGGCTTGGGTCAAATCTGACCGTGGTCAACATGGAGCGTTGCGTACAGGCGAGAATGTGGAAAGAGGGGACGTCTACATGCATGCCGGGTGCTAGGTCATATGTACTACATACATGACACGAGAATCCGCATGAACAAATAAGAGAATGCATCAGTGATGTATATGTGATGGCAGCTCTAGCGTCGAGTGTCACTCGGGCCTCGTCCATCCATAAAAGAATAACGGTCCGCTAGCGCACCATGAAACGGCTCTACGAGTTGCGCTCGGCCACACGTCTGGGTTGGCTGCAACTCGACGCGGTGCTGCGTCGTAAACTAAGTTAGCAGCGAGAGTGACGATGCCGATCTAGCAGTTCTAGGTGGCCAGGTCCTGCGGTCTTGGGAGCAAAACAACCGGCGATCAGCGTCAGTGCGTAGCCCGGTACCCAGAACAAAGTGCCCCGGCGCGGGGAAGCCCGACAGAGATCCCCGTCTTTAGATTATTACAAGGCCCGCGAGATTGGCTCCCGACGGTGAACGTGTAGCTATAACAAGCTTTGCGAATGCGAGAGGGGCGGCCCCCGAGAGACGACAGCCCTCCGTACCTTTGCGGGCCATCGAGAAATAAAGATCAAGCGGGTTTTCGGCAGAAAGCTTCACCCCGTAAGCAAGCAGACGTTGCACATATGACATATAAGCAAATATCAAGGGCGTGTGACCCAGAAACGACCCTTTCGCTGGCTCCAAGGCTGTACTTCCCATATCTACAGCTGTGTTCTCGGTCCAATACACGCATTATAACAGATAGCATGAGCACATGCGTACCATTGGTGAATCTTCCCCTGGTAGTGTCACTCAGCTTAGTGGGATCATAGTAAGCCAAGAGGAAAATAGATACACTCACAAGCTCAAGGTGTGGATTTGACTTGTGTTGACCCACTTAGCCGAGCTAGGGTTTTAACGATCATGATAGACTTCCTCGGTATGAAGGCGCCACATATGTTTTATATGTATGGGGATTAGAAACGAAACCACTAGACTTCCTCGGTCAGTGGCCTCGCATCCATTGACGTTTGTGGTTTCGTTCGTAATTTGCATGCATCCCGAAGGTGTACGGTCTCTTCATACACTGGCAAACGCTCAGTCACCCAGCCGTTTCTTCTTCTTCCTAACAACAAAATACAAGTTGTAGAGACAACAGAATACGGGCATGAGGGATGACCCATTCAGGTTGGGGTCCACCAAGCTTTGTTGCTCACGAGTGTCAATGTTTTTCACAGAGGCTCCGTACTGGCTCTCCTCGTTTCTGCCAACACAGGCAGTGATCTTGACGCCCAGACCTAGACTCGGCAAGTGTAGTGGCATTTTCTCATAGAATAGAGAGGGGCGCTATCTTCTGCAAAAATAACCGTTGCATCGCAGATTCCCTGAAATGTGAGATTGCTTCTATGGAAATTTGAATAGCCTCGGTGGACAAGAGGCTCCAGTATGAGAACCGCGATACCATATTGCAGTCGTGGTATAGCACGGAGCTGGCGTATTGTAGTCCTGTTAAGTTTGGATCGCGATCTATTGCTGCCCAGGAATCCAAGGGGGCACATTGGAGGACACATGTCTATGGGAGCAGCAGTTGCTGGATGTGGTGCTGTTTTGGTGGCTGACTTGTCATTTTGTGTGCCTTGCAAGGTGGGCAGGGCAGTCAAAGGCGGGAAGTTGTTGAGCTAGATGTTGAGCTAGATGACACAGGCAGCTGGACCAAGACATGGCCATTTCTCTCTGGGGACTCGATGACCACCTCCTCACAATCCTCAATGGCAACGCCGTTGGCAAACTGGGTGACGACATAGTCGACGGTTGATCCGTCGGGGCCAAGGGCGACCATGGGGGCGTGCCACACGCCGGCACTGTAGGTCACAGCCTGGTCGGTGGTTGCAATAAAAGCCTTGAGCCTCTGCAGATCCGGCTGGCTCTGGGCGTGGGTGTTGTAGTGGATTCCGCGGGCGGTAGATGAGCCGGCAGATGAGCGGGAAGATGAGCCGGAAGGGGCCTGGATGCCAGGGGCCACAATAACGAGATAGCCTTGCCCGGCTGGCGGGCTGGCAGGGCCGGAGGTGCTGAGCGGAGTAAAGGTCTGTGTGGTGTAGGGATGGCGCTCGAGGATGTTGACCTCGAAGAGGCGCGAGGGCGGCGTGGTCGTGGTGGTCGTGGTGGTGCTGGCGGCGGCGCTGGCGCTGTGCGTCGTGGGCAGCTTGCGCGCGGCGCAGACAAACATGTTCATGACGGCGACGCCAGGGCTGCCGCTCGGGGCGTGGCCATAGTTGTTCACCATGTGGGTGACATGCTGATACTTGATGGCAGAGCCCTGGTTTGCCGACACAGCAGCCAAGGGAAGCGGGCCTGCTGCAGCAGCGGCGGCGAAATTGGAGGGGTGAAGGCCGCGCCTGGGGTTCTGGATAACCTCGCCAAACGGTGCAAACCCGCTGGGCTCGAGCGGCTCGGCCTTGACCACCACCTCTACCCCGCGGATGGTTATTTTGAGCGGCGCCGTCATCACAATTGCCGTACGCAGTAATCCGTAATCTCAACAAGGAGGGAAAAGGGTGATGCCACCGTGACTGCCTCCTCGCCGGGGTTCTAGGCCGGCGGTGAAGGGCAGAGGTCACCAAGAGGCTCGTGGTCTCTGCTGCGGGTGTGCAGAGGCTCCACAAGGGTACCAGGGTTAAGTACCGAAGTACTTGAGCACGGGAGAAGGCGCCCCTGCTGTACCCTGCCTGCCAGCAAACACGAGAAACGCTGAATTCCACCTCGGAGGACCCGAGTCCATGGCCCAATCTCGCTGCACCTCTCGTCAACCGTCGACGGCCAAGATTGCTCCTGCCCCTGGCTTCGACTCCTTTTTAAATATAGCGTCCATGGCCAAACAGCAAGAAATGGTCAATCTCGCATCCACCACCATGTGGGCCGGCACACCTGAGATATATCAACCGCCTCGGGCGCGTGTCTTCAGTCCACGTCCACGTCCACGTCCACGTCTCCGTTGTTTTTGATTTGACCCTTCCACCAAAACCCCAAGGTCCTGACAGAGAATTTTTGTCTGCCCGTCGCCCTCTGACCTACGCCGTCTCCATCCAGAACTCAGCAAGGCTCTTGTTTGCCTACTTACTTACTTACTCACACATCTTCTCTTGTCTCACATCGGTCTGCACGATACCACAACACCAGAGCCTCAGCGAAAATGGGTAATTCTCACGACGGTGCCGCCTTGATCCAGTCCAGCACGGCCTGGATCATAGGCGCATTTCTAGTCTTGATCCTCCTCGTCGTGGGTTTGAGCATTGGTCTGCGAGTGCTGTACGTTCGCAAGTGGAAGCCAAGGTACGAGAAGGTACACGATCCGGTCAAGGACGTCGAGGCATCAGGAGGCGCCCAGACCCGCCAGAGGACCCTCTCGGAGATCGACACAAGCTATGCACCAGCTACGCCTGCCCCCGCGACCATGGCAATGAGGGCGAGTGTGGACGAGGGCGAGATTGCTCGGAGCGAGGCCCTCCACGGCTACTACCACGCCCCCGCCGAGGTCAGGTACAACTCAGGTCCTGATAGTGGCGAGGACAGGAAGACCATGTTCACGTGATCTCGATGACGACCAAGTGCGGTGGGGATCTTCCACGGCTTCGGGGCCTCGGCAGCGCCAGACAAACCGGACATGGCCGTCCTCGGCCGCGCTCTTCAACGGCTCCCTGGCTTCGATGTAGGGTGCTTGGGTGCATCGCCCGATGAAGCCGGCGGAAAGTGCATGCCACCAGGGCTTGGCAGGTCGAATGGCGGTGTATGGCTGTCGGATCAGCATCGAAACGCACATCGACACCCGCAGATTATCTGAGCTCTGGGCACTCGGGATCAGGCGAGGCCCCGGGGATTCGGTTGCAGTGGTTGCCAACACCTTTCAAAGAGCATGGTTCACCTTGAACGACCAACAGCAGAGAGCCGGTTTGCTTGTCCTCGTGCGAATTCCGAAGCGCTATCGCAGCCCAGTCAGAGCAAACGGGAGGAAAACACATATCTGCACAGCTCCGGTGCCCCGATGACCGGCGTCAATCAGGTGTCCAGTCTGACTTGCCCATTCTCGATGGGAAGTGATATCTCTACATGGCCGGCACGCCTGGCCCACGAATCTAGGCCATTCATGGGCAATGAACTAGCAGTGGTGGCATCATCACGATGACTAGTCGACTAGGAAGCTGCAGGGTGGTTTCGCGCTCTCAAGGCTGCTGTGAAACATGTAGACCTGCCAAAGAAAGTGTTCATTCTGCCCTCCGTTTGCATGGGACGATGCTTCAAACAGGGTCATTGATAGATCATCTGTTTTCATCCCCGCCCGGGAACAGCCTATCACATGCAGTAACTTGAACATTTTTTTAGGCCCAGTTATCTTGGAGCATTAGGCAGTACTCTACAGAAGCCGAAGATGTCTCATACCAGCTGCGACAACAGGGAGGTAATTATTGAATAATAGGACAGGAAATTGAATTTATTGCCAGTTGCAATGCTTAGCGTAGTTTGAGTGGTTTCGTTTTTAATCCCCATACATGTAAAATGTACATGGCGCCTTCATACAGTGGTAAACGCTCAAGACCCAGCATTTGAAGAAATACAGTGCCTAGTGTAATTTTAATGTGCAACAAGTCCGGCCTCAAGAAGTCATCAAAGGCGGCCACACAAGTAATAAGTCTGTCGTTGCAGTGACAAACTGACTTGTAGTCCCTCAAAACTGTGTTTCACACCTCCAATAGTGCACTTAAAGTGCCGATCGGCAAGTGGTTTCTTTTCTGATGCCCATGAATGTAAAGTACATCGGTGCCTTCATATAGTGTCGAGTGTCAAGAATCTGATGGGAGATAGGCCCCTCGTCGGAGGCAGCCCTTCGCGTCATTCATGATGGTTGAGCATGCGACGCGTCTCCGGCTCAACAGGTTCCGGAATGGTGGCTATCAGCTGACAGGGTCTCAACTGACTATCTGATTTGAGGAAGAGACGCCTCACATGCTGCCGCCAAGGTTCCGCTCATGACAATTCATGAAGAATAGTACCACTCAAATCGTAACGTTATGTGATGGCTCCTGAAGTCACCAATAGCTGCAGACAAATGCCATGAGCAAATTCTAATTCTCAAGGACCTAGCCTGATCATTGAGTGCTGTGCGTTATTTGCTACTCATCGTGAGTCTTGTGTACGAAACATTCGGATGGTCAAGGACATCAAACTAAAAGTAATTCGATCACACTTCGTCGGTCTGTGATGATGCCCGAGCTTACTGATACCACCGGATCACGGGGCCCAGGGCAGATTGCCAAGTGGTTGCTGGTTCCGGACCGCGCTGGATTGTGTGGACGATCCTCCGTAAGAATAAGCAAACTTACCTAGAAAGGGGCTGCCCAAACCTGCAGTGTAACACATAAGCTGCAGGGAAATGGGGAACCCAAGAGTCTTCAAATGTTGCGCAGCGTGAAGTGGAATCCAAGGTTGCGACTCCTGCAAGAGGTTGACCTTGCTGATTACATCGGGTCATGTCCTAGAATTGTCAATCACTTCCTAGCGGCTCCAGTTTGTAGCGCGAGGGCTATGCTATATACCTACTTAAGTAGATATGATGTGCGACGCCAGCAGTCCCAGGTTTCTCGGCCTCTCATGCGTACATTTCAGCAGTACCTACTTAGTAGGTATCTGGTGCTTCTCATCCCAACCCTTGGGAACCTTTGAATGATTGTGTGATTCCACGAAGTCGAAGATCATGGCGGTATACTACACCTTCGTAGCCATTGCGCTCATCATAATCACCATCATTCGAAGGCAAACAGCTTCTTCACACTCAGATGCGCCTTTCCCAACGGGTCCAAAGCCCGTGTTCTATTTAGGAAACCTCCACCAGATACCTCTCACCAAGGCATTCCTTGCTTTTACATCCTGGTCTCGTTCCACCTCAACTTCTACCCCGGATGGAATCGTGGGCCTGCGCTTCGGCCCCCAATCACGCGTCGTAGTTCTTAACAAATGGACGCAGGTGCGCGATCTATTTGACTCCCGTGGAAAGGGAGCAATCTACTCCGACAGACCACGCATCCGCACCGGAGAATACGTGATACCGCCGCCGAGCACAGACATACATCTCGCTTTCGCGAGCTACGGGCCGAAATGGAGGCGGGCGCGGCGGACGATCGTGGAGTTTCTGGGCGAGAAGGAGACGCCGGGAGTTCTGAGCATTCAAGACGCAGAAGGCACTCAGATGATGTGGGAACTCCTAGGTCTCGGGAGCAGCAGTGGCGACGAGACTGCTTCGCTGACCGCGTGGCGCCCACACGTGCTCCGTTATTTTGGCGCCGTGATCCTGGCCAGTGTCTTTGGTATTAGAGGCAAACAATCGGACGAGCAGAGCAAGGTTGGGAAGTTCTTCTCTGTCCAGGACGAATGGGCGGCGATCAACGACCCGGGCCAGACTCCCCCCATCGACGTGTTCCCGTGGCTTCACTACGTGCCTGATTTTCTCACGCCGTGGAAGGGCTGGAGGGAGCGAGCAGCCAGTATCAAGACAAGGCAGAGCGGCGTCTATCGGGACCTGCTTGCAGAGACGCAGGCCAGGGTCGAGTCCGGCAGATCCGACTGCTTTATGGGTAAGGTAATCCTTGACCAAAAGGATGCTGTCGAGTCTGGCCGGCACAAAGACATATATACCCAGCTGGAGCTGGACTACATTGGCGGGTTTCTTATGGAGGCTGGCGCCGACACAACAGCAACGTGAGTGACTATCCATGCCGGAGCCGCGTCTCTCTCTGTGTCCATCTGTGTGCCAGTTTTTTAAGCACCTGAGAAGCCATTCTGGGATGTATGGATAGATTTACTCGGCGAGAGTGTTCTTCAACTTCCTCCGATATCTTCCAGGCAAATCCTTTACCTCCCCCCCTGGAACTCCTAGATAAAAGGTCTCTAATGGGCAACGAGCGGACAGGCTCTTTGAGACATTCATACTCGCCATGGCAGCGTATCCTGAACTGCAAATGCAGGCGCAAGAGGAAATCGACAAGGTGTTCGGACAGGATGAGATGCCGCATACAGCGGACGGGGATAAACTGCCCTTCCTAAGAGCTTGCTTGCTTGAGGTAATGTAAAACTCACAGATGCGGCTCTAAATATTGTTGATTAATTATTTTGGCCCAGACCTTACGATGGCGACCACCTTTTCCAACCCTAGTGCCACACGCAAACACAGCCGACGACGTCTACCAAAATACTACGATTCCAAAGGGCACGACTGTGATTGCAAACGCATGGGCCATCTCTCATGACCCGGAAGAATTCGACGATCCTGACTCGTTCATGCCGTCTCGCTATCTCGCCAACCGCTTCGGCAACAAGTCAAAAGAGAACGACGCCGAAAGCCAACCCGTGGGCCAAGAGATAGACACCGCTGCCCTCAATGCTTCTGCCCAGGTCTCCAGTTCCGGGCGGAGGCAGGTCTATGCGTTCGGGGCGGGCCGAAGAGTCTGCGCTGGCCAGCGGATGGCAGAGAATAGCAGCATGATGACCATGGCCAAGCTTATGTGGTCTTTTGATGTGGTATACGGAGGCTATGGGAAACCTGATGTAGACATCCGAACCGCTTTCAAGGATGGGATTATCACTGGGCCCAAAATGTTCCCGGTAAGGTTTGTCCCGAGGAACGAGGCCAAAAAAGACATCATTAGAAGGGAATGGGACAAGGCGGATCGGTTTCTCAGCAAGTTTGAGTGAGCATTTTATTAGTCCTAGCACAGTATCTATGTGTCAATCTTGAGTGTTTACCAATGTATGAAGGCGCCACGTACGTTTTGTACGTATGGGGATCAGAAAAAAAACCACTACATGTATCAATGACCCTCCGATAACATGCCATGACACCCTGCCTATCAAATGAAACCTTACCAGGAAATCATCCGTGACACAAATTACCAATACTTTCCACATGCACCCAACAGCACTTGCATCCGCCTCCCCCAAAAATTATCTGGTTCTGCGGGGCATTATGAACCCCCAGATACTGACAGACAGAGTCATTGTGGTGCATCTGAACACACACACACAGACAGACAGACGACTGCACATCTAGGCAGGGAAAACCTGTTGATGCTCCCCTTCGTGCTTCACAATCTCACCATGCATGTCCCCACTACAACATCGTCCGCAGTGGGCCTTGTACCATTCGGCTGGCATCAGCAGGTATCCTAGTCGCAATGAACTGTGCTGTGTCCAGCCCGTACGTCGTCACAAGGGCGGTGATTGTTGCTGTCAAAAACACGGCCAACAGGATGTGCTCGAGCCCGAAGCGGTGGGTGTTGTGGTAATGTGTTGGTGCCAGAGGACCGACCATCTTCTTGAGGGGCTCGATCTGGTGCTCTTTCCGTGCCTTTTGCGCGACGTGGAGTGCCGGGAGGCCGTCCATGCTCCATGAGTTCTTCAGTGCCCAGTAGCGGGGCATGCTTTCGGTCTCATCACCTTGCTTGAACTTCTCATCCTTCCGTTCGAAGACTTGGTTGAGGGTCCTCCTGTGCTCCTTGTACTCGTAGTAGGGCACAGAATAGCCGCATGACGTGCCGACCTGGTGAACGTCGACAAGGACGATCGCCCTGGACCCGGGGATCGTCTTTACGTCGTTCTTCTTGACGAAATCGTCAAAGCCACTCGTCCCGCTCTCGAGGACGCGCCCGTGACCGAATAGCCGCAGGATACGTGGCGGTCCTTGAAAGGCATTGAACAAGACGGTGATACGGCCGTTACCGCGCTCGTACAAATGGGCGACGGTCTCTGACCCAGAACCAGTCAGGTCCATATACCAAAAGGTCCGCTCGTCAAGCACTCCGAAGTAGTCACCGCCCTTGGGTGAGATATTGATGTGCCCTGACGCTGACAGTGGCGCGGTGCTGACCCAGAACATGTGCTGCTCGAGGATCCATTTGAAAAGTGACTGGGGGATTGTTTCATAGAATGCACCCATCTTGCAACCTGTGTGCCATCCACTGGCTACTAACAATGAATTGTCGAGGAGGTTGGGGTTTGCTATCAGACGGCGGCGGGCAGAGGTGTCTTCCCTCTTGCTGTACGGAGTACATGTATGACTCACAACAGCGACATCGAACAGGGACCCTTCGCAGAAGCTCGACGTGTGCGCTCTATGCACAATTCTCGGTGCAAATGTGTTCTTATCGTACCATCTCAGTTGTGGGTGATGATCAAAGCACACTGCCGCCTCGAAGCCTGGTTGCTGTTGTTACGCGCACTGCTTGGCGGAACGGAACCCCGCCTCGAAAGGCGTGCAAGTTGCAGGATGAGTGAGGGGCCACCAGCGCTGGTTAGCCTGCCCGTTGACATCAAGCCTGCCCCGTATCCAAAATTCATTGCGTGATGATCACCAGAGTGCCTCTGCCTGTGTCACTTGTCTCACCTAAGCCCGTTGACCCCTCTTTGCTGAGCAAACAAGACACGGCGTGCTCGAAATCAAAAAGGCCAAGCAACGATCAGCTGGCCAGGACAGACAAACTCTGGAATTACCTACGCGGCCCACTCCTCACCTCAGCCCCAATGTCCAGCCCAACACCTGCCCCAATCGCCATCATTGGTGGTGGCATATTTGTGAAAGAACAGCACTTGGTTTGTGACTCGATATGCCGCTTTCGCCGCAGCATTGGCTGAGCTTCATGCTGACTGACAAGCCCAGCCTGCTGTGCTAGCCACGCCTTTGCTCTCGCTCAAGGCCATCTACTCGCGCTCTCTCAAGTCCGCCAAGGACACCTCAGAGCTCCTTCCGGCTTCGCACAGCGCTGTCGACCTCTACTCGGAGGACTCTGGCCCCGGCAAGTCCTTCAGGGACCTTCTCTCGCGTTCCGATATTGTCGGCGTGATTATTGCTCTCCCAATCCGAAACCAGCCTGAATTCATAGAGGCCGCCCTCAAGGCGGGTAAGCACGTGCTGGCGGAGAAGCCCGTTGGTCCAGACGTAGAGTCGGCTAAGAAACTGATCTCCTGGTATCGGGAGATTGCCGCGGCGAGCAAGGTCACCTGGGCCGTAGCCGAGCAATTCCGATTCTTGCCCAAATATGTCTGGGCTGCAGAGCAGGCGCGGACGTTGGGCAAGGTGATTGGGTTCAATTTCAGGGTATTCCAACTATGCAGGCAAGGTGCGTGCACATACAAGCGGAATGCGGCACGGGGAGGAACTGACGAGTTACAGACAACAAGTATTTCAACACTGAGTGGCGGAAAAACCCAACACATCCATTTGGATTCATCCTCGACGGCGGCGTCCATTCCACTGCAGCCGTTCGTAGTAAGTGGTCCCAAGCCGTCGTGCTTGTCCTAGCCCGCTGCACGAGCCCGAAAGGATAGCAACACCTCGAAAGGCCCATGGGCTGGTACGGGCCTCATTCCACGGGCCTCATTCCAAACCCCATGCGGTTTGTCTGCGGGGTTAGCTCCAGCATTGGCTGACTTCTGATTGCTATAGTGTTCCTCGGCCAAGATCAGGCCCAGACAGTCATTGGTTACTCGTCTCTAGCCCAGCAACATCTCGCCCCGGTGGACACGCTTTCCGCTGTCATCAAGACCAAGTCCGGCGCGGTGGGTAGCTTTACTTGTAGCTGGGGAACTACCATGAAGGCGACTGAATACACTGTGGCTTGTGAAAAAGGCAGCGTCACTGTCGAGGGTGACGCAGGCTGGATTCTCCACAAGGATGGTCAAAAAGTCGAGAAGGACTTCCCGTTCCGGATCGGCTCTGGAGTGACGGAGGAAGTGCAGGCTTGGGGAGCTGCGATTGCTGAAGGCAAGGAGAATCCGCTGCTGACGCCCGAGATAACCTTGGGCGACCTGGAGTTGCTCGAGTACATGTTGAGGAGTGCCGAGGATAATGGTGCTCCAAAGAAGCTAGACCTTCAGTAGGCAGACTCAAAGCTCGAGCTCGAGCCGAGCTCCAGGTCAAGCTTCTATGTGTGGCCGGAGCCTGATCTCGGCCCAGGCAACCAGACGCTAGCGAGCCATAACCTTCGAAGGTGAATTCCCGCTGACCAACCACCCCTGGCGTGTTAATAGCAAGTGGCTCCTGTCCTCAGGTCATTGTGGTCTGGATGAAGCCGGAACAATAACGTGTGGAATTCCTAGACATGTGCAGCGCGCACGAGACGCTATGGGAGCTCGGATAGGAGGCGAGTTTCAGCTTGGCGTCTCACAGCTTGGCTTGCTGCCCTCCGACAAGGATACGTTCCAGACCTCGCTTCATCGTACTGTCCATTCCGTTGGCGTTCGGCCGTCCTGTAGCTCGGTCGACGAAGACATGGACGAATTCCCCAACACTCTTCACCCCGTCGCTTCCCTGCTCGAATAGCGCGACCTCATAGGTGACTGACGACTTGCCGAGCTTGTTGACACGGAGGGCTAGTTCTGCGACAGCTGGGAAAGCGATCGAGCTGAAGTAGTCGTTGTGGGAGCGAACTGGCCGGATGTTAATACGCAGACAGGACTTGGCAGCCGGCGGCACTGAAGAGGTCGGACGACCGCCTTACCGACCAGCCCATACTGGCCCCCATCTTGCGGGCGCAGGCCACAATGTTGGATGAGATAGGTGTTGACCACCGAGTCGTAGAGGAAATTGTAGACAGAATTGTTCATGTGTGCGTATCTTGCGGGATTGAGGTTAGCCTGTTTGGTCCGGCAGAGCTACTCACGGTGGCAATGCGCAAGGGATCTCGGGCATGAAGTCGGTATTTACTGGTCATTATCCGACCACCTGGTGCGGTACTCCAGAATGAAGTAATAGTCCTCGCGGCGGCGGGCCCGCAACGAGTCGATGCTGGACATGGCCGGTCGCGGGTCTGACTGTCGCTGGCGTCACGAGGAGCTGGGGCCTCCCGCGGCTGGGTCGTCCGGGTCTTGTTATATAGTCGAGCTGGGGGCGACCACAAGTCAGGGACAGCGAGCTCGCGCTGGGAGGCTTATTCAAGCTTGTTCGGTGGTTCGGCTGCTCGGCTGCCAGATCTGGTGCCCTGAGTCACTGTCAACGCGCTGATGACCCGTTCTGGGAAGGGTGAAGGCGGGAAATAGGCCGGGGATTGTGTCTGAACAAGGCTGGCGACTCATGCCGCGGGTCTTTAAAAGTACACACGTACGGATCCTCGCGCCCTCGTGGGTCTTGGGTAAGGGGACGAACAGATGTGCCGAGGCGTCGTGCATGAACGATCGAGTTTGACACTTGACTTTAATTCAGCCTTGAGAGGAGATCTCCCCCATACCCTGCAGGCCCAGATCTGACGCCAATATAGCGTATGTTGGGGTCCAACTTCATCATCAACCGCAGGATTGGGCTGTTGTTGTTCTCCCGGCAGTGGCCTCCCGGCAGTGGCCTCCCGACCCAGCCGAGGCTGAGGCTTTGTCAGCTGCCGCCTCAGGCCAAGCCAACTCAAGCAATTCTGCCGCCACCATCACTGACCGCCCAAAAGTTGGCGACAACAAACGTCAATGCTCCTCCATCACAGGCTGGATGACGTCCACCTCAAATCGTCCCCCCCCCAAGCCGCTGATGCATTAAGTTGGCCTTGACCTGCTGTTTTGCCGTCTTGTTATACCACCAACGTCCCTCCTCACTTCCCTGCGGCGCTTCGAGGCTGCCCTGCAGACGACAACCGTGGCGACCCCCAACCGGCTCCTCGCGCAGTACCTCGTGCGCGTACAACGGGCCGTCACGACCGCACTACCTGCGACCGTCATGCACACGGACGAGGCCCCCGGCAGAGGTCCTGTCAACCACCAAGACGCCCTTGAGCGACCGAACAATGGGCCACCTGTCGACAGCCTGGAGCAAGCCGCCCAGGACGCAACCCCAGCGGTGGCCCCGAAGAAAGGTCGGGTGCGGCAGAAGCAGAAGCACAAATCGCCTGCTGCCAGCACCACGCCCGCCGACCCGTGGCCTCGACCATACTATTTCGAAGACGGTCTCCGTCGGGTGAAGCCCTACCACTACACCTACTCCACCTGGTGCAAGGAGCGCTGGCGCCAGCGGGAACTCATCGAAATTTTCGAGTCCGAATTCAGGGACCGCCCGCTCGCATACTACAGGCGGGCCATGGAGGGTGGAGAAGTGGCAGTGAACAACAAAGCGGTGGGCCCTCATTACGTCCTCAAGAATGGGGACTGCATCACGCACACTCTTCACCGACACGAACCTCCAGTCACCGCCGACCCCATCGCAATCCTACACGAGGACGATGACATGATTGTGCTCAACAAACCTTCTGGTGTTCCTGTCCACCCCTCGGGCCGCTACAACTTCAACTCCATCACCGAGATTATGAAGTCCGAGAGAGGTCCCGGCTGGCTGGCATACCCGTGCAATCGCCTCGACAGGCTGACGAGCGGCATCATGTTTGTCGCCAAGAACCCTCAGGCTGCCGTCAAGATGAGCAACCAGATCGCGGCTCGGACAGTGCGCAAGGAGTACATAGCTCGTGTGATTGGCGAATTCCCAGACGGAGAGGTCGTCTGCAACCAACCCATTCTCGCAATCTCGCCTAAGCTGGGCCTGAATCGTGTCAGGGCGAACGGGAAGCACGCCCGTACTGTTTTCAAACGCTTGGCGTACTACCCGCCCTGTGAGGAGGGCCCCGCCCCCATCGGGAAGGCTGCCAAGTCTGCTGGAAATGGGCAACCACCGGCAAGGAAGAAGGGTTATTCCATCGTTCGATGCATGCCAGTGACGGGCCGCACCCACCAGATCCGGGTTCACCTGCAATTCCTGGGCTTCCCCATCGAGAACGACCCAATCTACGCGAATCAGAAGGTCTGGGGGTTCGACCTTGGCTGCAACGACTTCGATGCCAGCCTCAATAGCGACGAAGACATCGTCAGCCGGCTATCTCGGATGGGTAAGGAGGATGTGGCAGAAGCTGTCGCATACTACGACGAGATGATCGACGACTATGAAAAGCGCAGGGCGGAGAAGATGTCGGGAGAGATCTGCGACGTCTGCCAGACACCCCTCTACACGGACCCGGGGCTCCACGAGCTCACCCTGTGGCTGCACAGCCTGCGATACGAAGATAAGGACGGCGCATGGAAGTACGTGAGCCCCCTGCCTTCGTGGGCACTCCCTCCAGAGGGATACAGTGGGCCAACGGAAGTCGGAGGTATGGAGGCCCTTGTCAAGGCAGTGAAGGATATGAACCCGGAGATAGTTGGCGAGGCAGACACCGAGACCCCGTGAAAGTCGACACCTCGATCTCATTGCGTTCATGCGATGCCATGAGCACTCCCACCCGCCGGCGTGTGGGCGGGTTATCCGGGGAACGCGGTCACCCAAGACCAATATTGCGGGCCGCTACTGAATAGGGGTTTGGTGTTGACCCAGAGGATCCAGAGGGAGACGCGGCGCTAAGCAGACGCCATCGAGCCCTACGCAATGGCCAATTTGAGGCCCAGGGCCGCGCGCGCCTCCAGCGGAGCTGAACAGTGCCATGCCACCAACTTCCGACGGGTCTCCGCATCGTCGTAATCCATGACAATAGTACTTGTTGCACAGTACGAACTGCTGCCCGCCCAGGTCTCGCAGGAGAACCAGAATAAAGTTTCGTCAAACTGCAATTCCAAGCGCATCTTGTTTCATAACGCGCGCATTACCTCACACTGCGTGTCAATGGGACCAGCCCTGTAATAAGCTCATATCAGCTCTCCTCAGCTCGACTCCTGCGATCTCGGCATGCAGCATTTCAGGTCCACGTGCCAGCTCCCACACCTCTGGGCGGCTGAAACCTCCCTGGGGTCCCGACAAGCGACAGGAAATGAATGATCATCTGGAGACGTTAATAGCAACTCCGTTCCACAAAATCGGGACAAGCAGCAATGTCACCCCGAGCCGCCGAGTATTCGAACGAAACTTGCCAGCTGTGGTTCAAAAGTTGGTCTGCTCCGGAACGGCCCCAGGTGACCAGGCCACCTGAGGCGCATGCCTGCCGGGCTTAGACCGTTACATCGGCCCAGTGAAGCAGACGGGTTGGGATATCTCAAACTGCTTCGTTAAAGAGTTCATTCGAGGGACGGCGGAGGTGGTAATTTGCCTGCCCGATCGATGGGAACGGTGATCCTTTGGCACCGGCGGCTTCGTTGCCGGAGACAGACATTGTTGGAGTAGAGCCGATCTCGCCTCTGCGCTAGGAGAACTCGCCGCCTTTTCGGCCTACCTACCGAACACTCCCACCATGCTCTCTCCCACGCGATCATGCCATTTAGACAACGGCACAGTGACGGCACAATCGCATGTACCGCAGTATCGGTGCTGGAGAGTGATGAACCAACATTCAACCCCATTTCACTGCGTCGACAACGTCTCGGGGCCCGGCAAACTAACTACAACACGGAATGGTTGGCATCTTCTAAAGACGGACACAGTGGCAGTGTCCAGTAGCCCCTCACTGTGGGTTTTCGAGTCCCATTTCGAGACGCGCAAGAGGCAGGGCCCAGGGGACACACCAGGGGGCAACGGCCAGCCCGTTGAGTTAGGACTGGACGAAGACACCCAAACTGTCTGTTTCCGAAGACATGAGCTCGAAAAGGCTTGTACAGCGGATCCGCTTCGTCACAGCTGGGACGTGTCTCCTCCCTCCTGCCCCTGCTTTCCTCCCCACTCCCACCTGCGGGAATCTTTGACGAGAGCGACTGTCACAGGGCACTGACCAGCCAAACTGTGGCCCTCCCTGGCACTGGAGCCCGCAGGGTAATCAAGAAGTCGGGTCGGGTCTAGCATGAATTTGGAATAGCCCGAAAGTTTAATTTGGCCAGGGCCCGGAGACTGCCAAGCTGATCCTTTCACCATTGGGTGTCTTTACGCCCTCGCTGGGTCTCCCCAGCCCTCATGGGGTCACCTCCCATTCCGTCACCCAGCCGGGATCCGCTGCACTGGCAGCTTTGCGAGTGAGGTCTTGAGAGGCTTGCGCAGATGCCCGAGAGAAATACGACGAGGCGTGGGGAATGCCAAAAGTCTCAGCGTGCCAGAGGCTTAGAGCCACAGAGAGCTCCTGCCTGCTCCCCCGGACCTCTGCCCCTCCCGGCCTGAGCCCTCCTCTTCTAGCGGTCACGGCCCAGGACCATGTCCCTCTGGATACACCCCTCCCTGGCTCCCCACGCCCCGTCCCTCTGGGACTGAAGGGATCTGTATGTCGTTCTCGATCCGTCCTAGCTCGACCGCTGTCTTTCTGGCCGTGCTCCCAACTTGCTGGGCCTGTCTAGTGATCCCTGGCCACCTCAGGAGCTGCCATTGCTCCCTTGTACCCTGTCGAATACTGCGGTACATTGATGCCATGTTCCTTTGCCGGCCGGGGGGCGGTCTACCACTTGGAAGGGCAGTCGTGCAAATCATAGTAAGGTAATATAAGGCCCAAGGGGTCCCGTAAACGGGGCCGTGTGGACCGCGACGAAATATAGCTTAGGTTGAATCATCCTCTTTGTGCATTCTTCTGTCCTTCTACTCTACAGCACCAATGGCTTACGCAACGACATCTCACGTCCGAAGCTCAGCACCAGTCCCAGCGCCCATCAACACCAACATGACCATGAAGGAGGACGCGGCGCGACAGACGTCCGCGGAGCCGCCCAAGACTACCAAGCGGAAGGGTAAGGCCGGACCCATACGTACCTGACGAGTGAAGCGGAGAGAGTGGACTGACTGACTCAACGGCACCACCAGGAACACGAAGTGTCTCTACCTTGACTCCCTCACAGCTTGCTCGAAAGAGAGCAAATGACCGTGAGGCGCAGCGCGCCATCAGGGCAAGGACAAAGGAGCACATTGAGCGCCTCGAGCGTGAGCTAGAGGACCTCAAGGGCAAGCATAACAGAGACGACACCGTGCAGGATCTGATCAAGAGGAACAAGGCCCTCGAGACAGAGCTCAAGCGACTCAGGGAGAGCATGGGAATTCCGCACACTGACCCGTACCCAAGTTCTGGTGAGAGACTCAATTAGCCCCTGCGAATGGTCTTGCGAGGCCAAATCCAGTAAAGTGCGCTGCTAACCGCAACTTTAGTCTATGAGCAAGGGCTTCCGTCAATGCCCAGTTCTGGTATCCCAAGCCGGTCTTCCTCTTATGGTCACTCGATCAGGGCTTCGCCAGATGGATATGGCTACTCTCACATTCCAACGCCCGAGCCAACCGAGCCTTGGGCAGCTTCCATTCCAGTCACAGTGCCTTCGACGGTTTCGAGCCCATCGTCATCGGGACCCATTGAGGATTATGGGTACATGCCCACGAGCGTGCCGGCTCCCCTAATGGATGGAGTTCCCGTGGCTCCCACGAGCGCGCCGTACCACAATGATGTGGAGTATGAGGATGGTGTCGACTCAGGTAAGAACGACTCAGTCACACAGCCCTATAATTTTGCCCGCCCCCCTGTCATAGCAAACTGCGGGTCCCGTCCTGACACGTTATACAGATCACGGTTTCCACAGACCGGCCTCAAACCACGTTTCGTTGCCCCAGTCTTACCCGATCCACCATCACCAACACCAGCAATGGAACAACATGTATGGTGTTTACTACCCACAATCGCCTTCGCTGTGAGGGTATGAAGAAGTGACATCTGAACGCATACGACAGCCACGATAACGCGAGCACCAACGGGAACGCCTTCTAGAAGCCTGTCATGTCGATCACACCGCTGGCATGCAGGAGACTGACAAGTAATGAGGGTGCGTTCAGAAGGCGATTTGGAGACTCGGCGCTCTCGGGGAGAAGGCCGCATGTGAGGAGATGCACTTTTCGGGAAACCAACAGACCCCTTGTCAAACCTTATTTGGCCCCTCGACTGTGGCGACCGGTCCGGATGGCAAACCTCGAGGGGGGAACGCAGCAGCAACTGCTCTGCGGCAGCAGAAAGTTCTCCCCAGCCCCGCCTCAGAGCCTGTTCTCACCCGCGGGCATTTTTCGACGTCAAACCTGACAGATAACAACAAACTTTATTCCATCTGACTTCTACGTCACTTTGTCAATTGAGAACCTGGCCACCAGCCTCCTCGACGACATCTCTTCCCTGTCTTCCTGCCGCTCGGATACTTCCTCCCCCTCCTTACCTTCACCTCCCAAGTTACCCCTCGTCAGAACATGCAACCTCAACTCTCCCTCTCGCCTCCCCGAGCGATCACCGACTCGGGCTCCCTCAGCACCTCGAGTCAGGAACGCGCTGTCGCCAGGTGGCCATGTCACCCTGGACCGCATGGAAGCCTGCACAGAATATTCGAAGAAACTTCTTCGAACATTCCACAGCATGAGGCGACAGCTTCCTAGTCCCGAAGAGGAAGGCTTCACGAACAGTGATCGATTCAGGGCAGAGCCGGTCTCGAACATGAAGACTGGGTCGAGGCCTTCCAGCAGCAGTTCAGTTCCTCCCGGGAGCGGTGTCCGAGTCGATCACGTGTCCGAGCTTCCTCCTAGGAGCCCCCCTCCCACGGCGGTCGTCGCCCGACCCACGGGGCATCCCACCACGGGCCCGTTTCAAACTAAGCAGCAAGCACTGTAATTCTTGGGCTAGCGTGTCTGCCTACGAGGCAGCGGCAGTGGGCAGGGGGTCTCACACTTCACACACAGACATTACCACCTCGCAATCATCTCTATCTCACGCACTCGCGCAAGTCTACGCACGCACACACCTCCACACCGCATTCAGACACACTACAAGCATGAGGCACTGGGGAATCTTACACCTTGGCGTGCCGGAGCAAGCATAAAATGGGCCGGCAATTTGGAACAGACTGGCAATGCGCAAACGGATGGGCAGCAAAGATACCAAGGCAGGTCGAATTATGCTAGGATTTGACACTTCACTTCCTCTTTTCTTTTTTTGCCTTGACTTTATTGCGTTCATTTCTTTCATTTCTTTTCATGCGGAGGAGTTCTGGGACAGGGGGTTGGACGTGGGCGCCTTCAATAACCACAACATTCATCGTTTCTTTCCCAATACCGCTTTTATGCGGCTCAGCATTTCAAAGGGGCAGGGAGGGGGGAGGTGCACCAAGGGCATTCTGGTTTACGATTCTTTCTTGCTGTACGAGTGAATGGCTTAGGGTGAGGGCGGTCTAAGTTGGGAACGTTTCGCGCATTATCTTTGCTTTGGACTTTTCTTTATTATATATAAACCACACCCAAGTTGGCACAGCATCTTAGATACCTTGCGCACGGCATTGGGGATCGGGATTATCCTATAGCTCGCTCCCCTGAGCTGCCTTCAGTACTGTCTATATTTGAATCTCTCTAGCAAAAATTACAAATTATTGCAATCCACACATGCGCACACACAGATGTTCATCCCACTAGGACACTTCTCAAACGTCGGCCATTGGTAACTCCGCTACTCCGCTGGCGTGCTTCATTGGAGATCGAAGAGCCGGGGGGAAAAACCAGACTAACGAGGCGGGAGAGCCCAGGCAACACTAGGAAAACAATATTGCCATCTCATCACAGAAGAGGAAAGAAAATGGAGGGAGGGGCGGGCTCGGCGCCCAATCCACGGAGACGGATTTCAGAACAGGACCGCTTGGCGGCAGGCATTCAAACAGGGAGTGTTGTAACGGGCCGCCTTGCTCACGACGGCAACTGTTAGGAACGAAATGCCCTGTGCCAACCCCGAGAGGCCGGTATCGTGACATTGACAGTGGGCACGCTGGGCCCTTCTGACGCGCTGAGATCGCAGCTCTTGCCCGCCCTCCTCGTCACATGGGATGGTCTCGGGTGGGGGCGAAAAAAACGGGCAGATGGCCAGCACGGCAAGGGTTGCAGTAGCCCGCCCACCTGCCCACCATACTATTACGATTTACCAAACCGCACCACAGAGACAAGGGGACGCCGACAGGCCCAAGTCAGAGCAGAAAGGCTGGGCTGCCTGGGCAGCAAGGGCTTGAGCAGCGGCGGCGGCGCAGTTCAGACGATTTGAGTTTGCCAAATTACATGCATGGGCATGGGGGGTGGATAGGCAGGCCGCGGCGGGATTGGGCCAGCAGGACAAGGCATGGGGACGCAGCTCACGACGGAGCAACGAACAACAAAGGCTGGGCATGTATGGTTCGCGGCTTGCCTGCCACGGATCGAGGGCGGACAGACAGGCGGACAGACAGGCGGATAGATAGACAGGCATGCAGGCATGCAGACAGACATGCATGCATGCAGGTCGTTACGACCCTACAGACCACTGTACGTTCTACCCTCTTCCGGGCACAGCTAATGGCCCTTCACCTTAGCTGCCCGACCTAACACCATCATTCGAGATCTGGGGAGGGGGTGTTCCGATGGGTGCTGCCACATTCCTCGCTTCACCGTGGGTGTGGGGGCAGCGACGTAGCAAGGCAGCCAAGCAAGCAAGCATGTGTGCCAGTGCTACGACCACAACCACGCATGCACACCCGGCGAGCATGGCGACCGTGGATTACCCTTGGCCGCAGCCCAGCATTGGTGTGGGCTGGCCTTGCCTGCCGCGCGCGGGGCGACAAGGGAAAAGGCAAAAGATGAAACCCGTCCTGCCATCGTCACATCGTCGACCTTTTTGGCCCTCCATCCATCAGCTCCGGGTGGTTCGTTTGCGTCTAGTATGATGGAATGCCATACGCGCCACACACTGCTCGTCCGTGACTGGTGTGCGTGTGACAAGCCAAGTATCGCATCAGGTGGCGAGATGCAGCTCCTTTATCCCCCACCCCCTTTTTGCCTTCTTTTCCTCGTTGTTTTGCTCATGAAGATTCATAGACTTCTTCATGTTTGACCACATGGTAAAGTTCTATGCGTCGCGGCTTCTCACAGGCTCACATAGTTGCGTGTGGACGTGTTTGTGTGTGTGTGTGTGTGTGTGTGTGTGTGCTAGGCAATCGCCGCTGACGTGCCCCGAAGCTTCTTTCCCGAATCTCCATGGCAGCGTCATAGCAAAGTTTAAACAATGGCCCAAGGGGGACCGCTCCACCACACCATACCCGCACACAAGGCAGACCAGATGGGGCAGAGGCAAAGCGTAGAAATCAAAGTTTTGCTTATATTGCGGCCCGCATCAGAACGCCGTCCGAGAGCGTAAAAGAAGGAGGCGAGCCAGGCCAGGCCGGGCAATCGAGACCAGGCAGTACAAGCCAGAGAGGGTCACCCAAGGAGGGGGTTTGATGAACACATGTTCGATGTACCCGTTCGCGGACCTACCAGCCAACTGGAAGCAATCAAGATTTAAAGTTTGAGAACCTTGCTGTTAGCAACGGGAAGTGTCGTCACAAACAGGTCATGCGTGATATTTGCATCGAGAACATCATACTGCAGATGCTGAACGACTGTATCAGGTGCTGAAATCGTATGAGCCCTCACCACAACACTCGGATGAGGGACTGATTTTCTGCCTGCTCCCATGGTTGGGGCGCAAAACAAAGAACCATAAACGCCATCTGAACACGCTCTCGATATTACTAACCCCATGGGTGCTAGTCCGCGGCCGGCAGAGCTTCGGTTGGGGGTGCTGCAGCTCTTGGGCACAGGAACGAGAGGCGCACAGCCGAATACTGTAGCATGTAGTGTAGTATGCAAGCTGGGGGCGGTGACCCCTCCTCCCTCCCTCTCTGCCCCCTTCGTCATCGTGCTTGGGAGCTTGGGAACAAGGTTCGAGCAGCTGCACACCACTTCCACTGGGTCCCGGTCCCGGTCCCTGAGCTGGGTTTTGGAGCTCTCTCAGTGGCTCTCAGCCGCTGTCTCGAGCGTCCCGTCTGCATGGTGACAGGCATTCTGGAGGCCCCACCGGAACCAGGCCGGCTTCCGTATCAGGACCTGCATCTGGATATGAAAGTGGCGTGAGAATATTGTCGAGGTCGGACAAGCCAAACCTTGCCAGCTGCTGATTTTCTAGAAACCTGCAGAGAAGGTACCCCGAACAGTACCCCGAGGGGTACCCCAAGGTTTCCCGTGTCGCTGGGCTCCTACTATTAGTTGCAGCGGTCATGCCTCGACAGGTTGCGCAGGCCCCCAGGGCGAGCGTGCGCCCTGCGTGTGGTGCGGCTGTGCGGATCAAGGCCTGCGTTGACGCCTCCCCTCAAGTGCTCACTCTGAGGAGGAAAAAAAAAAAGAGAGAAGGGCAGATCGAGGTTTCGGCATGTGGGACTCGAAACCCAGTCTTGGGCCTTGCGGCCTTGCGGGCCTTGCGGGCCAGCGTAGTGTCGGGATTTCCTAATTGAAAAGTGGTGCCGCGCCGCAATGGGCAACAAGTGATACATACTATCAAATCCATTAGCAGGGGCCCTGGTCGCCTGACTGGGTTCTAACCGCCTTAGGCGCGGTGGGCTTTTCTATTTTCACCACGCGCGTCCGGTCCTCGGGCAACCGTTGGAGGACATGGCCTATGAAGGCGCAGCGCAGCATATTCTGCGGGGTGCGAGGTTTTGCCAAAACTTGCGCAATGCTGGCCCGTGGTGACAGTGAAAGGATCGTGTCGCTCAGACAGTGTGGGCTTTCCGCTGTTTGTGATGGAGACCCATAGATACCACGGTGACCGTGCAGACACTGTCCCATCTCTTCCTCTCTGCGCACCTCACCTCACCCCGTCGTCGAGAGTCGAGACGGACAGCAGAGGTGGGGTCGCGCTGTGTGGGGCAAAACCGTGATGTGCACCGTTGAGCTGGGCTCCTATGCTACCATAGTAGCCCGCTGCCCCAGTTGTGCTGTAAGTGAACGCTCCATGAGGCTTCGAGAACGCTTCGGATCCGCAATCTCGCAGCGAGCCTGATGTTGGCATCGCAACACTGAGGCGCGCAGACTCGCATTCGCACAGAGAAGACAGAATTCCTACGCGTGGGACCCCGGCCACACCGCATTTGTCCGGGGCTCTTCATGATCGCAGGGACTGGCTCCCGGGGGGTGGTTGGCGTGAGGGCCGTAGCTCGTCTAGGGCGATTAACCACGAGATTGAGGCGGGGTGGGTGGAACCTGGCCCCTGTCCACTGCTCGTTCTCCAGACGTTGTGTCGCTACGTACGAGACTCTCAGACTCCTCGCACCTCGCACGCCCACCGATGCATAGTCAAGACCCCTCGCCGGGTCTGTGGGGCTCAAGTGCCGCGTTGAGGCCTGCTCCACCCCAGTGCCTGCAGACGACACGCATGGGCAGCCCCTGACAGACTGCCTCCCTGTCTCCAAGATCCCAGGCTTGAAAGTGTCAGGACGGGCCCGGCGCAAACTAACCAAAAGGCGGAAGTTTCCGACGTTGGCCCCAGACGACGGCGCACGGCGGTCCCAGGAAGCGGTGCCACGCGTGCCCAGTACCCATCAGGCTTACGGCGCGGTGCTGTTTTAGTGTACATACACGGTAGTGCTCCATCGATAGTCCCCTTTGAGGTGTGCGCCCTGGATGTCCCGTGACATAGCTCCGAGATTTCGGCGAACACGGCCCCGGGCGGCGAGATTATCCCAATAGGCCATCTTGATCAGGCGGACGGCAGAGTGGGCACAGTAGGCTGCTGGCCTGGCAGCCCTGGCGGGCTTTGGGACCTGGCGGACCCTGGGTAGCCCGGATGGGGGAGGTAGATTAGGTTGAACGGCCAACAAGCGTCGCCCAGGGCTGCCAGGTCTCCTTGCCTGTGCATTGCCTGCCCAGCGTCGTTAGCCTCATGCTCGTAGAGCCAAAATCTGCCTGCCGCTTCCTTGGAGAATAAGAATAATAAGGTTTGCTCGCATTACTTGGCGGTCGTCGATCGTCGAACGCAAATAGCTCTTGACGATCTCAACGTTCATGGCATGCCCTCTGCCCAGTGATAGGGCGTAACGGAGTTTCTCTAGGAGGAGGAAACACCGTCTCATCTGTGCCACAATGCTCCTATCACTGAGGTCTGCCACCCGATGTCACGGTTTCTGCATCCGTGCTCATCAAGACAGACGGAAATGCCTGTCCGTCCGAAGGGTGTTCCGAGATGCTCAATTCCGTTTCCGACGGAATCAGCATTGACTGCACGTCACACCGTGCTGCCGGCAGCCCTTGCACCTTGCGACCAGCCGGCGTCCTTGCCCAGCGAGAATAGAGTTCGTCTAGCCCGCTTCACTGTCTTCTACTGCACGGTCTCCGCGCAGGCAATCTCCACAGGCCTGCAGATCTGGTGACAATATCGTCGGCCGATGAACTGTAAAGTCTGGATCAACCTTGCGCCAGTCTTTCTAGAAGGCTTCCATGGCCCGTGACAGCTCGATCGCCAACACCGTTGCAATGCAGGTTGACGTTGAAGGTGACCAGCAACCATTACCGCCGAGGACCAGTCGGGGAGAGGGCACCACGGAAGACCCAGTAACTGCAGAATCTCCCTTAGTTTGATGGTTAGTGCCGTTGAACTTGGGGCCCAGCCAGCGGCAGTGTACGGTGATGCGGGTCGCAACCAAATCCCAGCCTCATTGGACTGTATTCGCAAGAGGGCCTTGAACGGGGCCATGGCATCCTCGACCCTCGACCCTCGAGCGCGTCGAGAAGACCGGCGGTGAATAACAATTCATGTTTCATGTTGCAAGGACGTGGGGAAGTGCAGCGATGGGTGACACAAGCTTCATGCAAGGCGAATAAAGGGCCATGTCGTCGGGACTCCGGATTTGACGGAGCCGGGATATCGCGACCAGAGGGTTGCCAACATCGACATTGTCCTGCATGCGCTGTAGCTATTGCTCTAGGCCGCTTTGGGCTTGTCCAACCTCGATGGACCATGCAAGCCTGTTTGGAAAGGGAATGGTGCCCAGTGCCTGAGCACTACAGTGCGTAGTATGCCTGAGTGGCAGCAACCGCGCAGACCTGCCGTCATGCGAAATGTTTCCGGCGCAGGAAGAGACACTCCCGGAAACAATGCCTCTTTGGCCTGAGTTTTGACCAGTTCGAACCCCGGTCGGGTGCCGATTCGACGGCCCAGCCAGAAAGGGTCCTAGGAACGAATCGCATTGCGCGCCGGAGCCCATGGACAGCTGGGCGGCGGCCAAAAATAACGAGTCGTGGTTCGGCCAACGCATGAATGTGATGGCAGACGAACAGACAGTCGTCTGAAGAGCACAGAGGACGTGCGGTGGTGATTCAGGGTCCTCGGGGTCCAGACACAGCGGTACGAAGTAAACAAAGCAGGGCAGCCTTGTGCCAGACCATGTGCTGGTCATTGGGCAGGCTTCGTGAGGCTGCAGCGCAACGGCTAGTCATTCACACTGTCACGTCGTCTTGGTCTAGACTACCATTCGTTGGCGAGGAGGCGAGGCAGACAGGAGCGGCCATCGCATTGGACGCAACGGGGCACGGATGCTGTCGTTATTGTGGTTGTTGTCGCGATGGCGACGGCGGCGCCCATGGGCCAGAACGGTTGGGCACGGGTGGGCTTATGCCGTCGGAATCAGGGCCAGACATGATGTTGTAGGGCTGGCGATCTGGCCCTGGCCTCTGAAGTTTAAATGCTCCGTGCCGGAAATGTGGCATCTGGAACGACGCCGCCGTCGGCCAGGCTGCCAGGCTTTGAGACGGCAGCTACTGAGACTAGGGTGTGCTCTAGCCCAGCCTCCTGGAAACATGGTCCTAAGTTGGGATGATACCCATGCGATGGCAGACAAGGCGAGGCAGGTCCTCAGACAAGGGGGTTCGGGGGCGGGAGGGTGGTGGTGTCTTCCCCGTGCAAATCGAAGCTGAAGGCCGGGTTGGCATTGCCGGTGCCGGGCCAGCACGGAAATTTGCTTGTGCCGAGTGGGAGCGTCGTTCCATGCGCTTGTCCGTTTCTCGCCTCGCCTGGCCTCGCTCCTGGCCTTTGTTCATACAACACAATGGGCATATTTTTGGCTTTGGCCGTACCAAACGCTGAAAGTCAGAACGGGGGGGAGGAGGCTGGCGAGGCTTGGACCCTGATGTTTCTCCGCCCCCTGCTGGCGAAAAGGGGAAGGCGCAAGCGTAGGGAGGGTCGGCAGCCAGTAGCGTAGGCGCCAGGCCAGAGGCGTGGACACGGCCATCTGATGCGTCTCGATCTTGGTTGCAAGCGGGTGACAGGCTGGCAGGCTGGCAGGCTGGACGGGCTGGGCGGGCTGGCAGCAAGATGCAGCAAGATTTGTTTCTCTGTTTTGTTTTGGGCTGGGCGCAATGCAGGGCAGAGCAGAGCGGCACGATCAAGGAAATCGAGCGTAGCGATCACCCACTCGTTGCGCGTGTCGCGCAACTGCTCTGCTGCTGTGGTTGGTATACTAGTACATACTGTCAGGCTGTACGGAGTACAGATTAGGTGTGTCGGCTGCGGGTAAAGATTCTAACTCGAGCTTAGCCCCTCCCGCCGACCGTGGGACGGCTAGCCGGGCAACACAGACGTGAACAGACAGTCGGATGCTGGTAGAGAGAGCAAGTTTGGCGCCTCTTCTGACCCTTGCAAAACTTGACACTGTGTGCACTATAATACGAGAGGAGGTGCTGGTGAATGGAAGGTTGAACGCTTGGCCCAAGTAACACACTTGCAGAGGTAGAATCTGGCGGTTCCGATGGCGACGGCGACGGCGACGGCGACGACGACCACGACTACGACTACGACTACGGGCAACGACAGACAGCAATAGACGAACGCTGGGCTTGCCTACTACATAGGTACATAGCACACAGTACCTGCCTACCTTGGTACCATGGTAGGTATCTTGGCGCACCCCGGTACCCTGGCCTGTTGTACCCTGGGCGACTACCCCAGGGGGGAGGGGGAGCTGCCAAGGGTGGGCTTAAGCAGGTGTCTCTTCCGAAACCCCCAACCCTGCAGCCCTGGGGGTTGCGAGTACCGGCTGGCCAAGTACCTCGTCGATGAGACGGGGCAGGGTCGAGTGCGGTGTTGATGGTTCGGATCCGACCCTGTCGCTGCCGTGCAGTCAGCCTTGCCTCGTCGGTGCTGTCTGGGAGCGGTCCGCCCGGGTCAGTCGCCCCTCTGGTCAGTCTTGTCGGCCGCCTGATGGAGGCGTTGTCGACGTCGGCAGAGAGCCCCTGGTGAAGGGCTTGATGACCCCGATCACGCTGTCACGCCGCCCGCCGCCGTCGCCCTCAGGATGCGGGACAGCCTGACAGCCCGACAGCCCAACGTCGCAGGCATGGTCAAAAGAGTAAGGTGGCATTGTCGACAGCTGGACTGCCGGGCCAATGAGCTGCCAGAGCCGCGCCGTCACAAGGCCCGAGGCCACAGCCGGCTGCGCGGGGGCGGTTGCACAGTCGCAAGCACCTCGGGAGGCCGTCGACGCTGTGCTCCAATCCGAGCCCTCAGCAGGGCCCGGCTGCCCGATTTCCTCGACGCCCGCAGCCCTGGGCCTTATGGAACCCCCTTTCGCCGCCAGCGCGTGCGCCGAGCAATGTGACGGCCTCCTGCGCGTGGTTCCGGCCTCTCGACTCTCGAGGGGGTCAGGCCGACATGTGCACTAGGCATGCGGGCAAACATGTATAATGGATTGATATATCAAGACGAAGCAGACTTTTCCACGCCTCGTTGCCTCTTTTGCCTCCTGTGCCTGCCCCTCGACAAATTGGGCACCCATCAAGAAGGTCCAGACGACGGTCCAGACGCCCAAGTGAGCTGTCAACGCCACGATAGCCCCAAGTCTGCAAGTCCAAGCACCGTCGTTTCACCGCCCCTCTTGTAAGCTTCGCCGCGGGCCACTGCGCCGGGGCGGAAAATGCCCTCGCTCCTTTCCCTTGGTGCGGCGTGGCTCGGCCTCGCGACAATCGCCCGAGCCGCCTGCAACGGCCAGGACGCCCTCTGCAGCCGGCCCTACAGCAATGTGACCTTTGTGGGCTCTCACAATAGCGCCTTCGTTGGGCTGCTGCCCAGCCAGAACCAGCTGCTGTCGGTCGAGGACCAGCTCGGCTTGGGCGTGCGCTTCCTGCAGGCGCAGACCCACGATCTCGATGGCACCATCGAGATGTGCCATACCAGTTGCATCGAGCTGGACCAGGGCTCGCTGACGGAATACCTCGGGCCCATCAAGACCTTCATGGACGCGAACCCCAACGAGGTCGTCACCCTGCTCCTGTGAGTGGCCTAGCGAATTGCGGCCCGAATATACCACATTCATTTCCACGCCGGCTAACTGCTGCATCAGCACCAACGGCGACGATATCCCTGTGTCCAAGTTTGCCGATGTCTTCGCCGCTGTGGGGCTGGAGCAGTATGCCTTCACCCCCAGCGGTGCGCTATCGCTGAGCCAGTGGCCAACGTTGCAGACCATGATCAACGATGGCACGCGACTAGTCATCTGGATGGGTAAGTTACCTCGAGCTCACGTACTTTGGGCCACGCTCGGCCGGCCAGCCCGGCCCGTCCGGTTAACGGCATGATGCTGGGTGCGAGAGGGCTGTGATGAAGTCGGGAATGGATCGCTGACAGAGTCTTCAGATTACAACTCAGACACCGCAACTACCCCTTACATCCTGGACGAATTTGCATACTGTATGTGTAGCGTGCGGTGGTGCCCTCTGCGCCACCCCCATCAGGCACTTCTGCGGTCCATTAATTACGTCGCAGATTTCGAGACATCATATGAGGTCACAGACGATGCCTTTCCTTCTTGCGCCATCGACCGGCCATCTGGGGCAAATGCAGACGGCCGCATGGGCCTCGTCAACCACATGCTCCACATCGACATTCTCGGCATTCAGATTCCGGATCTTATCAACGCCAACAAGACCAACTCGTTGAACTCGATCGATGCACAAGCCGGCATTTGCGAGGGCCTTTACGGACGGACGCCCAACGTTATTCTGCTTGACTACGTGGGTTTGGGCGATGCTATGGGTGCTCAGGCAGCGCTCAATGGTTTGTAGACACCCGGTCAAACTTATTTCTGTAGATACACGGCCGTCTTTGTTTCTGTTCGGATGAGAGTTATAATGAGACGTTTAATTTCCAAGGGGATTGTGGTTTGAAACAACATGACTCTTGAGATCAGGATGAGAGTATACCTCGCGGAGTGCGGATTTGAGTCGTGCCCAGCTCGTGAACATGGAGGCAGCATTCGTGATTTGGGCCGGATAATAGGGACCCCAATGTAGGACCGCCGGTGGGAATATCGTCAGTGGATGTAGACATCGGACGCCGCGAGAACAACCGGCCGGAATCAGGACCAGCACCATTCATGACGACTTCATGGCCAATTGCCACAAGAGCGGCCACCGATTGATGAATTCTAATGGTTCTTTTCAGTTGAACGTGTCGAAATACCTGCGTTGTCCGGTGAGTTGACGTGCGAGTGGACTCACAAGACGAGTCGTGAGTGGGCTTCACTCCGGCGGATTAGCACAGCAAAACTTGGCCACAATGCTGACGACTCCTCCCCGCGAGCCATGTTTGCCACTAATCTGTAGAATGGCTGTGGACAATGTATGAATGCAGAGGTCAACTTACGCTGCCTACGGATGGATGCCGGTGAGGCTGGGTCGATGCTTCAGACTGGTAAGCGATATGCTGCTTTTGTTTCAGCTGCTACGATTCCGCTTCTCGGAAAAGTCTCAAACCTCAGCACAATGCTGATAGCCAGTGGGTTGGGGATCGTTCAGTTCGGCATGCCTATATAGTCTTCGTATATACAGCTTTGTACAAGGTCAAAACTCGATGGCTTGACTTTAGTTTAGCGTGGAGCCTGTCATGTTTGGGTACCCACAATACCTCATGCAGACTTTGCGCGAGCTGAATCCGGGTACCTAAACGCGAACTCGTTTGCCCACTGGTGCTTTGCGCTGTGCGCCCACCAGTTCGGGGACCTCGACTTTCGCTTTCCGCGAGGCAAGGGCTTGCTGAATCGTTTGGACGCCGTCCACCAGTGTCCCATCTTCCTGCTTTACCTTGTCCGCGAGTGCCGCCTGTCGACGCTGTTGCGCTAATTCCTCAACCCTCTCTTCTGATAGTCGCCATTCCTTGGGGAATTTCGGCTTGACCTTGAACGTGTGATGTCTCAGATCGAGGGGAATATCGGCAAATGTGTCTGTCGGGTCCTATGTGGTCATCATGGATTAGCTATCTAGATGCTGCCGCACACTGCAATGACCGCAATGACGACTTGAAGCATGCGAGCCTCGGCCACAGCTGTCAGGAGTTCCATCATTCGTGCAGGCGTCATACAGAGTTCGGCCCAAGAAGCGGAGTAGGACTGCTCAGCCAACATCGAACATCTTAATCCGTACATCCACTAGATGTAGCCGATACCACATACCCCAGTTGCCCACACTGAATCAAGGGGAGTCGTCAATGGGTGTAATGACCGGCCACTGGACAGGTTTTCACCGATTGAGTTCGAACCACACCGCATATATATATAAGAGGTGGAGTACTGTTCGTAGCCTTCGACCCGTTGTAAGAGTAAACACGTACCTTTGCTTCTGTGAGCAGCTTCTCGACCAGCTCTGCCAAGTAGCGCTTGTTCTGAGCCTGATGCTCAAACGACTCGCAGCTCATCTTGATCGTCTCCTTTTCCGGGTTATACCGCGGACCGGCCAGCTTCCTCAACTTCATCTTCTGGACTTCAGTGAGTCCAAAGTCCTCGGGGCTGAACTCGACGACCACTTTCTTCTCTGCAGGGTGGTATTCACCCATATATGATGTGTAACGGAATCGCAGCGGCTGATCTTTGGTCGGCAGCTCGAATGATTTGGCGAACTCTGTCATAAGCAGTCAGCATCTTGGCGTTGGCCGTGTCAAGAGTTGACCATTTCGCCCGGCCCACTGACGTCTCCCCAGCGTTCGTCCACGAACCCGAAATCCCACCCTCCCCCGGGAGCTTCCCTTCGCCGGAAGCTGGTAAGTTTCACTTACGGGACAACAAGGGCATCTCCCATATCGCCAGGCGGGCATACGCCCTTTGCTCCCTGTGCTCCTCCAACTTTGCATGGGCGACGTCTGTCATGTCGTTCTCATCGAACTCGTCACTGTCGTCGTTGGTTATAAGGTCTTTATCATCCTCGTCCTCATCCCAGAACGAATCTTTCCTGGGCTTGACCGTGGTACTCCTCAGGGGTCTCGCCGCGTCTCGTACGGCGTCTTGCTCCTTGCGCAAATCGGTGTCGTCGATTTCAGCCAGGTCGGAGGTGAGCTCGGCAAGCATGTTGCGCTCCTCGTCGCTGAGGAGGTCTTTTGCGATGTCGCTCGGCTTCATGTTTCGGTACTTCCGGTCCACGTCTATGTCTTGCTGGCCCCAGTGGTCGAAAGGCGTAGGCTTCTGGCCATCGGTGCTGCTTTCCTTGATCTCCTTGATGGCGCCTCCGCCCACCGACTTCCACGCAACAAAGACCTTTGGTCCAATGGTACGAGCGGGCCTTTGGCTCCTGCAGCTGCGACATGCCAGCCGCAGCGATCGGGCTGCTGAAGCCATGGCGATTGGGTTGATGGTGATCAATGGTGCCGCGGTGGGCTGGTCCAGGTCGAGCTCCGATGCACCCAGAACTTTTGAGGGTGCACTAGCTGCCTGCAGCACTAGTGCCAAAACCACCCACAGGCGACATTTGTTACCGCCGCGCTTAGCTGCCCTCCTAAGTGCCCTTAACCGCCTCAACCGCAGCCAAGCGCGTGCTCGTCAGATTGGGTCCAAGTCACGTGATTACTCACACCCCCCCTCGTGTTTCTAAGGGAAAGGAGACCCAAGATGCCTAAGAAGGTAATGGGCAAGACGCTCAATGGTGTCAAAAGGCCAATCCGACTCAAAGACCTCAAGAGGCTGACACATGAGGGATCCAAAAGAGCTTTCCCCCCTGCCGACTTCCAGTACGACGCAGACGTTGACACCGCAGAAGAAAGTGAGCTAGAAAGCGTCAACCCTGGTGAGCGTGAGCGCTTCAAGCGCTTGATCCGCTTGCCCCTCCGCAACGACTACGAGACGATGGGCCGTCGACTGCTTGTCACTGGAGGTGCCACCGTGCCCTTCGTGGGCCTGCTCGAGGAGACAACCAGCCTGGAATTCTTGCAGACACTGCGCGCCCAAGACTTCACCCACGTGTTCCTGCAGTGTGGCAGCGTTCACAACCAGATCTTGGCACGCCTCAACAGCGATGGCCGTGGTTCGGGTCTCCAGATCGAGACCTTTGACTTTTGTCGTGACCTAAAGTCGCTCTTCAAGGAACACTGCCGTGGTGAGAAGGGCGTCCGGCCTGCTGGGGTGATAATTGGCCACGCAGGTCGGTTCATCTTATTAACTTAACACCAGCAAGAATAGCAAACCGTAGACTAACCGGTTATTCCAAAGGCACTGGGACTATCGGAGACGCGCTGGAGGTCGACTGCGCGCTTATTATCGTCGCGAATTCGACTCTAATGGACGATCACCAAACCGCATTCGCGGCCGAAATGGCCGCCGAGCATCCGACTATTATTCAGGGAAAGCTCAGGTAAGTCACAGTCTAGTTTTGCCCTAAATTCTTGTAATCCTTGCTACAAGAAACTAACCCCTTCAGCAACCTCACCGCGTCCATCACTGAGGCCATGGAGGTCATCCAGGAGCACAAACTAGACGACCTGGAGCCCTATGAGGAAGTCGGCCTCCCCCAAGAGCCGCCACTCACCTTCATCGACGAGGTCATCGCTGGTGCAACTCGTCCTGAGTCACAGGTCGGCATTTTCCATCGTTGCATTGTCCAGTAAGCTGAGGTAGGCGTGTCGAGAAAGTTCCATGTTGGATCCCAAGACGGCGTTTTGAAATTGGTGTATCTTCAAAAGTGGTTCCAATATACCCGGATTGGCGTTCTCGGAGTAGGATGATAAATAGTGGTCACGGTAATATGAAGACCAAATTCGAAGACTCCGAACACAATCGAACGCTCTTCTATACGAGGCTCTGCTGGGATCTCTTCACTGACCGTTCTGCATAAACTCGCTCCAAAACAAGCATGTCTCGTCCCCTTTGCGACTCATTGCAGCCCAGATACGGTCCAAATCTTGACCGCCGCATCACCTCCTGTGCTAGCGACCTTTGACGATCCCTCAATCCAGCTGACGCCATTTACTCCATCCTTGTGCGCGTTCAAGGCCTTCACCCGACTCGCAGGCTTTGCCAAGCTCCACACATAGACGTGCGTATCCAAAGCTCCACTGGCGGCATGGGTACCTGCATCATTCCAAGCTATGCTCATGACGCGCGCCGTGTGTGCTGACCAACGGTCCGTTGCCACGCTCCAGTCATCGGTTTTGAATGCGAAGATCTTACCTTGAGAGTTGCCCACGGCGAGGTGGCTGCCTTCCTTGGAGAACGCCAGGCTAGTGACCTGAGCAGCAGACTTCTTCAGCACCTGGACCTCGGAGATTTTGTTGCTCGAGTCGATCGAGTAGATCCGGACATCATTTCCGTCCCCAGCTGCTAAGTTTGAGCCCGAAGCAGCGAGTGATGTGGGAGAATAGTTGGTGCTGAGTTCTCCGACCTGTTGGCCCTGAGAATATACGGCTACTCCCGAGGCAGTGGCAACGACTACACGGCCTTCTGTCACACTTACGCCCTTGGGTTGCGCCTGCAGCTTTGTTGATGAGCCAGTGAAGGTGTTGGCACCCTCGTCGAGGGTCCTCAAAGTGTCATCCCAGCCGACACTGAAGGCCTGTCCGGAGGTGGCTGCAATTTGTGTAACCTGGTTTGTGTGCGTCTGCCCATCAGTCACGGCACCAATGCCACTCTCGACATTCCAATGGCACACACGACCATCGAAACTGCCTGTGTAGACGTCCTTGCCGCTGTCATCCGAGCCTGTGGTCATCGCTGTGATGCCCTTGTTGTGGCCCTGGACTGTCTTGGTGGGTGCTTCGCTGCTCTCCGATAGGTAGTTCAGGTCACCGTCCAAGCTCAGAGCGATGATCAGGTCATCACGAGGCCATGCCACGCCGACCTGCTGGTCCCCGACGTTCACAGCGCCGTCCTGGCCCAGCTTCCACGACTTGACGTTCTCGCCAGACTCGACATCCCACACCCGTACGGACTGGTCCGCGCTAGCTGTGACGATTCGCTTCGAGTCCTTGGCCCAGCTGACAGCAAAGATACTGCCCGTGTGCACGCCCTCACCGATCTGCTTGGTCGGCTCGCCCGTCTTGCCGTCGTACAGCTGAATCCTGCGATCGGCGCCGACCGTGACCAGCAGGTTTCCGTCTGGGCTAAAAGCAGCGCCGTATACGAAGCCCTTGTGCAGGTCATTGGACTTTCCCGCGAACTTGAACGGTGCGCCGTGGAGGAAGCACATGCTGCCATCGTCGGAGACCGTGGCGGCGCGCAACGGCCGCTGCTGTCTCATAGCCACGGCGTTGACGACCTTGCTGTGGCCACTGACCTCGCCCACCGAGTTTCCGCTGTCGGCTGTGATGCAAGCGCCGAAGCGCTCACGGCCATCTCCCACGGCGATGATGCGCTGCGAATCGCCGTCCCAGCCGATGTCATTGATGCGCCCGCTGATTATGTGGTACTCTCCCTTCGTATTGACAGCCTCGACGGCGTCCCAGACGCGCACCGAGCCGGACACGTCACCGGATGCGACGTAGAAGCCAGAGGGCGAGAAGCGGGCCACGGTTGTCTGGGCGGTGTGGCCGTTGTACTGCTTGCATGAGGAGGGATCATCGATGGAGCGGAGGAAGATGGATTTGCCCGACTGTTTCCACGGTACTCGTAAGTCAGCTGCCCCCCGAAATCCACCAAAGACATCTGCAGCTCTCATGATAGCAGAGAGGCAATTGGACCTACAGCATAAGCTATGCGCTCCCCTTTGGCATCGCACGAGAGCTGGGTGGGCTGGCCCCGCGTCGTGACGGGGGCGGCAGCTAGGATCTTTTCGATGGTCAGTGACATTGCTCACGATGCCGTGCGGGCGATCTGATTTATTCGGGTATTCTCGAGGAGGAAGAGCTGTAACGAGAAGGGAAGGGCAGCGAACAGCGTAATGGTCGTGATGTACGTAGCTGGTTCCCCCTTTTCTAATGCATAGGACTGCCCTGCTAGCTGCCAGCCGGGCGGTGTTGGAGGGGTCGAACGCCCCAGTGACGCGCTGCGGGGCAACCAACCACCTGGGCACTGACGTAGCGCCCCAGTCCATTACACAACTAAGGCAACAAACCAGGTTGGCATTGAGGGTTTGTCACCATCCAAACAAACACATGGCTTCCAATACTAGGAAACCTACCTAGGTACCTACTATAGCACTCTCTATAGAGTTTATAATTATAGTCTTTACACTATTCCTTTAACTTTAAAATAATACTTTAAATAATTTCTTATACCTTATAGTTATATTTAATTTAATACTCTTTAATATTAATTATAAAATATAATAATATCTTTTTAAAAATTATAATAAATAAATAAAGATAAAGTTAAAATTAAAATATAATTAAGTTATTTTATTAAGTTAAGTTATAAATAGTTAAAGTAAAAGCTTTAACTTTAAATTTAAAAACTTATTAATTAAACTAATAATTAAATTAGAATTTAATTAACTTACTAATACCTCTTTATACTTATTATAAAAATTAATATTTTAAAAATTTAAAAATTTAAAAACTTTTAAAAATATATTTAAATTATTTATTTTAAAGTTAATAAAATTAATTAAAAGTTAATTAAAAGTTAAATATATATATATAAATATATAATATTTTTAAAAGATATTTATATTATAATAAATATTAAATATTTAAAACTTATTTTAAAAATTTAATTTTATTTTAAAGTTATTTTATTAAAATATTATATATTTTAAAATAATAATTATTAAAAACTTTAATTTATAAATAATATATAAAAATAATATATAAAGTTATTTAAAATTATAATTATTTAATTAAAATATTTTTATATAATATTTAAAATAATAGAAATTATTAATTATTAATATAATAAACTATTTAATTAAAAGACTATAATAATTAATTTAATAATTAGCTATTTTAATAGTTTATAAGCTTAGTTTTAAATATTAACTTTAAACTATTATAATCTTCTTTAAGGCCTTATAAAGTATTTAAATAACTTAAAGATAAATTAAGTATCTATAAAAAACTTGAAAATCTTTTAAATAAAATAGATATCTATAATATATTTAAGCTACTTTATTAGAATAAACGGCCTATCTTAGTACTATAATTATAGACTATAAATACCGTACTTATTAGCCTATTAATACCTTAAATAAGATCTTTTTAAATATAGAGGCTTAAACTTATACTCTTTAAATTAATTATTAAGATAGTAGGAATTCTATTAACTATTAATGTAATAGATTACTTAGTTAAAAGACTATAATAACTAATTTAATAATTAGCTATTCTTATAGTTTATAGACTTAGTCTTAAGTGTTAGCTCTAAATTATTATAATATTATAAAAGTTTATTTTAATAAAAACGTTATTTTTATTATATAAATTTTTAATAATATTTTTAAAAATTAAAATATTAAATTAATTAAATAATATTTTTAAATTAAATTTTATTTTAATAAAATTATATTTTATATTTAATTATAAATAAAATATTAATAATTAACTATTAATTATTATATTATAATATTTAATTATTATTTAAATATATATAAATTTATAATTTGAAAGCTTTATAATTAATAATAATAATAATATAATATAATATAGTTAAATATAAAGTAAAGTAATATTTAAAGTAATAATAAGTTAAAAAAACTTATTAAAATAATATAAGTAAGAGATTATAAGTAAGGTAGCTTTTATATTATATAACTTTTAATATAAATCTAATTATTATTTATAAAAGATTACTTAATTAAAAACTAGAATTTTAAATTAAAATTTAAAAAACTAAGTAATATATAAATATTTATATATATTTTATAATACTTTTTTAAAAACTTTTATAAAGTTTTAAATATTTTAAAAATAATATATTTATAAATAATTTAAAAATTAAATAAAATAATAAATAAGTTTTAAAAAAATAATTTTTTTAATTATTTATTAAATAAAAACTTTTTATATTTTAAATTTAAATAATTTATTTAAAAGTTTAAAACTTTAAATATATTTTTAATAAAAAAGCTTTAACTTTTATCATATAACTTAAAATTAATATAAATCTAACTATTATTAATAAAAAGGACTACTTAGTTAAAAGACTAGAATTTTAAGTTAATGCTTAAAAAGACTAAGTAGTATATAAGCACCTATGTACGTTCCGTGACAACCCTTATCTAATCTATATCAAGGGCACACCCCCTACGGCCTGCACCAAGCAAGCATCTCAGAAAAAGACTGGATTTTGAATGCTGAATTCAGTCCAGATTCTCAGCAGATGGGATGTAAGTCATTCTTAGAGGGTACATGCAGATGTGAAATAATGTGCCAATCGGTCCCAAGACCGCACTACGGCTATCAATGATGGATCCCAGATTACAACAACAGCACTCCTTACAAGACCTAACAGAGGAGATACCTACTTAAGTAGGTAATGACTTGGATGGTCGCCTCAAGGCTTGATGGAGAAAGAAAAGCAAAGAGGCCTGATTCATAGCAACAATCATCAGCATACTTTCGTAAAGTCTTGAGTGCTTACCACCGTATGAAGGCGCCATGTATGTCCTCGGACGTATACGGAATAGAAGCGACACCACGTAAAGAGAACACAGTCCTATTTGACCGAGTTCTGAAGAGCCCATTGGTGTCCAGCCTCATATCCACTTGCCATACTGTTGCTCCCAAGGCAGCAAATTACCTACCTAGGTACCTAGGTACTTTTACTCATAATAGATAATGCTTCAAAATGGGCATGTGTATTAACAATTCAGCTACCTGAATAGACTTTAATACTCAAGTGCTGTCCTCGACCAGTGATATGACATTCTCCGGAAAGCTACGAAGTACCTAGGTAGAAATCAACATGACCGCCAGAACTCAATCACTACCACATGTCTTGAGGCTAGATCAGTAGAGATCAGTTAAAAGCCGAGTCAACACAGTAGGGCTCTAGTCACTCGACAAGTCCCCAGTCAATCCATGACTGTCAGTGAGTCCATATACACTCACGGTCACAAATAGCTAACAGCAACAGCATGGGTGCCAAGTTGGTATTATAAAAGGTGGAGGGGAAATCTGTCAAAAACCTCGACTTTTACACATGTCCAGAAGCAACAAGATTCAGATACAAATGAATTAAAAGAACCATGAATCCCATATTTGAACTACCATATAGTGTACGTTTAGTTCCAATCCCTCCGATTCCCGTAGAGACCTCGACGGACACCCACCGGCACCTCATTCCGACTCGTGGAGTCGAGACCACAAGTCCTGCGCATTTGCGACAATACAGGTTCTCTGAGAATCGTTTTCGTAGACCGCGCAATCCGCTCCTTCAGTCACTGTTCACTCGAATGCCGCCGGGCGCCACTCCGGCCTTTGATAGTGCGCTTCCGCCAGCATGCTCAGCAAGGAGAGCACATCTCCTTCCCTGGCCCTCCGCGTCTGACCTCACGATACTTTGGTTAAGCAGGTCCCTCGGATCGGTAGATCTGGGCGGACGACAGCCCCACGATAGCGACGAGTCCGCCGAGCGGAACACAAGCAGAGAGTGTAGCTCGGATGATGCAGATGATGTGAATGATGGCACAAGTTCCCGTAGCAACCGTGACTTACCTCCCAGTGCGAACACTAGATCTCATCATCGACAAGGTTCTGGTGGTGGAGGATCTCCACCACGAGGGCGGCAGCCTGGGGGCCGCTCATTCAACCCATGGGGGCCGCCCAAGTCGACCGGCGAGATCAATAACGCCATCAAAGACCTCCTACTCTGCTGCCACCCAGACGCAGACGAGGGCTTCGTCTACGGCTTCCAACATCCAGACGATGTCGCTCCTGACCCGTTGCTGACCGGGAGTCACAAGTGGGCGCACCTCATCAAGATTGGCCGCTCGAAGAACTACCAGACGCGGATGAAACAGATTGGAAAGCAGTGCAAATACACCCCCCACACCGTTTTCGCCCATTTCATGCCCTGGCACGGCGTAGTCGAGCGCGTAGTCCACACGCAGCTGCACAACTCTCGGCTGAGAGATACCGGCTGCAGGGGCTGCGGGGCGAGACATGAGGAGTGGTTCCAGGTGGATGCCAGGCTCGCCGAGGACGCCGTGGAGTTGTGGAAGGCTTTCGTAGAGTGCAGTCCCTATGACGAGCAGGGGGGAATGCTGCCCGTGTGGCGTGAGAGGCTTGAACAGCTCGATCTGGACGATTCGAACTGCTGGCAATGCTTCGTTCACGACGCTCCTTCGGCCTGGCCGGCGGCTGGGTCGCCTCGGGGGGTGGAGGCCGAGAATGCTGATCTTGGGTTGGCCGCAGGTTGCATTGGTCCACGTAGTGATGGGGATTTGGGAGGTGAGCACACGAAGAAGACTGGCAAGTTATCTGAGCATCCTGCGGAGTCGCTGCACAACGGAGAAGCATCTCCAGCGAACAGTTGCCTCAAGAATTTTGAAACATGAGTAGAAAATTCACACCGGAACTTTTTCTCTGTAATACCAGTATCTCTGGGGAGCCAGTCTCAACTTGGTCATCTTGTCCGTGAAATCTCAATATAAGGCGTCTCTCCTACCCAAATGCCATGCATCAAAATCAATGATCTCAACGACGTCAGGCAGCCAGAATCTTCTCAATCGCCGTTAACAATTCCGCCGGCACACTCAGATAGGGTGAGTGGTTAGCCTTGATGAGAATCTTGGGCTCCTCAGGGCTGAGCTGGGCCGCCATCTGCTGCTGCAGCGCGTATGGAAGGGCACCGTCATCCTCGGTGAGGATGTATGCACACGGTACCCCATCCTTCCAGGGCTCATACTCACTGGCGCCGGCGAAGAGGGCAGCAGAGGTGTGCGTCATCTCCCTTGACCACTTCTGCCGCTCTTCAGGCGGGAGGTCGCTGTAGCCGAGCTCCTGCACCACGTCCGGGTCGACTGTGATACGATCTCCCTGCATCCTTCGTCAGCACATGTGATACCCCCCTCTGGCCGATGTGCCGCTTGTGAGACTCACATCGACGACCATCCACGGCGGCGGCTGCCCACCCAGCATCTGCAGCAGGCTGCTTCCCTTGGGGACCATGAACGCTGTCATGTATATCATCCTGACCACGCCCCCGGGCAGCCCAGCTTGCTGACGGGTCTTCAAGTCCAGACCCTTCACCGCACCTCCGCCGCTGATGCCGCCGGCCGAGTGGGCAAGTAGCACGACCTCCTTCCCGGCCGCGACCAGCGGCTGGACCACCGCCCGCACAGCTGCAACATCCTCGGGAAGGCCCGTGAGCGGCAGCTGCGTCCCTCCGACGCTGGGCATGTCGACGACCTCATTGTCGAATCCCTTGCTCTTTAGCAGGTCCGCAAAGGGGGCGAAACAGCTCGTGAGCTGCCATGCTCCGGGGACGATGACGATGGTTGGCTTGCTGGCTGACATGGTGGGCTATAGTGCGGGCTAAACGCCACTGCAGTCTTGTCTACCTAGGTACCTACCTGGGTAGGTCTGTCAACCGTTCCACCGTGTCTTGTTTTCCTCTGCTGGATCCAATGTCCCGTTCCCGCCGCGCACGAGGGCCCCTTTCCGATGCTCCCGGTCTCTCCTCGATCTTCTTCCGTCTCCGGAAGCACGTCCCGGTGCAGTAGCCGAGAGTGATTCGCACCCTTTCCGAAAGCTTAAACAGCAGGTAACGAGAGCAGTCACGTGTCCTCCTCCAGGGCTCCCAGCACGTGCAGACTCCCCATGGCTTGTTGGTAGAGCCGTCGCCTCGCAGTCTGGAGCACGCTCAGCATAAAGTCCCACATTTCCGAGGTAGGGATGAGCTGGCTCTCCTGCGAGAGATACTGTGTACTGATACAAAAGAGCGGGGTGGACGACGGGACCAGGGCGGGACCTACAAGTGCTGTTGCGTCCTGAAATCAAGCGTCTCGTCTCCAGCTTGGTTCGACTCGAGCAGCATGTGTCTGACCACGAAATGGCTTCATTCCGATCCAAAGCTTCACGGAGGAACCCAGGTGCCTGACATCCCAGTAAAACGTACTTGGGTATACCTAGGGCTAGCAGGTGTCCAGATGTCACATTTAAGCACCACTTGAGCAGGCGCACCCGACACACACCAGGCCTCCAACAACTTGACAGGCCCAAACAGTTAATCTCGAGCACAGATGGATACATAGGGGATTTCCCCGGCACACGGATGGGGCCGTCAGCAAGGGTCGATGCCACTTCAATATTCAACGGTTTGCCGATCCATCCAAAGGATCGTCGCTGGGCTACCTCAGCTTTCGGCCGAATCTCGTCCGCTGAACTTACATATGTACCCAGACGGAACCCGCGCGCCCCATACCTAGGCATGGAGAAAGTCTCCGACGCGGTGCTGAGTATTCTCCGGCTGTCACCGCTGCCCACTCTCGCGTGGCCGGGAATAACAGTGACGTCTCCCCGCGACAAGAGAGACGTCTCAACCGCGTCCAGGAAGCCTTGCCCACTTGTACACTCGAATGTGGGCGCTGGCGAGCGCCTCCGCACCGTCAAGATTCTATCCCCGGTTGTGGAACCACCCGGGTCTGTCGTACTGCATCGGCCGGGGCGATAACGATGGCGATGTTAGTGATGTTGTGGCGCCGAGATACTGCGGGAAATAGATCGAGTGCGTTTGCGAGCAAAGAAGATGCCCATTTAGCAACGGCTGTGCCGTTACACGGACAGACGGACGCACTGTCTGCACTGCAGGTCCCAACTCTGCGGGTCAGTGCTACTGTACATTTCCCATCTGCTCCTCCTCGTTCCTGCATGTGTGTAACGCCTCCTTCTGGCAGCCGCAGGTACGGAGTACTTGGGCAAGCCTCGCGGCCCGGGGAGGGCAAGCCGGGACGGGATGGCTTGCTTCGTTCGTCACACAGCATGCCACGGAGTCGCTCAAGCCCGAGTAGGTCATCAACCGTTGAGTGTGGGGTCGGCATTTTTTCGTCACCTCGCAGTACATGAGGACACCAAGTCAAAGCCGGACAACTGCACAACCGGACAACGTTGACATGTCAGTTTCGCCCCGGCATATATGCCCCAATGCTCGTCATCATGATGCGATAAGGGTCTTCTAGAATCAACAACGACGAGGGCGAACATGCACTGCCGTGCCGGCAGTCAACATGGGGCCTTGGACGGCAACGCTACTGTAGGGGCTGCAAGTGTGGTCGAGGGTCTAGATCCTACATTGGATTGTTTGGTTTGGTTTGGACGTCCTGCAAGCCACTCCGCTTGCCCAGCCGATAGAGTCCACAGGGGTGGGGTGTTGGGGGTACATCCCAAAGCTGAGACGAAAGCCCCCTCTCATGCAGGCAGGGCAAGGAACGTACATGCAAGATAAGACAAACCCTCACTTCCCCTTGAATGACCACTACAAGGGGCGGCGCCGTAATTCCTTTTTGGGCGCCCAAGATCCGAAGCGCAAATTCCGTGCGGTACTTGAGCAAAGTACAGGCCATGCCTTTCAAGCAGTATAGGATTCTCATCGCCCATACACATCGGCAAGCTTCCGTCCAAGCTTTTGACAATTTACAATTGACCTTTGACTGGCTGGCTGTAGATGGGGGCCAGCGGGCCTTGATGGAGCAGGTCGCCAGGTCGCCCAGGGGAAACAATGAGAATCAGGATGGCATGGGCTGCGGTTTAATATAGGTGGGGTGACAAGGTTCAGTGAGAGGGCAAGGAAGGTTACCACTGAGAACTGTTGCGACAAAATTGGCAGAATTGTGGCTACGACAGGAAATCACAGCCGTGGACAAGCCAAGTACAATGACAATAAGTGGATATCATTCAGGTCATTCCTAGCAGTAGCTAAGATGGGTATTTGTCTAACTCGCGGCCGCACGCGTGTTGTACATGTTTCTTTTGGCAGAGCTGTGGATCAATTCGTCAATCGCACAATTTTTGCCCCCGTTCCCTCTGGACCCCCTACCCCTCCCTGACAGTTTCTTCCACCCTTTGAAACGTCTTATCCCGCCCGTGTCAAATACGAAAACAGAAGAAAGGAAAGGGGAGAAAGTATGAGAAAATAGAAGAAAAAATACCACCGTCCCAAGGTTTTGTGGAGCTTTTCCGATTTCATTCTTTCGGAGAAAAAAAAAAGGGGGAAGGGTGAGAATAGACAACTCCTTTGAATGCCACCGACTGCAATTACATAAAAGCCAAAAGGGGACTATATTACACTGTGAAAAGAGAAATCGGCACAGCGCCTGGGCAGCCAGTGAAGACAGGCAGATAGCGAGATTGAAAGAACTAATAGTAAAGAGCCAAGGCTGTTGCTTGTGCATGTGTAAGAACTTTCTATAAGGAGGGTCGAGAAGGGTATCAAAATAGAGCAAGAAAACGGCAGATGATGCGGTGAGTATTTTTCAAAGACTGGTGTGCGTTGCGGCCGTGGTGGTCATGAGTGAAATGGCCGTCAGGTCATAAAATGGTGCATCTGAGGAACCATATAGATAAAGAGACTTTCCCATGGTGGGCGGATTAAAGGCGGAGGAGGGGAGTCCTCCACTCCTTGTTCTGGTATTTGAAAAATTTAAGGCTTGAAGACGGCATTGGTGAGGAACAAGGCGCCAGTCGCCGGCTCCTTGGTTTCGGTATTCGTCGGCGTCGCAGTGCGGGGTGTAGAGTTTGGCGAAGACGATTTGCTCGTCGTGGTTCCGGTGACGGTGTCGACACTAGAGCTCGAGGAGGATGTCGTGGGAGTCCCCTGAAGCTTCTCATGACTGTGTTGGCGATGAACTTGTTTGCGCTCCTCGTCGGTCATGTTGGGGTTGAGATCAGGCAAGTCGGGCACGGTGGTGTCCTTCGCCCTGAGGGCAGCAGCATCATCGGCGGCTTTGCTCATCCGGTCCATTTGAGATTCGACGTCAGCAAGTAAGGCCGCGACCTCATCTCCAGCATAGACCCGAATGGACTCGACATCAGCACGCCTAATGCCAGAGATAAGATGCTCGGTGTTGTCCCTCCCCTTGACCTCCATTTGCTTCTCTCCGGCTTGGTTGATACCCAGGCCGACGGGCACAGTATTCTCGACAGCAGGCTGCTCGATGATGGTCGAAGGCACCTGGGCGACGACGCGTTGGGGTGAGGGAGAGCACGACTCGATGCGGGGTGTGAATGAGGTCTTGATAGGGGAGCGTGGGGGAGTGGAGAGGTTAGCAGGCGCAGGTTGGGGAGCTGCGCCAACACCCAAGGCAAGCTGGAGGCTTTCGCTGACACCGACAGCCCCAGAGACGGGCAGGGTCACGGCAGCAGCAACGTGTTCCAGGAGCTTCTGCCGGATTCGAGTACGGCGATTCTCAGCCTGCTCGAGCTTGTTGACCCAGTCGTCGATGGAGGAGTCGAGTTCAGCAAGAGCCTCCTCTTGCTTAAGCATAGAGTCGTGGCTGAACTTCGCCATACGAGGAGACCTCAGGTATTGGCAGATGCGGGAGTGCAGGTTTCGACGTCCAGCCCTCAGTGAGTGATATGTACGGCGCAAGTATTCCGTGCGCTCATCCAAGTTTCTCAGTTCCTGTGAATACATGATTAGTGACGTCTTGGAGCATTCATCGAATGTAGGTGAGACTGACCCTGGAGAGACTGTCGACATCCTCCTTCCTCATCACCTCAAACCTGGCAGCCTGTTGCATGGCCTGCTTGTGAAGGGCAGCCCTCTCGGTCTGCTCGAGCATCTGTGCCGCATCGGTGACCTTCCAGCCCTTGGGCAGGGTCTCGAAGGCACGACGTTCAGCGCTCTTGCTCGTCTTGGATGCCGACCTCTTTAGTCCCTCGATCCTCTTCCTGGGGCGTCCACGGTCCATGATGCTCGTGGCAACACTAGCACTCTCTGACACATTCCTCCGATGAGAGAAGCTGGAGGCGCATCTTGGCTCCACTGCTGACCTTGGTGTAGCCATGTTCTGTGCAAACTCGGTGCCCGGGTCTTTGGGCAGTTCGTAGCCGACCGTGTTGACTTCCCCTTTCCAAGGTTTTGGGGAGGCTCGGGGCTCGGTAGTGCCTGAGACTGGTGTTGGCAGGCTGGAGTTGGAGAAGATCGAAGAAGGCGCGGAGGACATGGGTGTATTAGCCGTAAGAGAGGCGGAGTGTGGTGTATATGGAGACCTCGTTCGCGGCGACTCGTCTGTCCGTGCAGGTCGGATGCTGGACTCGGCGCTTCCCGTGCTGCCCGACCGGAGACGGCTCAGTGAAAGTTGCCTTGTGAGCTTGGGGAGCGAGGAGGTCTGGACAGGAATGACGAGAGGCGGAAGGTTCTTTGGCGACTGAGGCTGAGGGATGGTCGTGGCTGATATATCGGAACCGGAATCCTCCAGAGGGGACAGGTGGGTTTCGTTTCTGTACGCGAGATGATGCGCCTTCCAACCGTGGCCAGGGGCACTAATAGACCGCTCGTGACAGGCTGGGCGGCCGGGTATTGTTGCTGGAAGGGGGTCAGCCCTGTCTCCACCGCCCGGAGAAAGCAACAGTTTGGTTGACTTACGAGAGTCCATGGCAGCCTCGTGAACAGTTGTCATAGGGCCCAACTCTGGTACGCTGACCTTCCGGCGGCGGATAAGGTTGTGCTCCTTAATCCTCAGGCGCAGGCCGCCCGCAGAAGGTTTGTCTGCCTTGTCACTGTTCTGTGCCATGGCCAGGGCGAAGGCTTGCTCTGGGTCCAGCCCCTTACCCTGGGGGCCTGCGGCCTGCTTCTCCCTGGGAAAGAGCTGGTACTTCCTCGTCTCAGACTGGGACATCATCCTCCACACCCAAGGCTTCGAGGCCTGCTGCTCTACCTGTTGGGACGCGGCGGTGGTGAGCCTCAAGGTTGGTCCAGCCACACGTCTGTGATGAAGCGGAGGTGGGAGGGGGAGGGGGAGGGGGAGGGTGCATATAGGAGGACACAAGTGTGTACTTGGTCACGAAGGGGGACGAGATGTTTCGATATATGGAAACGCACTTACCTCTTCCACGACGGGTAGAGGTGAGACGGACCTTGCTATATAGCTTCCAATGCTCAGGCGATCGACGTCTGCATCTGACATGCAGCTGGCTATGTGAGCCATGCCTGAGCAAGGACCTCTCGAGTCGAGAACGGAGGACCCGTAAATTGGGACTAGTGGCGATCCAGATTCTGATGCAGTGGCTGCCCAGGAGTTCCGCGACACGGGGATAGTCCCCTGCTCGAGGACTGTAGTAGACCCTGGGCGGAGTGAGCCGGCCGGTAGCAGGAGTAGTAAGGAGAGGCGAGACAAGTGCCCTGGAGCAAGAGAGGGCGAGGGAGAGGAGGTAAAGACTGTCCAATGCAGAGAGACTCAGAGATGCATGGATCCCCCCGCGGCAGACCCCAAACAACGGGAGCAGGGTGAGCTTGGTTAATTGTCGGGTTCTGTTGTGTATAACTGGGGCCGGGACGGGCGTGCAAAGGGAAGCAGAAACATCCAAAGGAGATCAAATAGTCCCTAGACAGACATGCGCGGCCCACAGCAAGTCTGCCGGGCTGTCATGTCCTTATCTTCTTTTTCTCTCTCTCTTTTTGAGCTGTACCAGGAAAACAGACAATGCGGGTCCTCCTTCGTGCGCCCCTCTCGTAGGCGAACAGGGCCTTATAATAACCGTCGGACAGGTTGCAACGGTTGACAGGGGACCGGAGCAGGCACACTAGGCTCTTCCTGATCCTGCCGAAGAGAAGAATAAAAAATGCAGTGGCCAGGAAGATGAGCAGCGATCCTTCGCTGTAGGGGGAGAGGAAAAGATACATAGGTGGCAGTGGTGAGAAATGAGCACGCGGAGTACTTACTGTGCTGCTGTACTGTGGGCTGGGCCCGCATGCGTCGCGGTCGTATCCATCGTCCCCATCGTCCCCAGTCGGAGAGAAACTCTGCAGTGCCTAAATTAACAGCGCAGGGGCAGAGTTCTGAGACGTGCAATACAAGTAGATGCAGTTCCCACGAGGATGGCATTGGCTTGCCCATGCCGGCCCATGCCATGCCAGCCCATGCCAGCCCATGCTGCGCCGCCCGGCACGAGCAGCTCACGCGGATGTGCGGCGGCTGGTGATGTGCTGCTTGCTTCTTGTTTCCCAGCACCCAGGCACCCCATCTCCGGCGATCCAGGGGACGGGGGTGATAGCAGAATGGGGGTTAGCGAGGCAGAGGAGCTACGATGATGGCAACCCCCCCCCCCGCCATGCAGTCGAGTCGGGTGCCCAGGTCATGGTCGATTGGTCACTGTGGCAGAGTGGCAGAGTGGCCGTGGCAGAATGGTGGTGTAGAACCCCGACCCAGCACACAGCAGCCCATCCCGACGTGCTGAATACGATTGGGACCGGACGGGGGGGGACGGAGGTGGTGATCTTGGTCGAGAGTGCATGGGACGTGCCTGCGTGCATGGCGGACGGGAGTGAGTCGTCTGTCGCTCGTCGAGAGCAGAGGTGACAAGGTGAAACCGCTTCCCTGCACCTTGACGGAGGTGTTCCACGCCACGGCCGCTTGGAGACAAGACCCCACCAAACTGGCAGGGATCACCTTCCAAACTGGGATGCTTGTCAATAACGTGCGTCCCCCTGTCATCTCCATAATGATAATCCAACCAACCCCTCCCGGGCGCCCCCACCTGCCCACCTGCCCACCTGCCCTCGACTACTAGGAATCGATTCGGTAAGCCAATGCATCTTGCCATCACCAGCCCGTCCTCCTGCTGCCGATACTCGTCGATTGTTTCTTCCAGCCCGCTGCGGCCCAGGCCCAGCCCCCAAAATCCGGGGCCAATGTCCAAACCGGCAATTGGGTGTGAGGGTGTGAGGGTGCGAGGGTGCGAGGGTGCGAGGTCGCGAGGGTGCGAGGTTGTGCAATGCTGTCCGAAATCATGAGACGACGGCCGAGACGATCAGCTCTCTGCCGGCTCGATCCCAACAGCTGCGACGTCCGTTGATGATGCCCATTGACGTCCGGCCTCTGGGCCTCGGGCCCTGCGTCCAGAGCGATGACAGTGATGGCTGTTGCAGTAGCTTGGGGTGACGAGCTAGGACGAACTTGCATGGCCGTCTCCGCAGCCAGATGGATACGGAGTACCATGCACAAGTCAGGTGCAGCGGCATCAGCCAGCAGAAGATACTATGTAGGTAGACACACAGTATGGGCCGGTGCATACGCGCAGCAGCAGCAGCAGCAGCAGCAGCGCATCGCAGCGCGTGTGCAAGTACACTATGTAGGTAGTCTGTCTGCGACATGTCAACCTTGGGGGGGTGGGCCGGGGCCCACAGGAAACCTGCACCTGCACCTGCACCACAACTGCACGCACCTATGCACCTGCATACTACAGTGCATGCGCAGAGGAAATACCCGCCCCAGCTCCCCACTCCTCAGCCCGCAGCGACTCAGTCACTCAGTTTCTCCAGCAGCATGACACCGGGGAGAAGGGCCCGTGCCAGGAGGGCGCGCCTCGACAGGAGGCTCAAAGTGTCGGACGGAGAACGGACAAGTGGGCCGGCCCCAGTATAATCAATCTCACGTCAAGGTTGCCTCTGCTCTGCCTGTCTGCTCTGCTCTGCTCTCCCTCCCAGCGCCTCCGTCCGGCGCCTTGAATCAGGGCCCCCTTACTCGCCACCTGTTAAGCTTCCAGATGACATCTTTTGGCCCCGGCCCTCCGGCGTTTATTAGGAGAAATAAAATAGAAAATTATGCTTCTTCTTCCCGCTGCGGAGACCTAGGGGACCAGCTGCCACCTGTCTCTCGGAGGCTCCACACACAACATCACCACCACCAACACCCCAGGGTCCAAACCCAAAACTATACTCTGTACCGCCTATATACACATTCATCCTTCACAGAGTAGCCAGAGAACCTAAGCAAAATCCTATCGGGCTTTTCCAACTGGTGATCCAACGCATTCTTTTCGATCTGTCAACCGCATACACACTCTCTCCCCCCGTACACATGCAAACCTTTACTCTCCCTCCCCCCCGGGTGGTTTATTCTCCTTCTCTTTCCCACCTGTCAGGTCTTTGATGTGATCGTATAGTCCCCACTGAAACACAGTCGTTATCATGCCTTACAATGTCTCGGCAGGCCCGGTGGTGAAGCCAGCGTGACGGTGGCCGCCGTCGCACAGACAGCCGACTTCAGTCGATACGGGGTGACCGGCCAATCGCAGTGCAGCAGTCTGGCAGCTGCCTCGTCAAGAGAGAGGGCATTGATATATGGGGTGGGGGAGGGGGTTGCAAGGCGCCGGGGCTAACGAGTTTTAGCAAAGACGTCCATTCCAGGGCATCTCGGGCGGTCACTGGGTTTCCAGTCAAGCGACAAAGCACATTTTAGTGAGGCCTAGCCCCCTGCCTCGCCTGAGTATCTCGTCATGGACCTGTGTCACGGCTTCTCGTCTTCGGCCCCCTGTCCGCCCTGGCACTGGGGCAATGAGGGTGCTTCCAAGAGTCTCATCACCCGTGCCAGCTTCACATTGATGCCCAAGAGCAAGTGTTGCCGAATTCATCAGGAAGGCCTCGTTTTGCCGGGTCCTGCCTGTGAGGAGCTGACTAGTCCGCGTCTGTCTCTCGAGGCGGGCGGCGGCCGCCCTGGGAAAGAGGCAAAAGAGTTTGGCAAGTTGTCAATCATTCCGGCACAGACACTCTGAAGGATTTCCGCAGGGATATCAACAGGGCAGGCATAATGATCGGTCCCATGGTTCAGGTATGTGGCAACGCTCCCTCCCCCTCCATAGAGCATGGGACTTGGTACATACCTGTCGTCTCCTCGGCGATGCCATACGTGTCGAGTTTGGCTCCCGAAGACTCTTGGTCGCCACCAGGTGTTGCTCAGACATGTTGTAGCAGGTTGAGTAGAATGAAGTTGAAGTTTTCCGGTCTTGCGTCGGGGAGTCAGGGAGCTCTGCCTGCTGCCTCGAATGATTGCTAGGAAAATCGTCGCAGGATATGGTACGCTTACGTGTTGAGGAGGCGAACGACAGCCTAAGCAGAGTCATTCAAGCAGGAGTTTCTGGTGCAGCTGTCAAACGTCAGGCCGGCCAGGCAGGCAGGCAGGCTAAAGCGGCTGGACAAGCGGATAGACGAACTGAACAGGGATGTTGTGTCTGGGGATGCCAGGTTTTCGTCCAGCAGCGACTGACGGCCTAGGCAAACAGGCTCGCGGGTGCCATTTCTTCGGCACGGCCGCCGCCTCCCGAAAAAGCTCAAAACACTGACTGCCTTGCTTCAGGGTCCTGAGTGCCAGTGCCCGTGTAGATCCTTGTCAGAATCCTGGCCTAGGCTGCCATTTCTTAATTACAGTGTTCGTGCGGGTTGGGGACAGCGTTCGTACGTTGATGGCGATATTACGAGTCAAGCAGCGTCGTCGATGGTAGTCTCTGGCTTTCCGTCTCTGGCTTTCCGCCTCTGGCTTTTTTCTCTCCCTGTCACCGAGCGAGCCGCCTCTGCATGATGACTGCGTGGCGACTAACCTGTCAGGCTGCCAGGCTGCCAGGCTACTGGGGACGATCCGTGCGCTCATTGACGAGACTGTGCGATAGTCTTCTACTGCTGCTCCGCAGCAACGAGACATCAGCTTCATCTCCTGGATGCGCAACCAGCAGCCTTTCTCGGATGACCGGGAAGCTGAGGTGCAACGGGCTAGCCAAGTCTGGCCGGTTCGGCCGTCTCTCGGCTCGTCGTGATGTACCGTACTGTCTCTGTAGACTGTTCGAGATTAATGCGAGGTGAAAAGCTTTCAACCCCGCGACATGGTCTCTCGTGCAGGCGCCAAGACGCAGATTCCAAGTTGCCAGATGCGCTTCAGCGCATGTTGACCGGGGCATCTTGACGAACAGTGGGTCCGATCTTAGACATTCACGGCGCCGGGTAAAATCGAAGCTGGGGGCCGGGGGGTTTCAGCGGCGCTTCTGCGGATTGATGACGGCGAGAGTGTCGGGCTGGCAGGCTGTATGGTGGAAGTTCTTGGGACCAAGTTGTTTCGAGGTTGTTGATCTGCTCGATTGAGGCTGAAAAATGAACCACGGCAGGGCCAGAGGAAAAGAATGACGAGCAAAACTCTGGGACTGTACGACGTTGGGGGGGAAACAACCCGAGATCGGCAGGATCAAGTTAGCACTGCAACGCGATTGCGCTACGGGCGACTAACAGAAGAGCCGAAGAACCAAACAAAGCAGCTTGGTCCAATCTCCATTTCCATCGTCCCATAGAATGCACCTCTTTGGCACGGCTGCCGACACACCAGAACATGAATTGCGACTACCACGTACTGTGAGGCTGGTTCAGCCCTCGCCCTGGTCGATACTAACTACTCCATACTTATGCACCTAAGTACCTACTTACTTAGGTAAGTAGAGGATATATATGCCGCAGCAGATTCCACAGGGGGAAATGTGTGCATCAACCAGTTGGGGGGGGATAACCAGGCACTCGCCACTCTACGGAGTATTCTCCATTCTCCACTCTACTAAGTACCCTCCACACGTTGACGAACACTCCCATCACCAGCATCTCGACCGCGTCGGGAGTGATAATGCAGGTCTGGCAGCACCCATGTCCGATCCCAACGCGAAAGAAAGGGATTCGGATCTCACCGCCATCAGCAGGGCCAGCCGCACACACAAGCCAGGAGGTTGGATACTATGTAGTACAGAGGTGAGAGGTTGGTCGCACGACCCCGTCGCCATTCCCAATACGCGGCATTGAGCCGCAGCTAGCTGCCCAGGTAGCCATCGCCTGCCATCGCTACCGCAGTTTGCGCACGCCGGCACGGCCTGCGAGGGGGGCATGGTAACATCGGTTGGCCCTCCACTTCTATGTAGTATATTCGTCTTGTCCCTGCCATCACAGTGCAGCCGTCGCATTTCGTCCCATCCTCCGCAACCGACTGTCCCCCACACCCTCCCGCCGTCGCTGTCAGGGTTCTTGGTCCCCTTGGTCCCCTCGCCCGGCAATTAACTCGGTGCCCGGGTGCAACTGTGCGTGGCCCGTCACCTAGACCTGCTCACCATGTGCCTCGACACCTGGTCTCCGCTATAGCCCTCAGTTCCGGCATATACTCTTGTTAAGCTTCTGCCATCCAGCGCAACAGACGTTTGAAACCAAACATCTGAGAGGCTGTTGCCCAAAATCTGATGGTTCAATGTTTCAAGCCCCAATATGTGCCAGGCTGGGCCCCGGCGCTGGGCATGTGCGGACCTCGGGAGCTCAAGAAAGCTCGCGCTAACGATCAAGATAGAGATCTCCAGGGATCAGACTGTTAGTGTTAGGCCCGGCTCAGAAAAACGCCGTGAAAACACTCGGAACCAGTACCCTGATTCTGTGGGTATGGCAGACTACTTGTGCCTTCTCAGATGAGGGTGTAGTGATGGTCAGAGGCATATCGATAAACCCCTCACCAGCTCGTCCCCGTGCAATAATAACATGCTCTCTTACACCCTTATTACGACAGATGTTATACTATAGGCGGGGGTATAACATAGCTACCTTGGTATACCACGACTAGAGCTTAAACTGACGACTACAGGGACAAGACATACACGTATCTCAATTCCCTTGGCTCCTCATCCAAATGGCGAAACAAACGCACCTGCGGATTGGCAGATATCGACAAGAGAAACAGACCTTGGGATGGCGGTCATCGGATGAAACGCCCGTGTACAGATGCTGTTTGCCGCTGTCTCTCAGCGGGTTCATACAGGCAGACAGGGCGACACGGCGACAGGGCGACAGGGCGGTTTAAAGAAGCAGAAAAGTAAAAAGAAATGCCAACCAGGCTGCCAGGCTGTCACCCTACTGGACAACCACCTCTGTCTCATCTTCGCCTTGCCGCAGAATCACTGATGAAGTGAGACTTGGTACAGAAATCTTGCTTTCAGGCCTCCACGCCCACCGAGATGTCACGGAAGGGGGTCAAATCGGCGCCATCCCCGGTCGTGCCAGACCTGCACCGCCAATAAGCCCTCATGCGCCGGGGCCGATTGTCTCGGATTGGCCGGGATGCACCTCGTCAGTCTTACGCCCACCGACCGGCCAACGCTGCGAGACAGGCACACAGCACATGTATATCTACTGAAATCCCAACGACGTGCTTTCCCCCGGGGCTGCGCGATCCCGCCCGTCTGGCATCGGTTGATCGGTTGATGAGCTGCCTCAGGAAACGTGGTGTTGGGGGGTGGGAGGTGGTAGCTGAGACATATAGCTGTCTCCTGTGTCCCTCACCCGCCCTCACCCACCCTCACCACCAACATCCCGCTGCGCCAAAAACCCTTGGGAGGAGCCCTTCCTTCATTTTCCACGATGCTCTCCACGTCAGTTGAACACAAGCATTGGTCCAGACTTGTCATCGTATTTTTTATCGTAGTGCGCTACGCGGAGTGCGCTATACTATGTCGGTAGCAGGCTGCGGGCACACACCAAGAATAAGGTTTCGGTCGAGCAGGCGAGTCCCGCAGCTTGTCGATTCTTGGGACCCCTCCGTTCCACCTCGCGGGCCGACAGAGAAGGTCGTGAGCCTAGTTTTGGAGGCGCGAGCCCGCAAGACCCGAGGTTTTCTTTTGTTAAAAAAAATCTATCCTTGTCTCGTTTCTGAGAGGTCTGCCACTTTGAGGCTGCTGCTCCAGTGAGCAATTATGAACACATCGTCGGAAAAAAGGAATGGAATCCGGGCTAGAACAAGAATCCTCCGCACTGGGCCCAACCCCGACAGCTCGGCACCAATCTCCGGCGCGGCGCAGGCTAGCCCAGCAGCTTGGGACTTGCGCAACGCTTGCTCTCCTAGGCAAGGTGCGGGGTGAGGAAGAAGAATTGTTTCAGCGCCTCTGCCTGGCCATATCATGTTCTTGTTTCCCCCATAATCCCGCCCACAATGCCTCGCGTGTATCGTGCACCAGCAGGGCGCATGTTGAGCCGTTGAAGACGCCTGGGTTCCCCAAGCACACGCTCCTTGGCGATCATTGACTGGTATCAGTGCACCCGCGGCCGGGAGACGGTTGTGCTACAACTTCAGATTGGATTTGCATGGGCCCTTGGGCCATGACAGCCAACGAGGTGTGCATTCGTTTTGGCTTACGAGGTGACCGTACTCCAATACTACTTCAATCACGCAAGAGGTCAAAGATATCATGACCCGGAAGCATGACCATGAGCCACAGCGCCTCCACAATCCCTATGCCCACCCAATGCCTCACCCGCATTCGCCTGCGCAGTACAAATACGCAGTGTGCAAAGAAAACCTGCCACCGAACAGCACCGCCATGGGTTTCATTCCTCCTCCGTCCCTCCATCCCCGTTCTTACAAGGGGCTAGGGACCCTGCAGCCTGATGCTGTCACCAGTGAGCATCTCATAGGCTGAGCAAGTCGGACGTTTTCCCTCATGCCCACCACGATAAGGGCTCTTCTGCAAGATCCAGGAGAGTACGTCCCGGGGAGGATGCGGACGAGTCGAGCACCTCTTCATCAAGGCAAGGAGTCCCCGGCGGGAAAGGAGTCTCCACGTAGCTCCAACCCCAGCCGAAGATCGCACGCCCCTGCGGGTCTGGCCTGTCGGAATAGAGTTCGACTGGGGACCCTAGACCTCCCCCAGTGCCGTGTCGTTTTGATTTTGACGCGGGATCGTGGAGACTGCCCGTCAGTGTAAACCCGGCCCTTGACCTGGGGACCTTTCTACCTCTAACACCCTGCACGCTCCCAACAGCAGGCCCCCCTCGCTTGCCCTGCAGGCCCCCCAGTCTCCAAAATCTGGAACAGAGCTAATAAGCGTGGGAAATATCCCGAGGGAACCACGAGGGGTAGCTTGTAGAGCTCCTCCTGTACTACATTATTAGTATAGAGTGCTGGCCCCTCTCTCCCAGAGCTCCCCCATGTGCGATAGAATTAGTGGCGTTCCATTTTAGCGTCCTGCAGACACGGAGACAACCACGTTTCAACGGACAGAGTCAAGCCCTGGCTGGTAGAAGAATTATCCTACATGGGTCCCGGGCGGCCTGGCTTCCACCGTGGCCTTGGTGCTGCTCAGTGCAATGATATTATGGTGATTCGGATCGCAACCGGGTCCTTGAGGCTTTCTGGATAGCGTGTACATTTTGCATACCGCTCAACCCCATTGAGAAAGACATGAGAGAATAACTCCCCTCCCCAAGTAGTACTACACATTCAAAAAACTTCTCTCATGAACGAAGCATAAGATAAAGGAGAAGAAAATGACGTGTAGCATCTCAGAGGCCTCAGGAACAGCAGTCCTGCACGCAGATCACAACCTGTGTCTCGCCTCCTCGCCCTCAGTCCCAGCACAGGTGATCACTCACTACGAGTCGTGATAGTGGCTTGGGTGGGTGTCCTCGCTCGGTATTTTCCACCAAAAGCGCCCCTAGCGAGCACTGAGCGCCGCAGTTGGAGGCTGTGCCCAGGAGATTGCTACCGCACTACACTGTATATGTTCGTGCCAGGCCCCGCCGTCACCGTCGTCGTTGCGGTGGGGTCGACCGATCGCTCCCGGTGCCTGGGCCGGCCAGAAAAGCTTGACAGCCAAGCCAAGGCCCAGGACTCCTGGATGCCAAGTGTCCTGCGACAAGCTGTTTTAGGGGTCGAAGTGCACTCTGCTCACCCTGAAGATGTTGAGGATCTTGGAGCATGCCTTCTAGAAGCTGTTATCGCTCAGACGGCAATACCCAACCAAGAGACGAGTACAACAGTCAAAGATCTTCGTTAACCAGGGAGGAACACACGGCCTATGCTTTTGAGTCAGTGACGTGCAAACCCGTTGCAATGCGTGACAGTGCTGGGCCGGGTTGGCAGGTTGGCCCACTGGCACCTAATAAGCTTGACGCGGATGAAGTCGATTATCTAGAGCACGGGCCGTCTGCAGGAAGGGCCCTCAGCAATGTGGAAATTTGCTGGACGATCGGGAGGATGATCCTCTCGGTTTCTGCAGTAGGTCGAGACTTCCGACTATAGACCGGGTCTGGTGATATTCCCTACGTTGTGCGAGTCAAACGCCGCGAGCTGTCGACGAAGACTCGCTCCGTCTGCTCAGTATGTGCACTCTTGGACCACAGTGCAGCCGCTGGTAATGTCTCTGGTGGAACTCACTGCACGATAGGAGAAAGGATCGACCATATTCATTCATTTCATAATGGGCGGGGCAAGCTCGTGCCTCCCTCTGGTTGTCTGATATCTCTGTCAGCCAAGTCGAGTATCCAAGGGCCTGCTTGCACACCACAAACGCTGTTTTACGCCGCAGCGCAAAAACGCTTCTTGCCGGCGTCCGCGAAAGTGGCCTGCGGACTATCGCTGTTGCTTCTCGCCGTGCTGTCTCAAACGGCCCCCGGGGAGACGAAGTGCACGCTTGGGGGGATGCCTCCTCATGCCGGCATGGGGAACTCTCATGGAGAACGAGCACCCAGTCCACGAGTGATACACCGCCGTGGGTGGCTAGGTGCCCAGGGGTTGCTGCCGCAGGGTATCTGCCCGGCCGCAATCTTGTCAAACGATGCCGTGATAGAAACCGCACAGTCCTTCGGACAGACGCCACAATGCAAGGCACCCGGCCCCAAGTTCTAAGTTGGACGGCTCTGGGACGAAGCGGGGTAAAAATAGCATACCATGGCGTCCGAGTGCCCATTTCCAATCGGTCACTTGATCCAGCCCCCGGCATGCAAAGACAAGCAATGCGGGCTGTGGTAGATCATGACAGGACATTGACTACTTGAGATGAGGGACTGGATGCAATGCGATATGCGAGCTTCGAGGACGTCTGATCCAGGCACTCGTCGTCCTGGGTGCCAGTAGTTGCTGGGGAGGCCCTGCAGGCATGTCATCTCAAACCACCAGTCGGCATGAAGCTTCGTGTTGTAAGCATGGGGGTGGTTTCCCTCCCTCCTTCTCCTGTCTGTCAAGTCAGCAGCTGGATCGGGCGGTTTTCATCCCAAGTGCATCACCCTCCCCTGGTCTGCCCCTCCCATTGGAACAGCTTGGCAGCTCACATCACCTCGAAACAAAATCTTCGGCCTGGCCGACTCCCATCATCCAGGAATGCGTGCAGGAAGGACGGCTGTTTCAATGCTCCGTGAAGGAGAAAAAAAAAGGGTGAGGAAGACGGGACGCTGCAGGCACCGGCCTCTCGTGTTTATTAGTGAGCAACGAGAGTTAGTCGAAACATGTTTCGGCACACGCCAGCCGACAGGTTCGGACCCGTTGTTTGCTTTATTCCTCTCAATAGCATTGCAATCACATCACGGCTCGGGCTCAAACCAATATGGCTGCGGCAAGCCACCATGGATCAAAGACAATGTGCTCAAGGGACATCAATGCAAAGTGGGCCGTTGAGGGCGAGGCTCCAGATGTCACGGTCCCGAGGTCCTGAGGTCCTGCGTGGGGGTTATGTAAGCAGGAAAAAAGTGGACAGCGGCTAGGGTCGCTGCTGCCGCGGTGCTGAAGCCGGCGATAGCCTTGCTGCTGGGCCAACAGAGGCGACAAGCGTTGTCGTGCCACAACCGCCGCCTGCGTGAAATATCCCCCATGCTGCTGCGGGCAACCTCTCTGTTCCAGGGAGTCAAGACCAGCCCTCGCATCGTCTCAGCCGCCTCACGTCGTGCTTGCCGTCCTGCCCAGGCTCCATCCTGTCTGCCCGTGATCGCCAGGGCCTCGGTCCAGGTCCGCTTCTTCTACAAGCCCAACATGGCTGTCAGGGACCCCAGTACCGTCTCCAACTACGATGCCTGGCGGACAAGGCACACCACGGCCAACCTCAAACTCGACTTCAAGGAGAAAGTCCTGCGCGGGGTGGTCACGCTCGAGCTCGAGTCGCAGACGGACAAGGGTTCCAGGGAGATCATCCTTGACTCCAGCTATCTCTCGGTATCCTCCATCAAGGTCAACTCAAACGAGGCCGGGTGGCAGGTCAAGGACCGGGCGGAGCCGCTGGGCTCGCCGGTCCACATCTCCGTGCCTGCTGGCGCGGCCAAGTCGGAGGTGGTCAAGGTCGACATCGAGCTGGCCACGACGGACAAGTGCACCGCGCTGCAGTGGTTGACGGCCGCGCAGACCTCAAACAACAAGTCCCCCTTCATGTTCTCGCAATGCCAGGCCATCCATGCGCGCTCTCTGTTCCCCTGCCAGGACACTCCCGATGTGAAGTCCACCTACTCGTTCAACATCACCTCGCCCCACGTGGTCGTGGCCAGCGGCGTCGCCTCCGGTGAGCCCGAGGCCCAGAGCGGCGGTGACAAGCTGTACTCCTTTGAGCAGAAGGTCCCCATTCCTTCATACCTCTTCGCCCTGGCCTCGGGAGACATTGCCACGGCTTCCATTGGTCCCCGGTCCCTCGTGGCCACAAGCCCCGACAGGCTGGGGGCTGCCAAATGGGAGTTTGAGCATGACATGGAGACGTTTATGGAGGCTGCCGAGAAGCTGGTGTTCCCATATCAATGGGGCCAGTACAACGTGCTGGTCCTGCCGCCGTCGTTCCCGTACGGGGGCATGGAGAACCCAATCTACACCTTCGCTACCCCTACCGTCGTTTCCGGGGATCGTCAGAACGTGGACGTCATTGCCCACGAACTCAGCCATTCGTGTGAGTTTTATATCCTTCTTAAAGGTAAACCCCATAATTAAAGCTTCAATTAATGGTCTAATCTCATAGGGAGCGGGAATTTGGTGACAAGCTGTAGCTGGGAACACTTGTGAGTCTCTCTTGTAATTCACACCAGTCATCTTACTAACGCTGTCCAGCTGGCTCAACGAAGGCTGGACAATGTACCTGGAGCGCCGCATCAACGCGTCAATCCATGGTCCCGCCTACTTCGACTTCTCTGCTGTGATCGGGTGGAAGCATCTTGGTCAGTCTGCTATGAGCTTGGACAGGACCAGTGGCGCAGTGGAATGCTAATGAGATGTCTAGAGGACGCAATCCAGGAGTATGGCAGAGACCATGAGTACACACAACTATCCATACCTCACAAGGGTATTGACCCCGACGATGCGTTCAGTACTGTGCCTTATGAGAAGGGCTTTCACATGATATACTATCTTGAGAGACTCGTTGGCAGGGCTAATTTTGATAAATTCATCCCCTACTACTTTGAGAAGTGGTCCAGGAAGTCTTTGGACTCGTACGACTTCAAGGCCACCTTCCTGGAGTTCTTCGGAGCACCAGAATACTCTGATCTCAAGGACAAGATAGCCAAGATCGACTGGGAGACGAGGTTTTACGGCCGTGGGCTGCCACCAAAGCCTGAGTTTGACACCTCACTCATCGATGTCTGTTACAAACTAGCCGATCAGTGGGAGGACAAGGTAATTGAATCCCAGAATTTGTACTCATTTCGCTCATGGCACTGACATTAGCTCCACAGGACTACTCGCCTAAAGCCAAAGACGTGGAAGGCCTTGCCGCCAACCAGAAGCTCGTCTTCCTCGGAAAGGTGCAAGACTTCAGCAAGCCACTGAGCGTTGCACAGGCGGAGAAAATGGGAGATGTATACGGCTTCCTCAGCAGTCAGAATGTCGAGCTCAAGGCCGCATACTTCCACATTGCCCTGCGGTCCAAGGTCACAAGCACCTACCCTTTGGTTGCCGAGCTTCTGGGCCAGGTTGGACGGATGAAGTTTGTGCGCCCACTCTTCAGGTCCCTCAACAAGGTCGACAGGGAGCTCGCTCTCAAGACATTTGAGAAGAACAAGGATTTCTACCACCCAATCTGCAGGGCTATGGTCGAGAAAGATTTGGGCGTTGCCGCCGAGGCCAAGCAGTGATCGAGGCCAAATGTACATACGGGAGAATCTTTACCAAGTAGATAATCACACAAAGCATCCACTACAGTCATCATTACCAGTTAGGAGGAGCAACTGCCCCCCCCCCCCTTGTTTTTGGCCAGTCTTCGTCGTCGGAACCACTGCAAACAGGCTTGCTTGTCAGTTCTGGTTTCGTTTCTAATCCCCGTACACACAAGACGTGGGTGGCGCCTTGACCCAGTGGTAAGCGCTCAAGACCCAGGGTTGAAAAAAAGCACAATGCCAATAACAGTGCAGAGAGAATACAATCCGTGTATAGGTACATGAGATGTCTCCATCAGCAAAGGAAATTCTGTAGTGCCGGGATGGGTCTTGGACGAGGTTATCAGGCGCGAATCTGACGTTCAAATTAAACAATTTGCTTGCTTTAGCTCGGCATTAACATACCTAGGTAACTACCTAGGTAGGCAGATAATCCATTTTAATAGTTTCAGCATAGACTCGAACCAAAGATTGGAGAGCAAGATGTAAGATTGCAAAGAGTAGAGGGATACGACATCTGGAGAGTGCTTGCAGTAGAGTTCTGAGGCAAAGTCCGAAGATTGTGTTAAGAACAAAAAGAAGATACCTTTTCTGAGAGCGTTTCGCGGAATATACCACTGCTTAGAACAAGCTGTCTCTCATGATCCATTCCGGTCTTTGCTACCACTGAAAATCACACGCCCCGGCCATCATCCCATATCATGGCTATCAAATGGAGCGACCGCTTTTAACTTTCTATATATAGTGTGGTTTTATTTCTATTTTATATATATTTAAGGATATATATAATACCTTTATATAATAGTAAGTATTTAAGATTTAATATTTAAAAAGAATATAATATTAATAATAATAATTATAATATTATAAGTATATTTATAGTTTTATTTTTATAATATATAAATAAAATTAAAAGGTATTATTTTAATAGTAATATTAATTAAAATATTATAAAGAAGTTATATAATAAGATTAAATCTTTAAAAATAGTTATTGTATAAATAAATTATATTAAAAAAAGTTTAATTAAAAATTATCCTTTTAAATATATATATATATTTTATAATAAAACTTTTATTAAATAAGTTTATAAAATTAATATTTTAATTTTTATTTAAATACATAATTAACTTTAAAAAAACTTAAAATAAAGAAATAATTTATAATAAGCTAATATCTACTTACCTAATAATTATATCTACTTACCTAATTTTTTTTAACTACTTACCTAGTATAAGAATTTATATATAGAGCCTATATAAAACTATATACCTAACTAAGATTCTTTAAATTTTTAATACTTTTAATATAAGCCCCTTCTACACACCTTTTAGCACACCTTCTAACACACCTTCTAAACCTTCTAACCTATATGCATTTAGGTATTAACTAAGTATTTAGATACTAACTAAACACTAAAGGGCTAGAAGTTAAGAAGGTAAAGGTAAAGAGTATATACTTTTTAACCTTCTAACCCTCCTTCTAACCTTCTAACCCTCTAGACTTCTAGCCTTTTAATGTTTAGTTAGTATTTAAATACTTAATTAGTACTTAAATATATATATACTAGAAGGTATACTAAAAGGGGTGCTAGAAGGTATACTAGAAGGTATGCTAAAAGGGGTGCTAGAAGGGGTATTAAAAGAGGCTTATACTTAAAGTATTGAAATTAAAGAAGGAAATTATACTATAAGGTCTTTTAGTATTAACTTAAAAGGTATTTATAAATATAAAGGAGTTACTTAAAAAAATTAATATTAAGTAAATAGTTAATAGAAATTAAGTAAGTGGATATAATTATTAAATAAGTAGATATTAGTTTATTTATAATATATTATTTTTAAAACTTTTATAATAAAGTATTAAAACTTTTAAAAAAAGTTTTAAAAATAATTTATAAAAAAATAAAAAAAAAGTATAATAAGTTTATTTTTTTTAAGTTTATACTTTTATTATTAATAATTATTAACTTTTTAATAATATAAAAAAGTATAATAAAAATAAAAGAAAAAATAAATTTAAAGTTCCTTTATAAAAGGATTATAAAAATATATATAAAGTTATTAAAGACTTTATATACAAGTTTTAGACTGGGGAAGAAATGAGTGGTTATATAGTGTAAAGGAAAAATACAGTGTGGCTAAAGCCTTTTAACTTTCTACTCGAGATATATCTGTCGCTGGTTGAGTTGAGGGGGACTATGTTCTGGATGAATCCTAGTGACATTGTATGTTATAAAAACTATGAACACTCCATGACATCGCGCTAGTAGCGGTTTTCGCGCAACGCTTCGGGGTGGGTTTCCAGCAAGTTTAGCACTCGGTCTCCCACAAAATGAATGATCGGGCCCGAGCCACACCCCGCCGGATGTGCACCAGTAGCCATCAAAAGAGGAGCAGCAAGCCCCCTCCCACCTTGGGCAAGTATGGGGTGACTGAGTTCTCACAGGATGCAAGAAGGGTTCGATGCAACTCTCAAGGTCACGTGGGCGCGAGGACGAAGACACTGAGCAACCGGGAACGACTGTTTCAGGGATGGCGCATGCCAGAGCCTGCTCTTCCGCCTGACTTGCCCGCCCAGGTACAGCCAGCGGGATCAGCGAGGGTTGATCGGACTCCTCAGTACAATGCGTCAAAAATGGGAGATAATTAGGTGCTTTAAACGCTTGTGGAACTTGGCAAATGATATGAACGACATGTTTTGGGCCGCAGATACCAGGCTCTCTAGGCAGAAGTGTACCACAGCTTGTACGACATGTCATGCTGGAGCGAGTGGCAGAAGGGATTTGGTCACCTCATCAGAAAGTGCGCCACTAACATCTTACGCACTTCAGCAGGGCCACGAAGTGCGAGAAACTCGGGGGCGGCCCGTTACTCGTGCAAATATAGCGTGCTCAGGGAGGACTTGGAGGTGGCAAAGGGAAGGTCGAGCGCAAACACATATCAGGGCGCCAGTGGTAGGTTCTGAAGCACCATTCCTTGGAGCGTTTCTGATGATATGAGCACAACAAAGGCAAGCTACGTGTACCTCGTATATCTACCATCATCAAGATGCCATGGCCGATAAGGTCTTTGTCCGGGCGCTCCTGCTGGAAGGCGGAAACGACTTCGAGGCTGGCGGCAAGATGTTCCCCGCACGCAAGCTGGAGTTGTTTACAGGATCTCAAGGACAGTTTGGAGTCCATTTGAATGAATGTCTCTGTCAAGGTTTACTGCAGGTGAATCAACATGACAAAATTGTACATACTATCGAACAAGTCAGCTCCAAGGTTGCTACTACAGTGGGGCTGAAAAAGTCTTAGGATACTTCTTATTTCTACACCTAAAGTTACTAACTTTAACTTAAGTTTTAATATATTATAAAATAGTTGAAAATTTAACCTTTTAATAAATATAAATATAATATATTTAATATATTATAATATTTTTTATAATATTAAAAATAATTATTTAAAACTTTTATTAAACTTTAAAAATAATAAAATTAAAGAATTTTAAAATTATTAAGGAATTTAAGCTTTAAGATCCTCTATAAAGGTATTAATAACTTAAATTACTTTTAAATAAAAAAGAAAAAAACTTTTTTAAACTTTTATATCTTTAAATTAATTATTAATTATCTTTCTTTAATAATCTTAATAATTATTATTATATATTAATAATAAATTTTACTTAAAGTTTCATATATTTTTAATATTTTAAAATTAAGTTTATAATAAAAGTATTAAAAAAGTATATTAATATTTAAATTTAATATAATTATTTAAAAAGATTTTATTTTTTTATTTTTTAAAATCTTTATATATAAAATAATAAGTAAATTAATAAGTATTAATATAATTATTATTTTTATATTATTATAGGGTTAATTATTTAAAGTATATTTAGAATGTGAGGGTTAGGATTTTAAAGTGTCCTAAGACTTTTTCGGCCCTACTGTAGATGTGAGCTACCAGGTCGCCGAGGGAGGGGCCCCGCTGTGGGGTTCCTGTGCCCCTCATACCCTCGGACGCGTGCAGTACTACTCCGTACCAAAGGCTTCTAGCAGCACTGGACGCGTGCCACCGCATGTGAACTACCCTTTCTTTCAACGCCGCGTCGCTTGTTCTCTCGAAACCAACCACAAAGACTGCAGCCTACCAGTCCCCCGTGATCTCTCCTGATAATGTGCTCTTGCATCAGGACGTTGAATATGACGACATATCAACCTCAAGTCGGCCTATCACAACCAACGCGTTGGCCTTGAGCTATCGTGAGCACTGCTAGCCACCATGGCATCGCGACGACTACCAGCAGAGCCTATGGATCTCTCAGATGATGATGCAACTGCCTCTACTGCTGGAGATAGTCGGTCGGTCTCGCCGAGCCTTGGCAGGCGGAAGTGCGAAGACCCAGACGACATCTTTGCCGACGACCCTGACAATTTCTACGAAGAGTTTATGCAGAGCAGGAAACGAAAACGAACCTCAGGCAGGGTCTCGAAGCCCAAGAAGGGCAAGGGCAAGGGCAAGGGCAAGGGCAAGGGGGAAAGCCTCTCTGACGCAATCAAGGGCGAAGACGACGCGGAGTTCCTGGACGGAGATGGGCTTGTCGAAGCACTTGTGCCGGACCATATTCGCCAACGTCGCCGGCTCTTCGAGGAGAACAGGGAAGAACTCTCCGCGGCCGGCCTGAAGCTGCCACCCGACTATGCAGACATAGAATTCTCAGATGATGAGAGGGATCCGAGACAGTTAGAACGGCGGCCCAAATTCGACGACATCAAGCCGTGTAGGCCGTGCGAGGAAATCGTCCTGGATCTTTCCGGGGGCGTGATACCGGCGTGCATTGCACAATACCTCCGAGACTACCAAGTTGAAGGTGTCCAATTTCTACATCGCCACTTCGTGTATCAGACTGGATGCATCTTAGGGGACGATATGGGCCTTGGGAAAACTGTCCAGGTTGCTGCATTCCTGGTTGCTGCCTTCGGCAAGACTGGAGACGAGAGGGATGGAAAGAGGCTCCGAAAGATGTCTCGCTACGGTAGAGAAAAGGAATATCCTCGCGTGCTTATCATCTGCCCCGGATCGCTGATCGAGAACTGGAAGAATGAGCTCAACCGCTGGGGCTGGTGGAAAATCGCGCTCTACCACGGCTCCGAAAAGCAGGATGCCCTGAAGTCAGCAGAAAATAGCACCCTGGAGGTCATGATCACGACATACGAAACATACAGGAAGGATGAGAACAAGATCAACCTGATCCCTTGGGATGCTGTCATCGCTGACGAGTGCCACAAGATCAAGGACACCCGCACCCAGATCACACAAGCGATGGACCAGGTCAACGCTCTCTGTCGCATTGGTCTGACTGGGACCGCAATACAGAACAAATACCAAGAGCTTTGGACCCTTCTCAACTGGACCAACCCTGCTCATTTTGGGTCTAGTTCTGAATGGGAATACAGGATCACCAGTCCCCTCACGCTGGGCCAGTCCCACGATGCCACCTTTCAGCAGCTCAGCCGGGCGAGAAAAGTTGCCAACGATCTGGTGCAGAAGGTCTTACCGGACTTCTTCCTTCGAAGAATGAAATCACTCATAGCTCATCAACTACCAAAGAAATCCGACAGGGTTGTGTTTTGCCCGCTGACGGACTACCAGAGGCTGGCATACAGGAATTACCTGGAAAGCGACGAATGTCAAATGGTCAGACGGAGTGCTGAACCGTGCGAGTGTGGTGCAGTTGGCACCGATGGCAAACCAAAAAAGCGAGGCTCGTGCTGCTTTGAGAAGCTGCCAGATGGAAGGCGCTGGGAGGCGCTCGTCTTTCCGGCCATTATGACTATGCAAAAGATTTCGAACCACGTAACTCTTCTCCTTCCAAAAGACGAAGATTCCCAGGAGAAGAGGGATGCTGCTTTAGATAGGTTCTCAAGCTGCGTCTCGGATTGGAGGACCGTTTATAGGAATCGGAACTCGCTCCAGCTGCTGGCCGACTCAAAGTTCTGTGGTAAATGGAGGATTTTGAAGAAGCTTCTCAGCTTTTGGTATGAGAATTCGGACAAGGTTCTCATATTCTCCCACAGTGTTCGTCTTCTCAAGATCCTTCATCATCTGTTCACGAGCACGACGACCTACACCATGAGTTTCCTCGATGGCAGCATGGCTTATGCGGACCGGCAGAAGGAGGTGGACAGTTTCAACTCGGACCCGGACCGGTTTGTGTTCCTTATCTCAACTAAAGCGGGAGGCGTTGGCCTCAACATTACATCGGCGAACAAGGTGGTTGTATTCGACCCGCACTGGAATCCATCTTGGGATCTCCAGGCTCAGGATCGAGCCTACCGCATCGGTCAGGTTCGCAATGTCGAGGTTTTCCGCCTCGTCTCTGCTGGCACGATAGAGGAGATCGTGTATGCAAGACAAATCTACAAGCAACAACAGGCCAACATCGGCTATAACGCATCAAGCGAGCGTCGGTACTTCAAGGGCGTGCAGGAAGATCCATCAAGAAAGGGCGAGCTCTTTGGCCTGGCGAACCTCTTTACGTTTCAGACTGACAAAGTGGTCCTCAAAGATATTGTCAACGCAACTAACATCGCTGAAGCGAGAGCCGGTGTGCATCTGTTCGATGTTGACATGGCCAAGGTCGAGCAGGACAGTGAGTTCAGTCAGATCAAGAAAGAGATGCCAGGCGATGACGACCGGGACAACGGCATAAGCCAGCTGGCCGCTCTAGTCAAGTCAGAGGCCTCAGGTGATGTCCCCAAGCAGACCAACGAGCCCAAAAAGGATGCAATCCAAGCGATTCTAGCCTCAGCAGGCGTCGAGTACACTCATGAGAATTCCGAAGTCATTGGGACCAGCAAAGTCGAGGCCCAGCTATCGAAGCGCGCTGCATTCGCGGAGGAAATGGATCTTGATGACCCCGAAGGTCGAAGCCTGTTGCTCGCAGACAAGCTAGTCAATGAGGCCTTTGAAGATGGGCCCGGCTACACATACACGTTCAACCCACCAGATGATGTCATGCAGAGACAATTTTGCACCATGGCCCGGGAATTTGGCTATTCCAGCACCACGGAGTTTGCTGTCGTTGTGCAAGGCTGGACGCAGGAGCAGCGCCGAAACTGCCTGGACACATTCTACAGGAGGCGAATGGAGAAGATACTTGGGAGTTTCAAGCAGGATACTGCAGAGAACGAGGACATGATCAAGGCGGAGCACGGTACCTTAGAGGACACCGACATGGACTCGCGGTTTAACAGTCGTCAAGGTGGTCGAGGGGGCGAGCGCGCCGATGAGAAGGTCAAAATCGAGGACGATTCGGTTACATCGGTTGGCCTGGCCGCAAGGACCAAGGCTGAGACCAAGCAGGAGCCGGCTTTCAAGGAGGACAAAAGTGGCATAACAAAGAGCCTGGCCTCGTCTATCTTCATCTATGACGATGACTCCGACGTGCTTTGAAAACAGGGAATTTTCCTCTGTCTTCTTTTTTTGGGGGGTTTATGGAGTCCACGCGATCGATACCCCAAATCTATTGGAATGATGGCGCCTGAGATACTTCTACTGAAAACAACGAAGCCTTGACTGAACTCCCACCTGTTTGCCACTTCTATTCGTGACGATCTGAGAGGGCCGTTTCTAAGCGGACCGCTTTCAGTTTACAGCACCCAGAGATCAACGGCAACCTCCTCCCGAGGTCGTAATAGCTTCAGGCTGGCACTGATTCCACCGAAAGACTTTAATCTAAAGACTGAGCGAGTACTCCTCTACGTATTATCACCGTTTACCGCCTCATGCGAACAAGTTGATTGATGCTATTGGCACTGCGACGAAGCTGCTCTCACCACTCCGTCGTCACTGATACAATGCCTGACAGAGAACGGACTCAAGCAAACACAGGGCAGCCGACCACCATTTCTCGCACCTTTCCGAGACCGCTGCCGATGTCCTTTAAATGTGAGATCGCATATTCGCACCCGCAAAAATGGAGGGTACACTCAATCCCCAAGGAATAAAATCCTATGGGATAATTTCCTACTAACCAACGTCTAATAGGACAACCTCCTATGGGGTAAATTCCTATAGGATTAGCCTATAAGACAACTGGTTTGGTACTAACATGAGTACTTTGATCTTTAAGTTGCCTATATATGTAGTATGGGTGTACCCTCTGTTTTTGTGGGTGCGAATATCCGGTCTCTTAAATGTTCAGAGTCCACAGCACGGTACGCAGTCGCGCCGGTTTATCCACCTCCCCCCCCCTTCACCGACATATTTAGGCAGTGTTTGAGGTGAACCTGAACTTGTGCTTCAGTACCCAAATCTTGTACGACTCGAGGTCGACACACACCCGGATACCTGCATGCGCGCCCGGTGATGCTGTGAGCTCAAGCGGGTGCCACCGATCTGACGACAGCCTGCCACCATGCTCTGCCCTGATAGAGACATACTCGGAGGCGTGATTGCTTGCTTGGCCCCCATAGCAACCTGCGCCGCCCTTCGCCTCGTTGCCACTTGCCGGCGGTCAAGTTCTCGCGTGCATTGTCTGGCAAAGCGCATTGTGTTTGTTTGCGATTTGTGAATGCACGGCGCCTGGAGTTGAGCTCACCTGCCCTGGAAAAGATCAGATTGAGCAGGCAAGAGATGATGATAGCACGGCCGATTCGAAGCGATTGACCTGCGGCCGCATTCGGCCCTGCGTAACAACACATGTTCTGCACCCCTCGCGTGGTCTGCCTGTGCAATCGGACTGTCACTCCATGCTGCCACGCGGCGGCCCGAGTAGTGCTTCTGCCGTCATCTTCGTAGCTTCCGCTATCTGAGGCAGGTGGCCGTCCGCTCCTCATTCGCCTGACACGCCGCGCAGCGTCGCCGGCCAGGTGACCAGGAGCCGGTCAGGACAAGCCACCCAGCCCTTGACCCCCATCTCACCACCGCCCAGGGTATCGTGTTCGCGTGGGAGGATCGTTCTCCCTCCCCGACCCTCGCGGCAACCACCCATGGCGAGAGCTATAACCCGTGCAAGCCCCCTGTTCGCGGCACCCAGCCAATATCTCCTCACCGATCGACACCGGGCACTCCTGCACGCCCACAAGGTGGACGTGCGACCCAAGAATAAAAAAGGGCCCTCGCCTGTGTCACGGCTACACAGCAGTAGCGTCACCACCACCACCAGCGGTATCTTTCCAGTCATGTAACCATCAGTCCCTCAGCTATACCGAGATATCGACCACGCCCCATCCTCCCTGCCAGTATCAAGCGGTAAGCTGCTGCCGTCCCACGTCAAGGTGGAAAATCCGGGGCGTCTGGCACCAGGGGAGGCAACAAATCCCCCGATAGGCCGGGCCACCCACTCTCAACATTCTCCCCGCCTCGTTCCCCGGTTACCCCGATCGCTATCTCACCTTTATCCTTGAATCCCACGAAAAAGTCCCGTGTCAGCCCTCCCGTCTTTATCCCATTTACCACAGCCAAGGTGGGATTACGCGGCCGACCGGCCGGGCCGGCCCACCCCTCGATACCCGACTCTCTCACCTCACACCACTGACGATGTGTGGCGCATCGACGAGTTTCATCTTCTGCCCCGCCTAACCAGAGCCACAGAAGGTAGCACGTCGTCGTCGGTGAGGTTAGAGAAGCTAGTCAACCAGATGGGGTGGTGTGGGGGAGGGGCCAGGTCTTCGCCCCGGGTTGAAGGCTAGATGCTAGCAGTGGTGCCTGGGTTTCTGAGCAAGTAATTTGGGGCCCTGTCGCTTCGTGGTTGAGAGAGGTGATTGGCCCAAGGTATATCAAACAAGATGGCGAGTATTTGGTACGCACAACAATTATGCGAATGACGGTGTGTGTGTGTGCCCTCCCCCATATGTAGCCTGAAGACTGCTGTCACTCATGCATGTACGAATATATAGCCGGCGCAAAAGTTCCAGTGGCATGGGAAACTGAGTGGTAACACAAAATGGGGGCGGTCTTACGTTGTAGCTATGCAGAGTGCATTCAGCGCTTGTCTGATGACAGAAGAGTCCCTGAAGGATCGTGAATTCGCTCCTGCAACGATGTACAAGCGGGATGCGGCGGTAAGTTGGCGGGAGACATGTTGGTTTCATTGTATAATAATCCATTGTTCCTTGTGTATACCACCAAAATGTCAGAAGCTCTTGGACGACACAGATCCAAACAAATACGCTCGTTCTGTTCACCGACTTCAAAGGTTGGTTGGTTGGTCGTTGCAGGATTCATCCCATCTCATCTCTACTCATAATTGAGCTACTGGTCCCTCAGGGCTCCTTTTGCTGTGATTGTAGATAATTTCAGGTCTGCCTCCTGGGAGCTCAAGGCCCGAACTGTACGCACAAACGACTATGCAGTCATCATCAACCCTGTTCAGCGTTTATCCTGCCCGTTCGACGTCGAGCTGTTCGCCCATCCACATTCGTGGTGTGCGCGCCCAACCCCAGAACCCGCACTAGCGTCGCCCTGTCGCGCACCTTCGGTTCGCTGTCACAATCCTGAGGGCTGCATCCTGCAAGTAGAAGTTGAGAGTCATTACAATGTAGTACTGGTATGAAAATCATACCCCACTAGAGACCTGGTCGCCGCCGTACAACGGGGCACTTGTGCTTACGGGTGAAGGTTTGGTGGTGGCGATGCTTGTGGGTCGGGAAAACGGGGGGGGAGGGGGGGCGGCATCTTCGATGAGACGAGGATCAGTCCACGAAACGGCCTGAGTACATATGTATGATAGCTTCTTCCGATGGACGCCGTCTGAAGGTGGTCCTATGGGACTGTGCCAGACCGGAAGAGCAAATCGACCACCAAACCCGGGCACTGGAGTAACCCAGGCTCAAGTTGGACCATAAAATTTGCTGAAATGGAAGCCGCATGTTGGGCCAAATTCTGCTGAAGGCCAGACCGAGACGACTTCCCGCTGTTTCCCTCAACGCCCGTCGTCCAAAGACGGGACCAAGTGAGGGAGGCGGCAAGGTGTTGGGCGGTGATCGGGATACCCTTCCCTCTGGACTCTCCTGACTCACCGGCTGACGACAACAAGAGTTGACAAAGTTACCGAGGGCCAGCTGCTATGTCAAAGTGCTGTGTACCAAGTTCTGTTTGCCTGGCCTCATCGTGATCCGTGCTGTTCACCATTCGCCCCCGAGCAACAATTGCTGCCCTCGTCCGAAGGCATTGCATCTCGATTTCAGCTCCCGGCCACCGCCTTCACCCAATCCGAGAGAACGATGCGAGGCGGAGCCGTTGTTTGTTTCAAAGGAGCCCTTCGTTTCAAGCCCCTTTGCTCGCGAGTGTCACCCTATGCGCGGTGAGCATGAAATTCCACCAGGGCGGAAAAGTGCTCACCTCACGGCAGTTTGTTTAGTTTGAACCCAAGACAGGAAACGGGACTAAGTTTGCTGATCGTTTCGATCTGCATTGCAAGCCGTTAATGACTCCATTGCCGTGGTCGCACATCACGACTGCTTTAACAACCAGTGATAGTACTCCGTATGGGCACTGCGGAGGCACAAGGGGTGGGCAAATGGTACAAGGCAGTGCCACCACTCATCACCACCCCGCGGCTACCTCCCACACAGGTAGAAAGCATGCCTAAGCTTCGCAAACATCACAAGGAGCGACCGAGTCCCTGCGCTTTCAGCGCTGGACACCCCGGGATGGCCGGAAGGTTGCTGCAAGGCAACGTGCTAGGGCATCAGACCAGTCTCACTGGCTCTCGTAGGCCGACTCAGGGGTCGTGAGGAGGAGCGTGAGACGGGCGTGCATGCTGTGACGCTCGAACCGTCCCTGGGTAAGCGGTCCACCCAGCATCATCCATTCCTTGGACGGCAATGACAAGGAGGCCAAGATGTCCCTCTTGCGCCCTACTCGCCGCCCCCCCCCCACTTCCAATGAGAGACCGTTGCAGCCCAGCGGATAGTGCTTCCGACCTAGGACGAACGCCATTCAGATCGAGGTGGGTGCCCCCCCCCCAGAGCCAGTGCCTGCCTTCTCGAGCGTGGCGAGGGGACCGGACCTTGGACCCTCGTCGAAGTCCACCCACAGGCACGCGCGAAGGTCCTGGGCAGCCGGTCGCCCGGTCGTGGCAGCTTGGGTGGTGGCAAGGTAGTACAAGCAGGCCAGTTGACCCACACTCGCGCACTCGCGCACTCGCAAGACCATGGGCAAACGGCTCATAGTGCCTCGATAGTCGCCAGCAAACGCAGTCTCGGCAACTGGGAGCTTGGACACAGGAGGCATGGGACCAAACATTGGATGTCGTGAGAATGGGGGCACGTGCTTCTAGTCCAAACAATCGGCAAATTAGCTCTTCAGAGGCCGAAGGTGATTCTGAGCTCTTCATGTTTGGTTTCAGCCACTGACTTGCAGGCTTGCAGGAGAAACAGAAGGGCTCGCGAAGAGTTCGGATGTCGGATAGGCTGGACATCTCTGACAAGCTTGGAAATGATTTGAGATGCGCCCCGGGCAGAGCATAGGCGGGGGAGGGAGCCCACTCGGACCCCCGGCGAAACAACAGCCGGGAGGCTCTTGTCAGGCTTGGCATCTGGTCGTTGAGGTTGTCATCGTGTCTCCAAAAGGACGGAGGGCCGCAAGTGACAGTGTCAGCGAGGTGAATGAAGACGCGACGATGAGAGCGGAACTGTAGCACATCTCGTTAGCCAATCGTAACCGGAGTATGATTGCGAACAAAGTGGGACAGGGCTAGAGTTTGGACGGCTGGGAGCGTCTGAGGGTAGCAGGAAGCTGATTCGTGGGCGATGAAACCTATAGGGCGGGACCGTTTAGCTGGCTCGACGGATAAGATGGCTGTCGAGTTATGAGCCGGGCAATGCGACGCCAGGTCTCGACTCGAGTCGAGGGTTCACTCGTCTGGTAAGAAGCACCCTTGCTGTCACACTGACAATCGTGGCGCAGCTTCATCCTTCACGTGGATGTCCTGTCCCAAAGAGCGGGCTGGCATGGTCAAATATGGGGGAGGGGGCGAGGACTAAGTTCGTCCTGGGTGCGCATGACAGAAACAGTGGCATAGGGGACGTCAATCAAACAGAAAGGGCGATCTGCTCTGCTGGCGCCGCGAAGTGTTTGTGTTCTGAGATTAGCACAAACGCGACTGGTTCGCCAAGGAAGGGCCAGGGCGAGGGCGAGGGTGAGGTGAGCAGGGTGAGCAGGGTGGGCATGCGGCGGAGAGACGGACGACTCCCTGGGACTCGGCCGACGGAGCGGGTGTGACTGCGTAGGATTCGGCAGAGTGCCGAGCGAGCGTCTTGGTCTCGCATGGTTTCACAAGAGCTGCCGCCGCATGACAGAACGGCAGGTAAGCAGGTGTGGGCAGGTGTGGGCAGGTGTGGGCAGCTGGGGTTGTCGACAGTCGACGAGAAAACGCCGTGGGCCGTGGGCCGTGGGTCGTTGGGCGATCATTGTTTGGGACCCGCGAACACGGGTGGAGGTACGGGTGGAGGTGTGTTTGGCGTGTCAAGCAAAAGGGCACGAGGACGCGATTGGTTGCTCATTGCAGCTTCACCTGGGAGCTGCCGGTCGATCATCCGCGTCCATGGCGCAGGCCACCGGCCAGTAGGACAGGCTTTCGGTGAGCTGTACGGAGTAGGTAGGTGTAGGGCTGCCTGGCAGCCCGGCGGTGGTGGACCAAAATGGACCAGGCGGTCCAGGCCTGAGTTCATCGCATGGGCTTATCCTTTGGGTAGCGTTTTGGGCTTGGGCTTGGATGGGACGGGACGGGCAGGGGTCGGGTCCGAAGGTGGAGCTGTTAGGTAAGCTGGGAGACGGCCAGACGGCCAGTCAAAGGGACGAAAGGCCGGATGGCACAGGCTGAAGGTAGACGCTAGACCAGACGGGTAGACTCGAGACTCGAGACTCGAGACCAAAGAGGCGAGGCGACGAGGGTGGGCACAGACTTGGCCCAAAAGAGTATGTGGGCTGCCCCCGGCCTAACCCTCGAGCCTCAGGAGACATCAGATGAAACCAGGCTGGCGGCGGCTCCTGCAGTCTGCAGTCTGCAGTCCTGGTCTCTTGGTGGGGAAACGACGAGTTGAAGGGCACAAGGGCACGAGGCCACAAGAGGCACGAGGCCAGAGGCACGGCTGACGGGGCTGGCGGGGCAGACGGGGTCGACCTGGGCCCAAGGCTGGCCTCGCTGCATCTCATCTGCCGAACATCAGCACCCAAAGACAAGACCGGACCTCCGGGCCAGTCATGTACAGCAGCATCTGGTCGGTGAGGGTGAGGGTGAGGGCGGGAAGGTGGCCGAGGGAGAGGGCCATCCATGACCGAGTCGCACCCGAATCGGATGCAGCCTAGCTCAATCTGGGTCTGAAGCAGCAGCGCCCGAGCCTGGACGAAGCTCACCAACCGGATCAAGCTGGGCTGGCTGGCACTGGCTGGCTGGCTGGCTGGCTGGCTGGTCGTCAGTGACATGTCGATGTGTTTGTCCGTGGGGCGGAGTATTGCACGTCGTCTCTGTCCTGGCCCCGTCTGGTCCTTCCCGCACGAGGCTGAGAGGGAGGGCTTGCTCGCTCGACTGCAGCCCGCTGCCGCAGAGCAAGAGGACCACTCTACCACAGTACTCGCTTGATCGGCCAACTCTATCAAGTTGTAAAATGGCCCACAGGCATGGTACTATGTACGTCTTTGCTGTCTGTCCCTAATTTTAGGAACCGCCCTCGCGTCATTCCCACCCTGGGCCGGGTTGACGAGCCCTACGAGTAATCCACCACCGACAGAGTCCCACCTGCCATAGCGGGCGACCGCTCCGCAAGGACCAGGCCCCCTTCGTTTCCCTGTCCAGGTCCAACTCCACGTCCATCGTCGATGCGCGATGTTGACAGCCGCCCTGGTATTATTGTCATTGTTGTTATTATCAACTTCAAACTTTTGAGGCTCGTGCTGCCTGCGCCGCTGCGGGTCATGCATGGCACGGCTTGCCCTAATTGGGTGACAGCAAGGCCGTGAACCGTGAACCGTGGACCGTGGATTCATCGCATGCCTATCCGGGCATGTGCCAGTGTGCAAGGGCAACCCGTGGCATTCCCCCAGCACGTCAATTTGGCATGTTGGGACACCTCTCAGCCCGAGCATTGGACGATCCACAACGCCCCGGCCTGCCAAAACTGCCAGAGCAGGCACCCTTGGCACCCAGGCTGCCAGGGGGACACTGGCAGGTGGCAGGCCGGGCCACAACCACCACGACGACGGCGACGACTGCGCATGAATGTGATGATACCTGATCCCTGGAGCCGACGAGTTTCTTCAGACTTCGGCTGAAACACAGGCTGAGCACTCCACCTCTGCAGTGTCCACCACACCCGAGCCCTCCTCCCACACCACCACCTGCCCTACTGCTACCCTGCGACCTGGAGATGCCATGGCCATGGCTGTCGGAGGGGCAGAGGGGGGGGGCAGAGGGGGGCAGACACTCATCAGACAGGCAAAAGCGCGACCTGCGGGCTGCGCACTGCGCCTGCGACACAACGTCAACCCATCAGTTCAGTCCCATGCATGCATCTGCATCTGCACCCATGCCACCTAGCCCACGCGAAATCTGACAGTCGCCCTCGTTGGCCCCGCATCCGCTCAGCGCTGCTCTGCATATTTGCGACCCTAGGCTCAACCTTGCCCGGGCTGCTAGTCACCCACTCACAGCCCGTCGCCCGTCCGACCTCTCTCTGGTACCGAGTTGTACTTTGTCGTGAGCACTGACTGTGCAGCAGCGTTCTCCAGTCGTATGCACCGTCGCCCGCCTCCCACCTGCCTCAGGTTCTTCTGAAACATCCAGCAAATCCCACGGACCAATCGCGTCAGGACTCAATTCACCACCCACCGACGACATCCCATGTGTGCTGCGCAGCCGCTGGCCCATCCGACGCCGAGCCTGGTGGACGAATCTGATGTCAGGCTGTCTGACAGCTATCACGGCACTTTTTGAGATCTATGCCGCCATCGCGGAATACAGATGATGGGAAATGCCAGGCCAGCGAAACCTGCACAAGAATTCGGCAGGCCCCATCTGTCAGCGGTGGTACTTGGCGGCTGTTGTTCTAGGCTGGCCCGGCAAATCGACTAGAGTTTTTTCCCGCTCAAGGCGCATCAAGGGACTCGTGTGCCTGCTAACCTCAGCCGCCGTCCGTTTCCCCATTGATCGGCGCAACGGTATTTGATGCCGATCTCTCACTATGCCTCCAAGCCTCCGGTGGTGCCCTTGTCAACGGAGAGGGTTTCACAGCCTGGGAGGCAACGGGCAAAGGCAGCTCACATGTGAACCCCCACCTTTGCCTCCTCTTCAACACCTGGGGCCGAGGGCCCTTACTCGCTGCAGTTATAGGTGCTAAGACTAGCGATTCACTCACAGGTAGCGCCCATGCTGGAAATAGGTAAATTAGCAGGTTCCGAGCGCAACGGAACCGCTTTTCGGGGCTCGCTTCCACCAGGCCGCGGCCGCAGGAAATGACACGTTGGGTTGGCAGTCATGGTCCCGCTGTGTTCTTCGCCCCCGTTCGGAGGTTTTCTTTGCACCTTGTGCGGCTTCTCCCGCGCCCACCTGCAGTGACTATGGTGCTCCTGGTACTCCGTACAATCCACCCAACTGTTCGGTTTTCCCTGCCCAGCGACAGCACACCCAGGCAGCCAGGCCGCGTCTAGAACATGGTGCTTCCGGCTGTCGCATTGCTGCAGAAGGCAGCTCGGTACTTGATCCCAGAAATCTACCAGATCTGCCTCATTCTTTCCTGGTAGTGACCAGAGTTTGTCGCCCTTGCGTTTAATCGTCCATGATCGCGGGAGAGACAATGCGACCAGGGACTACAATGGTGGTTAGCAAGTCTCTGAGCTCCTCCTACCCCAAGGTGCTCTCGTGCTATCGGACAAGTCTGCCCACATGAATGGTTTCAAGCCCCATCCCGGGTCTCAGTTTGCAGATCTCCCCTGCCTGCTGCGCCTCGAGACCGAGTACGTACCTGACCACGATGCCGTCGCATGGCTCCCACAAAGGGAGCAAGGACTGTACACGCAGCCTGGGCAGCTAGTGGTCGGCCGTGGATTTCCCTGTGGTGATCGCTCCGCCTCGGATCAGACGAGCATCTGACGCCATGATCAACCGGAGCCAATCTGATACAAGGATATTATTTTCAAACGGCGCCGGCAAGTGGATGCACTACCCCCAGGGCGGGCCTCGGCGAGCACGTATCACCTACACCCACACCAAAGATCCATACCCATGGTCGAGACAGGGACCACCACGCTGGGCGATTGAACCACTCGGGAGGCTCAAGAGCCCCGGCCAAAACCTACCTGTGGGGACTGCTCAAGATTCTGTGAAGGCTTTACCTCAATGCGTGAGGCGCCCTGCCTTGCCTTGCCGCAACTGGAAACTCTTTGCTGCACTTGACCTCCCTTGCCCTCCCGTGCCCATCGCTTGCTGCCACCGCCGGAGAGCTGGCCCTCCCTTCCAAATTCACCCTCGACGCATTGATTCCGGTCAGGGGTGAGTTGCCTCCAGCGCTGTGTGGCCCGTTGCTGTCTCTTGGAACATGGACTGAACCCTCCCCTCCTCCCCAGTATGCCAGGCTTGCCCTTCTCGGATCGCCAAACAGATCTCCTTTTCAGCCACCTCTCCACGCTTTATGCGTTGTCGGCACTGCCTTGTTTCTATTCCCCTGGCGCCGTTGCTAGTTCGTGCCTGGTGCTCCTGGCTCCCTCCTGCTGAGTGGTTTCTCGTAGTTGTCGTCGTCACCCCGAGAGTCGTCACCGTCGACAGCTTTGACTATCACCCCCGTACATTTCTGTCTGCCCGGTCTTGAAACTCATCTTTTTATCCTCATCAGGTGAATAGAGGAGCATTCAACAGTTTGGACCGGATTCTTTACCATATCTGTTCGACGCATCTCTTCACCCGATCCTGATCTTAATCTCATCGACGGTGGCTTGCTCTGGGCGACTTCATCTGGCGTTTTCTGGCTGGTCCACACTCGACTTCAGAGGCATCGTCCCAGCGCGTCTCATCCGTCTCAAAGGGAATCCGTCCAGCTAGTCTGGACAGCTGCTCGTTGCTTGTTTCGTTCGGCTTCTTCGGTTTCCGATTCGATTGGGGGGGGGGGGTTCAAGCCATTTCTTCTTCTGCCATCTTTCGGATGGCCATTGCTCGACCTGTCCGGCTCCTGGGATTTGGTGTTTCAAGTGTTTGAATCTACTTCGGAACTGTCAGTGCCACTCAAACGTTGATCCCGTCCTGGAGTTCGACAACCTTATTCCTCTTTGCTATCCCTGCCACGGATCGTACTACAAAGTACTAAGATATCCCATCCCGTCCACATCCAACCTACATCGTGACACTTGACAACATCTCCACCTGCTTCATCAGACAAACTTACAACATTTAATACCAAAACCCCCTCCACTGAGGCTTCTTCGCTTCCTTCACTTCTTGTCTCCTGTACCCCCTCACCAGGAATCCCACGACCCTGGGTCATCACTGCCAGATCAAACAACCAACCGGGCCTTCGTCAACAAGGTCACCATCACCTCGTGTCACATACCTGAGCCGACAAACATCCCTCTATCTTTGTGGCCCTCGATGGGTGCTTAGTGCTTGCTTGACATAAAAGACAACCAACGAAGACGTCTCCCTGGAACCTCTTTGACGTGTGAGCCTCACATCACAACCGCCTGCCAAGGGAGCTTGTACGACATCCAAGGACAATCAGTGTTTGTCCAGTGAACCGGTTGAGTGCTGCGAGGATCAGCTTGGGAGGACCAGCTTACGAGGTCTGGCGCTACGAGGCACTGTTTGCCCCTTTTCCTTCATAAGACAGCTGGCTGCCCAAGAAGGTTGGAGGTGCTCGCCCGACTATTTTTTAAAACGAAAGAGGTGGTAAACACAAGTACGAAAGCATTGGACTGTCTATCCTCGCCGATTCGGCCATCACAACCTGGCATACTTCAACAACAGAGGTCAGTCACCTAAGTGGATACTTGTTTTTGGCATGGTGATCTAGCACATGGACCAACTCTTTGATCCTTGGGAGCCTCATCCGTATGGGTCAGTTGAAGCTGACGTTTTTGCCAGGTACTGCCTCTACCACAAGTGGCTCAATGAACGTCACTTCGCTACTAAACACTTCGGGAGCGGCGCAAGCCGCAGGCGCAAGGCGTGCTTCAGGCCCGGTCACCTTGGGTGGCTATGAGGCAGGAGACAGGATGGTGCCCGTCCGGACTTCAAGCGAATCAAGGCTGGCCGGACGAAGCAGGACACCTTGGGATGCTGGTGGATACTCTCTACCATTGACCCTGAACGTCAAGAACGTACAAAACTCACCAGCAGCCAAACCTTCCTTCTACACAGAAGCAACACCAGTTGACAGCGTCGGCTCGACCAGCCCGAGGTCACCAAAGCACAAGTTCTCAGACAGCCGCAGCAGCCTCTCGTCATACACAACGATGTCGTCAAATACTTCGAGTCACTCTCGGTCGCACTCAAGAATCTCATCACTGTCCACAGTGAGCGAGTATCAGCCGATGAACTCCTATATGTCTGATTCAACCCCAACGGAAAGGCAGATGTCTGATCCCGACTCTGGGATGACGTGCCCAACCGTTGTTGAGATTCAACCCCCTTCACCATCTAGGAGGGCCTTTGACGACGTCTCCCCTGATGCCTCGGACAATGATAGCTCAATGCATTCAGACCGACCCCGATCGCCCTCAGATGCCATTCTGGTTCGAAACAGAGCGCTTGCAGGAAGTGCAAGGTACGTTAAAGTGAATTTACAATACGTGTTGTTTGGCTGGGTCGTTTGGCTGTGTTATTCCGTCCAGTGTTTACCCCTCTATTGTTCAGATGTGAATGGCTTCCAGGTTGTGGGGGACCCACTTAGCCCAGTCACTTCTTTTCAGTTGTAATTGTTCGTCCCATTGTGACCCATCTGTGCTCTGGTTGGCAGACTGGCAATGGTTCATTTGGTATTGTTCTCTTTCTTCTTGACTGCTTCTCGGCCAGCACATATTTAAGATCACGGACCTGGTCTCCTGGCGCGCTCTTCTTTCATCAGCAACTGCGACGCGTCGATCAGATGTGCTGACTTTCACCACTGCAGTCCAAGTGATTCCAGGATCATTAATTCTTTTCTGCGGCCTGATTCACCCTCAGCCTCAATTTCTCGGGCACACAAGAGGACGGTATCAGCTCCAGATTTCCCCTCTCTCCAACAAAGATCACATCATTATCCTTCGTTTGGCCCCATGGCTGAGCCTACCCCCCCGAAGTCGCCACAGGCCGATGAGCAGCAGTCAGTTGGCTCGGACACTGCCATGACCACCTCTACAGCTGAGAACACCCAGACGGCCCCGGTGCTTCCTCGCTCTGCCCCACCTGAGCCCAAGTGCATGTTCGTGGATCCATGTACCACTGGATCTTCGCTCAGGAAGGCTATTTCTCACATCTTCGGTCGAAACAAGCTCTGTACCAAGGCCATCCCTCATGGAATCTGGGTTCACTACTGTCGCAAGCATTACCAGAGGTCTCGTTATCGCAATGCTACTGACTATGCGATTCGACAAGTCGAGCTTGTTCTGATCCAGATCGAGAAGGTCCACGATTGGAGCGAGGAGAACATCAAGACCGGTCGGCGAGGAGAAGGCGTGCTCAAGCACTGGACTTTGCAGGCTCGTAAGCGCGAGGCCAAGCGCCTCCAGGAGTCTGACTCACGAAAGCGCCGCTTCAACGACGAGGACGACGATGACCAAGAGTTCAGCAGCGGCACAGCGATCCCTGGCTGGCTACAAGACAAGCTTAACAAGGACTACGGAACCGAGGAGATGCTTGCAATCATCAAGGATGTCAAGGCCCGAATGGACGCTGGGGAGATCCAGCAGATACCCGACATCGAGATCCTCCCCGAGATCATCACCGATGGTAATGAGTCGAGGCCCAAGGCAACTGTCCGCCGTACCGGTAGCAACGGCAGCGGCCACCGCCACACCAAGTCTGAGGTCTACCGAGCCCCCCCTTCCATGAGCAGCTACAACGGTCGCCCGGGCATGGCATTCGGCCAGGACAACAAGCGCTTCCGTACTGGCGCCAGTACCTACCAAATGCCCATCCACAACCTCACCCACCGCTCGCTGGGTGGCATGAATCAGGGTTATCCGTATCAGATGGGTAACGGGTTTGCAGCCATTGCCGAGAACCAGGCCGACCCCAACTTCTGGAGCCCTCAGTCGTACAGTAGCAACACTGTCTTGCCCGCTCCTGTTCCTCAGCGCCACGTCAGTGTGCCTATGGCTCCGGACAACAACACTGTCCAGTCTTATGCGCCTCAGAGTCGTCCTATGCACGTTAGAAGCGTGTCAGAGAACCCTGTGCTGCACAACTCCGGAAACGGCCCAACTGGCTTCCGCCCTTACGCTTCGCAGCCCAGCCAGGCTTTCCAGCCGCAGGAGATGTTCGCCAACTACCCGCCGCCTCAGAGCTATGGAGGACCCCCGAACTACCAGGGACAGAGTTATGACCCAAGCCTGGGCTCCAATGACCCTAACGCGCGGTTCTTCGGCCAGATGGACGGAGCCTTCGATGGTGGAGCCGACTGGGACAGCACGCGCAACGGCCACGCTCGCGTTCAGAGCACGTCCTCCATGCACCCAGCACACATGCAGCGACACTTGTCTATGTCCGGTGGCCCCCCTTCGATGAGCTCCCTCCCGTCGATGAACGGCATGGGCAACAACGGCATGCCCACCTACGGCTACGGAGAGTACCAGCAGCACCAGCAGCAGCACCGCTACTAGCTGTCTTGTATCCCAGCGTTGCACAAGCTCTTCTGAAATTCAATCCAGGATTTATTTCTCGAGTTTCAAAAATCTGGATGCTCAACTGCCGGGTGTTTACACCTCTTGGACTCTCTCATCGATGAGATTTGGTATTGTTTTGGGCGTCAAGGCACGCTACGTTTTTGGTACGGTCGGCGACGGGGACGGCGAAACTGGAAAAAAGGGGTCGGTCTGGTCAGGCCATCATTCGAGATACCACGTGTTGCGCTTCCCTTTCTTTTTATCATATGATCCTTCCTAATACTTGATGTCATCAACGCTTCTCCTGCGCCAGCGCGGGGATGTCGCGGCGAGTTTCTTCATCACATCTGGTTCTCATTGCACGGAAAAGGGCAAAATGGCTGTTGGTGTTGGGGTTCTCATGACGAGACGATTTGAAGACTCGATGAATGATTTGCGGTCTTCCATTACTTTCCTTAATTAATAAGCTATTTGTTCCCGTCTGTCCAGCTGAATGGTGCAAGTTTGGTGGGGGATTGAAAGCCGAAGATGACCGATAGGATCTGGCTCATTGAGCCTGCCTGCCGCTGCGGTGGAGGGAAAACATTAGTCTGTCATTTGCGTTGGTCATCGTGATATGCAACCAAATTGCCCTGATGGACATTACTTTAGACACAGGATCCAGATCATTATTTTGTGAAAGAAGAATTCTCTGCTTCGGGGTGTGCACTTGGTGATTCGTCTGATTTTGGGCTCATCCAAGCTTGCAGCAAGCGAGCATTCATTCACCTTCACTGGCACTCCAGCTGCCAGCCTGGCGTCTGCCCGGGCCTCCCCCACCACGTTTGATGCCTGTCAAACAGTCACTCGCCTGAAGTGACGAATTTGCCAATCTTTGAACCAGTTCAATGCAACCTTGAGAGGTCATTCAGGAGCTCTGCTGCCTGAGCTGCTGGCAATGGGTTGTGGAGGGGCCATAGCAAAGACAGCTGTCGAAAGCAATGAAGCCAATGAAGCCCTTATCACCCCGCCCACAAATGCCAGGTCTCAGGCCCCTTTCTTCAATCTATCATGCCCCAATGCTTTACCAAAAGCACTTTATACATAACATTCACCCCTTTTCTCATCATCATCATCACTATCTTTCAGTACCTATGGGAACTTCTTTGCTGACTTGAAATTTCCCGTAAAAATCTAGACAACTTGTAACATGTTACACCATCCAAGGTTCAATTACATGCCAGAAGTATTGGGAGACGAACAAAATAACATGGCTCTGTCTGCAGGTGTACATTCTCCAACATGCTGCAGGCTACCAGACAGTGAGTATTGCTTGTTCCGGGAAACCCAAGGCCACATGAACATGGGGTACCGAGCTTGTCGAAGCCCGGCCAGGAATGGCCACAGGAATTCGTCCTGACCTGACCCTGGCACGGCCGAGGATCTCCAAGAGCAGCCATAATGTTGCCACTGCGACACAGGGATGAGCGGGGACTGGAACCACGCAGTTGGTGCATTTCACACTGCCCCGAAATGATAATATTGACACTACATACTGGAACAACGGAGATGGTGATGCTCCAGGGACCAAGAGAGTTGGTTTCAAGAGCAGAGAGAATGGCCGCATGACACACATTAGCCGACACTTGGGACGACGGGCTGGGACATGTAGGCTTCTGGTTAGTGGACCAGTTTTACCTGGGACGAACGCGATCCAGGCGGAAAGAGAGGGGGGGGCGGGGCGCGTAACGGGAAATTCGAACTTGCTGAAACTTGACCGGAGAATCAGGCCACCAGGACATGAGCCAGAGAGTGGATTGGAGGCGGGAATAGAGAGGCGGAACAGGTTGGATGTCCCAAGTCTGGAATCCTTCGGGACGAGTGAGATTGCCGCACTCAGAGAAATAACACAACGGGGAGTTTCTCGTCATCGTCTTATTGACAATGGCGGTGAGACTGCCGAGTATAGAGGTTTGTACGCTCGTCGGTTTGGGTATCCGCTAATTGCCCCCAAAACTTCTACGGAATAACCTCCAACGGGACAACCTCATATCCTCCTATAAAATAACATCTTACAAGATACCTAGGTACTCAGTACCTTGCTAACTTCCTACAGCATAACTTTGTCCATTAACTCAGACAGATATCCAGGTAAACTAAAGAGGCTTTGCTGTGACATTATCCAAGTTGGGGGAGGTGTGACGGTATTACGGTGATAACGTATGTGACGCACAAAAGGACCGCCATGGGGCAAATAAAATACGGCCAGGTTTCAGTGTAAGATTGATGCTCTCGAAAGAAATGGTATAATTTGGTATAGTGAACATTGAAATAACTACACGTAGTGTGTAACTGGACGAGAACACCAGGGGTGGAACATGGGACACGAGCGCCGCTTGTGGTCATTCATATATACTGTGCCCCGATTCTTCAGCAGAAGTAGCAGGAACCCAGAGAAAAACATGTACATACAACAGTGCACGGCAAATGGTATGTCGAAGATCAAAAGTGCAGGTTGGCCGAGTTTTGCAGCAGGAACTCAAACTGAGGCTGGCGAAAGTTATCGGGTATCAGGCTCGCCTTGTCAGCATCAAACTGGATCAACTGATTGCCGGACGCCCAGTCGGGCCAGTTGATGAGTTGCTCGCCCTCTGTTGCCCTGGTGCCGCCGGACGCGTCGTTGGGGTCCAGATTGTACGCAAAGTTGAGGAAGTAATTCAAAATGGCCGAGGCGGCAAAATTGTCCTTGATTCCGTAGAAGACTTGGAGGAGATCGCTGCCGTGGGTTGTCCCCAGCACGGGTGTCCCTTGGTCGTACTGGCTCAGGTACGACCAGCGCTTGACGCCTGGCTGGATCTCCGTTGAGACGTTGAGCACTGCCCGCCGGGACATTGTGAAGACGGCGTCTCCGAGAAGTGCGCAAATGCGCTTGAACTGTGGGTAGATGTCGTTGTCGTCGCCTGTGTCGAAAGGCGAGCCCTGGGCCGGGTCGTCGGGGTAGGCATCTACAAATTGGTCCACAATCTGCGGGTCGGTGTTGGTGAAGTACAACGTCTTGAGGTAGTCCTTGAACTCGTCTCCGGTGGTGATATTACTGGTGAAGATGCCGAAGAGGGTGCCCTCGTCCTTTTGGTCACCGAGAATGAAAGGAACCTGAGGAAGATTGCGAGAGGTCGCGATAGTCTCAGGCGACGCCATCAGGAACTTCCCGTCTGGACGTGGCAGGTAAGAAAGGGCAAGGGAGTTAAATGAAAGAATTCCGGGCACCGAGTTCATTGAATCGAGGAGTTTCTGGGGGCAGATGGTGTCAGCCAAGCTCGCAGGAATGCTGGCACACCACATTGTAGACAAACAGCAACAGGCGTTGTACGGCACGGCGTGCTTACCTGATACTCTGCCTTGCGCAAGCAATTTAACGTGTCTGCCTCTCCCGCACACCCAACCCCCTGAACGACGGCGTCGTAGACCTGCTGTGCCTTGGGACAGTCAACTGGATCGGTCGGCACAGCGGAGCCAGAATTCATGATCGCTCCTCTGAAGAGAGGCTTCCCCTTGTACGTTATGTCACCTGGGTATGACCGTCAGCCTGCCGGAAAGCACCTCATCGACGGGCGAGATCTTACCGTTGTTGGCTATCAACTGATCAAATATAGAGATGGCTCCAGCGCTCTCGCCCCAGAGCGTCACCTTGGTTGGGTCACCTGTTGGCTTGTTAGACAGCACGGTATGTTTCGGGCTTGTTCAAGGTAGTCACCTCCGAAGGCCGCGATATTGTCAGCTACCCACTGCATGCCCAAGCGTTGGTCTAGCAGGCCAAGGTTGGCGCTTCCCTCAGCCAGGACTTCTTTGCCTGCCAGGAAGCCAAACCCGCCCACGCGATAGTTGACCGCGGCGAACACGACAGGCTTGCCAAGCTCGACCGACCGTGCGACGACGTTGGAGCCATCGTACATCGCAGTGCCGCCGAGCTCAAAGCCGCCTCCGAAGATCCACAGCATCACGGGCAGGTTGTCTCCCTCCTTGGTACCCGCTGGGCGCTGGACGTTGACCGTCAGGCAGTCCTCCTGGCCCCCGATGATGTTGTTCTTGAACAGAGGCGAGTTGACTACCGTCTCCAGAATATCTGCCGCGACCCCCGGGACGTTTGCGATATCGATGTCCTCCCCAAACAAGAACTGCGGACACTGCTTGGGCAGCAGAGTCGTGGCATCGACATGTCCCAGAGAACGGCTCGGATCCAGTGGTACGGGAGGCCTCAGGCGGTTGTTCCCTACGGGAGGTTGGGCAAATGGGATTTCCTTGAAGCTCTCGACGAAACCGCCAGCCGAGCCGATAAAGGGGAGCACGCTGCCCTCGACGGTGGCTTCGGGCGTTGTGGTCTTCACGGTGGGTCCAAAGAGGCGCTTCTCTTTGGTGGATTTTATCCTTGGGGCCGCCTCGGCCGTTGAGCACAGCAGGAGGAGGGAAACGAGTGTTGAGATCATCCTAGGCGTCTAGACGAAAGACAGGCAGTGTTCAGCAGAGCACAGCGAATGAGGGCTGGGTTGGCTGGACAGGAGGGACCGTGTATAAGCACAGCGAGTGGTTGGCGTGACCAACCCTCTCTGCGGGAGCACACGAGATCATCGTGGACGAGATGGTGTTGTTTTATCAATATCCCATAAACAACCCCCGCCGGCAAATACAACCTTTTCGGCATTGCATCATGCTGAAGATCATGCATGCGTATGATGAACACGGGGACAACATTTGGAGGCACAATCAAAGTTCCCGAGGCTTCCTGAAGGGGAGTGTGACTGACAGCTGACTCTAGGGGTGAGAGTTGTGCTGATGGCTGAGGGGCTTCGAATGGAATTCCCGATTTGGGATACTACTGAACCACCACCCCACCACCCCTGAGGAGCGCCGGAGGACCTATCCATGAACGAGATGCCCTTGTGCGTGGCCGCCGTTGATACGCAGCCCTGCCGTTTGTCGGCACAAGGCACAACATCAAAGCCAGACGAAGTGAGGGGAACGTGGCTTCGGCACCACCACCACCAGCGGGATTGGACCTGGGGATTGGCCATCCCGTTCTTCGCGGGGTTAGGAAGTTCCCTAGCACTTCGGCAGCTTGCGGAGGCAAGATGGGATGAGGATCGCCTCCTGCGGGCCCAATGAGAAATGACCACTTGAGCACTGCAAGCCGGGCGGAGGAACAAGACCTTGTCTGGACCGGTAAAGTTGAGGTGATCGCCAGGTGACCGGACGACAGGGTGGACCAAAAGGGCAGTCTTCAGCGCCGACCATGCTTCTCGTATTCGGAACTGGCGTACGGGTGGGTGGGTGCCTGTGGTGAATTGCCCAGAAAGACCGAGCATGATCTACCTGAGACTTGGGCAGGGCAGCACGGTGAGAGAAGACGAACCCTGTGGGAGAGGAGCGGGAGGAGAAGCTTGTTCACCGAGCTGGTGGGCCTGGCACTGAGGTAGGGCTGCTCCCTGCCTGGGCCGGCGCTGCGAACTGCGAACTGCGAACCACAGGAGTTATCCATCTTGCCATCCTGCCGCCTCGGGCGTACAAGGTTTGGACGGATTCGTGCGGCCGCGGGATCAGCAAAGGCAGACACGGCATGACGAAATGTGCCCATAGAACAGATGAGAACAGACGAAGACGATGGACCAGGTGCAGTCTTTCGATTGACGTGCCTTGTGCAAGACGTTGGAATAACCTTTTGCAAGGGTTGCTTTTCCCTGAGGCACCCCGGCCACAGGACTGGAATGGTATGGCTGCGGTAGGACGGCTGCGGTGGGATCACCACGTGTCGTCTCTGGTGGATTACAGATAGCGCACCAGGTACCTAGGTACACATTCATTGTCTCGGAGCCGAACGAGAAAATACGCAGGGTAGCTGCCAGGCTGGGGGGCCCTTAATAAGGCCCGAATGACCCTTCTCAGGAGTATTCTCACGTTGGATTGATGCTTGATCTTCAGGGACAGCTCCAAGGGGCATTCCGAATCAGGAAATGCTTGCACGATGATGCACCTGTCCAAACTTGTGTGATCGATCGATCAAGGAGCATGAATGGTTTGCAGCATACTCTACAACTGCCCCTATTTGGCTCTGCAAGTACTTGTGATGCGTGATCCCGAGCGGCAGACCCCACGGGTCGAACCGCCAGACCGCCCCACGCGGCCATCTGCACTTCGATTTGGTACTTGCCCCGTGCAGGGCCAAGTGCAGTGCACCCGCAGCTCCTCGCTTGGCTCGCTCATCTCGCTCACCTTGCTCACCCTGATTGCTTCACTTTGGCAGCGTGGGCATATTGCATTTTGTGAGAGCACACACGTGCGTCGTCCCCTGAGCATCTAGTTCTCTTGGCAGGCCCCCAGGCCCCCAGGCCCCCAGGCCCGCGGCTGCTCGCTGCGGCTCGGGGATGAAACACTAACAATGGTACCGTGCGTCTCCAGGGATCTGTGCGCCACGAGACGTCAATGACGACCCCTCTCCCGCGGGAATGGCCTTTCACTTGCACACGATAACGTTCTGCACCCACTGAGTGCTATTTTTCACATGCCATCGCTGCCAGTATTGTTTGTTTCTCCTGTACCACTTTCTCTCGTGCACGGCTGTCGTCAATCAAGGGAATTCCCATCGAGCGTCAGGTTCCTAGCAGAGAGCCCTGCTGCGGATCTGCTCCCCGCAGTCGTCCCTCTCCATCTCTCCCTCACCCTGTCTCAACCTCTACTACAAACCGGCACGCCGATTGGCACGCCCTGACGAGCCCAAGATGTTGTCTGCATTATGTGCCCTGGCCGGGGCCGTCTTAGCATATGCTGCCCTGTCCTGTTTCAATGGCCTGCGCTCTCGCATCGCAGCTGCCAGGCGGTCAGGACTGCCATATGTGGTCACCCGTAAGTCTCTCACACACCTCCAAGTGCTCTGCGGCCTTGGCAAGCTGTACCTATTGCTAAGTGCCAATTCACATGTTAGCCATATCGCCCTTCAGCCATTACTGGTTGTTGACGTTCAAGATATTGACGCCCCTGATCAAGACCCTGCCCAAGTCATGGTGGGAGAGCTGGATAGAGTAAGACTTCAGTGTGTCTGTTTCATGGCAGCCCAGCTGACCTTGGAACCCAATAGTATCATGCAACCTGACTGGGCATATCGCCTACTCCGTGAGCCCTGGGACCGGCTCGGCGATAGCTTTCTATTGGTCTCGCCATTCAAAACCATCATGTGGACATCCAGCGCAGAAGCCATCCATCAGATAACAGCTCGGCGCGAGGCCTTCCCCAAAGATACCTCGGCCTACGAGATCCTGGCCATCTTTGGGCGGAACATGCTCACCACCGAGGGTGCTGAGTGGAAAATGCACCGCAAGGGGGTGTCGCCCAGCTTCAACGAGCGAAATGCTGCCTATATCTTTGGCGAGTCAATCCATCAGACTCAAGGGATGATATCGCAATGGATGGGAGATGATGCTGAAACCAGGCAGAGGACCACCAGTGCAACCATCAACACTGTTGAACACGACACTATGACCCTCGCACTGAACATCATAGCCCATGTCGGGTTTGGGCTGAGGTTCTTTTGGCCGGGCCAGAAGATGCCGGATGACCTGAGTGTCCAAAACAAGAAGTACGCGAGTTTTGAGCCTCCAAAGGGCCACTCTTTGACCTTTGTGGACTCATTGGCCACGGTCCTCGAACGGATCCTTGTGCTCCTGCTCACGCCCCAGTGGCTCCTGAAATATCTTCCATTCAAGGCAACCCAAGAGGCGCTGGTCGCTCGCAACAATTACGCCAAGTACATGCAAGAATTCCTAGAAGACAAGATCGAGGAAGCTCACAGGGGCGCCAGCAGTGATGGTATGGACATTATGGGCCAGCTGGTGCGAGCCACCTATGGTGATAAGGGCAAGCACCAGAAGACGGGCGAGCAACCTAAGATGACAGACGAGATGATCAAGGGCAACGCCTTCATAATCATCGTCGCCGGCCACGAGACGACAGCCAACACCCTGCATTTCACCCTCTGCGAACTTGCCAACAACCCAGCGGCACAGCGTGCGCTGCAGGCCGACGTGGACCGCCTCTTCGGGCGCGACAGCGACCCGTCGACGTGGAACTACGAGAAGGACATCAACGCCCTGTGCGCCTCGAACGTCGCGGCGTGCATGAACGAGGCATTGCGGCTCATCCCGTCGGTTGTGGATATCCCGAAGCACGTCAGCCCCGGCCAGGAACAGGCGATCACTCTCGATGGCGACAAACACGTGCTTCCAGGAAACACCATGATCATTCTCAATACGGTCGGCGTGCACCGGAATCCAAAATACTGGCCGACGAAGCAGAAGAGTGGGGCCTCGGGGGAACCGAATGATCTGGACGAGTTCCTCCCGGAGCGTTGGTACCGCCCCTCGCTGACCAAGGCGGCCGAGGCGCAAGAAGACGAGGAGACGGAGGACTTTGGCGGGTTCAAGGGCCGCGACACTAGCGAGCAATTGTTCAGACCAGTGCGGGGCTCCTTCATCCCGTTCAGCGACGGTGCCCGCTCTTGCCTAGGGCGACGGATCGCGCAGGTCGAGATGCTGGCTGCGCTCGCCGTGCTTTTTCAAAAGTACAGCATTGAGCTTGCGGTTGACGAGTGGGCGTCGGATGACGAGGTCGCCGGCATGGGGCTAGAAGAACGGAAGAAAGTATACGAAAAGGCAAGAGCCAAGTCCAGGGAAACCATCAGGCAGGCGACTTCGATACTGACGCTCAAGTTGCACGGGAAACTCAGGGTTCCTGTCCGGTTGGTGAAGAGAGGGGAGGAGAGGTTTGTGAGTGCGGTGGACGTCTGATGGATGTAACAACATGGCTACGCGTCGTCAAACTTGGACGCGACATTGGGCACAGATGTAGTATCCATCCAGTCTGGAGACTCTGTAGTATATCCAGGTATCTATATGGAGTCTGACTGATACTCGATGGCAGAAGCGGTGCGGTTTGCATCATGTTGTTGGCCGAGTCGACAGTCAGGTGGGAGGTCTTCACAAGTACATGCGCGAACTGGGCACCTTCGTATGTATTTCCAACAAAGGGCTCCCGATCCTTGCGGAATGACACCATCAAAATGGGATCGACCGACAATGATTTGCTAACCGGTGCGCGAGCAAATTGCCTGTACCCATAATAGCAGCCGTGGATGGCAAATTCTGGTACGCTGTCTCCAGACAAAGAAATGGTCCCCTTAGGACTACCACTTCCAGCCCCCTGGTTTCCAACAATGTACAAGGTGTGGCCCAAGCTCCAAGCTGGAGAAGCTAGCTCACGTCCCCGCGGGCGGACCGCGCTTTCCCTTTCCCATCATCCCCACCTGCTCACAGGCTGACAGGTCCACAGTCCCTTAGCACTTGAGGTACCCAGCCAACTGGCCACCCCCTGCCCGCCAGGGTCATCTGCCAACAACACGCAGACCACCCCCCCCAAACATTGAGATCAACAACATAACCCGTCCGCACCACTCGTGTCTCGGCTACAAACACACCCAGCACAACATCTCTGTGTAGTTGATGCCCCATTGCAGTAGATAATCTCGCCTGCAGACCATCTGCTTCTCGCACACGGCTCACAAGCATCGCAGTCCCATCGCAACCTCCACGCCACCCCAGCACACCCCAGCAACGGCACCGACACCATGTCGAGCTCATCGAATAGCTTCCTGCGCGGCCAGCGCAAGTCTGACCTCCTCGAGTTGGCCGAGACTGTTGGTCTGGAAAAGTATGTCCATGATGTTTTTTTGTTTTTTTTTGCCTTGTCTAGTCTGGCATTCGCATCGTGGAAACCTCATTGCGACCCCCGCCTGCATCGCATCGTGCTTGTCGCTTCAATGCCGGCCTTGCTGTCGGAGCTGTCGCATCGCGCCCGTCTTACACGGCTGGGTTGCGCCTGAGCACCGACGCGCCCTGTCGCCAGCCATATGCGCTGCCTCAAGATGCCCCAAGATGCCCACCATGTCTCGCAAAGAGGAAGCACCCCGTGACTAACGCGCAATGCCGATTCCAGCACCGATGGCTTGAAGAAGAGTGATCTCGAGGTAGCGCTTGACGACTTCCTCGCCGAGAACTCGAACCAGTTCAGCAAGAACCCTGCAACTCAGCCTTACTACCAGGCACGCGCTCGCGCGATAGGCTCGCCAGTCAAGAAGGAAGCGCCGCCACCTGCTGAAGCCCCCAAGACCGCGAAGCGAAGGGCCGCAAAGGCAGCCGAACAAAACATCGCCGCTACTGCCGGGTAAGTTGCGCCCTTTTACTCGGCCGCGGCGCGTCGTGTGTCGCGCCCCGGCGCCGGGCCGTGTAAACAAGACCCAATACGCTAACCGCCTGCTTCCAGCGATGACTCTGAACTGGCCCTGACCTCCGCGACGCCGGGCCGTGCCATGTCCCTTGCTCGCCGCATCCCGCTCCCCGCCTCGCCGGCCGACGTTGCCCGGGTCGTCGACGAGCGCACCGTCGCGCTCCGAGAGCGCGTCGTAACGCTGTACGAAGACTCGGGTGTCAAGGAGGTCGCTTACAACACGCGCGACTCGCTGTCCACCGTCACCTCGATCCTGTTCTGCATCAACGCGTTCGAGCTGTACCACCTGCGCAAAGAGATTCTCTCGGACCGCTACGCCTTCACCGTCCCGGCTATCTCGGCGCTAGGGACGTCGGACTACCCCGTCGAGGTGCCCGACATGTTCCTGTTGCTGACGAGCTCCTTCTGGAACCCGGCGCTGCTCTGGGCTTTCACCAGCGTGGTTGTGCCTTCTTTCTTTGGCTTCTACTTCAACCTCTCTGCCGCGCACTCGCAACCTGGCCGCGGGAGGAGGAGCTCGCAGCCCGAGACCGTGGTTGATCCGCTGACCTTCAGCATTGCCAAGGCGGTCATAACGTACGTGGTCTACCAGCAGGGCGTCACTTTCGGCGGCTGGGTCGACCAGACATCCGTGGCGCGTATCAACTCGGCCATCTACGGAGGCTGGAAGGGCGTCATCGTCGGCGCCGCAATCACAGGCATTGCAAGCTTCTACGATGCCGTCTTGCGGAAGTAGCGGTTTCGTAGGTTGTGTGCGGCGGATGGGCCGTGGGGCTCTCGCTACCATGGCATACTAGCCGCTGCTCCACTACATATTGAACCATTCGAGGCATGCGGTGCAGTCTCTGGGCGTGGTGACCCCACTATTCTGAGAGGGCGTTACAAGGCGTTTACGGCGTTGTGGCGTCGCAGGGCCTACGGCTTCCCTTTTGACCAGATACCTCCCTTTGATTCTCTCCTCGGCCATGGCCTTTCACGAGGGCAATACATGGCACACTTGTGACCGTAGGAGCCTCTTTTACGTGGAGACAGACCCCTCGTGGTTGACGATGGGTCGCGGACTTTGGGTAAACACTAGGGTGTTGGATCCGGCGGTGGCTTTCTTGCGAAATTTGAATGCTTATTTTCGGACCGGACGTATCGGACTTGCTTTTTGATCTCCTTTTCAGTTGTTGTGAGACTCCGGCGATGGGAGCGGTTATGCGTGTTCTGGCGGTCTTGTCGCTCGCCCGGGTTGCTGGTTAGAAATACGTACAGCACAGGATGAGCTTTCGCGGGGTTATATTGGGTGAATGTTTATGAGGCACGGCACGACAAAGTTCTGAATCATTATCGATATCCTTCCCGCGGAAATTGCCATCCATATCGCAGTAAGACTTGTGAGTCCACGGTGTTCATCCCCATTTCTCCTGGGGGAGAAGAGCATGTCGGAGGGGTGACGGTCAGATTCACTGGCGTTCAATGGGCGCATTCCCGACAGCGCCGCCCGGACGACAAACACACGAAGCAAGCTTGAGCCCCTTCCTCGTCGGAGTTTCCATGCTGCAGGTGGTGACGCACGCCCGGGGATTTCAAAAGGCGAAAGGGCGAGAGGAGAAGATCTTGCGCCCGGTGAAGCTCCAGACGGAGGGGGCCGGGCGTTAATATTTTTATTTTCAATGCTGTTTGTGCAACGCATACACGAGCTGGACGCTGGTCTGTTGTTCAATCGACTCGCATGAAGAAAAATAGTCTGCTTTGGTCGATCGGATGTGCCTTGACGCTCGGCGGGCTTGGTAATAAAGCCGCGCGGCCGGCCGGTGCATCATCCAACCCATTGGCATCGGGAAAAGGGAACAGAAAAACAAATGGACAGGGCCTCAAGAGGACGAGCTTACAGGGGGGGGAGAAATAGGGAATCGAGGGGGTCTGCGCCCAAGGGTTGGGATATGAGCACCTGACGACAGGTTCAATGCGCTAGGAAGGTGAGTTGAGAACTGAAATCGGTCCTTTACAGTGAATACTACTACGTCTGTATTGCCCTCACCGACAGCTGACAGTATAGTAGACAGGTGTTGGTGGTCCTCAGTAGTGACGACATCAGGGGGTCCTCCCTGTACACTCTTCAGCAGTACTGCTGTCTTTTAACGTCCAGTAGGATAACCTCTTGTAGCCTCATATAGGACAACTTCTTGCAAAGTCAATACGCCAGAGGAAGGTCAGCCACAGGGGCTCCGTTATGACATCATATTATCATTTCTTTGAAGGTGTGGCGGTGTTGCGGTAATGGTTTGCTGTGTAATGCACGTGAAAAGACCATATAAGATCTCGAGGCAGAGGCAAGATCCGTGGCCCGCGAATAAAGTTTCTGCGAGCCCCTGAGAGCTGAGCGCTGCTGCCCCTCTCTGGGGGCCATATATCAGGGCGACCTTGTGTGCCTGACCGGAAGCTATCCAGGAGGCCCGGTGTGTGATGCCCAATATCCACATGGCGTGTACACTCTTGGCTTCAATACCCGTATAGAGTGTGTATAGTGTGTGATGGAAGCGGAAAGGCCCCCATCAGGCACACAGCAGGCCAAGCCGGCTTATTAAGACCTGGGAATTGTCGATATGGCCGACAGACAGACCTACTACATACATAGTACGTGCTGCGCCATGCTGTGATGCGAGGGCAAGGATTCTATTTTTGTCGTTGTTCAAGGAAGCACGGGAAGAGGGGGAGAAAAAAAAAGGTGACGTGCCCGGGGGCTGGCGGCCATGCCAAGATCTGGGAACAAAGGGCCTCCTGAAATTCATGCAGTTACCAGTTCAGCCCTCTGGGGGCATTGAAGGGTGTGGCAGGCGCCCCAGCCCCAAATGGCCCCAAATATCATGCGGCAGGGGGGGCCGAAAGCTGTTTTTTTTTTTTTTCCTTTGGGCGCGGCCACTGGCGCGACGACGATGCAAACCCAACATGGGGCCTAGCATGGGGAGGGGGGATACAATCAAGGCAGGGCAGGGCAGGGCGAGGCAGGGCGAACGGACGGTTTGTGTGTGTGCACGGCGGCGGGTCGGTGTCGGGTTCGGTGTCGAAAGAAGGAGACGGCAACAGAGAAGATGCGCCGAGAGAGGAACAGAGTGAGGTAGGATAGATACATTAAACCTGCCTCGGTAGGTATGCAAATACAGGAGGCCAAACAGGCAAGTAAGCTTTCGGCAAGTCGCCAAGCAACGTTCTCGAGCATGCCATTGCTCGTGCTGCGGTGAGCCCAACTGGACTTGGGCGAGCAGGCTGTGTGTGTTGGTGTGTGTGGGCAGCCCCCTCGCATGTTGGATGCTGCCTTGGAGGGAGCTGGAGGATGAGAGGCATGTGGCCCGGGGGAGATTGCGGATTACGTAGGGGGTCAGCTGTGCAAGGCGGCAACGTCCAGCCGCCCGCAGCGCCGCCGTGCTGTGCTGTCTCCCCCCTCCACTCCCGCAAAACTCTATCTTCCACACGCCCATTGAACCCCGGACAGTGACACAGCTTGGTTGTGGTGGATGTGAGCTACCTATGTAAGTACCTAAGGACCTAGATACCTAGGTAAGTACCTCTCTAGGTGAGGGAGGTAGGTTGCTAGACACCTAGGTGCATAGTAAATAAATGGCAGGTAGACTACCCCGTGGCCCTTGGGGACTCGTGGCCCAGGGCTGGTATACTCGGCATTGGTACTGTCATGAACAACCGCCCGTCATCTGGGAAACCTGCTCGTCATCTTTGATTGTTGGTGCTCTGCCTTTGTGCAGCCAGCCCCCCCCCTGGCCGCCCAGCCAAGTATCCGCAAGTACGTACTCCGTTCCTTCCACGCCCCGCCCTGAATTGTTCAATGTTGATCTGTTAGGGCCCCCGTCTGCTGCCCACGGCCCCTCCCTGTTGCCCGTGCCAAGCCCCAGTTACGCAAACCCCATCGAAGCTTTCCACCAGGGCAGCCAGGTCGAGCTTGCACTCTGCACCCTCGGGTCCTCTCTTGTTGGCCTTCCCTACTTTCGAACCTGCCAGGCCCCCGAGGCGAGACAAGCCTGACCAGATATCTCTCTCTCGAGGCCGTCTGCCGTAAATATATCCCCTCCCACCTGTGTCCATCCTGGTTCGTACTTGACCTGCACTGCACGACACTGCATATTTACACATGTACATGGCCTGCTGCAGGGCCGCGCATTCAACCTCCCCGACATATCTTTACCAGCATTTCTGTGCCGAGAGGAGGAGCACGACAGGCCTGGTCTCTCTGGCCTCCCTGTGAAGGACAGGATCGATCAGTCAGTGCCATCTCGTCCGAGGCAGACCCAACCCTCTCGCCTGAACCGGGCACCACCACCACGGGTCTCGATCGCTGAGCCTGCAGCTTCTCGGCGGACCCACCGCCCACCCTGCACGCCTGGTGCGTAAGTCGGGTCGAATCGCCCTGCCTCCTTCCAACTGCCTTGTTCCTTCTTGCAGCGGTGGGGAGTTGGGGAGCCACCGCCGACCGTGCCTGGGCGGCAGAGGCCCCCAGAGCGCCCGGGAGGAGCAGCCTGCGAGCGGCGGGATTGGTCACCGTCGGTTCCTATCTTGGGAAGCTTCCAGCCCGGCGAGCCGCCCACTGGGACCTTTGGACCTTTTTTCAGGTCACACGCCGCCGCAGGTGCTTTTTGGCGATAGTCTCCTACCCACATCACCGTCTGCTCCCCCTCCTTTGCTTGCAAGCCTGCTCGCCTGCTCGCCTGCTCGCCCTGCTTGCCCTGCTTGTGCTCTCTGCCCTCGCTTATCTCTCCACTTTCTCGCCCCGTCCCAATCAGGAGCCGCCATTGTGACACCACCCGTCCGCCCTCAGGAGACCTTGTTTGTTGACATATATCGTTTGCTTCCTGCAGATTTCCCGCAGATCCCGCATACCGCAAGCTTCCAACACTCAACCCGAGACTGAGACACCCCCACAACGGTATCCTCCTGCTCTGTCCTGCAACCAACACCGTAGTTTGTACCTGGTCCCCTGCACCGACCATGAGTCTCGCCAGCACCGCGCCGCTGCAGAGCGGCTCGTCGTCCCAACCCGCACCGGCGCTCGCCGAGCCGTTCGAACCCAAGTCGCAGAAGGCTGAGAAGGTATGGACCGAGGCCGCTAGAGGGGCTGCTGGGGAGGGTGCTAATGAGCCTGACAAGAAAAATAAGATGCGAGGGCTGTTTGGGCTCGGCAAGAAGAAGACGGACGAGCCCCTCAAGGCACCCTCAAGATCGGATCCCGCTGGGAATGCTGCCAGTGGCTCGAGCAGCCAGACCAGGAACCCCCCGACGCGACAATCTACCACCTCGCCCATCCACACCCCCTCCTCCCCAGGCCGCGGCGCTTCTTCCTCCCCGAGACTTGCGTCGCCCGCCGGCAGCCAGATATTCGAGCGCGATGTCCAGGAGGCCGCCCATGTCCCCAACTCCCCTGCGATTCCGAGCCACATCATAACCGAGAACCACGTGCCCCCCGTCCTTGATGATGCCTCCAAGGCCATCACTGATGACCATCTTGACCCCGACTCCGTAGAAATCATCACCCACTCGAGCCATCAACCCGCCGCTGTGGCCGTCACCGGAGCCCAAGACCATCTCTCCAACAGCTGGCAGGACGACCTGGCCTCCAGCCTGGCCGCCTCGGACTTCAGGCCAGTCCACGATCACGCCGATTCTGGCAGCAACTATGGAAGCCTGGACAACGTCGACATCCGTCGGCTGAGCTTCATCAGTTTCGCAGATGTCGTCCAGGCCGAGCACCAGGGCCATGCCGGGCTGGGAGGGTCACGTGAATCAATCCACCTCGCGGGTCTTACCAGCCTCTCCTCTGTGGGTGGCGGGGTGAACCGATCACCGTCGCCCATCCGCTCGCCCGTCTCTTCGGCTGGTGGCGCCTCACCACCGCACAGCAAGACAGGATCCCTGAGAGGCATCGAAACATCACCCAGCCGGAAGCCCTTGGCCAGCCCGGTATCTACGAATTTGTCCATGTCACCATCCATACCGGCCATTGGCCTTCCCGGAGAGATCAATGTTGAGACAATGAGTCAGGCACTTGGAAGAACGGGCTCTGACCTCAACGGGATGAGGAGCATCCCAATCAGCCCCGTGGAGGGAGCGCCGTCGCGCTAGTTGCGCGTGGTGAGGGGCTGCGAGGTTCGCAATTGTCCTTGTCAAACCTGGCTGAAAGCTGAGAGGGCTGGGACGCTCAGGGGGTCGGCCTTGAAATCACCGCAAGTCTGAGCATGAGAAAGGTCTCGGCGATGACCATTCAGCAAGGGTTTTGTCCCCAGGCGGGAGGGCCGCGATTTTGTTCTATCGAAGAGCCTCTGGTGACATTTGGCTGTTTCAACCCAGGGAAGACTCGGGGGGGCAAGGGGGGAGCGCTATTTCAATTCTTACGGACTTTTGAAAATCCAAGACAAAATCCGGCTACTTACGACACCTCATTACATCCACGAGGAAATTTCCGAATTCGCGACAACATACCCATTTACGAACGATTACCCATTTGATTTCGCGCAGTCGTTACATCCATTGCACAAGAGGGAAGTTGTTGTGTCAAGGTCGGCGAGGCACTCCTGGCATCCAGGACTTGGCTTCGTGTGTCTGGCTTCGCGAGGGAGCACGGAGCTGGTGGGAGGTGACACCATCAATGAGACTCTTCTTTGCTATCCTTTGCTGCCGCCTTTTTCCTGATTTTGAGTAATTGGCCATACCTGTTTGTTTTTGCCAAGAGGGAGAAGATGGTGGGAGGCCAAGGCGGTTGCTTTTGCTTTAACTCATGTTTTTTCTCTGGAGGATAGCTGATTGATAGGTTACCTAGAAGATACCTGCAAATATGGGGAGGAACCGCGAGGGCAAATCGAACATCAATTTCCCCCGCTAGCTCTACTTGGGCTTATTTCCTTGATCTTGACGTTGAGTCGAGTCGAGTCGAGTCGGTGAAGATGGATGTGTGCGATCTGCTGTCGGAGGAGTTCAACCGTGCCGGTCCCTGACCGCCTATCCGCATGCTTTCGACCCATGCATATCAGTGAGCTGCCGCTACCAGGCCTTTGCGGCAGCGCGTGGGGCATATCTGTACTCCGCAGTACACGTGTGAGCCAGCAATGGCGCGAGCATATATTGTGGACCACGCGTGGCCTGGCCTATGTGCCTGGCCTATGTGCCTGGCCTATGTGCCTGGCCCGGCCTGGCCGCGATGTTGGCATTGCCCGGGACTAGGGGAGACGGTCGGGGGATCAGGGGCGCTTGGAGAAAAGAGCCGGGTTTTCCAAGCATGGGACAACCTCCTATGGGTGGTGGAGGCTCCCGCCTGCAAGGCAGAAGGATGCTTGCTTCTTGTCGCAACTCGTTTGACTTCATCTGGCGGTGCTCCTTGCTGCCGGTATAGTATAACCTCGTATGTGGTAGCCTCCTGTGGGCCTATAGAATAGCCTCCAATTTCCTACGGGATAGCCTTCCATAGGGTTACATTGTACAAGATGAACATCTGCAGGACAGCTTCCTACGGACTCTTGGGCGCCCCGAGTCCTCTAGGGGGGGGGGAGGGTCAGTACGAGACATGTTGCACGAACGACAGAGAGTCGTTTGTGTCTTGACTTCATCACGTCTTCCCGCCAAGACTTCGTGGAATTATACTGCTTGATCGGTCTTGTGGGGTCGTTTTGCACAGACTTGCATGCATGAGGCCCAGGGCCAATGTTTGTCGGGCGTGCCGATCCATCGCCATTATGGGCTCCAGGGCTCCGAGGGTCTTACTCGGCTTTGTGCCGTTCTTGAGGCATTGAACCAGCCCAGCATCACCCACACTACGGTGATCCGGTCATCGAACGGTACTGGTCAGGACTGGCGCGCCCTTTGTGTAATTCACAAAGCCCCTGGTGCGATCCAACAAGGAAAACGCCGAATGTCAGCGTGACTCGGAGCCGCAATCGGACAGCATGACAGTCGAGGCCCGGCCGGAAGTCGGGAGAGCAGCCGGTCAAGTTCCATTACCCTCCATCCTGGACATGGTCCATATGCCATTGCCCCAACACGTCTCCATTTGCTAATCAATCTAAAGTTGAGCCTCGGGCTTCATATCCAGACGAAACGCTCACCCGGCGACTTGCAAGACGGCCAGCCATACTTGTCAGTCCTGGGAGGGGGGTTCAGCGGCCGCGGGGTCTGTCATGTGCGACTTCAGGACCACCAATCGAGCAGGCCATCCGTCAAACTGCCGTCCCACCCGTGGGGTTGTTAGACTACACTACACCATGTCGAGAGAGGAATAGTGGGTCTAGAAACACAACAGGGGCGACCACTCCTCTGCCCTCTCGGGCCATCTGCTTGGCGGCCATGCCACGGTAATAGGCCGCGGATAACGGCGACAACGACACCAGCAACTTCTATCTTTTTTTTTCTTCGCCTCACATGCGGCTAGCTCGTGTTAGCCAACGGCCGCACCAGTCATGGGTCTGATCCCAGGACTGTAACCGGTTCCTGTGTGGCTGGATGCTGGTCCTGGTCATCGAGCCCGATCCAGCAGCCCGGGAGTGACCAACTTCTGCTTGCCGCCTGTCCACCGATACTCGGACCGTACCCGTCATTCGAGTCAACTGGTCGGTGTCATTCTCTTAATCGACCTGTATGTGTGTGGCAAGGAAAAAGAGTCTTCCTGGCTTCGGCCTATCGTTCGGTCGAAAGAGCAAGCTATTCACGACCCACGACGGATCTGTTGCTGCCGGCAGCCGATGACTCTTTGTGGCAACCCGCCCTCCCAGACCCGGATGCCACCTCGCGCGGGAATGTACTCAGACCTACAGATGCACAGGAGCGAATACAGTCTAGCAGTCCAGATAAGGCGAGAGCCCTGCTGTCACCACAAGGCGGTGGGGCCCGCCCCTGGCTAGCCTCTTTCTTGTCTTCTCCTGCCCTACCGCTGCGATATCGTCTCCCCAATATGTGGGAACCTCCCCCGGACTACTACTATGTATATCGCCCTGGCCCCATTCCGCCCGGGTTTGGTCCGACTGACGGGATTTTCCCGATTATATTGTCATTCTTTCCCACCTTATATGTGCCGTCTTCTCAGTCCTACATGATCTATTAACCCCCTCTTGGCAAACGAGTACCTCGTTTCGCCTGCGATGATACCTACATCCTCCCCCCTCATTCTTTAAAAGGAGTTTCTTGAAGTCCCTACCCCCTGCCACATCGTGATGGCCAAGACGGAGAAACAACCCCATGTCCCTGCCGCGGGAGAGCCGCACAGTCAGGAACAAGACCACGACAGCTACGGTCACGATCTAGAGGCAGGGCGGGTCGAGAAGGAAGGGGACCGCCACTCGACAACCCTCTCGGCCTCGGAGCACTCAGAGGACAACTTGTCAGCGTCGTCCAGCCCGTCCTCCTCCCGCCGGCACAGCACCGCGAGCTCGAGAAGGGGCGGTTCCCCGACCCGGCGGGCGCAGAGCCCCGGCGGCAGCCCCGTGGCCCGCGTCTCGACCAACGTCTCGCTCGGACCGGACAACCCCGTTGAGCACTACACCTCCTTCGTCGAGGTCCCGGACTCGGTCTACGACCGGATCCCGCAGCACCGCAAGCTGGTCATCATCGCCCTGCTGTCGTACTGTGCCTTCCTGGCGCCTATCTCGTCCACCACCGTGCTCTCCGCTGTCCCTGAGGTCGCCGCCACCTATAAAACGAACGGATCCATTATTGGCCTGTCCAATGCGCTGTATATGCTTTTTATGGGCCTCTCGCCCATCGTCTGGGGGCCCTTCAGTGAGGTATGGGGTAGAAAGAGCGTGAGTCTTGTCTGCTTTCCGGAGTCCTGAATCGTTCCCCCTCCCCGTCGTGCGTGGGCCAGGAGGTTCGCGCGTAGTAGGATGTCGATATGGCACAGATTAGCCTACCAGGAACTGTCACCCTCAAGAACCACCCTGCTGACCTCTGTGGTGTATGTATAGATCACTTGTACGACAGCAGTTCTTTTCCTTGGGTGTAGCATCGGTACGGCGCTGGCGCCCAACCTGGCCGCCTTCTTCATATTCCGCATCTTGACCGCCTTTGAGGGAACAGCATTCCTCCTTGTTGGTTCCGCGTGTCTACAGTACGTGTATCCATCGATGTACTGCTCTGTATGTGCATTTCTTTTTACCTTGGCTGACACTGAGATTAGAGACATCTTCCGCCCCACGGAACGAGCCACGGCGATGGGGTGGTTCCTCAGCGGGACTCTGGTCGGGCCAGCCATCGGCCCGTTCATAGGCGGCATTATCGTCACGTATACTGACTGGACCGTCATCTTCTGGGTGCAGGCCGGACTCGCATTGGTGGCGGCGCTCGGGACCTTCTTCTTGCTGCCCGAGACAATACACCACAAGAAGTATGACGACCTCGAGGGCTTAAGCACGAAGAGAAAGGCGCATGTACTCGCCAACATGGTCAACCCGTGGAGGGTGCTCAAGCTCTTCCTATTGTACCCGAATCTGTACGTCGAAGCCCCTTCACCGAGTTCCATCTTCTTCTGTCTCGATGGTATATGTGCAAGCAGGGCAGCCAGGAAAGTTCGTGAGGAGCCCTCTTCGCAGGCTTCTCTTGAGTCAACCACTTTCAAGCAACCTAAAAACACTGACCCCAGTCGCTAGTATCTTGACTGGGATTGCATCTTCATCCCTCGTTTGGAACATGTACTCGCTACTCACGCCGATCCGGGTAAGCCACCTTTGAAGAATGCCCTTCAGCTACTGATGGATGTGGGAGTGCTACACCTGGAAGACTGGCTACTAGTGGTGCGAGATCCTACCACAATGGCTGACCCTAAATGGTCTTAGTACGTCCTCAACCCACGCTTCGGTCTCACGACGCCCATGCAGTCCGGCCTGTTCTACCTGGCCCCGGGGGCGGGCTACCTGCTGGGGACCTTTGTCGGGGGCCGGTACGCCGACCACGTGGTGAAGAAATACATCAGGAAGATGGGGGGCAAGCGGGTGCCCGAGGACAGGCTGCGCTCGGCGGTCCCGTTCATGGGCTTGGTGATCCCGGGCTGCGTGCTGATCTACGGCTGGAGCGTGGAGAAGAACGTCGGCGGGATCCCGCTGGCCGTCATCGTGCTGTTCCTGCAGGGCGTGGCGCAGCTGTTCTGCTTCCCCAGCCTCAACACGTACTGCCTGGACGTCATGCCGGGCCGGGGCAGCGATGTCATCTCGGGCAACTACGTCGTGCGTTACCTGTTTGGGTGCCTCGGCACCGGCGTCGTGCTGCCCGCTGTGGAGGGCATCGGCGTGGGCTGGTTCAGTACTATCAGCGCGGCGTTCCTCGTGTGCAGCGCCGGGGGGCTGCTGGCCACCATCAGATGGGGCGGCGGGTGGAGGGAGACGGCTGATCGCAAGAGGAGGGCAAGGAAGCTGGCGCGGACAGAGAAGGATAAGGCGAGGGAGCCGAGGCATACGGAGGGTTTTGGCAGGCCCTCGTCGAGTCCTGTAGGGCCTGACCACGAACATGAGAGGCCAGGGCACATGGGTGCTGAGAAGCAGCGCGTGCAGGCGTCAGCAGAGGTGGGCGCGTCGATACCGAAGGGTGCGAGCCCAGAAACGACGTCATGAGGAGCAAGCTCTGATGGACGAGGCTTGGATCTTGGGCTCGCCTGATAAATCGGTCCAGAGCCGCCCGCAGATAAAATCGTGATTGTATCAGCGACCTCGGGATGCCATGACGTGAGCCCGTGTCCCTTTGCCCGTCTCGTCATGCAGCTCCCAGGAGGCCATGCTACCGTGAGAGTTTGAAAATGAGACTGAGGTTCTCGGTGCACTCTGGACGGGACGGCTGCCCAGATCCAGTGAGCCCGTGAAACTAGAAGTTTGGACATTTGCGCAAGGGCAATCGGAGAGAAGCTCCGACGGTATGTCCCCATCTTAGGGCTGTATGGGAATATACTCGGAGGTTGCTGATGTTGGCATACAAGGCTGAGACCACATCGAGCATCGTGTGCACAACGCGTCAAGCCATCCCGCGAAAGCCCGCCGACGGATAGCAGGCTGCCCGGCTACGTTCTGGAAAGCGCAACATCTTTACCGGCCCCCATGTATGTCACCCAAGGCCGGGGGCTTGGTGGCCCGTTGGTCTTGATCTGTTCGGACAGTTTTCCCGCTTTTTGACACCGCGGGCAATTTCCGTAGGCATCAGACTACCGTTGCTGATCGTGTTTCCATCCTAGTACGAAGTAGGTCTGCTCAGGTGTCCGGGCATCTCCCCAGCCCAGCCCCAGCCCCAATCTCGTATGGCACGGCATCATATTAGACAACTTCCTGGCCTTCTATGGGATAGCCTCCTTTGGGGGTGCTCTAGATAGACAGACAGACAAGTTGAAGGGGCTTTGGTATACCATTCAAAACGGGTTAAAGGTGGTGTCCTGGTCAATGCCGCTGATCGGGAAACCAAAAGGCACAACTGGCTGGCTGGCTTTGTCCCAACAGGTTGGCTTAAATCGACACCGAGATGTGGCACCTGTAGTATTCCTGCTGGGGACTCGGGACTCGACCTCTGAGATGAATTCAGACGGAAGGTGGTGTCGTCTAATAAGAGGACGGGACACCTGGAGACGGAGGGCATGACTGTCGGCAGCTCGGCCGGAAGAAGTCCCGGACGAATTCAGTGCCTGGGACAACGGAGCTGGTCTGAAGACTGCGACGGGTTGCGCAGCGAACAACAGCTCGAGGCGGTGCAAAACAATTTTGCAGTGCCAAATCTGGGACATGGGCACAGGGTCACAACGTACCGGCCGGGTTGCAAGAGACCGAGTAGTGCAGCACCAGTGGCACCCTCATTCTACCTACTACCTACCTAGGTACCTAGGTGCAATTGCCATCCGATGGAAGCATCTTGCTCCGGCCGGGCGGCAAGAACCGGTGTTCTCAGCTTCAACCCGCTGACTCGCCCACCGGCCACATGGGAGTGAGTGCAGGCCTGTGTCAGAGGCCGGCCCAGGGTGAAGTAGCTTTGTTGCTTGCCCAAGCTGACGTCACAAGTAGACGATGTGCATAGGATTTGTCAGTGCCGGGAGAGCGTGCAGGGAAAGTGTGCATGGAACGGTATCCACTGCGTGTGTACTGTGTAAACAACTGTAAAAGACGGGACGACTACTGCGGCAGGTGGCGACGATATTAATAGACCAGACAGGCTGGCAAACAGACCTATCCGCCCCCCACCGTCTGTGAAAATGGGTTGGAAAAAAAAAAAGAGAGATGATGAGTGGGTGGTGAGTGGGTGGTGAGTTGGTGGTGAGCTGGTGGTGGTCGGTTCTCCTGCTCGAGCCCAAGTTTGAAACAAAACCTGCGGCACGAGCCCGAGTCTCGGCAGGTTAACGCTTGTTTCACAACCCTTGGGAGTTCAAGTGCAGTGGCGTGTGCTCCCCCCTCCTGGGTCCCGTCGGCCCCCACCCCGATCGAGGTGCTGCCGACGAGCGGCCGAACCCGATCTGGACTTGATAAACACCCAAGACGGCGCGGCGTTCTTTGGTGTGTGTACTATGTATGTCCACGTCGCACAGGCAGGCCAGCCCGGGAAAGGGCAGGTGCATCAGAACTTTATCGCAGGAGACGGTGGCAGGCTGGCTTTCTAGAAGAAGGGTGATGTGCCGGCTCTGACAGGACCTACCCCATCGGCTGTTTCGGAATGGCCATGTCAAGTCATGTCGGGCGCGAGCAGCTGCAGTAACAGATCTAAGCTCCTGTCTCGCCTATTTAACGTAGTGGGGCCCCCGGGGATCTGTTAGCACTAGTGGTACACCATCCAGGTCCGGTGCTGCAATACCCTGCCTCCCCTGCCTCCCCCAGCTTTTTGCTGCAGGGGCGTACCAGACCTGCGCGCGCCCGATCGGCCTTAGCGGCTTGGCACCAGAGCCTCCTCGCCTTGGGAACGACGACAGTTGGACCCCTGGGACCCCTGGGACCCCTGGGGCCCCCATGAACCCACTCTCCGCCCACCGGTGCGGCTACAGTGCGGCTACACTTACTTGCCCCAAAATTAACTTTGTTGGCCACCAAGGCATTGTATTGTTCTCATGCCGTGCTCGAATCTCGAATCTCGAAGCTCGAATCTCGGCTGCACGGGCGCGGGCACGGCTGATCTCGTGCCCCGTCAGCCCGTCTGGTGTCCGTCGTGTGAAGAGCTCTGCTATATTCGGGTGGTTGGACCAGTGCTCGAACCTGCACACGCACACGCCCACGCCCACGCACTTGCGCTCCCCTCGACCCCTGGACGGCGCAGGTGCAATCGATCGTGTCCAACAGGCAGGCTGACAATTCGTGCTCGGGCTCGGGCTCGTACTCGTCGCCCGTGGCTGCCAACAATGCAGGGACACGGTTGATGGAGCAGCCCAGGGCAGCCCAGGGCAGCCCGAGCCAGCCTGGCCGGTGCTGTGCTGTGCTGTGCTGTGCTGTGCTGTGCTGTGCTGTGCTGTGCTGTAGCAGACACGTGGGGCCAAGCCAGCCTAGGCTGCCTGGCCGGGATCGAAAACAAAACCCCACCCAGTCGGGACGTTGGGGTGGGCTTCTGCCGGTGCTGCGTGCCCAGGTCGTGATGTAGAACGCCAGGTCCGTGTATTCTCGAAGCGTGGGAGCGTGCTGCAGTGCCGGCATGAGAGCCAAGCCTGAAGCACCTCGCTGCCTCGATGATCGGCATGCCCTGGCGGGGGACCCATGCGGCCGAGCTCTCCCTGTCAAGCCTGTTCAGCATGCACGATTCGCCATGCGCCATCGGGAGCTATCCTCCTAGGCCCGGCAAGTGCGTCTCGAGCCAGCCCGGCCGGGGATCAATGCACTTCTGGCCTGCTCTGCCTGTCTGGCAGACCAGCAAACGGAGGCACTCGACTCGCTCGTCTCACTCGCCTCCTGCACCGTCGCCGTGGCTGCTGCTGCTGGCGCTGCTGGGCCAGGTTCTAGACTGGCAATTCCTCAGCTTCGGACCCACCGTTACAGCCCAGGCAGATGGCCTGCCTGCGGGAAATTCTCCGCGCCTCTGGTCGTTGCATTGTTGCACACTGTTGCACTAGCTACTAGAGTATCCCCTATCCCCTTTGGCAGTTCCGTACCATCTAATCGGAGAGCACGATTCCACCACGTCTGTGCCTGCCTACCTATATTGTACATATACACATGTGTGTGCATGGGCTGGTCTGCAGTCCCCCAGCATCCCGACCTGCTCAAACCTACCTACTAAGAAGGCACATGGGTACCTAGGTACCTGGTCAGTTGCCCTCAGCCAACGTCGAGTTCCGTCTCTGTCTCCGTCCTGAACTCCGTTCGTTGCCCGCGCCTGGTTCAATTTACATGTCGCGTTTTGTCGTTCTACTTGTTACCTCCGTACTTGGTCCACCGCATGTCTGCAGTACATTTCATGCATTAGACTTTTAAACCCTGTGGCGAACAAGAGCAATCATATCAGCCTCTGCGGCCGGCCTGTCTGTCTATTTGTTGTTCTTGACTCCACCCCGTACTTGGCCCTCTCTCTGGCAGCGTGTCACAGCATCGTCCCATCCCAATCCCGTCCCATCCGTCTGGACTGCACCTGCCACAACCGACGTCTCTGTCTTGCCTCTGCCTGTGCTTTCCCTTTTGAACCTCGCCGACCCGCCTGCCCTGCCCTCTTGTCCACCCTTTCCTGATCAGACCGAATCAAAGCACGTCGGTCCAAATCAACGACATAATCCCCTCTCTTCCATCTCGATTCTTCAACCGATTCCTGTCTCTTCTTTTCCTCTTCTTCCATCTTCTGCCCTTGTCTTGGCACTCCCCGGCCTCCTTCTACCTCTCGCCAACCCCATCAATAATCACACACGACGGGCATACGGCTTGCCTCGAGACGTGTTCCCCCAATCGGCAATCAGCATTTTGCTGCTCGGGTTGATCAAACATTGAGCATCTCGAGCTTGTGCCCGGCTGCACTGTGTCAACCTGCATAAGCATCGTTACATCAGTCTCGAAATATACGAGGCCTTTCATTCATGCCAGGTCACGCTCGAATCCCCTGAAGCTGCTCACCACCTCCGCCTCGACACGCCCTGAGCAGCTTCACGGCGCCAGCCAGCCACCCACAAACCCCTTGCCAGCTCCTACTATGGAGAGGACTTCGTGCCTGCCAGCCTCAAAACCAAGCTCGAGAACCTCCTCGCCAGCCTCGCGGAAATCAGAATTCATGTTGCCCTTACCCGTTCAATCGTCACCGAGGTTTCCCATGCGGGCCCTTCTCAGCCACTGCCTGTACCGACGCGTTATGATATGGGCTGTCACCGTCACAGTACTCTTGTGCCTGGTGCTATTCTCAAGTGGTGTGCAGACCCGACATGGGAGGATTTTGGACCTGGTAGACTTCAGGAAAGGCAGCCACTCCGAGACCCCAAAGACCGGCCTGGGCACAGGCGCTGCCACCATCGAGCAGCAACTGACCATCGGCAAGCCCAAAGAGGGGGCCAAGAAAGAGGACACTAAGGAGGATGACAGCAAGAAGGACGACAGCAATGGCCGGGACCCTCTTCACTGGCTCGAGTACAAGCAGTAAGTTCACCCGAGAGTTGGGCACCCTCGATCATCAGCTTCCTAACTTGCTCTGCAGCATGGACGGTTACTTCAATGGCATCAAGAGCTTGGTGCCCCTCAAGGACTACGTTCCCGAGTTTCCAGCAAAGGCGGACACACCACCTGTCATCACCGTCTCCCTCAGCACTGCCCTGCCAACACCCACCCTCTTCGCACCACAGCCCGACTACCAGTCATCCGAGTACAAAGAAAATCACCACCCCGTGCAGACCTGCTTCCTTGACGAGGAGCAGGAAATCCCACCGCCAGACCTGTATGTCTATGACGGGCTCCCACAGGGCGTCGCGAGGCCAGCACTGGGGTCGTACGAGCTTCTCGGGATCCGGGATGATATCTGCTACGATCGATTTGGACGGTACGGCCCCTACGGCCTGGGATACAGCCTCAAGGAAGGCGGTGTCGGAGAGGGGATGGATACCGAGAGCGAAGGAAGCGAGCACGTGTGGAACAAGACTGGCAAGATCGACTACCACAACATGAACTGGGGAAAGCTTCAGAAGCGCTGTGTCGAGAAGAACCGCGCGAGATTCGTCGAACCCGAAGATAGAGAAGGGGAAAGCACCGAAGGCGGGAAAGATGCACAGTCACGTCTCGGCAGCGATTCAAAGAAAAAGATCGGCCGTATCGCGATTGTCATTCGGACTTATGTCGGCTTCCAGTGGACACACTTGGCCATCCTCAACTTCCGAGCCATGATCTCCGAGTTGTCCCTGCGGTCTGGCGGAGAATACGACGTGCACTTCCTCCTTCACGTCAAAGACAAGGACCAACCAATCTGGGCGGACGCGGAAACCGTCCAGAAGATACTCGACTCCAACATGCCGCCCGAGTTTCACTCCATCACTTCCCTGTGGTCTGAGCCGCAGATGAAGTTGCTGTATCCTGGCCGCTTTGGAGATGCGTTTGAGAACCCATCGAACGGAGACATCCACGGCGTCTATCGTTCCGCCCACATGCCACTGCAGCATTTTGCAATGATGCATCCTGAATATGAACACTTTTGGAACTGGGAAATGGATATGCGCTATGTTGGGAACTACTATGAACTGTTTGACAGGCTTGGGTCCTGGGCCAAGAAGCAAAGCCGTGTCGAGCTGTGGGAGCGCTCACAAAAGTACTACATCCCCGGGTACCACGGCAGCTGGGAAAACTTCACAGAGGTTGTCCACCAGGAGACCGAAGCCTCCGGTCGTCAAACAGTCCTTGGGCCTGTCATCTTCCCCGGTCGCCAGTCTCTGCGCTCCCAAGAGCGTGGGTTCAGTTTCATGCCTGATACATGTGCTAAAGGAGGCAACATCACCGAGTGCGGGATAGGCGAGGAGGCGGACTTGATCACCCTGAACCCCATCTTTGATACAGATGAGTCAGGCTGGGTATTTGCGAAAGACGTGTCTGGTTACGACCGCAGTATGCCTGTTCCACCTCGTCGCTGTGCCATTGTCACGGCCTCCCGGCTGTCCAGGCGCCTTCTTCAGGTCATGCATGAGGAGACATGGCGTCTGCACCACAGCATGTTCTCCGAGATGTTCCCTGCCTCAATGGCACTGCACCACGGAATGAAAGCTGTGTATGCACCACATCCTGTTCTCATTGATAGAAAGTGGGACATTGAGAGAGTGGACTGGGCTTTCAATGGTGGTAGAGACCACAGCACAAGTGGCCGTGGTTCCCCATACGATCTCGATAACGAACACAACCACGCAGGCACTAGTTGGTACTACAACAGCGAGTTTGCGGGCCTTTTGTGGCGTCGCTGGCTGGGCTATGCCCAGTATGACGGACGTGGCGAGAACGGTGGGCGAGCTGGAGAGGGCACTTTGCGTGGAGGAAAGGCAGAGGAGAGCCGCCCAGACAGCACAGGCCGACTTTGCCTCAGGAGCATGCTTGTGCACCCTATCAAATGGGAAAACCCATCTGAGAAAAACTAGGAGTACATCACCTGCGACTGGGCAGGGATGGGGGAACCAGACGACTGCATTTTGAAAGCACAGCGAACTGGAGACGACAGACTTCTCGGCATCATGTCGGGATTGCTCGAGAAGTGAGCATTATCTAGTCTCAACACAGACCCCTGATGGGTCTCGGCACTATTTTGGACCTTTGGGGAACAGGCATTTCAGGCGAACAGCGCAACTGATACATTCTGAGTACTGTGTGAAACATAGTGTACATATTGATTGATGGCTACTGGGAAATAGACCTTTCGAGATACACACATGACGACAAACTGCCACAGGCTCATTGGCACGAGAGGAAAGTCAACAGGTGCCTAGGTGATTTCGGGCTCTGTTGGTCTGGCATTGAGAAGGTGCTGGCTAATAACTCTCTGAAATATTGGAAGAGACAAAAAGTCTCTGATAGATTTAAGATCTGCTAGTGGACCAAATTCAAGGCGCTTCAAAGGGTCACGGCACATTTACTGGTGATGTTTTCACGCATGTGTCTTTCCAAAAGATTCATATTCACAGCGTACATATGTACCATCAAACAACAGGTTGGGTGAACTTCTCTTGACACCAAGAGCACTTCAGTGTTCTCATTGGGGGGGATTGGTGTATTTTTTGGAATTCCATGAATTCCAGTGACAAGGAAAACACAAACTTAGAGCTGCGGAATTGCTGCATTGCGCAAATAGGGAACAACATGTATGATGGTTTCTCCTTCCTACTTTCCCCTTTACATGATCTTGTCACTGAATGCCTGTTCCTGAATGATTAAACACCTTTACATTACTTACTGCTCAGTCTCCCATGGGACAAGGTCACTTGAGCCTACCTAGGGATGGGATAGATGGATTAACTCATATTGCATAGACACCAAGATCAGACAGGCACCAAAGGACTGAACAAGTATTAGCATGATTAAATTCCTCCAAGTATCTACCTCCAAGCTCTTATAAGGAGAGCCAAGGGCTGTTGGAACTGGTCATTAAGGTGTGGATGTCAGGCCTGGATATTCTTGACTTGTTGATGGGCTGAACATAAGACAAAGACTCCTACACTTTTCTAACCCCAGAGTATACTTAATGCCAGCACAACAGGGAAATTGCTGAGAGGTATGACCATTCAGGTCAGTGATGTTGGCAGATAGTAATCTATTAGCATGCTTAACATTAACTAGGCTCCTAAAGCTATACCACCAGCTAAGAGCTAGCTTTATAAGGAATAAGTTAGGCTATTTAGTATTTAATAGAATTTTAAGTTAGATATCTTTATATATTTTTAATAAAAGATACTATATAAACTTAGAATATAAACTATTTATATTTTTTTAATTTTATTATTAAATTAAAAATAAATATTTAAAGTTTTAAAAAAATATAATATAATATATTTTTAAAAATTAATTTAATTAAATTTATTATATAAAACTTTTATAATAACTTTATAATTTATATTTATAATATTATTTATTTATTTTAAATATAAAGTTAAAAATTTATAATTATAATTTTAATTTAATTTTTAATTTTATTTAAGTTTTTTAAAGTTTTTAATATTTTTCTTTTAAAGAAGTTAAATTTAAAAGAAGCTTTTAAGTTTAAGTTTAAGATTTTTATAGATTTTAATTTCTTTTAAATTAAATTCATAATTTTTAACTTTTTAAAAATATATTAATTATTTTAAATATTAATAATCTTTTTAAAACAAAATTTATTTTTATATAATTATAAATTTAATTATTAATAATTATTTCTTTTTTATAAAGTTATTAAAATTATAAACTTAAATAATAAAGTATAATTATTTTATTTAATTACTTTTAATTTAATTAAATAACTATTTTTAAATAGTTTTACTTAATAAATATTTATTTAAATAAAGTTAAAACTTATATATATTTTTAAAAATAATAACTTTATTTTTACTTATTTTAATTAATTTAAAAATTTAAATTATATAATAATCTTATATATAATATTTAATAATATTAAAACTAATTTATAATTTATAATAACTTTAATTTTTAATAAATTAATTTATATTAAAGTTAATAATATAAGCTAATATTCACTTATTTAATAATTATATCTATTTACTTAATTCTTACTAACTACTTACCTAATATTAATTTTTCTAAATAACTCCCTTATATTTATAAGTACCTTTCAAATTAGTATTAAAAGACTTTATAGTATAATTTCCTTCTTTAATTTTAATACTTTAAGTATAAGCCCCTTTTAGCACACCTTCTAGCACACCTACATTTAGGTACTAACTAAGTATTTAAATACTAACTAAACACTAAAAGGCTAGAAGTTTAAAGGGCTAGAAGGTTAGAAGGAGAGCTAGAAGGCTAGAAAGTATATACTCTTTACCTTTACCTTCTTAGCTTCTAGCCCTTTAGCGTTTAGTTAGTATTTAAATACTTAGTTAGTACTTAAATATATATAGGTTAGAAGGTGTGTTAGAAGGTGTGTTAGAAGGTATATTAGAAGGTGTATTAAAAGGTATATAGAAGGGGCTTATATTAAAAGTATTAAAAATTTAAAGAATTCTAATTAAATATATAGTTTTATATAAACCTTATATATAAATTCTTATATTAAATAAATAGTTAAAAAAAACTAAATAAATAGATATAATTATTAAATAAATAAATATTAGCTTTAATAATATTAATTTAAATAAATATAATTTAATATATTAATATAAAAATATCTTTTAATAATAAATAATATTATAAATAATTATAAAGTTATTATAAAAAGTTTTATATAATAAACTTAATTAAATTAATTTTTAAAAATATATTATATTTTATTTTTTAAAACCTTAATTATTTATTTTTAATTTAATAATAAAATTAAAAAATATAAATAATTTATAGTTTATAATATTATTTATTATTAAAAATATTTTTATATATTATTATATTAAATTATATTTAATTAATTTAAATTAATATTATTAATTTTAATATAAAATAATTTATTAAAAGTTAAAGTTATTATAAATTATAAGTTAATTTAATATTAATAAATATTATTATATAAAATATTAAATTTATTATATACTTTAAATAAATTAATTAAAATAAATAAAAATAAAGTTATTATTTCTTTAAAAGTTTTAATTTTATTTTATAAATAAATATTTATTAAGTAAAATTATTTAAAAGTAATTATTTAATTTATTATATAACTTATTAAATTAAAATATAACTTTTAAATAAAGTAATTATATTTTATTATTACTTTAAGTGTATAGTTTTAATAATTTATAAATAAAAGAAAATTAATTATTAATAAATAAATTTATAATTATATAAAAGTAAATCTTTATTTTTAAAAAGTTATTATTAATTAAAATAATTAATATATTTTTAAAAAGTTAAAAATTATAAATTTAATTTATTTAAAAAAGAATATTAAATAACTTTAAAAAACTTTAAATAAAGTTAAAAATTTAAATTAAATTATAATATAATAAAATAATTAAATATAAATTAATTAAAATCTTATAATTATAAGTTTTTCAATTTTATATTTAAAAATAAACTTAAAATATATTATTAATAATATAAATACTTTAATTTTATAATTATAATTTTAATTTAAATTTAAAAATTAACTTTTATTTTAATTCTTTTCTTTTTATTATAATAAAAAATTAAAGTCTTTTATACTTTAATTCTCTAACTTTTATAGAAAGGGATAACTCTTATAATTAATATTAGTTATATTAACTATATTAGCTTAAAAGTGAAACGTTATCTAGTGGTTTATAGTTTATAACTCTTATAATAAGTGTAACTTTTATATAAAGGATAACTCTTGTAGAGGGCCACAATGCTTATAGGTCCCCCCTATTTACTAGTATAGTATAAATAAAGTATAGGTAGCACCTTCATATAGTAGTAAACATAAAAGACCTAGCACTTAGGTGGGAGGCATATTGCTAATCACAGTCTGGTGAGAATGTGACATGTGGTGATCATGCAAAATGCATGTTGATTAGCAGCAAGAACCTCTCTGTCCAGGGTTCAAGAAGGGATACATGGCTCGGCAGGCTGCTTTTATTCCAGATGTTAGCCCACTTCACATGCTACATAGAGCGGTTGGAATGAAGTCAATTTTGTCTGCAGCTCATAAATACAAGCTGTTGTTGTCCAAGTGAAATGTGATGACCCTAGGAGTTTACTCTCGAGCTGTGGTTGCCGACATGCACATGTTGTACAAGGTGAAATCATTCCAAGCACCCCGCTTCCTCAGACCATATTTGGACTTGATGAGAGGAAGATTGTTTCTCAGATACTCAATAGTTTATAATTGGTGACTGCAAACCAAGATCTCATGTTGTTCAAACATAAGACAGATGTTTGGTCGTTTGGTAGTCCGTTAGTGGAGATGGCAAACATTCTTGTTGGTACAACTTTGGTTGGCTTACAAGCCTGACTTCTCAGTTGAATTGTGAAGGAAACACTGCGTGTTTGAGAGAACTCCATTGGCTAGGAGCCGACAAATGCAAAGTCACTCCGAATCTCACATTCCCACCGCCCAGTCCAGCACAGCATCTTTTGCCAACACGAAGCAATTTTTGAACTCAGTCAAAGTGTCACTCAAATAGCTCCCCACGTACTTCCTGTCTTGTCATCCATCTTCCATCAAGATGTTCATGTTTCAGTTTGTCTTAGCCCTCCTGGCTTGGAGCCCTCTTATTGCCCTCGCAGCTCCACACTCATCGCAGGCAGTAGGCGGCACCGGCATTGCTCCGAAGAACCTGACAAGGGAGCTTGTTCCTGCAAGCACCGTGTACTCGGGCCCTTGGTCAAGCTTCCCAGCAATGAGCACGTGGACCACCTTTGACAACATGGTAAGCACCTCAGACACACATTTCTACTCTTGGCCGGCTCATCCCTCGATCCCTCACGTAGACGAGCAGCCAGTCGCAATCCCCACCGATGCCTAGATGGAACAAACGACTCACTTTAGTCAAAACAGTTCAACACCAACCAGAAGTCCATGTTTGTAGCTGGAAGCACTCAGCAGGATGGTAAGCAATTCGTCACCACGGTCCCCACACCTGGGCAGCCTTTGATCTCCAAGCCCATCCACAGTACATCATCCTGCAGTATGAGACTGGTTTCACACATTTCTGGCTCTTTTTTTTTTTTTTTTTTTTTTTTCATTCTCTAATCTAACTTTTGGGCTCCATGATTGTGTATATTGGGTGCCATCAGCAAAATAATAATAATAATATGGCTGACAAAGTGTATTCCAGTGGACCACATTCGTATTGCCGTCACCAGTGTCGCTGCATCCTACGGCATCGATAGAAGAGTGCTCTTGGGAATCATAATGGAGGAGAGCCATGGCGGTGTCGGAGTGGCGACCACTTACAATGCAGACGGGTTGCCCACCGGGGGCTTGATGCAGGCAAGCGGTTGTCACGGCTACGAGGGCCAAAACAACCTCGCCCAGGTAACCAAGCACAACTCCTCCACCGGTCTCAAACTCAGGGCACACTTTGTTAACACACCTATGATTCACCACAGGCTGATATCACATTCATGATCGACTGCGGCACCCAGCACTTCAAGACGAACCTTGGCAACTGGGGTGGCCAGAACTTGGAGCAGTCCATCTACCCTGCCCTACGTGAGTTCAACTCGGGCAGCGTGGTCGCCTGGGATCTCAGCACCGCCCCAAATGGGGTCGGAAACCCAACCTATGTCAGTGACATCGCACAGCGGCTCCAGGGTTGGACCAACTGAGCAGGAATGTAGGGGCTAGAAGACCCCAAGCAGGACATGGGCATGACGAGGAGGCCAACCAGCATCATGAAGCTGTAGAGACCTGGTATTGATGTATGTCAACCTTGTGCAATGGTGATGTGGTACTCTGGTATATTTGGTGTTGTTTATGCAAGCCTGTCTCCTCCGCCTGAGTTCTCCTACCTTTGTGTGTTTGCAGTCTATGTGTCCATCGCTTCCATTCATGTAAATTCTTAACAGGACACCACATCTTTAACAATCTCAACATACCATTACAGAGCCTCATCTACCTAGCTTCTATATCAAAGGAGGATCTTGATCTTTTTAGATGGCACCATATACTTATACCATAAGACTTTACCCTGACATGAGGTTGTTGTACACATCTGGTTAAGGTATCTGACCTTGCCTACATATCATGATTACTTTACAGGGTAGCTACTTGAACCACAATGTATGGAGAAGAACTTTTAGTAATGAAAGTTATTAGGCTGGATTGTGCTAGACTGTGCCGATATTGCAGGAAATCAAGATCAAGTTCTACATTCTTTACACATCAAAGGCTATTACAAGACTGAACTGAACCTTTCCCATCCATATCAAAGTAATGTGAGGAAATGTTTGTGAAGTTTGGTAGAAGCATGGGTATTGGTATTAGAGACTAATTAGGAGTCATAAACACTAATGATGCAGGAACGACCACGTGAAAACCAAATTGCTGATCCATTAAACAGTCTTGCCCACAACATGTGCCTCTTGGTGAGACACAGACCCGTGCCTCTGGTCATGACCGTGGTGAGGGTCGTTGTGCAGAACGTCAGGATCACCCACGTGCTGACGGAGCACTGATGGAGGAACCTGGGCAGCATCCGTGGGGTCCTTGTGGGCGACTGAAGAGTTGCCAGTCCTGTTCATCAGCCGTTAGCAGACTGATCCTCTGACGCCCGGCCATGACACTCGGGTGAATATATAATAAAGTGTAAACTCACAGGAACTTACTGCTGGTAGGTCTTGTTGCCTCCGACCGTCTTGGATCCGTCGAGGTCGCTGTCGACACGAGGGTCGGCCTTGTTCAAGAGGTCGGACTTGTGAGGGCCGGCAGTGTTGGAGGCAGGGCCGGGACCGGAGCCGATGTGAGATGTACCGACGGCGCCTGGAGCTCCACGGTGGTCACGGTCGCTGTCGATGCGGGGATCCGCGACGTTTGCAACCTTGGAGCTGTGAGTGCCGTGAGTGCCTGCAGGGTCGTTGTAGCCTGTGGTTCCTGCGCCGGCATGGGTACCAGTGGAGCCAAGGCCTCCGGTGTGAGTGCCCGTGGAGCCGATGCCTCCAGCACTGTGAGTGCCCGTCGATCCGATGCCTCCGGTGCTGTGAGTGCCAGTAGAGCCAATACCTCCTGTGTGGGTGCTTGTAGAGCCGATGCCTCCAGTGTGGCCAGTGGAACCAACACCTGGCGCGCCGCGGTGGTCAGCATCGGAATCGACTCGAGGGTCAACAGCGTTGCCAACACGTCCGTGAGGTCCGTGGGTGCCAGTGGGGTCATCGTAGCCCGTCACATGGCTGCTACCAGTCGTGCCGGTGTGTGTACCGGTGGAGTGAGTGCCGGTGGAGTGAGTGCCGGTGGAGCTGATGCCTCCGGTGTGCGTGCTGCTGGTACCAGTGGCTGGGCTGTGGCTAGTGTTAGCGATCGGGTCGTCTCAGCTTGCGGAGCGGGTGGGGGCTTACTTGGCACGCCCGTCCCGGTCCGAGTCGATACGCGGGTCGGCGGCGTTGGCGGCACGGCTAGAGTGAGGACCGTGGGTTCCCTCGGGCTGCTCGTGAGCCTTGTCGGAGTGGAGAGCGTCCTTGACCTTGTTGATGATTCCAGACATGTTGATGGTTGGTTGCTTGTTTGGGTTGTTTGGTGAGGTGATGTTCTCAAAACGGTTGTTTTTAAGGTTGATGAAATGGGTATCAAGAAATCAGGCTGCTATTGTGATTGTGAGTGATGGATGATGGTGGTCCTGTGGGAGATGGGGAAGGGGAAGATGGGATTTATATAAACATGAGCGTTGGCCTCAGGATAGGTAGGAGGAGCCCATCAGGCAGGCTTGCTCTGGGCATGGGGAAACCCATTGCATCATTTTGATCTCAAACTTCCGAGACGGCCAACAAACGACAGAAACGGCCTGGGGTACCTTGTACCCACTTTGGTCTGCTTGTCTCAATGCAAACAGGCTGGTACATGTTTTCGCTGCTACCTGCATACTATACCCAGACTCTCCTGGCCTCTTGGGCCAGACATGGCACTTCCCGCCCCCGCAGTCGTCATCACACCAGATTCGTGAGTACCTACCTAGGTACCCATGTATCCGCGAACTGGCTTGCCGGGTCAGCCATGAGGCCGTACCATGGGGGGATTTCGTTTGCACACCAGGGCAGACACTCCGTCGTCATCCCTCACAGGCTAGTCACACAGAGCTCCCGTGAGAATCCTGGTCAGGAAGGGGACAAGACGAGAAGGTCAATGTGTTACGGCTGAGGATGCATTGGCGCCGGACTGCCGCTTGGAGAGACACCAAGGCAGGCTGGCAGGCTGGCAGGCTGGGCAAAGTTGGTAACAGGTACCTGGCTGCATTGGGAGCACGGCATTTGGCGTCATGAGGCGCCACAGAGACGCCTCGCGTCCCGCGACAAATTGACGAGGGGGATTGTTGTAACCAAGGATGGGGCAGATGCAACTCCACGAGCTAATCTTCACTTGGTCTGTCGGGTACTCTCCCTCCCCCCTGAGACAAGACGGCGGCGAGGAGAGGAAATGGCAATGACGAAGCTGCACGTCGCGTATGGTTAGACCGCGAGCTCTAGGGGCAGCGATCAGCCGCTAGGCCCCACCACGTGCGCAGAGGCGAAACAGGCTGGCAGGGCATAAGAGAAGAGAGACTTGACACGTTGGGGATATCAGGCTCTGTTGCTCTGTTGCTCTGTTGCTCTGTTGCTCTGTTGCTGGAATGGGATACAACCTCTGGGCTGGCAGGGCTGGGTAAGCCCGACGTCGTCAGTATGAGCGAAGACGCGGCTTCACAACCTGGCAGCCTGGATTGACGGGCTGGGAGGCCCGGTCTGCAATGTAACCCAACCGACAACAAACCTTCGGGAACGTCGATCATCCTGCCACCTGCGTGGCGCAGCACAGCCACTCCCGAGGCTCCTGTGGCGTCAGCTCCAGCACTGGGACTCTGGGAGCCAGCAGCCTAGCCCGGCCTGGCCTGGCCTGCCAGGATGGCACGCCAATCTCCACGGGAGCTTCCAACTTCCCCACACTCACGTCATCACCCGACGTCAATCGAGATGATCAACACCGCCCAAACGAGAGGCTCCCAAGGCACCGGGACCTGCTCAGGATGCCCATCCACCCATCCTGCGAGGCCTAGATCCCATGCGGCTTCGCGGCCCGACTGGTCTACGTCACCTCTCCTCCAATCTGACGACGGCAGGACCAGATGAGACTATCGTGAGTCTGCTGCTACAGTAGCATGCCCGAGCAGGGGCGGCTGCCCTGCAAGGGCCAGACAGGATCTGCCGTACCTCCTTCGGCAAGCTTGTGCCGAGCACATGCCCACTGGCCCGGCGCCTGGTTCCTCTTCCTACCCTTCTTTGCTCAACACCAACATCCATACCGGCGTTGTACATGGTATGCGGATAAACACGCTAGTTCGACGAGGTCAGAAAGGTCTCATGTTAGACATGCGTTACAGCCATGGACGAGGCTGCGCAGCTCCCTCTGCTACGCTCTCTCGCCCGTGCAGTTCAAGAAACGCCATACAACTCCGATCTGGCACCCGAAAGCTGCCTAGTCGGCGGGCATGCTAAGCCCTGGGACATGCAAGACCCCCGAGACCTCGGGTGGAAGGCGTATCGTCACGAGAAGAGACCAGGCATATTCTTGGGCTGCCGTGGGTTTTCGTCAACGTACCGCGGTCCTTGTCAGAGTGCGCCACGAAGGCGAGGGCCGGTCAGTGAGTGGGAGCACAAAGACGGCTGACACGGTATTACTGAAGAGGGACTCGATTCGGCACGAGGAAATTAAGACAGCTTATGTCGCTGTTCTACTGCGACGGACGTCTGACAAGATGCAAGCTCTGCCTGGCTTTGTCAAAGCACAGAGACTCGTTCATGCACGTTTCCGCCTCTTGAATCCTGAATGATTGGGCACAATTTCTAAATTTCTGCACGCCGCGCATTATCATGATCCCGAAACAAGCCGATATTCCAGCACGTCACTTCATGGGATCAAATTCATCTTGAAAATCAGGCCTGTACATGGGTATGGAGCCGCAGAGCTATGTTTTCTTGGTCATCGCGTTAAGTTCTGAATGCGTGAAAACCATCACTTCCCAAGGCGTGCCAGATCGAACTCCAGATACCGCTCCTGCCATTCATCCTCCAAGCATGCCCTGCCACCCATGCGCACGATGCCCGACAGGAACTCCTGCATGTCGTCAGGGGAGACCATCAGGTAGAAGCCAAAAGACTTGACGCCGGAGAAGACGCTCGGCCTGAAGAGCGGCCTCAACTCTGCCCCCCTCTCATCATCGTCGAAAAAGTTCTCCGTGCAGCACACGCGGCGCTTGAGACCACAGTGCCCACAGGCACCGCAGGAGATGCACCTGTCATCGAGGTCCCACTCTAGTTCCCGCAAAGTGGTGATCCTGGCAAGGGTGTCCTCCTGAAGCACGTCGGTGATGAAGTCTCGAGGGATCCTCCACGGTGGGTTGGGCTCGGCCGGCAAGGAGCGGAAGGCAGTCGTGTGCGCAACCTGGCGCGGGATGATGCCGGTCACGAAAATGTCCTTCTCGGGATTGATGTACAAGCAGCCCTATTTGCATCTATGGTCAGGGTTATGGACGGTAGGATTAGAAGCAGGCACCCTAGAAGAAGCTTTCTCACCTTGTTTTCGATATTGTCATCCACTTGATAGATTTGTAGGGCGAAAGACTGGTTGTAGAATAGGTATTCGCGGAGCCACGGAACAATGTACCAGTCCCTTTCATTTCCGAATTCGTCGTCATTGGGGGCGCCGATGCCGAAGACGTCGACTTTGACGTAGACTTTGAGCGCGAGGCTGCGGGACTCGGCGTTGACGAACAGGAGGGGGGATGCCATAGTTGCAAGCTCCTTGGTTGGGGAGATGCCGTGGGTGATTGGGTCGAAGAGCACAACGCGGTGTGTCTCTTGCTCGTGATTGCAGAGTGCTTCCTTGATAATCATGTGGCGCAACTCGGTGGGCAGCCTGGGGTACGCGGGGAATCCGTCGGATGGATCCATGGTATCGACGCTGTCGGGCTGGGGGGGTTTGCTGGCGACAACAAAACTTGACGGCAACAGGGAGCCGAGGAAGGAGAGAAAAGACATTGTGGCGGTTCGCTGGGAAGGTGACTCCTGTTGCCCAAATCGCTTCCCAAACGGAAATAACTGACAAAGTACCAGTGACTGAACGGCGCCCATGGTGGGACTCGGAGCGCTATGGGAAGGAGCGCTGCTACAGGCAGGAGCGGCACGTTTGTTGACCCCTGATTCCACTTTCTGCAGGTGCTTGTGTCCCTGGAGCCTAAGGGTCAGGGGACCAGGTATCGGCCAAATCGAAGTTTTGGGTGGTTCTAGTTTTGAGGTACCAAGCCAGGAGAGCACTTGAGGGGAGTCTTGCATTTCCAGTCTACAACCCTCACTCTCACAGGTATTTCTCTGGACAAACCGCCTTGCTAGTATTAAAGTGGTATCAGGTAAGGGTATCAAGCATTACACCTCGCACATATGGTATCATTCCTTCAAGTAGGGGTGCCAAAAATCACCAAGAATAACAAAGAGACGACTAGACCCAGGATACTGCTTCCTTGCAGCCCAACTAAGCTGCCAGTGTGTGGCCAGAACCGCATTCGTATCGAGTGCCCGTATCGAGTGCCCACAGCTCTGGAGGCGTCATCAAGACCTGTGACCAACAGTTGTTGCCGACCACGTCGACCCAGCCAGGCCTCCCGCCTAGACACGCGAGCGGCGGTACCACCGCCTCCTTCGGGTGGGCTCTGTGCCGCTCGCAACGTGGCGGCGCGTCCAGTAGATGCCGAGGAGGGCCGAGACAAGCCAGCAGATGGCCGACAGGAAGGCGAAGGCCTCGTCCGCCTTCCACGAGCCGCAGTTGTTGCCGCGGAAGCCGAGGCCGCTCCAGTCGAAGGTGTTGCCACAGCTGCCTCCGAGCCAGTCCACCAGCAGGCCAAAGGCGGCGAACCAGCAGAACGAGATGACGAGGTCGACGGGCCAGTGGATGAAGCTGCCGGAGAAGGGGAGCAGCCAGAGGAGGGCAAGCAGGATGGAGAGCCCCGCCACAACCTCGGTGTAGATAAAACGGCCCAGCGTCCAGGACGATTGCCCTCGGCTGGCGTGAAGGTGGTTGCCCGTAATACCAGCGACGATGGCAGCAAAGACCAGCTAGAGGGGGGGAGGGGGAGTCAGCCGCAATGTCCGAGCATGATTTCCAGGTCAGGACGTACCTCCGCAAGGCGGAATATCATAGAGGCAAGATCGGTCAAGATCATTTTGATATGCTTGTACCAAGTGGTAGTCGATGTGGGCTAAGATCGATCAACAAATGCTGCTGCTCTGCAGTCTCAGCGCTGTGGAGGTTAGGGGAGTCAACGAGGGCCGGGTGGCCCAGGAAGGCAACGCAGCAGTGGCTCGTACTTAAATATTTATTATTCCACCTACCGGCCCGCAGTGCCATACAGAAGCCACGGTGAGTGTCAACCAGTCACACCTGGGCAATCACATCCATGGTTCAGACGTGTGCGCCGGGCCCTTGTTTGCCAGGGGTTGGAATGGGAGACGGGTCCCAGGTACCCACTTCCCCGTTGCAACCGCCCGGCGCACAGCGATGAAGCTATTCGGAAGAGTACTGGTTACCTATCATCCCACCCATCGCGCTTTTTGACGCTGTGAGACATGCGCCCAATTCCAAGATTTTGCCCTTGTGGTACGTCATGGGCCGCACCCCCGGTCGGAACAGTTGGTGATCTGCCGTTTCCTCGTGTCCTCGTGTCCTCGTGGCAGCTCGTGGTCGGCCCATCTTCAAATCATCGATCGGCCAGGGCACCAATTTCCGAGCGCCATAGTCTGCCATCCCTGCCCCCTTCCTCTCCCTCCAGCCACAAGCCCAGCCCAGGCCTGACCTTATTGTCAGACAGGTTGACAGGCCAGACTGCTTGCCGGTGAGATCATAGCTTGGTAGCTTGGGATCTAGATGTGTGGCGCCATGTCGCAGATCCCCAGAACAAACCGGCAGACCGGTCGGCGTTCTAAGCCCTCTGATTGATGGCCCCTCTCTGAAACCACACCCACTCCCGGCTGTCTGCGCATCCCCCTCACTGCAACGGGCTGCATCAGCCACGAACCTCTCAAGCCTCTCTCAACGACATGCGAGGCAACTTGGCAACATTTGACACTGCAACCGTCTTCCACCACGCGACGAATGGCCATGGCCTGACGCAATCCAGACGTTACTTCGTGGCTTGACGGAAATTTTGCCCCCTCGAATGCACTCCTGCAGCCTGTCTGGGCACCACCTCCTGTCATTTGCCGTTAATCAAAATCGCTTGAGCCCGTCCATGCGATGGGCAGACACCAGACCTGATGATCTCTCGTCACCACAGCGCCATCTCTGCACCCTCAACCAATGTCCAGCCTGCCCGATCACCCTACCAAGCCTAGTTGCCGGGGCATCCCCAAGGCTTGCAAGGCAAGCAATGAGGTCGACCCCCGGCAGTCCCATGACCCAGGAGGTCTCGAGCGATGTCGCTGCTGGCCTGCTGGCCTGCTGGCGTGTCAGCGTGTTGGGTGACCGACAAGTGGTAACGCTAGCTGGTGTACATCATTTCCTGCTTAGGAAATTCATCGTTGAAAACCTGCTTCCCCTGCATGCGCCTGCATCCTCAGCGGCACTCGCTCAAGGCGGGCTGCGGAACGGCACCTATGGCGGGATCACCCGCCTTGGCAACATTTACCCACTGGTGGTGGTTTGAGAAGGTTGACATGACATTGACGTTGACAGATCCAGTAGCCCTCTAAACCAGTATGTATCAAGGGTCTAGTTGTGTCATTGATAGATAATTTACTATATAATTTACATTTATATCCTTAAAATTAACTTAAGGGTAAAGGTCTTATAAATCTTATAATAAGGGCATTAAACACATTATATAATATTTTAATAACTTATTTACTTTCTATTAATACTTATTATTTTATTTTTAAAATCTTAATACTTTAACTTATAGCTTTAAAATATATAAATCTTACTTATAATTATTATATTAATAATTTATCTATATAAAAGAATTATAAAAGAAGTTAAGTAGAGAAAATAAATTATATTAAAAGTATTAAAGTTTAATAAAATTATTAAATAAAATTAAATTATATAAAAGTTATTATATAAGTTAAATTATTTAATAATTAATAGTAGAAATTTATAAAAGAATTATAAAAAAGTTAAATAAAGAAAATAAATTATATTAAAAGTATTAAAACTTAATAAAGTTATTAAATAATTTTATAAGAAACTTAAAGTTTTAAAATATAATTATTAAGTAAAAGTTAAATAATATAAAAATAATTTTATAAATTAAATTATTTAATAATTATTAATAATAAAATTATTAATATTAAATATATTAAATAATTATTAATATATATAATAAATATATTATTATTTTATTTTATAATAAGTTAAATAAATAAATATTATATATTTTATTTTTTATAAACTTATTATATTTATAATATAAATATTAATTTTTAACTTTTATTATAATATATAAATAGTTTATTAAATAATATATATTATTTACTTTTTAAATATAAAGTTAAAAACTTATAATTATAAAATTTTAATTAATTTTTATTTAACTATATTATTATATTATAATTTAATTTAATTTCTAATTTTATTTAAACCTTTTTTAAACTTATTTAATATTCTCTTCTTTAAATAAGTTAAATTTAAATTAAAACCTTTAAGTTTAAGTTTAAAATTCTTATAGATTTTAATTTACTTTAAATTAAGTTTATAATCTTTTAGTTTTTTAAAAATATATTAACTATTTTAAATAATAATAACTTTTTTAAAATAAAGGTTTACCTTTATATAATTATAAATCTAATTATTAATAATTATTATTTCTTTTATAAAGTTATTAGAATTATAAACTTAAATATTATATATAGTAATAAAGTATAATTACCTTATTTAGAGGTTATCTTTTAATTTAATAGTATAGTAAGCTAAGTAACTACTTTTAAATAGTTTTACTTAATAGGTGTTTATTTAAGTAGAGCTAGAACCTATATATATTTTTTAAGGGAATAGTAGCTTTATCTTTACCTATTTTAACTAACTTATATTCACTTAAGTTATATAGTAAATTTAATACTTATATATAATACTTATTAATATTAAACTAACTTATAGTTTATAATAACTTTAACTTTTAATAAACTAATTTATATTAAAGTTAATAATATTAATTTAAACTAATATAACTTAATATATTAATATAAAAGATATTTTCTAATAATAGATAGTATTATAAATATAGATTATAAAGTTATTATAAAAGTTTTATATAATAAATTTAATTAAATTAATCTTTAAAAATATATTATATTTTATTCTTTTAAAACCTTAACTATTTACTTTTAATTTAATAATATAATTAAAAATATAAATAATTTATATATATTATTTATAATTTTATATTATTATTATTTAATAATTTAATATATATTAATATTATTATATATTAATAATAAACCTTTATACCTTTATAATATTAATATAAATAAATATTTTACTTTAAGTATATAATATACTCCCCTTATACTCCTTTTATTATAATAAATTAGATTAAAATACTCTACTCTAATTACTACTAACAATTAAAGATAGAATGTCCTATATAACTATAACAAACTTGGCTGGCAGGAACCAGATTGATGAGTTGTCGCTAAGGTGACTGAATGGGTACTCCACGTCCGTATTCTGGTCATGAATTCTACCAAGGACTTCCACCTTGCTGATCTCCTGCGAGTTGGCGGTGCCGTACAGGACGACAACGGGCCAGTCACACACATTCTCCTCTCCCTCGAGCTTGACGATGCGTCCAGCAAGGTGCTTGTTGAGGAGCTTATATTTGGCCAGGTCCTCCACCACAGCCGCGTGGTCAACCTCCATGAGAGCCTGGTGATACTTGGATTTGCTCTCGTCCTTCTTGGAGTCGTCAATGACAACCGGGGTGGTGTTGGTGGAGAGGGCATGTCCCTCTACAACCGAGCGCATCTTGGTCTGGAGTGCCTGCACGTGCGGCTGGCAGTCCTTGGCCATCAGGGGGAAATCGACGGCGGGGGCAAACATGGTATTCTTCCACTGGGAAAGTGACTGGCCGGCATGCTCGGCCAGGTGCTCAAGGCAGTCATTGGCAGAGAGCAACGCGTTGTAGTCGGTGGCTTGCAGCTCCATTGTGCCCACCTTCATCTCGTTCACTTTGACCTTCAGGTCGTTGTCTAATACCTTGTGTTCCTGTGCAAATTGGCCGGACGTGTTTCGGCTGCGGCCACTGCCCTTGGAGGGCGAGGCTATGGTGCCCGCCGGGGAGCCAGTGGTCTCCTTAAGCCGACTCAGGACCTTGGAGGTCAGCTGCTCGTTCTGTCCGATTGAGCTTGGAGTCTTGGCCGCCGAGTGGTGGACGCCACCACGGCGCTTGTCGGCAGGGCGAGAAGGAGTCGACATAATGTATGCGTCAGAATCGCTCTTATCGTCATTTCCGCGCACGGGGGTGCTGGGGGCCGTGGCCTTTCCCTCGCGGCGTTTGCGCATGGCCATTGCGCCTTGGTTGGACTCATAGCCACTCATGATGTTGATTGGGATTGGAGTGATGGCCTCTGATGGCGAGCTCGACGCACGGCTGTCCGTAGCGGTTGTCTGGTGGTCCTGCGGTTCTTCATTGTCAGCATCCAAGTCCTTGTACCAAACCACGGGGTTGAGACGGAAGCCAGTGATTTGTTCGTGCCATTCACGGCGAATCCAGGGTGGTTGCGGGTACGTAGCCAAGAGGCGCTCTGCTTCTGCTTCATCAATGGTCGCAAAGTCACGCCCTTCTGGCACCTCTACCATACAGCAATATGGCATCGCGCCGGTCATGATACTGTGGGAGCACGCTTGTGCGGAGGGCTTGATAGATGCCGCTATGGTATCGCCGTGTCTTTGATTGTTGGTAGTGATTAGGGTAGAGTACTTTAATCTAGTTTATTATAATAAAAGGAGTATAAGGGAATATATTGTGTATTTAAGATAGAGGGTTTATTTATATTGTCTTTATAAAGGTATAGGGTTTACTATTAGTGTGTGGTGGTGTTAATATGTACTGGGTTGTTAACTAATAATACTATGAGGCTGTGGATGATGTAGATGATGTGTTGTGATGTGAGGCTAGGAGATGGGTGTGTGTGCTATGTTTGTGATGGGTTTAAGGGAGTGGAGTATATAGTGCTTATTTACTTAGCACACTATAGGATAGTAGTATATTTATAGTATATACTAGTGGCTATTTAATATATTTAATATTAATAATTTCTATTATTAATAACTATTAAATAGTTTAACTTATATAATTACTTTTTATATTTTTTATAACTTTTATTTAATAATTATATTTTAAAAGGTTTAATTTTTTATAAAATTATTTAATAACTTTATTAAATTTTAATATCTTTAATATAATTTACTTTTTTTATTTAATTCAATTCTTTTTATAATTCTTTTTTAAATTTCTATCATTAAATATTAAATAATTTAACTTATATAATAACTTTTTATACTTTTATAACTTTTATTTAATAATTATATTTTAAAATTTAAGTCTTTTATAAAATTATTTAATAACTTTATTAAATTTTAACTCCTTTAATATAATTTACTTTCTCTACTTAACTTCTTTTTATAATTCTTTTATAAGTTTTATTTAATTATTAAATCTTTAAATAACTTATAAAATATTTAATATATCTTTTAATATTTATATATTATAATAATAAGAGTAATCTTTATACTTAATCTTTCATCCTCTACTTTTTATAAAGTATTTTAAGAGAAAATACTACTATTATATAATAAGGAAATATCTATATTTACTCTAGCTTAGTTGTACCACTAGGTTGTGGCGGCACCACCAGGTTATGGCAGCACCACCAGGCTGTAGCGGCACCACCAGGCTGTAGCGGTACTACCAGGCTGTGGCGGCACCACCAGGCTGTGGCGGCACCACTAGGCTGTGGCGGTACCACTAGGTTATAGTGGTACTATTAGGTTATAATGATACTATTAAGTTATAATAATATTATTAAGTTATAATAATATTATTAAATTATAATAATATTATTAAATTATAATAATATTATTAAATTATAAAATATAAATAAAATAAATAATAATATAAAATATAAATATAATATAATAATAATATAATAATAATATATAATTAAATATATAATTAAATTTATTTTTAAAAATATTTTAAATATTTTTAATTTTATATTATTATTATAAATATTATAAAATAATTTAATTATATTTTATAATAATTTAATTTAAGTTTTATAATATTAATAATTCTATAAATTATTTTTTATAATTTTTATAATTAAAATTATAAATATTATAAAATTTAAATTAAATTATTATAAAAATATAATATAAATATAATAAAAATAAAAATAATAAAATAAAACTTTTATTATAATTATATATATAATTTTATATAAAGTTATTAAAAAAGATATAATATTATATAGAGAGACCCTTATTATATTATTATTTTTAATACTCTTCTATTAGATATCTATCTCCGGTATTAGGATCTATAGGGGGGGTGGCTCCTCACAGCAGGTAACCGGGCATGCATGAGTTGATTGCCTGGCTTAGCAGCACTGTTGTACTGCACAACAAGACACTGTCGGCAATGCAATTAAACAGTAGCAAAGGGACACACTGTGTACACGGGGACACCCACAGGAATTAGACTTCAGATTGAGGGCGAGTTAAAGAGCAAGACAGGACATGGCGAAGTGACTGAACGGACAGCTCGAAACGGACGGGCGCGTGCAAGCTTCCGTGGGGTGGCAGCCCTCGCTTATTTGCTTTGGAAAATAAGGTTCGGTAGCCCCAGGCACCCCCGTGGCCCGCGGGTAGTGTGCCGATCCCTCCCTATCCCAAGAGCCCCTGCGTCGCGGCGGAAGGGGCGGGAGGGTAGAAATCGACTAGACTAGACTAAAAAAAAAACCAAAAAAAAACCACGACACTATCATTGGGCTCGTGCGGGTGGACATGACGGCTAGCTTTTTTTTTCTCTCTTTTTTCCTCTCTCCCTCTCTCCCTTCGATTTGACGATGGCTGGATGGTGTGCCCCGGGGCGGGGTGGGCCGGATTCCCACCGGCAGAGGTGGCAGGTCTTGTAACACGAGGGAGCGGAGATTGAACTTTGTGGTGGCTTGGGAAGGATGAATGGCACGGATTGCCTTTCGACCCCTCGTCCTACTGCATTGACTCGGGAGTTGATATTGGAGGGATTATTGTGCGCACGCATGGGCTCGCGCAACCTTAGCAGTGGGCGCAACCCCCGTGCAGCGAGCCGGGACGCGACGGGGATCGACGGCCAGGAGGTGCCCAGATTTGAGGGCCGCGCCTTTGCTGCTCGGCACTGAGTCTGCTCTCAATGTCGTCCGGTGGTGGCCAGACCTTGTACCAATACATACTCAGTAGTACGCAAATAGCACACCCCAGACGCAGATCATACCCTCGCTTATCTCGCGTCAGGCAAATGACAGGCGGACGGGACGAGGACGGCAGGACGGCCTGACAGACGGCGTGACAGCACGCAGGCATCTGGCATCCAGGAGACGCCTCAGGCCGCACCTGTTACAGGCCACAGCAAACGGGCGCTACAAATCCCGCGTATCAGATGCTCAGACAACGGCCATGCAGCCATGGTGAACTCAATTGAGGGAGGGGCATATGTGAAGCTTCGGTTGGGCGTCGTCGAGACACGACCCAAGAGGCTCGCTTCCCTTCCCTGCTTCCCGACTAGACTAGAATACAGACCGTCCCGACGTCCCCACAGCCACGTGGTCTTGGCAGCCGACCCGCCGACTTCGTCTTGTCTTATCGTTATCGACAGCCCCTGGGCTGCTGGGCTGCCCTCTCCGCCCCGCCCTGCCCGCCTGTCAATCAGCCTGCAGGCAACATGTCACCTGTCAACAAGTCCTTGTCCCGACATCACATGCAGCCCAGCCGCCCAGGCAGCCCAGGCCTGACCTCACCCGCATAGCTGGCACGTCATGCCGCGAGACCATACTGGTACTGTCTACCCAGGTTACAGGTAGGAGGTAGGCATGGCCAGTCCTTGATGAGCGCTGCCCTCTCTGCCTCTCGTCTCGAAACCACCACTCGGCCGTTGCGCACAGCCCCGGATGGCCTCACCATCCTCCCCACTGTCGCCTGTTCCTGGCCAGCAATCACCCGACGTCGACGTGCATGCCCATGCCGGCGCGGGCATCCCGCAGGCGCTCTGGGACCTGCGCGTGCCCCTGCACATCACCCGCAAGGCCGCCCCCGGCGCCCCCGGCGCCCCCTTCATCACCTCTGTCCCGCGCTTCAGCTACCTCGCCCAGCTGCTGCCCAGGCTGTCCTCCTTTTTCGCCACCCCCTGCAGCAGCTTCCACCACGAGGAGGTCCAGATGCGGAACCTCCCCGTCGGCCTGCTCGTCGACCTCTACCAGCCCGACCTGCCCTGGAGGCTGCACGTCGGCCATGGCGACGAGTGGGACATTGCCGACACCTTTCTCAACGGCGTCAAGGAGGCAGACTTCGTGCGCAACGGCAACGCGAAGCAGATCATGAGCCTCTCAAAGGAGCACACCACCGCCCTCTGGAACGCCGTCCAGGACAGTACGTCTCCCCTCATGCGAGGCAGCCTGCGCCCTGGCCGTTGCTAACATGACATGCCCGCCTAGACGACTACGCCTCCTTCTCAAAGGTAAACTCGCACCTCCTGAACCCGCCCACCCAGCTCAAACACGTCCCAATCCGCATCTACGTCCCCTCCTCGCCGCCAGACTCCTCCGCCAGCGGGGCGGCCTCCGCGGCGCCTGCCAGCTTCAGGGTGTTGCAGTCGCTCGTGCCCCCACGCTCGGCAAATCGTGAGTGACACCCACCTCGCGCCCTCCCCTCCTATCAAATTCAATACTGTTTCGTTTTACGCTTGACGACTCACCATCCTGGCCCCCACCTCTCCAGGTAGCCCACAGACCCTCGGCCCAGTCCTGCGCGGCCTGCTGCCGTCCCTGTTCCCCAGCAGCCGCGACCCCGTGCTGGCCAACGTCGTCCTGCACGGCGCCCCGGTCCCGTTCTCCGCGCCCCTGGATGAGCTGATGCGCGAGGCAGCCTACCCTGACGGATGGCTTTGTTTGATCATTACGTTGCTATGACTGAGCGCACAGGAAGAGTGCGACTTTTTGTCGGTGACACTTCATCCGTCCGCCCTCCCTGCCTCCCCTCCCCTTCTCCGCGGAGGTGCTGCTGGGCCGCGTGCTGCCTCTGGGGGTTTGAGCTATGATCGGGCTGGTTTCAGGCAACTTCATCCATAGACAGAAAGATGGGCACGAGTTGACCGTCCACAACGGGCGCATTCCTAGTCAAGCCCCCCCGGGGGCCGGGGGGTTGGGGTTGATCGACACAAACAGAGAGGCCCAAGGATCAGTTTTCTTTCGCCACACAGACGTCCGTCGCGATGCGGCAAAGAGGCATGGGGAAATAGGGGGCCACCTGATTATCCAATTACCGACCATTTCTAAATCTGTGTTTGTGCGCGCGGCATCGTACTCCAGCGCGCCCGCTCTCTCACTCACTGTGCTCGCCCATATTGCTAGCTGATTCGCGACATCTCTTGTTTTCCCCAAACTTCTAGGTATCCTTTAAACAGGCCTAACTGGCACACATACTACTATATCAACACACACGCGCGCAGGGGGACTCCCTGCCCCTCCCTCTCTCCCCCCACTCGTCAAAAAAGAGACACAAGCGATCCAAGGCTAGATGATGCGGGAGAGAGAGCGCGCGCAAACAATGACATGTGTAGGAGCTTGAAAAACACCCTAATAACCAGCAGTAAACGTGTCCGGACATGAGTGGTATCTCCTCCCATCCCACCCTCTCTTTTGAATGATGATGATGGAACAAGGAACATGATGCAATCCAAAATAGGAACAAAAAAAGAAAACAAAAAAAAAAGTCCACAATCCGTACAGACCAGACCATACCAGACTGCCCGCCATATGTTTTGTTTTCGCTATGCAACCGTGCCAATTTCCTCCTCTCCCACCATGTAGAAGCCCCGTAATACCAGTTATTGATTCCCATCTCCGTCATTTGTCCCACTGGGTATTATTATGTGAAGCCAGAAAACCCCTATAACTGTTTGCGAGTGACGATGCTGCTGCTCGGACTGGGTGCTTCATCCCCTGGGTGCGAACCCCGAATCGACTTTTGACGATGCTCTACCTCGTCATCCCATCCCGTTCCGTTCCATTTCCAATGCTGTTGCTGATGACCTCCACTCTTCCCCACCGTTGTAGCCGTTCAATGTCTGCCGACAAGAAAATTTTTCATCGTGATGACACCAATGGTTCCGTCGGCCATGCAACACCATCTGTTCGACGGTTTTCGGGACACATGGCTGCTGGAGCGTTTGTATCGTTAATGCACCACGATATCACTGTTGTCCGTGTTCTCAGTTGGGTCGCATATGTGGCCCTCCCCTTCAGGCTTCTCCGTGCGAACTCCATCCCGACATGGTCGAAATGCTGTATTGACTCTGCCTTCAAATACACCCTGCTGAACTTGAAACAAAGAGAAATACCACCGTCGAGGGGTCGCGCATGCTGCCTGATGTCAGGCACAATGTTCCGTGACTAGTACTCCATTGGAGTAGGCTGGCTCTGTGTTAGATCGCCAGGTGTAATCGGGCTGGGGCCAGAGCCTGAGTGCGGTGTTGGTCCGTTGGATGCGTATGGCGGCATGGCGAGATTGTCATAAAGTGCTGAGCCTGGCGGCAAAAGGGTCGGCCTCAGGCGCTCTAACTGCTCCTTGGTGGGTAGTCTTTCCTCCAAGCCTTGGAGGACACGGAGGTCAACAGCAAGGCTGCTAGAGTCTTGGGCCACAACCTCAAACCATTCAATCGTTTTCCTCAGAAGCTGTCGTAGTTGGCCTTCGTCGACGAAGGTTCCTAAGAGCTGGTCATGATAAGCAGCGGTGAGCGTGATGAGATTGCCCCATTGCCTTTGTTCAAGTCAGTATTTTCAAGGTGAGTTGACGCTAGTGGGGGAGAGTTGTGCACGTACGCGTGTGCTGTTCCAAAAACATTCGTGATGATGAAGCGTTTGTCCTCCAGACCGTGGAAAGCCATAGTACTCTTGATGACAGCGTCAATGCCCTTTCTCGCGTTTTCGAAAACGACCGTGTCAATATCACTCGGGCTCCTCGCATCACTTCTCACAGTGGCCCAACCGCCCGCGTCTTCGTGCGGGATGGCTCGCTCCGACTCTTCCGAAAAGTGATTCTGGCGCTTGTGCCCAAAGTCCAGCACCGTCTTGATCGATGGGCGGTAGGTGATGACGTTAGCACCCCAGAACTTGGCCCTGATACGTGCCGACAGGATATCTCTGGCCGGCGGGTCGTTCCTGTCAAATTTGTACTCTCCTAGCCAAAGAGTGCTGTTTTCCCCGAGATCCTTTTCGATCTCGGCCAGGATCTCCTTCTGCATTTCAGCGTCGGGCTTCTTGTTAGGGTCGTAGAGAGAACCGGAGATTCGGTTGAGTCGTTTCCGCAAGTAGAGTTGCGCAGCATAGCTGAATGCAACTGCATCTGAGAAGCCTAGCCTTTCTCGCATCACAATGAGATCCGGATAAGGCAGGATATCCTCGTACTGAAGAATTCCAGAAGGAACGAGGTTCAACTCAGCGAGAATGTCACTGTGGCGGTCAGACGCATGGACAAGCACAACAAATGTAAGAGCAGATCACTTACCTCTCCAACTGACAACAAGACCAGAATGCGACAAGGAGCTTCGTATCGATAACGGCAGTCTTCTCTGACTCGAGATCAGTGTATGGGCCGGTGTGTTCAAGCGCCTCGGCCGCCCGTGTAACCTTCTTGCTTAGTCGGTCCATGGATCTGTGACTGTCAGCGGACAACCCTCCGCAGCAAGAAAACCTTTCATTTACTTACGGCTGAAGCTTGTCAATGATTGCCGAGCATGCAAACCTAATGTGACGGAAGCTCGGGACCACGCGCCCGAGCTGTCCGTAGTATAGACAGGCAAGGATGTGGGCCTGAATGTAGTTCAGTTTGTAACTGCCAAAGTGATTGCCCAAAATGTCAGTCGCGTAGGCAAAGTACTCTAGGCCAGGGATGATTTCATAGTTCTTCTTTGGCGGCGCAGGAGAAGCAGCACTTGTCGGTGCTTGCACTCCAGAAGCCTGCACCGAGGAGCGTCGACTGGCCCCTGGGCGTTCCTGGTCCTTTGGTGAAGGTAATCCGGCCTGCCCAGGAGACTGAGAGATAGCGCTGGACGGCGGAGAGCCATGATTCGGTGAAGTGATAATGCCATTTCGGACAAGTGGCGACCCTGAATTCACTGCCTCTTTCTCCGGCGGGTCTGGCAGCTTTCGGTCCCTCCACAAGCAAATTTTGCCCAGCGCGAGGACGAGGAGGACCAACGCATGCTGAACAGAACGCTGGGGCTTCGCCCTCTTTGGCGCCGGCCCAGGTTCTATACCGTTGGGTATAGGCGAGCGTTTGCGCTTCTTGTCGTGTTCATACGATGGCTGAGTCGTCCTGTCCTGATGGTTGGTGAACGCGGCGACCTGTCTGTGCTTTCTGGTGCCAACGGGGTTGCTCGAGACTTCGTCCAGAAATGTATAAATAATGGCGTCGAGGTCTCTTGGAGGGATCAAGGGGTGCATGTTTTGTATGTATTTTTTGTAGGCGTCGACGTAAGTATGGACCTTCGATTGATCAAAGTCGAGTACTCCCTCGGCACGGCCTTGGGCTCGCAAGTCGGGAGGGTAGCCACCGGGTGGAGACAGACCCCCAATCGGACCCCAGTCGGTACCACCCGACGGGGATGGATGATCGCCGACTGACGCATCGTCTGGTATGTCCGCATGCTCGTATGTGAAATCGCGGTCTGCCGCACGCGAGGTCGACCCTTCACCACGCCCGAAAAGGGGCAGTTCGCCACGGTCTTCTTCGTATCGCTGAGGGTAGGACTCGATGTATTTGATGTGCTCGCGGTCCAGTAAAGGCTTCACAAGCTGTCTGACAGCAGGCCACATGAGAAGTCGCCCCGCAGGAGTCGTGTGGTTGTGAGGGAATGGCGCTGGTAGTGGCTGGACGGGATTTCCGGGCGGTTCCTCGTTTTCCTCTTCGTTCTCCAGCGCTCGCATCCGCCTGGCTGCAGAATGCGGGTCCGGCGCACCGTTCATAATGGCGTCTTCGGGTGAGGACGATGGAGTCTCGTCGACCTCCGCCATCTGTTGCGGTGTCACTGCCCTCGGTTCCTCTTTAACGTAGTCGTCCAGCTCTGGCGGCCCCTGCATGCTATGAGAAGACCCGATCCGGATCACGCCCTTGAGCTCGCGGATTTCGGATCTCACTTCCCCAAGACCAGCAGTGAATTTTTCGTCATACGACTGCAACATGCTTTTCATGGCATCCAGTATATCTTGCGTGGCCTTATCTTGCCTGGGAGTTTCGTGGGTCAGCGAAAACGCGTAGTCATCCCACAAGGACGAAAGCCAATTCCACTCACTGCTTGGGGGCTGGATCGCGATATTGACAGTTTATGTTTTTGTCAGTACAGTTCTTGCAGGGCTTATTCTCGTCACATTTTGCCTTGAGCTGTCTACAGCTCTCACATGCCTGGGGTTTCTGTAAGCGGGCCGCTCAAATCGACCAATCTGGTGGTTTCCCAATACGCACCTGCGAAGCCCTCTGCGATTTTCGTTTGCTCGCAGCTGTGTATGTAGTGATGGGATAGGGCCCGTCTGGCCCCATCGGCGGGGGATACATTGGACTCTGGTCATACGGGGTAGGTGGTGGCTGAGGATGAGGCGGCAACGGCGTGGGGGGCGGAGCAGGGTAGCTCTGGTGCCGGTACATCTGCCCCGGACCGTTGTCGTAACTCATGTGCCTCCTCTCCTCCATATGGCCCGGAGGATGAGGGCCAACATGCGGAGGGGGAGGCGGGAGGGTCTGCTCGGGGCCGTTGCCGGTGGAGTTGGGCCTGCGTAGCTGGGGCAGCGTGACGTCGTCGGATTCTCTCTTCACCATAGACTCTCTGTTTGCAGGCTGATATCCGGGCGTGGGGTACTGCTGATGCGCTGGAGAGGGAGGAGGCTGGTGGTGGGTGTCCTGGATGTGAGAGTACCTCTCAGACTCATGTTGTCGACGGTCCTCAAAGTGCTGCTGCTGCTGCGGCGGCGGCGGCGGCGGCTGGTGAGGCGCGTGCAGTTCTTGAGGACGGTGAGGGAAGGTATGGGGTGGGTGGGAGAGATGCGGTGAGGGCGAGTACTGAGAAGAGGTAGGAGGAGGAAGAGATGGTGGGTGTGGATGGTGGGCAGCAGATAAAGGTGGCCCGGGATGCGGCAGCGAGACACCATGACCATGATGTGATGGCCCCGCTGGCCACGAGGGAGGACCAGTCGAGAGGCGCGGCCGCTTGCTTTCATGCCCTTGGTCCATGCTTCAAGGAGGTAAGGTATATGTGAAGCAGGTACATGAATACCTGGACCCCGGAAAAGAGATGAAATTTGAGAACGAGTTAGGGCACCGTGTCTGGGGGGATGGGGGGTAGAGCAGCTCAGCACAGAGCAAGCCTCGGAGCAAGAGGAGAGAGCGCAGCCAACAGCAACGGCGGAAAGTCAGGCAGCAAGCGCAGCCGCGGAGGCCATGGGGTGGATGCCCGTGTGCGACTCTGCGGGCAGATCGCCCAGGACTCTTCTTTTGGCAGCACTGGGAGGTACAAGGAGCGAGGGCGGAGAGGGTCAAGTCTCGTAGGGTTGATGACAAGGAAATCTGGGCTTGAGACCTGAGACTTGGAAGCCGGGGCCGGGACCGGGAGCTGGGAGGAGCTGAGAGGTGGAAGTCGAGGAGCTGGACGTGCTGCGCCTGAGAGCGAGAGCCAGAGCGAGAGCCAGAGCGAGAGCCAGAGCCAGAGCCAGAGCCTGAGCCTGAGCCAGAGCCAGAGCTTGGTGATGAGCCGGGATCAGGGCGGACAAGGGTATGAGAGATTCGAGAAGGCCAAGGTCCTGGTCGGTAAGAGGTACGTATCCGAGGCGGGTGCGGCAATACGTAGCAGTTTAGTATGTACTGTGAGAGAAGCCGGCGCTGGACCGTACGGGTTGGCGACAGAGGAATGTGCGCAAAACCTCGAGGGGGGGGGGGCCGTCGAGCGAACAGGGCACAGTTACTGTATGATCGATCGAGTCCGGGGTTGGGATGGATCGTGGAGCTTGCAGTCTTATTGGCCTGGACAAAGCGATATTTGACCAGCAGATGCCGAGATGTGGTCGTGGTTGTGCCTTGGTGGCTGCTGCTGCTTGTTACGGCAGCAAGAGGGTGGCAGGCTGGGTAACTGGGTAGAAACGGCCCAGGCACACACGGGGTGAGCTTGACTGTGGGCTCCTGGGAGGTACGGGATGGATGTGCAGGCCAGGCCAGGGAGCAAATAAGCGCAGGGCGGATGGAGTGCGGGCTTGCGAGCTTGCGAGCTTGCGAGACAGGGACGGGGACGGGGACGGGGACGGGGACGGGATCAGGATCTCGTCAAAACGTGGTCGTTGGCGCGTGTGCGAAAAAGCCCGGCAGCTTGTAATGATTGTGCGTCAGAGGTCCAGGCCGGCACAAGGTTTAGGTTTGAGGGAGGCAGACAGTTGAGTGGTATGTAGTGGTGGTAGTGTAGCTGGACTGGGCATAGGCTTGAGCCTGCATGCGTGCAAGGTAAGGCAAGGTAGCAGTCAGGCAAGGTAAGGTAAGGTAAGGTAAGCTTGAGGCGTCGAGGTAGCGCTGCGTATCGAACCGTAGCGTCGTCCAGAGTCGTCGCGCGCGGGGGGGTAACGGGATAAGCACGAGACTGATCGACGGTTGGGCAGCGACGAGCCAGAGACAGGAACAGTTGCCAGATCCTGCTAGGTTCAACAGTGCTCGAATAGGGTGCGAGGCAGCCTGTGGCTTTTTGCTGCGTGCCCTGTCTTGTCTTGCTTTGGCTGGCTGGCCCGCTGGCTGACTGATGCAAGAAGCAGTGTAGCAGCGAGCAGTAGGAGCGCGTGCGGGCAGCGGGCAGGTGGCAGGTGGCAGTGGGCAGCGGGCAGCGGGCAGTGGGCAGTGGGCAGTGGCAGCAAAAAAGCGGGCAGGGACGGCGACGGTGCCGGTGACGGCGGACGTTGGCACTTTCTTGACAGACCACTCTCCCGACTCCCAGGTACTGGGAACAGGAACAGGAACGGGGAACAGGAGCTGGAGACCAACAAAAAAAAAACACCCGGGGGGGAAAACTGGACCGGACTGGGCTGGGCTGGGCTGGACGGGACAGCATAGGAGAGGACAAGCCACAGCACGCGCCAGGTTTTGACCGGTCAATGTCAAGTACGCACTGGCCGAGGGACAAACGAGCCAGGGTTTTGGGCACGTCTGTGGATTTCGAGAGCGGTGGATCCTGGCGAGATGGAGGAAGGAAATGCCGAAATCGAGGGCCAAGCGAAAACTCAGAAAAAAAGAGTCGAGCGTCCGGATGGGGGAGAGGGGGACGACGGCCACGAGCTCAGTTCGCCCGCTCGCATGTATCCGTACTGTATGTCTCTCTGTCTCTGTATCTGTCTTGTCTTGTCTATCTGCCTGCCAGACTGCCTGCCAGCCTGCCAGCCTGCCAGCCAATAGACTTGACTGGGCCGGCGACTGGACGGGACGGAGGGGTGGGCGGCGAGTTAGAGGTTGGGTGGAAGGGCAGGGAGGAGAGGGAGGGGTGGAAGAGTGGCAGTTGCTCCAACGTTTCGCGACGCGACCGGGCAGTGCGATACGATACAGTACAAAGCAATGCAATGCGAATCGATGGCAGATGGACCACAGAATTGACTCGGCTCGACTCGACTCGACCGGCAGGCCAGGGGGACCACTCCCTCCACCAGTCAGTCAGTCGGCAAATCGTCAAATCGCCCATCGTCACCGTCAATGTCAATCGAAGTTTACTGCCAGCCTCTGCGCACAGTACTCCGCAGCTCCAGCCCAGAGACCCCCAGCCAAGCAAGCTCCCAGTTGCAAAAAGCATACACTAGACGTACACAGTATGCTCCGTACCGAGTGCGGTGCCATGACGGCAGGACGGTGCAGGACGGTGCGGTACGGTACGTACCTCTGCGGCTGGCACCCTGGCAGCCTGGATGCTCTCGACCGCACATGACATGAGAGCATGAGGCACAGGCACAAGGCACGGAGGAACAGCTACCTAGGTTCCAGCTAGGTAGCCACCTTGCCCACCTTTGCCCACCCACGGGAGTAAAGCGAAGGGGCCCCACACCGTGACAAAATTTGCACTAGCAATGCACGCAGCCCGCCAGGTACCTCTGACAAGGTTGGGGCGCGGGCAGGGTGCCCACGGGCCTGGCGGGCAGGGGCTGGCCTGCCGGAACGGAGCCAAAACGGTGCAGCTTGTGGAGGGCCACCATCCTCGAGCACGAGAGGCCAGCCGGCCAGCCAGCCAGCCAGTCGCTCACCTCACCTGTCTGCCCAAGGTCAGAAAATCGCTGCTGCCCTGGCTGCGCTTGGTCCATCACCTCCCACCACCTGCTCACCCCTGCCACCCCCATGCTGAGATTGGGAGGCACCATCCGTCAGGTCCGAGTGCATGGGCATGGCAGAATTTGCAGCATTGATTCCGACTGTGGGGACGATACGCGCCCTCTGTCCTGTCTCTCGAGATTGCCCATTGCCCCTGGAGCACCCGGAGCACCCTCTGGGGGCACCTCGGGCTGCCAGCTGCTCGACCGGGTGCTTCTCTTCTCGGATGGCTGATGCGGTCCTGCACGGCAGGGAATGGCTAGTCCACCTGCGCTGCGGCTGCCGTGCCATGCGACGCGGCAACATGTGTACTGTGTAGTGTAAGCTGCGGGCAGATAGGACGAGATACCCAGATAGTCAAGTAGGCTGACTGGCCCTTTGCGGGGTCGTAGCACAGGGCGGTGAAAGGCAATGGTCGCTTCGGCTGCGCAGCATGCATGTGCGTGCAGCAGTGCGGTGCAGGTGTGTGGTGCATGCTGCTTCGGAATGGGTTGTCTCGGCCCACTTGGTCTGTCTCGCCCATGGGCCTGGGGGCCCTCACCCACCACATGTAGTGTAGCACGTATCGCCTTATTGCATAAAACAAACTTCCACGGCCTGGAGACGAGGGATGGATGGATTGCCCATACAGATTACAGTTCACTACCCAGCCAGCCGCTGCGACGCCCCAGCCAGCTGAGGTGGTGACTTCATTTCGTTGTCAAGAGACTTTTCGGCCAACAGTATTGGCGAAAGGTTTTGAGGGGTTACGGCCCGAGTTGTCTTCTCACGCTTGACACGCCACGGCACGCTCTACTGTTCTAAGAAAAGACGAAACAGATCTAGCGCAGCCAGCCCGTCTGGAATTTTCCTCGGGTGGCAAAGGAAAGCCGGGCAGGCAGCCTGCAAAAGAAACCGCCGCTAAGTCCAAGTACTACCAAAACCCTTCATGTTAGCACCACGATTATTCCACAACCATATCATATGTGCTTGATTTTAATTATATTAATATCTTGAGAGTAAGCTTCTCATTCGAATGGTATCAAAATATCATCAAGAACTCGTGGTTGTGGGCAAAAAACAGGTGGATAACTTCTGGGATCCTGATTCTGGTACATAACCAGCGGCGGTTTCTTTTGCAGGCTGCCTGCCGGGACGGCATGAGGCAAAAACGTGGCCAACGCCGCCCCGGAGAGTGCAGCTTAGATCGATAGTGGCATCTCCCAGCGGACAGACCCAGTCCCAGCCACCAGGGGCGTGGACAGGCCGGTGGGCGCGCCTTTTTTTTTTTTTTTTTTGGGTGCTCTTTTTCTTGCCACTTTTTCCCTCCCCGTTCTTTCTTTCCTCGCTGCATCTTGCCTCTCCACCCTTCCAAGTGTGAGGCGTCGGGGCGGATCGCGCGGAGCTTGGCTGCTGGGAGGAATTGCCCTGAACGTTATTAGAGCTCATCTGTCTGACGTCCTCGTAGAAGGATGATCCTGACCAAAGAACGGGGCCAACAGCGCCAGGGCAGCCCGGCCCGTGGCAGGCGCCGAGGCATCCAGACAGCCAGAGAGGCCCGAGAGGCTACGAATAGACAAGGGACGAGTGGAAAACAGCCATTCCGGTGTCGTCCAGCATTGCCGCAGGACGAGGTGGGCCTCGCGGCGTGCAAGGGGTGCTGTTCTTGCGGGCTTGCCCATTACACTGTGCATGCGGACAAAATGCAGGCATGGGGCATAATGCCTGGTGCCTGGCAGCCCTGGACATGCAAAACAGCAAAGCACCGTCTTCATCTTGACTATTTGATGGGGTGGTCAACAATCCCACTCGCAATGGATCACGGCTTAGCTGCATGCTCTAGGGCTAGGGGGGCGTGGCAGGCGTGGCAGGCGTGGCTGGTGAGGGGGGCGCTTGCGCCGTGGACAAGCAGCTGTCACTTCTCACCCCGGGGCGATCTTGACGTATCAGATCACATCTCCGATTGAGGCCGGCTGGCTGGACTGCTGACGGGCGGCCGTTGAAACGCAGATTTTGGGGCTGGCGAAACGCACAGAGCGAGACTAGACTCGCCCGCCCTGTCCGTCTCTTTTTTCTCCACGCAAATCTCAAACAAGAGGACTGGACAGCCCCGGAGCGGGCACTGACGGCCCAGAAGGGGAAGGTGAACCACGTCGTCAATGTCCTGCGAGGACGCCTGTCGCTTGGTGTCCATTTGGTGTCCCTTCCCGACAGGCGTCCTGGACAATGAGCTGATTTTGACCTCATCGCGACGGGGGCGGCGGCGGCCCCAGCCAACCCTGCTGGTGAACCTTGCAGATGACCGCAACGGTGAGGTGTCACTGATCGGTCGCCAGCCAGCCTGCCAGCCTGCCATGCCAGATCCGGGCAGGGGTATACTGAGGCGTTGACAGCTTCAGCTGCTGGGCTGCTGGGTTCTCTGCCTGTCTGGCTGTCTGGAGCCGCCTGGCCTTGTCTGCCCGCCCCATGTGTGTGCGCGCCTAGTACATAGTAGCACGTGTGATGAGGCTGTCGCGCGCGGTCGCGTGGTGACATTATGACTTAGGTAGCAGTGCACCTATGTAGTCGTCACAGCTGCTGGCCTAGTCTGGACCGGCCCTCGCATATGCGGGTGAGATTTCGTGTCTAGTGTCCCAATTACTGTGTACGGAGGTTCGCATCCTCGTCGAGAGGAACACGTCCACTCAGCTACCGCACCAAGGTCAGGCGGGCTTGGGTTCGGCAAGACGAGGCGCGG